ATTAGTCATTCCACGTCTCAAGTTTGTTTACTAGAGTTGAACACCACATGAACGTTTCCGTGCTATTATCAAAAGAAAAACATTTGTTTGCCAGTGTAAACTCTAGTTTGGAAGTCCAAATCCCAATTCTTTGCAAGGAAGCGTTGCAGATACTTAAATAATGCCTCATTTTGTAGAGCAAACACAGAGTAGCAAGACTGAATTATTAATGCTTGGTTGAGTTTTGACAGTTGAACAAAGAATAGCGTCGAAACACTGGCCTTTTTGTTATAATATTATTACTTTGCTCTACACTGTACCCGCTATAATTATTTGGTAATCACTATAGCATCATCTGAAAATTTCTTTCTATGTTTGACAACCCCTCAAAGTAGTAGGCATATCATCTTTCTAATATAAAGTCGCTACTATCAACATAGGATACAAAAAGGCTGTTCCTTCCTCTTGCTGAGATGCGAAGCACAACTTCAACCTTTGCCAAACCACAATGAAGCAAGATATCAGCAAACGGCTTTGAATACAACAACGTTTCCCAACATTGTTTCCATCCATTTATTACTCATAATCACTTGTAACTAACAGACTTTCATAGGGACATCATGGTTCAACATCGCCTTATTTCCAATAATCCTTCCAATCTAAAATCCAATTACTCCATCGTTCTTCCTACAACCTGGTATAGGAGCATGCTACTTTCAAAGCGAATTTCAATATCTCAGACGTCAATTTCGGATAACTCAATCTCGAAATCAAAAGCTCTTTTGTTAGAGAGTGTTTCTGCCGCAGATAGTAGCTTAAAATCAATAATGCCGCCGCCGTAGAAGGCATTTGATGTTCAATTGACTCATTTGACTCATACAGGCAATTTTTGTGCAAAGAAGTTGTGAAATCAAGTGAATCTGGAGCTATATGCATTTCCAGCAGGGTAAAAGTTATACTCCTTGAAGCATAAAACGTTTTATTATAGTTTTCAATAGTTAATTAACTATTGCTTGGCGATGCGATGGCCAGAATATTGTTGTAACAACATCAATAATGTAAACAACACTGCCCTAAAGTAATACCAATACAACCTCCCCGCATAATATATTTAAAAGAAATTCCTCATCATATTAAACTGTTGTGCAATGGATGCCAGATTGAATAGTTGCAATCGTATTATTTTACAATTAAATGAAATAGGCCTTAAATGGTATCTATTTGACTACCCTTTTATTATAAACACTAAACAATTTTAAATGACCAATTAATAGGAAATCAACTAGCTAGAATCCTTTGGTGCTTCAAACTCTCATCCAATCAAATCGCTTGAAAACTCCGCTGACCTTAAAAAAATTTTGCGAGGGTTTCCCCCTGTTTTGATGTGAGGCAAAATTTTAAGCGCCGCTATATAGCAATATAGCTGTTACTATCATCAAATTTCCCTCAGGTGCTAGAGCATGCCTTACTTACACCACCTAGCTTTAAATTCAGGCATTGAGACCCTCAATCATCACTAAAGTAAGTAGCGATAACCAAGTGGAGGCGGCCTATCTACCTCCTGGTGTCGGATAATGTCTTGTTGAGCTTCAGGGATAGGCACATCCACACAACGTAAAAAAAAGGTATGCTTCAAAGAAACATGATAATAATAAAAGAAAGAAGAAAAAAACATACTACTATAGGAGTATAGGAGTATAATAGTATATGTAATAAGCAAAGAAAAAAAAAGGATACTCACGCGCAATGAGTCAAAGAAAAGCATAACAAATACAAAATCAAAGATGTTTATAACAACTCATTGTTGTTGCAGCAGAAATACATACATGAGCAACGTGTATGGTAATAATCTGATGTAAAGCAACACAAACATGCAGAGTTGCAGGAGCAACAGCAAGTAGTATGAGTGTTTAATACAACATAACAACTAATATTGTTTCATATGAAGCAACAGAGGCAACACAAACAACAACCCACGGCCATATAACAAAGTATTACAGCGGTAATACAAGAATATAACAGTGCATGATGCTTGTTGTTCATATATACGAAGCAACAACATTACAGTTATTTGTTGAGCTGATCATATCACAGCCAACAAAAGAAAGAAAAAGAAAACGCAACAATGCAAACATTATGAATGCATTATCACGAAAAAGGAAGTAATAATACAAACGTTCAAAGAAGTTTTATATTATTGCGACCAGATGAAAAAAGATACTTACCACTTACCGCCACAACCCAATATAATAGACCAGAGAGCCAGCATACAGCAAAGACATCAGACCAAAGGATACGCAAGCACCAGGGAAAGACCACAGAAGCAACAATAGACCATTAAAGCGAGCACCACCAAATATGCAGCAAAAGACTACTAGAAATGGGTCCTCTTCCCAAAATAGAACAATTCACAGTATAGCTACAGTACAAGACGCGTTAACATTGTATCCTACGTCTACTAAGCTGTTGTCAATTATACTTGCTTTAGTTCCATCAACAAAGATAGCCTTGTTTCATTAGTAAAAGGTTTGCAAAATAGTTTAAAAAAAGGGGGGGGGGGGAAACGCTAGTAATATAAAAAGGAAAAAATGCTAATAAAAGATTGAGGTTGAAAACCGTCACTAGTCTCCATATAATATGGAGTAAGCACTGGAGACTTGACAGCTTGCTTACAGGACAGCAAAGCAAGATTGGGGTTAGCGGTTTCTACTACAAGGTTTGCCAACATCTTGTTTATCGATCGGTCAATTGTAATTAAGAGGTTGTATTTAACAAAGGTAGCAAATTTTGCGTTCCAATTTAGCTACACACTGAAAAGACGGTATTTCAAAATGTCCATAGCCCAGCCTTCATATTGCTCAAAATAAGGATCCATGGATGTCTAAAATCTTTCAATCTCAATAACATGCGATTATGATGATAACACTGCTTCCAGCTAAACCAAACCTAGAGTAGAATTCAGAGGAGAATCGAATGATACCAGTTTTAAATGGATTAACTCCAGTTATTAGCCTGATTTTTGATAGGATAGTTTTTGCAATTTTCTGATGGTTTTTAATAAATTGCCACATTTTTGTCATAAAAGCTGTACTTTTAATGCCTATTATAATGTAGAGCAAACGAAATCCTTTCGAATGAGCCCTGTCTCGAAGCTCTAGCATGACGCTATCAGGAGATATTCACTGATTTATACATTCAAAAAAAATGTCATCTAGATTTTTGCCTTGCTATTACAGGCAAATTCTGTCCAAAAGCCGATGATTCTGCACGAGGAATTTTTTTTATCGTATCTCGGGAAAGACGCATCGTATTTGCGTCGAACAAAAACTATTCAATAGCTCTACTTTGGATCTATTGTGCTGTGAAGGCTTTAAGTCTTAAATGTACGTTTGCTTTATGATTTTTCTCAAAATTGTGTATTTTACAAATTTGAAATAGAGAAAATGTCCAGAAATTCATGATAGAGTCATATTAGCCACGTAACTTGGTGCAGGATAAATAAAGTGCCTTAAATGCTACTAACTTTAATAGTGTATCTATAATTTCCATTCAAAAAAGCATCTATTTTCGATGTTTTCCAAGAAAAGTAATAGCTAAATCTGTACCACTTCACCTCCTATAGCATTCTCCATCGTGTAGACCTGCAAAGCATTTATTGTTTGAAGTCTTCTCAGTTGAAGCTGTTGTAGCATTAGCTCTCGTGTATTGATAATGCATAATAGGTCAGCCCCAGCCAAAACTGTCCAAAATCCACCGATCAAGGCTAGCTTTTGTTACAGTGGAGCTTATAAAACTCTTGTTGTGCGTTGCTATTAGTCATTCCACGTCTCAAGTTTGTTTACTAGAGTTGAACACCACATGAACGTTTCCGTGCTATTATCAAAAGAAAAACATTTGTTTGCCAGTGTAAACTCTAGTTTGGAAGTCCAAATCCCAATTCTTTGCAAGGAAGCGTTGCAGATACTTAAATAATGCCTCATTTTGTAGAGCAAACACAGAGTAGCAAGACTGAATTATTAATGCTTGGTTGAGTTTTGACAGTTGAACAAAGAATAGCGTCGAAACACTGGCCTTTTTGTTATAATATTATTACTTTGCTCTACACTGTACCCGCTATAATTATTTGGTAATCACTATAGCATCATCTGAAAATTTCTTTCTATGTTTGACAACCCCTCAAAGTAGTAGGCATATCATCTTTCTAATATAAAGTCGCTACTATCAACATAGGATACAAAAAGGCTGTTCCTTCCTCTTGCTGAGATGCGAAGCACAACTTCAACCTTTGCCAAACCACAATGAAGCAAGATATCAGCAAACGGCTTTGAATACAACAACGTTTCCCAACATTGTTTCCATCCATTTATTACTCATAATCACTTGTAACTAACAGACTTTCATAGGGACATCATGGTTCAACATCGCCTTATTTCCAATAATCCTTCCAATCTAAAATCCAATTACTCCATCGTTCTTCCTACAACCTGGTATAGGAGCATGCTACTTTCAAAGCGAAGTTCAATTCGAAATTCAAAGAGAAATCAAAAGAGAAATGAAAAGCGGAATAGAGAAAAGATGCGAGCGATGATTCCAATGTATAGCCCATGCTCTCAGTTACAAGCCATACTGGACCGTTTTACAAAGAGCAGGCCAAAATCAGGACTGCACTGACTGAATTGCGAAAACAGGGATTCAGTTAATCTACGTTCGCAGGGCATTACATATACAGTTGGGTAATAGCTGTAAAGTGTACTTCAATCCGTTGTAGTGAGCGACATTAAACTCGTGTCGCTTTCGCTACCATTTGTTAGCCCGTGCGTCCTGTTCATCAATTACTAATAATGCCCTCATAATTAAATGAAAATGGTTTAAAACCTTCTAAGTGCAACAAAAGCATTTCAATTTAGCATATCTGTGCAACTTTTGCATGACAAAACGAAACTGCGTTAAACTGCGAGCAAACATAAAGTGTTGCCATGCAATACAAGTTGCAACCTACTTTATTCATCATACAATGCGGCTTAATTGTACACCTGCACGACATGTTGAGCCACATAGCCCTTTTCATTTGTCAAGGAATTCATTCTTGCATCAAATTTGACAGCATAATACCATCCATCTGTGCTGGCCTCTGTCACAGCTAGCCAAGTACCTCTAGAAAACTGTAGCTCTTCTGATTTACCACTGTACCAGTCTGCTATTGCTAAAGCTGCATATGGAGTAAGTACATCATGTCGTAAAACTTTCATTTGTTATTGCTTATAGCCTACCCCAAAACAAGGTTGGTTGCACTCCCTGAACAACGTTGGTAGGTGGATGATAATATTCATTGCCGGCAGTGGCAGCAGTGGCAGGGTGGTAGCCATGGGTAATAGGCATTGCATGTGTGGATGAAGGGTTTGATGTAGGGTATTGAGGGTAATATTGTTGTTGCTGAGGTGGTAGTGGTTGATGCTGAGGTTGCTGCTGGTGTGGCATTGGATGATAGTGAGGTTGCTGCTGTCTGGATTGCGTAATGTAATTGTTATTTGCATGGTACATGTCTTGTTGAGGTACAGCGTTTACAGGACTTGTACTGCTGGATGTATGGTAAGACAGGTTATCCATGGTGAGCACGGGTTGTTGACGTTGTTGATGATTGCGGTGTTGCTGTTGTTGTGATGATATTCTTCTGCTATTTCGCTGAGATCTTCTACTATGCAAATTCACCGCTGGTAGCCCTCCCTCCGTTGCATCTATTACACTTTTTTTTGCCTGAGAAGAAGCGTCTTCTTTGCTCGCTGCCTTGTTATTTTCGAATACACCTAGTTCTTCCAACAAACTTTGATACGAAAAGTTACATGCTGCTTCCAAATCGGCTGATGGCTGGCGTCTACGCGTTGTTAAGCGGCGGGATGCTATATTCAAATCTCTACCACCACTGGCTTTCTTTCCGTTTGCATTGGCCACATCCAGGTTATCCTCCAAATCCAAATGACCCAAGTCAAACATATTGTTGCCAATAGCAAACACCACCTTGGCGCGAGGATCAATATTGATATCACCGTCTTCTGCGTCCTGTCTTGCCTTGTTTCTTTTGATAGGACTTTCTATCTCGTCTTCCGATGTATCTGTGGTGCTGGTAGATGACGTTTCAGGTACTACAAGCACTGGCGGTGAAGGTGGTTGTTGCTGATATTGCTGCTGCTGTTGCTGCTGCTTCACTGGCTTCTCTGCCTCTTTTCTCATCATCAATGGTGTCGAAATAGAAGGCAGGGGTTTGATGATACTGCGAATGATGGATTTGCGTCGTTCAGTTGTGCTTTTGCTAGGTGTTGGAGGCTCACTTATCTCTTGAGTGGACACGATAATGGATTTACTTCTTTGGAGTAACTGCGATGGAGCAGTGTCTTCTTGAGGAGGAGGAGGCAGAGCAACCGTTGGGTTTCGCACTGTCAATTCAGGTTTGGGTTTATCCACAGGAGACGTTTCTGCCATAAATTCAGCAGGCACAGGAAAGTCAGCAATGGTATGTTGTTGGAACGTTTTTGCTGGATCATCCATGTAATCCACAAATATCTCTGGCTCTGGAATCTTTGGCCCTGTGCCTTTCTCTTGTATAAACACTTGAATGTCTTGCATCGGATCATATTGATCCAGAGCTTTCCAAAAGCGTTCGTACGACTGTAAACAAAGTATGATACGTGTTACTAAAAACGGAAAGAATGAAGAGCGTGCAATTCCATTTTTACCTCTTGATCTTGACTGGAAGCCGTGGAGAGAACGTTGATATACATGGAGAAACTATGGTGCAAAAACTCCAGCCTCTTTTTCTCCATTCCTTGGTAGATCTAATCTCACATAAGAGTTCTGTGCTAGTGCTATAACAGAAAAGAAGACTTACATCACAGGCCATCTTCCAGGCCTTGTTCCATCCATCAGTGGCATCTGCTGCTTTGATACAAGCATTTCTGTACTCTTGCTCTTGCACCTTGATTTCATGCTGTGTTCTTTCCATGCGCTGCTTCATTCTCTCTGCTTCACGACCAGATACACTGGCAATCTGTGTCTGCATGGTGATCAATTTTGCGCACTCAGACTCGTATTTCTCTTTGGCTTTGGACAAATACTGCTCGCTGGATTGCTTATATCGATGGGCTTTCTCCACATTGGTGTGGGTCAACTTGCGCTTGTCTTTTTGCTCAAGGATAAAGTTGTCCAAATCGACTTCCAATCGGATCTTTATCTTTTGCGCAAGATTGAGATGAGCTTGTGCCGTCCATTCCATCTCTTGATGAGCGGAAGCGAGCAAGCTATGCAGAGTACTAAAGTACCTTCATAGTCAGCTGTGAGATCAGTTTGCAATGGATGAATGGCATCTTACCCCGTTTCCTCCTTGCCAATGCTTGATTTGGCGTGCTTCATGAGCTTGCGGCCAAACTCTTCATGAAGAGACGCTCTAGCACATCATGAATGAGTCTCTAATTGATAGAATACACAGCTATAGTGACATACCTCACATTGTAGAATGACTTGATCTCATCAAATGTCTTTTTGTTGTTGTTCATTTTGGCTGTGAGGACCTGAAATCCATCATCTTTGAGTCCCCAAAAGTTGTTTGCAAATATCTGTTCTGTCATGCTTGTCTAAATTGTGTAAAAGAGAGAAGAAGAAGAAGAAGAAGAAGAAGAAAGGACACTAAAGCAAGTTGCTTATTATGTAAATGCATATCTGAACAACAACAAAGCATGTCCTTTTTTGGATGAATGTGATACACAAAAGGGAAGCTTCATAGTATCGTATGTGTCTAATCCGTGACGCGACGAGTCTCTTTCATTCAAGAGGCGCGCGTGTGTCCCTCTTTTCCTTGTTTCTTTTTTTAATCAAGTTAATTAGAGTTGAATCATGGATACTATACCTGCAAAGAGAAAGAGATTAATCAAGAGCGATTCAGACATTGAACATGAAGAAGGAGAGCAGGGCGAGTTGTTGTCCAGCCAGCTCTCTGCTTCAGATCGCAAGGTGTCGTTTGCTGCTCCCACTAGCAAAGAATCTGCGCCATTTAAGGAACCTACACCGGTATCCACCACACCAGCTCCCACTCCACAGCCTACATTAAATGATACAAACACTAAGAAAAAGACGCCCCGGCTTGTCATGAAGAAGATGGTGTTGAACAACTTCAAATCTTATGCTGGGAGACAAGTGATTGGACCTTTCCACAAGGTATGCCTAAATGTGCTCTGACTTGACATTATGAAAACTAACAATATACCTCTCTAGTCATTCAGTGCCAGTAAGAAAAATCGACGCAGCAATACTATGTATAGTATCTAATCCCTTTTTTGATAGTTGTTGGACCCAATGGATCAGGCAAATCCAACGTCATTGATGCTCTATTATTTGTGTTTGGTTATCGAGCCAACAAGATGAGACAGGGCAAGTTGTCAGAACTTATTCATAATTCAGCAAAGCATCCCGACTGCAAACAGTGCTCAGTAGAAATCCACTTTCAAGAAATCATTGATGGCGATACACCAAAGGACTTTACAGTCGTACCCAACTCCACACTGGTCGTCGCTCGTCAAGCAAGTCGAAACAACTCGAGCAAATACGCCATCAACAACAAAACAAGCAGCTTCACAGAAGTAACGACGCTTTTAAAGGCAAGAGGCATTGATTTGGATCACAAGCGATTCTTGATTTTGCAGGGCGAAGTAGAGTCGATTGCATTGATGAAGGCAAAGGCAAAAGATGGATCAGACGACGGTTTACTGGAATACTTGGAGGACATCATTGGCACATCGAAGTACAAAGATCCCATTGAACAGGCCAACGCCAAATTAGAAGTACTGAACGAAGAAAGAGCCGAGAAATTGAGCAGAGTGAAATACGTGAGTCGTGAAATGGACGGCATGGAAGACAAGAAAGCAGAGGCAGAAAACTACTTGCAGAACGAAAATGAACTGGTGAAAAAGAAAAATGAGCTGTATCAAATCTACTCCAGTGAAGCCAACGAGAACATTGGTGTTGCAAATCAAGCCATTGAAGAGTTAAACACCAAACTGACTGAAGAGCACAAGAAATTCGAGTCGATTGAAAAGGAGAAATCTGACATGAACGCTGCTTATCAAGACACGGTGCAGGAATACAAATCGATTGAAGCTGAGAACCACAATTTAATCAAAAAGCAAGCCAAATACGAAAAGGAGCAAGTTGAAGTACGTGAGCGCAAAAACCATCTTATCAAAAAGCAAGACAAGGGCAAGGCTACCTTGGAAGCAGATCGCAAAGCTCGCATCGAGACTCAGCAATCCATTGAAAAGAACGCAGAAGAATTGGAACAGCACAGGCAGGAATTAGTCAAAGTAGAGCAGCAACTCAAAGAGGAAGAACAGAAACTAGATACCATTAATAGAGAGCTCAAGGGCAAAACAGACGGCTACATGGCTGAAATCAATGAGCACAAGCAAAAACTAGCGCCTTGGACTGAGAAAATCAATGAAAAGCAAAAGGCAATCGATGTCAAAAAGTCAGAGAGCGAGATTTTAGCTGAAAAGATCGCATCTGGTGAAAAGGCAGTGGAAAGTGCTCAACTGCAAGTGGCAAAACTGAAAGAATCCATCAAGAACAAGCAGAAGGAAGCGAGGAATCTGCCCAACGAGATCAAGGAAGCCAAGACTGAGCTGAGGGAACTGGAGTTGTATTTGCAGGATTTGAACAAGAAGGAAGCAGATAAGCGTATTGAGATGAACAATGCCAGACAAAAGGCAGATGAAGCCAGAGCCTCTATGCAGCAATCGCAAAGCAGAGGAAAAGTGCTGGATAGTATTCTGCGCATGCGCGATACTGGCAGAGTTGAGGGTATTTACGATCGATTGGGTAGCCTCGGTGTCATTGATGATCGCTATGATGTGGCTATTTCAACAGCTTGTCCTGCGCTAGATAATATCGTCGTGGAGACGGTGGAAGCGGGCCAAGCATGCATCGAGTACCTTAGAAAGAACAACTTGGGTCGTGCTGTTTTCACTGTGTTGGATCAACTTCGCCATCAAAACATGAAGGAAGTTAACACGCCAGAGAACGTGCCTCGTTTGTTTGATTTGGTGGAGCCCAAGGACGAACGATTTAGAGCTGCTTTCTACAGTGTGCTGCAAGATACTTTGGTGGCCGAGAACATGCAACAAGCCAACCGAATTGCCTATGGGCACAAACGTTGGAGAGTAGTAACAATGGATGGTAAACTTATTGAAAAGTCGGGTGCCATGACAGGTGGCGGTAATCGTCAATTGCGTGGTGCTATGAGTTCCGTGTTCAAGGATGATGGTGTCAGTGCAGATGTGGTCATGGAGCTCGAGAGAGAGCGTGATAGCGTTGAGAGAGATTACCGTATTGCTGCAGATGAGAAGCGTGCCAGTGAGAATGCCCTCAGAAGAAAGCACGAGTACTTGCCCAAGCTTGAAATGAACCACGAGAAGATCCAAATGGACATTAGTAGTTTGGAGAGCCAGCTCGAGGATGAGGAACAGCGTTTAGTAGAATTGAGGTAGCGTTTCAATAAGGTATTATAAACGAAGCTAATACTAACTGCCCTTATAGAGATCAAGTCGCTCCTAGTCCTGCTGATGTGCAGCAGCAAGAAGAGATTGAAAATGAAATTGTGCAACTGCAAGAGGACCTAGTTGAACTCAAGGAAAAGACGGTGGAGATAGACAAAGCCATTGCAGCTCTTCAGAACGATATTATGGAAGCTGGCGGTACGGACCTTCGAATGCAAACCATCTGTATCAATGATATGCGCAAGAAAATTGACAGCTTGAACAACAAAATTACCAAGAACATGGTAGCCAAAACCAAGGCAGAAAAAGACGTGTCTAAACTGGAGGCTTCCATTGTTAAATTCGAGCGTGAAAGTGAGCGATTTGAGCATGATTTGAAGGAATTGGATGATGAATTGGAGTCATGTGCTCAAATGTTAGAAGAAATCAACGAGCAAGTCAAGCAGGCAACAGAGGTAGCAGTTGATGCGTAGTTATACAAGTCAAAGACACTAAACTGATTTTGACGCAATGCAGGCCATGGACGAAAAGAAGCTTGAGATGGAACGCGTCAAGAAGGAATTAGACGACAAACACGACGCCATCAACAAGCTTCGTCAATCTGAAGTTGAGATCAAGAGCAAATTAGAAGACTATAAACGTACTTTGCTCGATAACCGAAAGAAGGCAGATCATTGGGAAGGGCAACGCGACAAATTGGAGTTACAGCGCATTGACGAGGAGCCTGATGAGGATTTGAAGCTGGAAATATTCCATGGAGAGCATTTGGAGGAATTGATTCAATCAAAGCAAGCGATCAAGATGGAAATTGCAGAGATTGAAAGTAAGTAGTATCCTTCACTACCTATGGCAGATGATACTGATCCCTCTGAACGCAGCATTTGTACAAAATGCCAAGCCCAACCTGTCTGTGCTTGATGAATACCGTCGTCGTAGAGGTGAATACAATGAGCGAAAGGCTGATTTGGACTCGGTGACAGCCAAGCGAGATGAAGTCAAGGCAGAAGTAGAGACACTGCGCAAAAAGCGTCTGGACGAGTTTATGAGTGGCTTTAATGTGATTTCTCAAAAGTTGAAAGAAATGTATCAGGTAGGCAGTTCAGTGCAAATGATGAGTGCTATACAGCAACTAACACTCTTTTCCAGATGATTACAATGGGTGGTAATGCCGAACTGGAGCTTGTGGACAGTCTAGATCCATTCTCAGAGGGTATCGTGTTTAGTGTGATGCCTCCCAAGAAGAGTTGGAAGAACATTTCCAATTTGTCTGGTGGTGAGAAGGTAAGTCCATACGACACGGCAGGATTCTCCATTACTCACATAAAACTCCAAACAGACCCTCAGTTCTTTAGCACTGGTATTCGCCTTGCACCATTTCAAACCAACACCACTGTATGTCATGGATGAAATTGACGCCGCGTTGGATTTCCGTAACGTCTCTATTGTCGCCAACTATATTGCAGACCGTACCAAGGACGCGCAGTTTGTCATTATCAGTTTGAGAAACAACATGTTTGAACTAGCAGATCGTCTTGTTGGTATCTACAAGACTAGTCATTGCACAAAGAGTATCGCCATCAATCCCGACATGATTGCTAGCTTGACATCTATACCAACCATTGCAAATTCAAGCTCTTCATCATCAAAAAGAGTATCGACACCACAAACACCATTACCGACAACGACAAGCTCTCAATTGGCCCAGAGTGCTTCTCCTTTATCGTCTTCTGCTACCGAACAGAATCAAGAAAAAAAGGATAACGTGAATCAACCACCCTCGCCTCAAGTATCTTCTGCTTAAGACCTAGTTGTAAATTCATTTGACTTTTTATGAATAAAACACTGTAAATATCTACAAAACAAGGCTATTTGAGCTTTGAAAGGCCTGAGAACTCATAAATGGGCCATTTGAGCGAGGACAATATGTTAATCTCGATTAGGTCTGCACTCTCCAAAAAAAAAAAAAAAAAAAAAAAAAGACGTATGTTGCTGCACTGTGTGAATACACCTAGCAAAATTGAGCGTTTCATCATGTGTTGCCATTATGCGAACATCTCGTCATCGTTATAAATGGAATTTTGCCAACGTAATGGCTGGTTGCTGTTTGACTCCGAGAGAGAGAAGAAGGAAGATTTCCATGGATTTCATGCAAAAATCATCGTTACGAAACCCCTCGCTTTAACTGTAAACTATATAAACAGGCTTTGAAAATCTAGATTTCTTCGTTTTTCAAACATTTTCATACACTTTTAATAATAATAAATACATAAGCATGCTCTTGTCTAAAATCGCACTCTCTGTATTGGCTATTGCTGGTGTTTGTTCTGCCTCTGATCGCTTCATGATCCGTAGCCCCACCTCTTCCAGATTGTTGGGCTTTACATATGAGAAGAAGCCTTTCTGGAAGGATAAATGCGAAGAAACATATGACAAATACCTCAAGGTGCAATCCTCTGGTAAAGGCGTTCATTTCAAATTGACAAACTGTGATGACAACGATTACTGTCACCTGGCCATCACCGATGGTGTTTATAAGGGCTATTGTCTTTCTGGAGATAAGAGGCCCGAATCAGAAAGCTGCAGTGATGAAAATGCCATTTACAAGGTCAATCTTGACTTTACCATCAGTGTCAAAGATGGCACTTATCTTGGTGTTGGCAATGAATACAAGGATGACTGCGCTGATTACCAATACGTTGAACTCACCAAAGAAAAGTATCACTGGTTGATTGATCATGACAAGGACTTTAACGGCCAAGATTATGAAGCAGAGGAGTATGATGATTATTATGATTACCCTTATCATCCCAGAGGTGGTCAACGCATTTTCCACCATTGCAGAGGTTAAATAGCTTTTTTTTTAATATCGAAAAATAATAAAAGAAATGACGATTAAATCATGTAATATTCGACAGTATGTCCCACATTGATGTATACACTTCGATCCTGTCATGATCTTGTCATTTTTGTTATATGTTGATGTTGCCGGACAGCATGGTTTGGTTTAACCGGACATGTGTAAGTTAAGTGTGCATTCGTGGCAATCCGACAACCATGATGATTGCGTTTTAGGTTGCCGCCCACACAGCGGGAAAAGCGATGCGAGAGCCATCAAATGGAGGCGCAAGGTGTATACTGTAATCCTCCTTTCTTTCCTTCAAGGCACATGGCTAGAGTAAGTATAGCTTGTAGCAAGCCATCATTTCATTTCAAGAATACAGCTCATCATGGTCAGCTATAATGGATGATTTACCAGACATTTGGATGAACATCATCGACATTCAACTTGCATCCAAGATCTATATCGACTTCCATCCATCCATCGATGGATCCAACGCTTTAATCCATACATCACCATAGCAGCCAGCACACTCATTATATTCAAAAGCCATGAATCAAGCAAGAATGGCGCTCTGATTTGCCACATCCCATCAGTCCTCGAGCATTGACATGTTTGCATGATTCAGATTCATGCGACACACCCATTCTTGAAATGAAATGATGGGGAGCCCCCATACAACTCATATATATATATATATATATACTCACACACGCAATTTGTATAGTTCACCGAATATCAGGTGGTTGGACGCAAGCTCCCCTCCGCTCAGGAAGTTGCCCCCAAGCTCTTCCGTATGCGTATTTTCGCCCCCAACGTTGTTGTTGCAAAGTCCCGTTTCTGGTACTTCTTGAAGAAGCTCCGCAAGGTCAAGAAGGCTGCTGGTGAGATCGTTTCCGTTAACGTTGTATGTATTGCAGGGTAGATGTCGAGAATTGACCAGAAATGCTAATTATTCATTTGATGCTAGATTGCCGAGAAGCGTCCTGAGCAAATCAAGAACTTTGGTATCTGGATCCGTTACGACTCTCGTTCCGGTACCCACAACATGTACAAGGAATACCGTGCCATGCGCCGTACCGAGGCTGTTGAGACCTGTTGTAAGTAATGAGAGAGAGAGAGAGAGAGAGAGAGAGATAAGGATGGTACTGATACAACTCCCTACAGACCAAGACATGGCTGCTCGTCACCGTGCTCGTTTCAGATCTGTTCAAATCATCCGTGTTGCTGAAGTCAAGGATGCTGATGTCCGTCGCCAATACATCAAGCAACTCTTGACTCCCAAGCTCGCTTTCCCCTTGCCTCACCGTCTCGCCAACGTCGAGAAGAAGCACCGCGCTCTCTTCGTCGCCAAGAGACCTACCACTTTCTACTAAACTATTTACCTCTTTTTCTCGCTCATGTGGTAGATGTTTTGCATGGATCTGTTATTTTTTTCATAAATAAAAAATAATCTCTAGTAGATGTAACACTAGCCATTCTATTTCGCTATACTCGATGATGGCGTTGCTCCGCGAGCTCTCGCCGAAGACACTTCAAATCAGAGATAATAAAACTTTGATATATCAAGTAGACTTTAAATGATCAATCAATAGTTAAAAAAAAAAGGTTATATCAAAGTTAGAAATGGGGAAAGTATCCCCACTGCATCCCTGCCCCCCTCTGTTTATACACTGATGTCAAGCGAAAAGAGAGTTCAAGTTTTATGCAGCGTTTGTACACCACATTCTCCGTTCGTGTCACATTTTCTGGTAGCAAACCTGTCATACCATTCGCTAATATTGCTCTTGCGATGGCGATATAAAGCTGGCCATGAGTATTTACATGACTTGAATAAGATCTACAGCGACTTTTTTGAGAGATTGTCATTGCAAAAGACACCTTTATAGGGAAAATTCCCAATAAAAACAAAGAAATAAGTGTTAAAGCTAAGCGATTATCCTCTCAAACGCATGCTCCTTATTTAATTAACATCGCAATCATCCTTGTCATCATCATTGTCATCATTAGGAAGCCATTCGGGCCAGCCAGTAGCAGCGCCGTCCGTCGCCCAAATTAATTCAGGCTCAGAATATTTCTTCTGCTCAACATTGGACGAATACTGTTGATTTTCGACTTGATTGAGCTATTTTGTGATATTCGACTATATAAGCTGTGATAATCATACAATGCTTCCTAATACATCCCTGGAGTGCTTTTCAATGCGCATCCAACGGTACCAAGTAGCACAGATGTCTTTAGTAAGCTTATTGAGCAATTTATAAAAATATGAAAAGAGGTTTCTGGCCAAAAAGTCGAAATTTTACATATTAAGGTCCCACAAAGATGATTTCAGAGGTTGCTTTAGATCGATAGAAACATTTTGATCTGATATACCATCGTAAAAGTCTTCATTATCAAGGTCAAAAACGCCATCGATTGATTTTCAATGAAGACCATGAGGGGTACCTCATGCTTTTTGGTCGAATTTTGGCCATATTTTTTTTTTGGCCCAGAGAGTTGAGCAAAGGTGTTAGCAAGTAGCTGCTGGATGATAGCAACTGTTTGGTTCTATTCTGGCTATTTAAAATGGCCTTGAATGCAAGAAAAAACAGCTCAAATGCGCTCAGATTTTGCTGTATCAGGGGCATTAAAGACTAAAAAGGGGCAATACCAGTATGCTGCTTGCCCGTATATGAAGTAGCTACGTGTATATGGATGTACATTATCACATAAGAATTAGATACACAGATAATATGAAGGGTTTTCATGTGTAAGTGGAGAGTCAAAATGAAAGTAGCAGTATTCTGATAAGATACGCAAGGGCAATCGGTAGCGTGAGCTGCCGCTACGCAAACACTCATTTATTATAATAAATGAATCATGGTGTATTTAAAGAGAAAGGGTTATATGCACAATGGAAGTGGGGATTATCAATAGTTACGATTTGGGATCCATGGCGTTGTGGAGCATATTATCTGTGGGTGTGTATGGATCATTTGCATAGTTGTAATTGCCGCTACTTAAAGTATATTCAAAGCAGGAAATAATTCTGACAGCCTTGTCCAGTTGTGAAAGAAAACTGGATATGAGCAAGGGTAAGTGGTAATTGGATATGTGCGATTTCACACATTGTTGTATACAGATAAGCTTGGGCGCAAGTAAGTATGTAGAAAGTAGCATATTTGCTTATGAAGGAAAAAAGGCGAGGATGCAAAAGGCAGATGAAACTCACTTGGAGCCTATACAACAGTAAAGGTAAAGATTTCTTTCGACTTTTGTGTTTATTGGATGCGGCCTTGGCCAATACTGTGGTGCTTTCCTTTTATTCTCACTGAGCAATCAGTCATATGTGGCCTCTACTTCACACCAAATCTTGATTTATCAATCCAGAATTATAGAGAAGAACTTCAGCTTCGTTAATTAATGCCACATCATGAAGTGTTCCAACTTCTGCTTCTTTGGATGATTTGTCAAGCTGGCTCGCATCTGAGGTCAGAAAGTGATCATGTCTTGTCAAATTGCTGGAATTTATCTTTGCTTTTAGTGCAGCAAAAAAAAAGTTGACAGCTAATGATTGTGTTGATGTGTTGAGAACACAAAATGTAAGTATATAATACAACAGAATATGCTCTCTTCCTAAAATATGCCTTACCTTGGCTTGATTTTGGCGATGTCTGGGCACGCTTCTTCTTGTAACTTGACCCTCAGCATCACTCTCAACATCACTCATCAACAATTGATTTTGAAGAACTAGAGTGCTGCTCATTCCAAACTCACTTGCCAGAGTATTCATGTGAGCAGAATGCGTGGCCAAGAAGCTGCGACGTGTTTTCGTTTTCTATACACAAACGTCGAAAAAGTTTGATGTAGTATTCAAGCAGAAAATTCGGGTTTTCATTCCCATTGTTAATAACCTTACCAGCAACATAGCGCATCAAAATCTGCATGAATCAGCTTTACCAAAATTAATATGCCTCCTATTGGAATTAAAAATTGCTTAAGCTACAGAGCTGCCTTTCCAGTAAATTGTAGCTACCAAAGATGTGATTTATGCCGTGTAAATAAATTCTATAAAACAATACATAACCAGATTTTACAGCTTTCAAGCCTTCATATCTTGACATGTAGACCTTTATGAGCCACCGGAATGACGCCAAACAATTGTACTTGAGTGGTAGCAACATCCTGACACCTTTGCTCGACTTTTTGGGGATCAAAAAACATGAACAAAATTCGACCAAAAAGCATGAGGTACTCCTCATGGTTTTCATCGAAAAGCAAACGATCGCGTTTTTCACCTTGAAAATTAAGACTTTTACTATGGTATATATCAAATCAAAATGTTTCTCTCGATCCAAAGCAACCTCTGAAACCACTTTTATAAGGTCTTTATATACAGAATTTCGACATTTTGGCCAAAAACCTTATTTCATATTTTACCAAATTGCTCAATAAGTTCAGTCAAAACATTTATTTTACTTGGCACTATTGGAAGCGCCTTGAAAAGTACTCCAAGAATGTATTAGGAGGCATCGGATAATTATCACAATTTACATAGTCGAATATCGTAAAATAAAATAAAGAAGTCGAAAAAAGACGAAATCTGTCCAATCTTGAACAGAAAAAAAAAAGCTGAGTGTGAATTAATTTTGGCGGCGGCTTGCTACTGGCTGACCTGAATGCCTTTCTGTTGATGGCAATGATGATTGCGATGCTGATTAAATGGGGATCATGGAATTGAAAGGACAATTGCTTAGTGCAAATACTTTTTTTGGGGAGCTTTGCTTCAGGGAGGTGTCTTTTGCAATGATAATATCTCAAAAAAGTCGCTACAGATCTTACACAAGTCCTGTATTTACTTATGGCCAGCCTTATGTCGTCATCTTGTTAAGAGCATCAGCAGCAGCGAATGATATGGCAATTCTATTATCATAAAATGGCGGTTGTGATGTACAAATGCTGGTACGATTACTGGCCATTCTCTTGTATTTCTTGAGAAAACCATGAATGAGATAGACTGCCTCTCTGAGATGAAGGGCCATTATATAGTTGTGGATGATGCGTTTATTCACATTGTATCCATGCTCTAAAGAAATAGATGAACGTATAGCTAGGAGAAGCTATAATCTTATATCCCTTCCATCCTATTTTCCGGAACTCAACCCAATCGAGCGCAATTGTTACGAACAAAGTCAGGCGTAGTAAGTTTGGGGACAAGGAGAACCTAGCTGCCTTCCAATTATCTCTAAGCATTTGTATAGCATTCTGTGAACGTCTTTGAAAAGTGTTTAATAGAGAAGCATATCAAAATAACACTCAATAAATAAAAAATTGTTCAAAATATCGAATTTCAGCCGTCCTTTGAGAAAATAAAACATGCTGGAACGATTGTTTGTAAAAGAGACTACAACATTGGCTAGTGACGACTAACGCATTTGTTTATCATTCATAATGACGCTTTGTTGTGGCGATCACTACTCCTTTCCCCCGACCATTTTTCTTTGCATTTACTAGAATAGAGAGCCCTGATGTTTCGACTTCAAAAGCACTTTTGTTCTTCGAGAATTCACTACATTCGACGTGGACTATCAGCGACTTGCTGTCAATACTCTTCAACTAGAATAAACAGCAATAAATCCAACACAACGACCACTACATTTACATCCACAAAAACTAGTAAAAACCCCCTTTTATGGTCTGTGCCCTTCCTCAGTAGCAGCAGCAAGGACGCTAATAAAGATGACTCAATACAAGATACCACCAAAGAGCAGCATGAAGACGACAATGCCTTCATTGCATCACTCATGTCCAACAAGGCCTGGCTATCGGGCAAAATAGATTGGATTGATTTCCCCTCGGTCGATGCCATCAATGCCAAAATACAGGAACTCTATCCACAGTTCAGCTTACAATTCACTCATCTGCGAGAAGGCTATGCAAAGATGTGGGATTACCTCACCATGGAAGAATTCAGAAAGATTGTGGAGCAAGTCAAGAAGGAAGAAAATGACATTCGAGTGTACCCTGAAATGGCAAGGGATGCTATTGTGAGGTGGTGCTTTACGAAAAGTGATCCTATTACTGCCATAGACTAACGCATGATTGTAGGGAGGGTGCTGCGCTATCAGACGAAGAAAAGGACTTTATCACCAAGAGAAAGCTCAAGCAAAAGAGAGCATTCGCAGATTTTATTGGCGAAGATCCAGAGAACATTGATGTCAGGGACATTCCCATTGTGGGGTTAGCTTCTAGTGGTGGCGGCTATCGAGCCATGATAGGACTGAATGGCTATTTGAACGCCATGAAGAAGTCAGGCGCTTTGGATTGCACCATGTATTTTACGGGCATTTCAGGCTCGTGTTGGACCATGGCCCTGTATTACAACCAATTAACAAACGCTGATCCGGTGCGCATGGAACAACATTTCGAATCACACTTGTCAACACATTGGGCAAATATGTCTAATTTTATCAATATTTTGACAGCATCACCTGAGAAGAGCAAACTTCTGCTGCAAGGAGCCATCCAGAGATACAATCAACAAAACGGTGATTTGAGTTTAGTGGATATATTTGGTATGCTGATGGGCGGCACTTTGCTGACCAAGAAACCGCCTGCTATGAAGGACCCAGAAGATCAGCAGGAAATGAAACAGCGCATGAGAGAGGATGATACCATGGAAGAAATGGACACCAAACGAGCCATGCATTTGACAGGACAGGCAGAGTTCTTGAAGGATGGATCAGAGCCATTGCCCATCTACTGTGTGGTGCGTCATGACATTGCGTATGGAAAGACGTTTGAAGAAAGAATCGAGGAATTGAAAAAGATGACATTCAAAACTTCGCAAGAAAAGAAAGAACTCGATACGTTGGAAAAGAAGGCCGATAAGTTTGAGGATGAGCAGCCAAATGATGCTTATCAATGGTTTGAGTTTACACCGTATGATATGGGCTGTGAAGAGATTGAAGGTACGATATGAAAAGGGTTGAGAGGGTTCACCTGCTTACATTACTTGGCTGTATAGCTTGGATTCCTATGTGGGCATTTGGAAGGCATTTTGAAAAGGGTAAAAACACCGAGAGATTGCCTGAGCAAACACTGGATATATTGATGGGGTAACGTAAATGAAACATAAGGAGAGTAAGATAGATGGCATTCTAACTGACTTGCTGCTAGTATGTTTGGATCTGCCTTTGCCGCAAGTTTGGTCCACTTTTATCAAGAAATTCGAAGCTTCTTACCTTCTGGCTCCTTGGACAAGATTGACGAAGCTATTACTCGATACGAATCATCCATGTCAAGCTATCATCCCATCTCGCCCTCCTCTTTCCCCAACCCATTCTACAAGCTGCCCAACACCTACACCATTGAAGGCGAAGAAAAAGAAATCAAGCGACCTGAAGCGCTGGTCGACTCCAAGGAACTGTATTTGATGGATGCTGGCATGGACAACAACATTCCCTTCTACCCACTGATGCGAGAAGGCCGCGATGTAGATGTGATACTGGCAATTGATCTCAGTGCTGATATACAAACCGCTACTCACTTTGATCGCGCCGAGAGTTACATCAAGAGAAGAGGCATTCAGGGATGGCCCACAGGTGCTGGATGGCCCAAGAACCACGACCACAGCGAGGACAAGTATCCTTTGGGATCCTGTACTATTTTCGATTCGGAGGCCAAGGAAGAAGTAACTACCACATCCAATACAACACACACAAGAAAGAAGCAACCCGTTACCTTGGCCTACTTTCCATTTATCGTCAACAAGGCATTTGATCCTGATTTTGATCCTCAAGAAGAAGAGTATTGCAGCACATGGAACTTTGTCTATACACCTGAACAGGTCAAGAAGGTAACAGGCTTAGCGGAAGCCAACTGGGACGATAGTACAGACAAGATCAAGCAAGTACTGAGAAAGACCTGGGAAAGAAAGAGAAGAGAGAGAATAGAGAAAGAATAAAGTAAATTTACAGAATGTAGATGTTTATTTGTACATGGATATAGTTATTAGTAGCTTATCATATGCTTTTTTGCATCTCTTGCAATTTGTCAACTTGTTCTGGAGAGCCTTCATTCACAATCTCTCGTCTTAAACCAGGATAGAGATCCCAATCACCAGGAGTTGATGGCTGTGCAGAGGGTGTTGGAGCTTGGCTGTTGGATTTATGGCTATGGTATGTATAGCAGGTAGGGCTGTTCTTCTTGAAACGATATAAACCAGGATGTGTCAGGTCATCTTCTGTCATTGGATGCTCCATGATGGAAGTCTCTTCCTTGGGACGCTCGATAATGGATGTAGTATTATTGTTCATGTTGTGATAATAGAGTGTGTGATGTTTATTCAAAAGGTACTTTAGAAAATAGGCACTATTTATATACGCTGGAAAGCCACATCAAACGGACATTTCGGTAGACATTTTTTGCATGAATTTATTCCTTTGACTCATGTGAGAAGCAAATAATCACCCCATAACAGCTACTACTACGCCATACTATAGAAACAATGAAAATTCGAACCAATGATTTAATGCTCAATATCCTCCCAATTGCGGCCTTTGACTTGAGCGAGTTCTTGCTCAGACAATACACTGCCACTGGTAAAGTAGCCGGATGCAATCTTGGCATCAATCTCGACACTATAGACAAGAGAATATATATATATATATATATGTGAATATCATGTACGATATCCTATAGAAGTGTGTCTTTCTTACCGAGAATCAGCTGGTATGAGTTCTTCAGGAATAGGCACCCGTTCGAGGATGGGAATACCGGATCCAACAATGGCGTCATGTTTCTATGAAACAAAAATATGAGATAATTTTACTCACGCTATACGTTTACCCTGTCCTGATTTGCTCTGTACATACCATATTTGACATGGACTGGATGTGTAACATGGAAGGGGGTTTTTTTTTTTTTAGTTGGTGCTGATCAACTGTATATGCACAATGACTTACCATCATACGGTCAATCTTTTGAATACCCAGCCAATGCAATACATCAGGCATCAATGCTTGGAATCGCATGTCCTTTACACCTGCAATACATTCTGTGCGCAAAAAGTAGTTACTTGCAGTATCGCCACCTGCTTGTCTCTTACGAGCATTGTACACCAAATATTTGGTCACTTCACCCAAGGCTCTGCCTTCTTTTCTGACTGTACATGAAAAAGTGAATAGAAAGTTCTATCGACATCATGCTGTAGAATACGTTACAGTAAACAATGACTCCAACGCCGCCTTGTTGTGCTTGCTTGGCACACTCTTCAATACCGTAAATCAGGTAAGGTCTACAGGTACAGATGTCACTACCTGTGTACTATACGTTAGTGCATTTACAATCTATGGAGACAGCAAAATGCAATATTACCAAATACGTCGGATCCGTTACATTCATCATGCACACGAAGAGTCAACTTTTTCGAGGGATCTACATAGTTGATTGCATTGATTAAAAAAAGGCCGATATTTAATATTTCAATATGGACCTTACCAGAGATATATTCAGGGTTGCCAAAGATATAAACACTGATGCCACCAATAGGAGGTAAAAAGACCTTTAAATCGGGTCGAGTAATCAACTCGGGATACATTCCTCCAGTGTCCTCGCTATGTATGAAAAGCTGTTTAGTTACGCACAATGGATTTGAACATACAGAACTTACAAGAGGGCACGACGAAGCAATGATTCCTCTATACCAAATCGCTTAGCTACACCAGGGAGATACCAAACAGGTTCCACAGCAGCTTTGGAGACAGCCAAATCGCCACGCGTATTGACAACCACCTTGCCATCGACTTCCAGTGTGCCATTCTTGACACTCATTTCCATTTCAGCCATTGTCATATGAGCGCGCGTAATAGCAATCGTGGGTCTGTAAATGATAGTATCACTATGAGTTTTTCTGTTTTGAGCAGTGAAATTCATGCGTACCTGACATCCAAGCCATTTTCGTATTCAGATTTGAAAATGGAAGGTGCTTCATGACCAAAGGGATCAATAGAGACAATCTTTTCAGGGTCAAACCAAGAAGGATGAGGGCCAATTTGATACGTGGGTTCCGTCAAGTCAAAATTGGGACGATGGTTGGAAGGCAAATCGCCAATAGCTACAGCTAATGCACGATAAATACAGTACGAACCACCATAGGCACCAATAGCATTTCTGTGTACACAGATTGGTAAATTATCCCACCCTTTCTATTTCATAACGTACCTCTTTTTGATACTCTCAGCATGACGCGATGCCACAATAGGGCCTCTTACTTTAGGGTCTTGAGCACCCCAATTCAATGATAAGGGCTTGATACCGTGTTGGCCAGGATAAGCTAATATTTAAAGTTTAATGATTATCCATGATAAGATCATGTCGATGCAACTTACTAGTGAGAATGACACGACTAGGATACATGGACGATGAAGGGCTAGTAGCAGACTTGGAAGCAGCTTCTCCTACGACGGCTTTATCATCTGTGATGGCAGTGATGGAAGTAGATGGCGACAATGGATCGCCAGAAGCACCAGACGCAGTGTCCTTGGGAGAAGCTGCGGTAGACAGCTTTTCAAACTGTTCAGCCAGCCTCAATTGGTCTGCTCTCAATGTTTCCATTGTAGACAGCATCTTTTGGAGTATTACTTCATCGTTTGAAATGGTCATTTTGTTAAAAAAAAAAAGTAATGAAATGAAGAAGAAGAAGAAAAAGAAAGAAAAAAGGGACCCCTTTTAAAAGCATGATACTGGACAACAACATGTACGCACGACGACAACAACAACATCATAGACATCATGGGATACGATAGTTTGATACATGATATCTTGGGTTACGTCCCCCCCCTTCTTCTCTTTCTCTCTCTCTCTCTCTCTCTGGTCTCTCGTGTTTGGTATGCGTTTTGGTTGTTTGTTGTGCATGAAACGTAACCTCATGTGATGGCCACCTTTTTTTTTTAAAAACGATAAATTTGGTTTGTTTTTCTCTTTTCTTTGCTTTTTCACCTTCTTTCTCTTGATTATTTCAATTCATATCATGACCAATACAAGCACATTGCACATAAGCCAACATCCCATTGTTGCTACCAAACTGTCTCAATTGAGAGACGTCAAGCAGAACTCCAAGGTTGTACGTGAATTGACGCAGGACCTGTCTGTTTTACTAGGCTATGAGGCATCCAGTGGTTTGTCATTGAGTGATGGAGAATCCAATGTAAGTATACTGGGAAATTATACCCTCTATATCCATGGCATGCGTTTTGCTTATCAATGCGATATATATATATAGACTGCTAGTGCATTTGGTAGTTATCAGTCGGTACAGATAAAAGATAAGGTTGGTTTGGTTCCTGTTCTCAGATCAGGTCTTGGTTTCGTAAATGGTATTACAAAAACTTATGCTGGACAATTGTGGGAGTTGTATGTGATTAACCGCGTGTGCGCATAGGTTTCTTAAACCTGTTTCCGGAAGCGCCTGTCTATCATTTGGGTATTTATCGTGAAAAAGTATCGCATCAGCCTGTAGAGTATTACAACAAGCTGCCTGCTGTGCCCAATGTCGAAACATGCTTTGTACTGGATCCTGTAATTGCAACTGGTAACACTGCTGTCGCAACAATCAACATCTTGAAGGAATGGGGGCTGTCTGATACTCAAATCAAGTTTGTCGCCATTGTTGGTGTAAGTTGTCTCTGTATCAAATGGAATGTGGCTATAACTCATACAATATATAGTCTGAGCAAGGCATCGAGCAACTCCAACGAGAGCACCCCGATGTCCACATTTATCTCGCTGCTATGGATCAATCCCTTGATTCTAACGGGTAAGCATCCACTCTATTCATCGTCATACTACACACATGCAAATATAACTGATGCATCTCTACTACTACTAGCTACATCACTCCTGGCATTGGCGATTCTGGTGATAGACTTTGGAACACTATTTAAAATCGAAAAATGCGTGCTTTGAATAATAAACACCTTTCTTTTTCTCTCACAACATGCCTCGTACATTATCTATCTTTCACAACCCACGTTGCAGCAAATCTCGCAACGCACTAGCTTATCTTGAAGAAAACAAAGATAAATACGATTATCAAGTGCAAACTATCCTGTATCAAAAGGAGGCCATGACGCGAGACCAATTAATTCAGTTGGTAGAGTATCTAGGCTTGAATAAAGACAACGATGATAGCGCATGGAAGATCTTGCTCAGACCAGAAGCTCAACAGCTCGTTTCCTCTTGGGATGAAACACTGGATCTCTTGGTCGAGGAACCCAAGTACCTTGAACGCCCCTTTGTCGTTGATTTTGAGCATAAAAAGGCTGCTTTAGGCAGACCCAACCTCACTGATGTGGAGGCACTTGTCCGTGACTAAAATAGTACTGGAGAGGATTGTCCTGTTTTGCCCCATACTTTATTGAAGCACAGCCCTTCTTGATCAATTGGTAAAAGCTGTCAACCAACCCTTGCCAATAAAAAAAAATAATAATTTTCCAACATTTATCCCCTTTTTCAACTTTTTTGACATTTATACAAGATGAATCGCTCAAGCTATTTATTCACTAGCATTCGCACATACGCAACAAAGAGCAAGACGACAAATTTAAAATGGAAGCCCAGTGTACCCGTTCAACAGACCAGCCTCCCTGACGGCACCGTCTTCATTGCTCGTCAACCTGTGGTTGAGCCAAGTGTTCAATCTGTTGTTGCACCTCTCATTCACAAACCCACCACATTCAAGAAGCTATCAGAAGCAGAGATCAAAGAATTGCGTCAATTAAGAGAATCAGACCCCAGTACATGGACTCGCTCAAAGTTGGCAAAGAAGTTTGGATGTTCGGAATTGTTTGTTGGCATGGCTGCACCCAGCCCTGTCGCTTCTACCAACGCTGAGGCTGCTGCTGCTGCTGCTACTGCCAAACATGGCTATAGACGTAGACTGATCACTCAAGAAAGACAAAAGAGAAGGGCCCTTTGGTAAAGAGACAGAAAGCAACTCAAACATGCACATTTAGATCCCTGCGAATATGTATCAGACCCAATAAAGACTATGGAATTGTAATATATTATTCAGTCGTAGAGAGAAAGATAGGCTTGATGGAGTCGGCTGCGTGGGCATGTACGGCAGATATAGATCTATGTGGGTGGGTATTGAGCTTATGGAATGCTATGGGTAAAGGAATTTCATTCAAGTGAGAAACAATGGCCTTGATCATCGCAAAATCAAATTACAGAGAGCAGTACTAAAAGTAAGGGCTTTTGTGATGATTTGCATTACATCGTTTGAGTATCATTGCCCGTGCTTCTGGAAACTATTTGTGCATTCTTTGATGGTTCAATCATGAGTGGATAGCTCTGGCGAGCAAATTCAACCGTTCACCCTACTATTCTCTACCAAAATTTCACTTTTTTTTTTTTTTTTTTTTTTTTAGCTTTAAAAATTGTTTACAACCTCTCTGTAACTGTGAATTTAGCTTTTCCAGGATGCTCCGCGACTGTATCCATGGTAACAACTCCTATAAAGACGACCAGCATACCTGTATCGCTACCAAATACTCAAAGGTATGCAAAACAGCGAAATTTGGCGGCACTTGAGCCGTGATTTTTCGCGCTAGAAGCTGTATTAGACCACCAGAATAGCACCAAACAATTGCTTTCACCAAGCCCTTACTTACCAACACCTTTGCTCAACTTTTTTGCGATCGCCAAAATTCGACCGAAACCCATGAGGGATACCTCATGCTTTTTGACGAAAATCAAACGATCGCATTTTTGACAGCAAAAACGAAGACTTTTTCTATGGTGTATACTAGATCAAAATGTTTCTCTTGATCCAACGCAACCCCCAAAAACTTTATTTTTGAGATCTTCGTATGTGAAATCTCTACATTTTCACCAAAAACCTCATTTCATATTTTTATAAATTTCTCGATAAGCTTATTCATAACACCTCGTTTAGTTTGCACCATTAGATGCGCCGTAAAAAGTACTTTTAGGAAGCTTAAGGGAGTATGGGATGTTGATCGCAGTTTGTATAGTCGAATCCTGCAAAATAGATTAATTGAATCGATTTTGATTAGAATATGGCCAATCTGGAGTAGAAGATGAAGCGGAGTTATAACTGGTGGTTGGCTACCAAACGCATTGATGCCTCTCTCATGAGCACAATGGCTGCTCTTAAACGTCCATACAAAGAGCATTAGGGACCAACAAGTGCTAGATATTGTATAGAACACTTTATTTGGATATCTTGATTCGTCGTCCAAATTTGGAGGTTTTTCCTGTCATTTATGAGCTGTAAAATTTCAGTTTGAAATGTCAAAACAAAATTAATGAAAGCATTCCCATGTACCGACTCACAAAGGAATGACTGCACTAATGTCACTGAACTAAAGTCTGTTTAATTTGTATAGAAGCTTGCGGTCTAATTTCCGTATACATATTTCACGCATCGCACTGTCAGGGTCCTTTTTCATTTCGAGTGAAAAAAGGGTGCCAGTTCAAGATTGGCAATTACCATTTTTGGAGAGAAGCCTTACTTTTGAATACCATGCTCACTGTTTCTATATACAGAACGTGTTTCTTCCTTGCTATTACATACACAGAATATCATGCACATTGGTAAAATCCAGTCTACATGTTGCGATTGATTTCAACATGGACGCACAGGTGTATTCCATCATCTGTAATGGTTTGCCATCTTCGTGACTTGGAATAAGTGTAGCTTTTTTCCATCAATTATAATAAGAGCGTCTTTGCTTCTCTTCTTTCTTGCTCCTCTTTCTTTCACTCCAACATGTCAAAAGACGACGACGACTCAGCAAGTGATTATTCTGATATTCAGTCTTGTCACTCGGATGAAGAAGAAGATCTCGAAGACTACAAAAAGGGAGGATACCATCCTGTCTCGATAGGCGATCGTTATGACGATGGGCGCTACCTTGTCTTGAGGAAGCTCGGCTGGGGCCACTTTTCGACCGTTTGGCTTGCACTGGATACAATGTATGGCTAGATTTGGGATAACAAAGTTACAGCCGTGTACTCACAAAGTTGCTCTTCATCAGGACAGATTCTCATGTTGCACTCAAGATTGTAAAATCTGCAAATCGATACACTGATAGTGCATTAGAAGAAATCAAATTACTCGAATGCGTAAAGAAGACGAATCCCGAGGCAAAGGGCTATCGGCATGTGGCTCAATTGTTGGATCATTTTTGGCATCAGGGACCCAATGGAAAGCACGCCTGTATGACATTCGAGGTGTTGGGAGAAAGTTTACTGTCCTTGATGAAACGATACAATTACAAAGGTATCCCTCAACATATCGTGAAACGGATTGCAAAGCAAGTTTTGGAAGGTTTGGACTATTTGCATCGAGAATGTGGTATTGTTCATACGGATTTAAAACCGGAAAACGTGCTGGTTTGGATTCCAAACATTGAGGATTATTTGAAGAAGGATACAGCCGAGATTTTAAAAGAGATCCAACAAAAGGAGGCCATGACGCTCACAGCATCACCTACACAAGTACAACCACAACAGCAACTACAACCAAATCAACCATGGCTAGACCCATCAGAATCAACTGGACTGAGCAAGTCTCAGAAAAAACGACTCAAAAAGAAGAAGAAAATGAAGAGCTTGCAAGAGGCCAGAGAGGAAGCTCTAGACAAAGGGTAATATAGTACGAGTAATATGGATCGTGCGGAACGCTTTATTTACTGTATTGAAATACTAGGGACATGGGGGATTTACAAGATAAGTTGGGGAATCTCAGGATTTCGACTAGCTGGAAAACGCCAACAGAAGAAGTCAAGGTGATACCATCCTCAATTTTAGACATCACATCAATTGAAGTGGATAAAGAGGGCATGAAAGTGTTTGACGACATTGTAGTAAAGATTGCAGATCTCGGCAATGCGTGCTGGATGGACGGCGAATACACACATGTCATTCAGACTCGACAATACCGTAGTCCAGAGGTGATTGTGGGATGCAAATGGACAAACGAGGCTGACATGTGGAGCACAGCATGTATGATTTTTGAACTGCTCACAGGCGAATTCCTATTTGATCCAAGAGCTGGGTCCAAGTACAATAAGGACGATGGTGAGATCATATTGGGTGGCTGAATGGGAGAAAGACCCTCTTAATTAACCTATAAATAGATCACCTTGCTCAAATATTAGAATTAATGCGAACCGTTCCAAAGGTGTTGATATCTGGTGGTGAATTTTCGCGCGAGTTCTTTGACCGTACCGGCAAATTAAAGCACATCAAAAAGCTTCGCTACCGTAGACTGAGGGATGTGCTCCATGATACTTTCTTAGTGCCACCAGAAGATGCTGATGCTGCTAGTGTATTCTTACTACCAATGCTTGAAATGGACATGGCCAAAAGAGCACCTGCTAGTCAAATGCTTGAAAGCCCTTGGTTACAAGAAACCGCATAATAGGCAACGACACAAGAGAACGTCATTTTATATACACTAGCCAAGAAACATGGGCACCACATTACATAACAAGCCTGTTGGTGATAATAATAATATCTTGTTTTGTTTGATATGAAGCTTATAATAGACAAACTCCGTTTTCTTTTTTGTGAATAAATAGAGAGCATTCGTATATACTTTTCCAGCGCCTTTCCCTCTCTCTCTCTCTCTCTCTCTCTCATTTGCAAAATATTAAAATGGAGTTGAACCCTCAACAATTGCATTATTTCAAGCGTCAACTCATATCTCAGCAGCTCGAAAACGAAGTCGATGGCATCCCAAGATCAAAGGAGTTGTCATCTCTGGTGAAGCCCAACGCACAGACAGCCAGTGAGTACCCATTCCTGCAGTATTTGACCAAAAACTTTGTGCTTGAATTTCCGTTGCTAAGAGACGGAAATGAAAAGGGATTTTTCGAGAAACTGCAGACGTTTTTGGATGAATACAGCAAACTCAAGATGGATACTTATGTGCCCAAGAACGCAAGAGACTCTCAAAGACGCGTATTATGGTACAAGATTCAAAAGTTGTTGATTGTCTCTCTCTGTGCCAGCATCAAAACTGTGCAAGGCAAGGAAGAAAGCATCAACCTATTGTCCGGCGGCGAACCTCAATCTAACGACGAGGACGAGAAATTGGTATCAAGACTCAACATGACCAGTCTGGAAAGCGAAGAGAACTGTTTGGAGTGGTTGGGCTGTAACGGTCTCAAGTTGAACGTGGTTACTGCGAGAGATATCAGCGAGAAGCGTACCATTCGCGAGCACTTGCATACTGAGTTTGTCATTGAAACAAACTTAGTTGTTGCTGACGGCGAAGATGTCCCACCTGTATACGTTGCTAGACGTCATGGCCAGTTCCGCCAACTTCGCGATGATCTCAAAGCAGCTTTTCCCACTCTCGAATTGCCTAGTGTTCCCTCCAAGGCACATGATGCCAACAACAAGTCCCATCATCTCCACCGTGAAAAGGACCGCATCATGTTGAGATCCTATTTGCGTCGTCTCTCGGCTGAAACGGAGGTGGCAAACAGTGACATTTTTAGGGATTTTCTCATGAACGACTCTTTCCAATTGTCTGCCGAAGAACAAAAGGATGCCGCCGAACGCTTCAAGATGGATGAAAACCGAATCAATGAAGAGAGACGTTTCCGCGCTGAAGTAGACAAGAAGATTGTGGAATTGGACGGCCTATTGGATATGCTCAAGAAGCAAATCATGAAACCAAATGGTTTGCTAGAGGTGTTTGAGGTCATCAAGAAGACTGAAACCATTGACAAATTGCCTGCTGAATTACGTAAAGCCATTGAATGGGGTCGAATCAAGTAAGTTGTGCATGTGTAAAGGTCTGTGTGTTGATTCGTTGTGTAACTCGTGCTGGAACTATGATAGTTTTGCCTTTGTCCTGCACACCCAATTTGTTACCTCGGATAGATCGGTCGAGAACGTTGCCAACTTAAAACGCACCCACTCTCTGATGCCTTATCGTACCATTGCTCAGATCCTCAAGCTCTCAAACCCCTTCTCCATGGTAAAGGGCGTTTTGGACTTGTTTTTGGCTCAACCATTTGGCGGTAAGAGTCTTTTCCAAAGGTAAGTTACTATTAGGAAAGGAATGATCATTTGCGCAGTTGGTCTCATGCGATACGGATAGAATCATGCTGACCAACATGAATGTGCAATCAAAGGAGCTCGCCAAGGATATCGAGGAGCTCCAACTCAAGATCAATGATCCTCCTCTTTGCCAAAAGATTGCCAACGCCGTTCAAACCGAACTGCCTGAAGGTGTCAAACTGGGCAAGCACATTCCCATCACTGAGACTCTGGAACTATTAAAGAATCCCAATATTGAGCCTGTATTGACCCCTCAACAGATTATCAAGGTAGCATTTGCCAACCAACCCGGCAAACTTGAAGCCCGTGAGTTGGTTGAAAACCTCTACAGGCTCTGGATTCTTTATGCTAGAAAGCAAGAGCAAGAAGTGTTGATGACACTTGTCTTCCAAGGCGTTACTGGAGAAATCATCAAGGATCTCTTTGCCATCTTTTACGAACCTTTGGCTCAAGTTTACAAGGCTGCCAACATTGGCGAAACCATCGGCCATGTTGCCAACTTTATCAACGACCTTATTGAAGTCATTGACAAGATGGACGTTGAAGATGTCACCAATACAGCCCAACCTTTCATTGATTTAGTCCAGCGCCACGAAGAGGAGTTCTATCAGTTTGTTCACAACGTGCATGCTCAAGATCAATCCAAATTGTTCGACAATCTGTTGGGCTACGTGGATAAGCTCTTTAGCTTCATTTCCAACGGCATTCCCACCAAGATTGACCTGGATCAAATTGTCGCACAAGCTGGCATCCCACCTGCTGAATACCCCGCATTGAAGAATGAAATCGATCAATTATGCGTCTACCATCGCAACCGCAAGGAGAGACATTTGGAGCGCAAACGTCAAAAGCTCATGTCGACCAGCGATGTAGCAGACTCTGAGGAGATGTTTAACTTTTTGCCTGAAAACAGGGAAGTCATTAGCGTCTTTAATGACATGGCAGAGATTGAATACGACAGCGACGAAGAAGTGCAATCCAGTGTCAGTGGCAGTAGCAGCAGTTTAGTAGCTCACGAAATGACACTTCGCCCTCCTACACTTCAAATTATTCCCAAGATTGCTCCTACATTCGTTGCCCATGTTCAACAGATCATGAACAACTAAAAATAAAATAATTTATTCATGTGTTTAAAAGAGTGGATAGAATATATTGTTCATAGAATGAGAATGCGTATATGAGTGCCTGATAAGAGCTGGTTTACCATGGGGTATCGGGCTTATCAGTTATACCTGATAGCAATAAGCTTTTCAGATGCTTCCAGCGATCATAGCAGAGCCGAGCTGAATGTCTTCCCTCAAACTTGATCTCCAAATCTGCCCAGCCTCCTCCATGCAGATGGTATAATACATGATTCAGTAGTATCATGTCGTCTTCGTGAGACCACACTTCATAGCCTCGAACATCTTGATCTGTTTTCGAAGGTGGCGGTAGTCTGACTGGCATAGAGGGTGATGAAGAGGCGAAAGACATAGGAGATGTCATTGTTTGAGGCGTTGTAGGTGATGGCAATTGTCGAATCTGTTGAGTTGATTCTGATATTCGCATTTGATCCAGTGCATAACTGATCATGTCTTTTGTGGAAATTCCATTTCTGAAGGCATGTTGTGCGTGGCTCTTTTTCTTCTTTTTTGATGATCTGTTGCTCTGTATTGAGTTGTTAATGTGCTGCTGTGGTTGCTGTGGCTCATGATAGCGCTCTTCTATACCAATCATCTGAATGTCTTTCTTTGCTGTGGGTGCTGCTTCTTCTTGCTCATTATCGGAATCTATTAATTCACCATTCTCGTCATACTCAACTATCAACTTTTGGCGCACTACAAGATTGTACTCGATGAGCAATCTTTAATTTCATCCTTCAATCTAGAGAATCACCTTTATTTGGTATCTTTTTGGGGATGCATGGTGTGCCAGTCTTCTTGTAATTCAAGATGATGTTGCGAACAGCGGTTCTCGAAAGTCCTGCTATGCGAGCAACATGCTTTTCAGTCGCCCCTGCTTGATAGGCTCCGACTATCAGCCAACGCTTTGCTTCTGCTGTGTCTCTTACAGTTCGTTTACTGGTTTTTGTCATGAATTCGTTGGTAGGAAAGAAGAGTTGTGAATGGAAAGAAGAGAAGATGAAATAAACAGAGGGCGCCTATTGCTCTGGTGATAATATCCAAATAAAGGAGACGCCAGATGTAATTGGCCCCTCTTTTGTGGTGACTTCATACCCTAATTGATCTTGTATCTATGAAATCAAGGTTCTGGAAGCATTCCTCAAGGCTTGGACAAGTCAATTGGATGCATATCCAAAGGCTAATTGTACAGACTGTTTGCATAGATGCTCAGTAGACCAAGTTTTGAAACATCAGCTGCAATGAATGATCTACTCGAGTAGCATTTAGATCATGGAAAGAGGCTTTCAAGATGAGCAATGCCCTTGGTTCCTACTCACTCTACGTTAAGAATCGCAACAGTATCAGATAATGTATATTATTCTACTCTAATCTATATGCTACCGGATGAAAGCCCCATTAAGGGTATGTTAAGGAACATTTCTAAACATCAGGGCAATCTATTGTTCCTGAATCAATCAATAAATATAACCGCATTGATTTCACTATGAAGTTTATTGAAACCTCTCATTAAAAATTGGGCCTAAACGTAGTGTGTGTATTTTGACTAATTTCTACATACTGTATCTCGAAATGTTTATTCTTGAACGGTTTCTGTAACACTTGATCCACTCGAGAAAATTTAAGACTTTCTATCATTTCAGGCATGCTTTCTACTTACCAGGTCTTTTGTCCATTTAGTAAGGCATGTTGTAGCTTTCTGAAATGTTTTGTTTTGTCTTGTCTCCAGGAAAGATACAAGCGATAAAGGGAACCATGATACATGGTTTTGCATTTCCATGCATCTGACCTGTATATAGCAAGTTTATCGTGACATAAATACAAAACTACTTGAAGATTTGTAGTGGAAATTATTGATCTAGGCATTTATCACTTATTATAAAGCATCAAGCATAGAAAAAGATGCTTGAAATCTGTTAAATGTACTTTGAATCTTTTAATGTTCCACTGAAATTGCATAAATCATCAATTTAATAGGCGCTAGAGTAGTTGATTTGAATTTGGTCTCCATCCTCATCTTAAAGGAGCACATGTTATCTACTTCAGATAGGTGTCCTACAGCCTGGTAATAATTTAGAAATTGCTGAATGAAGCGCTGTTGGCTGCTTGAAACATCAGTGATTTGGCCCGCATTTAAAGCTCTTCTTGATACTTGCCACTATGACCTCAAACTTTCTGCAAAACCAAACATTCAATGTTGCCGAATAGCAGAGTTTTTCAAAGGATTTAATACCGTTAAGTTTGCTCTGAGGGTTGTCTCAAAATTAGTACTATCTAATGCGCTGAATGTATTGACATCAAAAGATGCCATGAAATTTCACCTGGGCTACCTTATATAATCATCTCATTCTATTTCAGCCGTACATTTCAAGACAAGGAGATATTCCATCAGTTATTTCAAAGGTACAAACTCATTTCAAAGACAAAATATTAGCCAGAGTTTCCAAGATGCTTCATTTAAATGCTTCAAAAGCACTAGATGCAGGTTTTATCAGTTGAAACCAAAAATTTCAGATAATAACACTGGCTGATATTGAGCAAGGGTAGAGAAGAGCCTCTAGTACATATCAGAGCCTTCCCAATACCTCAACTCTTGATTTATCTAGAAATTTGCCAAGAATTCCATCATTCTAGAGCTCCAAGTAACCAAGCATGTCTAAGCCGGTTCCATCCTGTCAGATCTCGAACTGTAGGTCCTATTTAAACTATGTTAAGCTTCTCGCTCTCCTTTTTTCGAGTATCTATACGGTTTATCATGGCTCTGGGCCATATTTTAGCACACCAGGATGAACCCTTTGTTACACATTACCGTTGTTTGATCCAAATAGAGTTGATATAATGGAATCAAAATAGGAGGATTGGGCTCAGTTCCGGTCACAAACACACTGAAAACTAACCTCTCCCTTTCTGTATACACATCTGCTCAGTATTCGCATCTTCCTTATTGGGCTTTTCTCATTTTATTGTTAATCAAGTCTCGTTCTCTTTGAATAAACAGATGTCTGAAGAAAAGAGTAGAAAACCTGCCAGTAAATATGATTTTGATAGGTGAATATCACATAATGGAAGCTGATTACATCTATAGATACCGCATTCAAGCAACAGCGTCTTAAGGCTTGGCAACCATTATTAACACCTAAAACTGTACTGCCTACACTGTTTGTAGCAGGTATTATTTTTGCTCCACTTGGTGGTTTGTTCTTGTATGAAAGCGATACTGTAATATGCACAACACATTTGACCTTGGATACAATATGCTTATTTTCATGTATTTTGTTTGTAGGTAAATGAGGTTATCATTGATTATACCCACTGTATGAATGCAAACTCAACCCCCACCTCTTTGGATTCAAGCTTATATTCATACAAATACACTGCTGAAGGAACTGGACGTAAGATTTGATCTAATAGAAGAGTAATACTGAAATCTAAAATATGTCTGTTAGCAATGTATGCACCAACCTATCGATTTGTACCCAATACTGTAGCTGGAGAAGCAGGCGTTTGTGCTATTCGTTTTTCAGTTCCTATTGAGCTTAAGGCGCCTATTTTTCTCTACTATCGACTCACCAACTTTTACCAGAATCATCGTAAATACGTTAAAAGCCTTAGCTACAATCAACTTCATGGCGATGTGATTACACCCGCAGATGCAGCCAGCTCCTGCTCACCTGTTGCTACTGAGCCCGGTACTGATAAAATCTACTATCCATGTGGGTTGATTGCAAACTCTATGTTTAATGGTAGGTGCTTGATATCAAAAGGAGTGGTATTGGGTTATTGAAGTTGTGTGCTAGATACGTTTAGTGTTTCATTTGTGAATCCTCCTGGAAGCGCTCCCAGTTTAACAATGGACTTTAGTGAAAAGGATATTGCATGGCCAGCAGACAAGAAGAGACTTGCAAGCACTTCAATGGATCCTTCACAGCTTGTCCCTCCACCCAACTGGCAGAAAAGATATCCTAATGGGTATACAGCAGACAACATCTTCCACCCACAAGATGACGAGCATTTCCAAGTGTGGATGAGAACTAGTTGGTACCCCACATTCAGAAAGCTGTATTCGGCTATGAGAGAAGGAACTCTTCAAGCAGGAACGTATGAAGTTAACGTGACATTGAGTACGTACGAATTCTGCGCTATTATCATTGCTTTTGATTGACTTTTACTTTATGTAGACTATGACATAACTGCTTATGGAGGCACCAAGTCCATTGTGCTTACTAGTACCTCATTTTTGGGCGATAGAAACCCTTTTATGGGTTTGGCTTGGATTGTGATGGGCTGTGTTTGCACCTTTTTAGGCGTCGTATTCTTGGGCTGGCACTTTTTCAAGCCAAGGTAATAATTACATCTGACATGACATGTGTGGGTTGTTAATTTTTGGTGTATTTTTGTAGAAAACTTGGTGATCACGATCGCCTTTCTTGGCAGCAAACCTCTGGGTCTGGTCCATAACTACTATTCTCCTCTCCAAAACGTAATAGCCCTCTTTATACATGTAACTTGCTCATTTCTTAAATTAATTATTAAATCATATAAAAATGCATATAAAAACTGGGTGAATACGTTAAGCAGATGGATTTAGGGTAACTTCCAGTCTACGCGCTAAACAATAATGCATTTAATACTTGCAAAGGTCTCGCAAAGATTCATTAGGGCCTAAAATGCCCAACATGGCAACATATAACACTCGATTTTGTGTTATGTCTTTTTCTGATCCAGTATAAATGCCAAAAATCAGTGGGGTATACTTTATTGAAATATTTACATTGAGACTCGTCTTCCATTTTCTCTTATTTTGACAGATGATCTTCGCTTTGCGAGTTTTTTGGATGGGAGATGTTCCAGTTTCGTTGAGGTCGACGATGAACTGGAAGACACTGATGATGAGGATGAGGATGAACCAAAATAATCGATACCAAATAGATCCTTAATGAATCCATTTACTACAGCTCTTGTGAGATCATAGTGTTTAACGTTCATTTCAGTAAAGCTATCGCCTAAAGGACCTTGATCTCTACTATGCATAACCACGATATCTTGCTGATGGCGGAGGTACTGTGTCAAGTAGCACAATGCATTGCTTGTAACTATCTTGTCGTAATGAATATTCAGGAAGCCGCAATTTTTAACCATGTCTTCGTATACAGAAGTACGCAAAAATTTAGTAAAACTAGATTCTAGCATGATGTATGCAGAAGTTTGTGCTTCAGCAAAGATGGAGGGGCAAATTTGGTCATTTTCAGCGTTCATTTGATCCACGATTTGACGCTTGACTCTGTCATCTAGATTGATCTCCAAGTGCGAATCATTCAATATGTAGGTGTCATAAATGCGTCGAGCCATCTCTTTGTATTTCCTTGAGGATTTCTTCTTGTAATTTTCAAATTGCTCCACTTCCAGAAAGAAAAACTACTCTTAAATATTAGAAAAAAAGGGCGAGCATCTAATATTGTATAGTACATCTTACCAAGTTCTCAGAGCTAAATTCGCCTAGCAAATGATACAAAAAGTAGCAAAGAGGCACTTTTGATTCAAGCATAGCCTTAAGGCCCTCTTTGTTGATTTCACTGACACAGACATCAACAGGCGTTGGTTCACCAAAAAAGTATTCCAACTTGCGGCTTGATCTGTCCACTTTGACTTTGTACATTGCATGAACATCGAGCGCATTTGCTACTTGTGCAGCACTTAATTGCTCATTGAATGAGGGTAGTGATAACAAGCTAATGGTAGTGCCCATGCTAGTTCGCCTGGAAGGTGGTTTCTCATCCACAGCGGATGAGCGTCTTGACTTGCTAATTGATTTTCTCGTCCTTGTTGACAGGTAGATGTCATTTGAGCCGCTTGTTGTGGAACCGGCACTTCCTTGACTCGTATGAGAGGTCCTACGCTTTCTTGTCATTGATAAATATTAAAATTAAGAGATGAAAAGAAAGGTCAAGTAAGTTGAAGATATAAAAATTTTAATCTAGAATCAGTTTAATATATTAGAAACCTTACCACTGAAAATTTTTACTGCTTATCAAAAATAGATTTATCTGAAACAAACTCCAATAGTTGATCAAAGGAATCGTGATCATATTTTTGATTCTATATCTATATAGATAATGGTAGAAATCGGATTGGATGCGTCATAGTTAGACAAAAAGGGAATTTCAGTCTAAGCGTATTCAAATCCTATATACTGTAGATGCCATTCGATTCCCGTGATATCTGTGAATTCTTGGATGCATTACATATGCAGACGATCTGTAACTATGAATCTGGCTCTTCTCTAATGCTTCATGTCTGTATATATGGCAACAGTTTGTATGCAGGAGGACAGCATACTGGTATTGCCCCTTTGTAGTCGAGAGTATGCCTAATACAGCAAAATCTGAGTGCATTTAAGCTACGTTTTCTTGCGTTCATGGCCGTTTTAGATGGTCAGAATAGCACCAAATAGTTGCTCTCGTCTGGTAGTTACTTTCTGACACCTTTGTTCAACTTTTTGGGGATCAAAAAAACATGGCCAAACATCGACCAAAAAGCATAAGGTACTTTTTTTTTTTTTAATTGTTTTTATTGATTGCTCCATGTAAGTAGGTCCCTAGGGCACTACCAAGAGGCGTGCGCAATTGATATGATATTCAATTATATTTAGGATAAAGCGATAGATGACAGGAACAGATGATAGATGACAGGAACAGATGATAGATGACAATTGTGATTAGAGAATAACAATTGCTTGTGAATTTCAGTTTGGGCATGTAGTTGAAGGAGCTCGTTCTTGATCTGCTGGACCACATCGATCCATATAAATGGAGTCGAGTGAAAGATCATACGAACTTGAGCTCGCCAAATGTTGCCAAGTGTTACCAGTACGACCATGTGAGCAGTGGTGTATGATTTGGAGACATACTTGATGTTTTCAAAGTCAAGCGAGGAACAGGCTTGGATAATATCACCAATCGAAACGGTTGGCCACAAAAATTCAAAGATGATAGCTTTCCAGATGGATGCCTTACTGGAACAGAGGAAAAGCAAGTGTACAGCATTTTCTTCGTTACCACAGATTGGGCAGAGAGGTGATTCAGCTATCTCAAAGTAGTGTAGCAGGCGTTTGGTCGGGATGGTGTGGGTGAGGAAGCGATAGATGACATTACGGTGGACAAGGTTCAGGGACAGAGACCAGAAGAAATTCCAGTTGGACCTGGCGATGCTGAAGATATGAGCCTCGATGCATGCTGTGCGGAATGTTCTGGTTGTACCAATAGCCATCACAGCCATTCTTGGTGCTTTGAAGGTATGAGTCATACTTGATGCAATGCTCTCATACTAATCAATACACTGTACAGCCGTCTCTCATGATCAAACTCGAATTTCAAATGAGCGTGCTCAACATGGCTTACAGAAATATCGTCCTCAGCACATTCTTATTACCTTGCGCAGTATCAGCAATTGTTAGTGGCTGGTTATGTGATCGATTTGGTACAAAAATTGTTGGACTTACCTCCATGATTATCTCGATCCCTGCTTTCATCTGGATTGGCGTTCCTAATCAGAACATCCAGAGTGTCGTTTCAGCTCTTGTTGTTGGCGGCATTACGTTATCAGGCATGTCTGTATCCACAGTTTATAGCACGATCAAAACCATGCAAAAGATCTTATCACAGCAGCAATTTGAAAAGACCAAGCAGCAGCAACAGCAATACCAACAACAGCACATGCCAGCCATCTTCGCCACCATCTATCTCATGTCAGGGGTTGGTTTGTTTTTGGGCTACTTTCTATCCAAGCTGAATGATATCATTGGATTTTTTTGGTTATGTTTTGTCTTTTCTATGCTACTAGTTACATGTGTGCCTTTCATGGCTTACTTTCCCAAGGGTAAATTGTTTCGAAATAGCGGCAGCCAGACAGGGTTCAATGCAAGTACAAGCAAGAAATCCATCGTCAATAATACAAGACCAGAGAGTTTTGCAGAATCCATCTTCTCTGATGATGAAACTACGTTGGGATCATCCTTGAAATTAGACAGCAATGTTACTTTAGAATCTAAATCCATTATTGTTATCCCTTAAACTCATATCATGCTAACATTATTATTTAATAAATCATTGACATAAAAAGATACTCTTGACAGGCCAATTGTAACCATGGCAACCACTTAGTCAAAATTATTATTTGAATATCTAATCGAATCTGAAGCAAGCAAGACCTTGTATTCTCGGATTATATACGATATATGCTATCTGAATAGCGGCTGTAAAATATCACTATTCAGGGCAACTTGGATAGACAGAATTTAATACAAAATCTAGGATTTTATTGTAATGGCATGGATATGGATTATACGAAAGGGTAGAATGAGACTAAATAAATATGTTTATAGTAATGCCATTGCTTATGTGTGCAATTTGGAATATGGTAAGAATGAAAAAAAGGGGTAGAATGTCCATGTATTGCAAGACAGTATAAAGCTGCGTCAGTCATCTTTTATGGATGTCAGTAAAGATCAAGCACGGTTTCTTTGATAGAGAATACTGACATGTTACAGAAATTGGCACTGGTAATGCAAGGGTGTAGATGGCCGCCATGTATTGAAAGGTTGCTCCAGAGTCTTGTAGGCGATACCGAACACAGATCAAAGTGCCTCTTATCCATCAGTGAAAAAAAATAGTTGGCTGTATACTGTGCGTATTCTGAAAGTTGTTGTTTTGCGGAAAAGAAGAAAAGGGAAAAGCAGTAGTAAGAGAATGATGAACCCTGAGATTGGCAGACATTAGATGTAATCAAGGTAATCAACATACTTGTGGTCTGCCGCTCTACAAGGCTCATCATCAGCCTCAAACAGGTACGTAACCACGTCTTTGTGGAAACGTACCCGCCGAGAACCCCTCTCGTTGCCAGCAGACTCTTCCTCCACAGGAACTGTATCATCGAAAGAGTTGCTTTCATCCCCCACTGAAGGTAATTCGGATAAAGAAGAAGAAGGTGGAGGCGGATTGGAAGAGGAGGGAGATGCAACTAGAGGAGTAAGATGAGAGGAGATAGATGGCTCCCCTTGAAGGACAAGAGTAGTATCCTGTCTCTTCAAAGGTCGCTCATCCAACTCATCATCTGCCGACTTTCTCTTTCTACTGCTGCGGATGCTAGTGGTAGAGGAGGGAGTAGAGACCTAGGCATGAATGTTCATATGTCAGTACGAAATATTGCTTCGCGGTAGTTGTCTTGTGTCATGGTACTTACACTGTATTCGTAGCCAGAGCGTAATAACATTTTAATAGTAATTATTCAAACGAGAACAAAAGGTAAAGAGGGAGAATTTACAGCATGAATGCACCTTTATACCTTCAATTGCCTTCAAAAAATAGTGTTTTAGTTTCTTTTTTGATAGCAATACGCGTCAATAAAGCATGACAGAATGAGATGCCACTTTCCCCCATGTATTCTACAGTTAATTTGAGACATCACCAAAAGTAAAGCAACTTTCAATTATCATTTCCCGTAGAGTTAGAAGCAAATGTAGTGTTAGCCTCTTTCCCTTCAATTTTGCAACAACACTTTTCATAACAAAAACTTTTACAGGTTCCTATACCTGTGTAACAAAAGTCATCACAAGATCACGGAGGAGTTTTGTCTTACCGTTTTGAGCTTAATCTATATCCTGAACAGCAATGTCCATAAAAGACGGGATCAAAAAATTATTATCGAGCAAAATATCGTATAAAGTATCAAATACCCTGATAGTGTGAACCTTTTGACCTTTCACTGGCATGTGAAAGCCACTCATAGCTGTTGATTTGACTCTCTTACAATGCACTTCGTCTGTAGCAATACAAAAAATTCATTTAAGGGCCCACAGCATACTAGCAGCAGACCTTACTACTCGAAAGTAAGTAAAATACAGCTTGATTTGGATGCATTTGAGGTGTGATTTCTCAGGTCAGAAGCCGTTTTAGGTCCCTAGAATTGCACCAAACGATCACTCTCATCTAGCACTTACTTACTGACACATTTGCTCAACTTTTTTTTGGGATCGCCAAGAAACTATGATAGGGTGGCCAAAGTTATTTTTGGTCTTGCAACCAATTGGTCGAAAAAAACGCCCAAAACCTTAAATAATGCCCACCTCAAGAGTTGGGCATTCTGCATAATTTTCTTCATTTTTTGAAAAAACAGTTACAAGTCTAGTGTAATAAGAGTGCAATGATTCTGTAAAAAAAATAATATATATATCTACTAGGGAGGGGCGGATTGGTGTTACTATTTGTATGTCTTTAAACTTGGGCAATATTTATTAGAAAACATGAAAAATATTTTTGGGCGAGTAATATTAGGATCAAGTGATGGATTCATTGTGATAAAAGTACTGTATATAATGAGTAGTAATGACAGATATTTTCATTACCGTTCAATGCTTGTCAAAAAAAAAGACTATCTATATATATATGTGTGTGTGTGTTATACTAATGTTTCAATCATGCGGATTGAAACGTATGTAATGTAGATCATTACATCTAGCTGTTTCTTCTGCCACTGATTGCTCCTTCAATTTCTCCTCTCATCTCTTGATATACTCACGCTTCTTTCAAATTATAAATGTAATCAAAACAAGTTGTAGATTGATATAAAGGAAAGGATATGAGACCACATTGACAGCAGCAGATCAAGGATGGCCAATGTTGCAGGGCATTCGATTGGTGCTGTTTTTTAACCAGAAAACGCCCAAAAACAACTTTGGCCGCCCTATGAGGTACTTTTTTTTTTTATTGATTGCTCCGTGTAAGTAGGTCCCTAGGGCACTACCAAGAGGCGTGCGCAATTGATATGATATTCAATTGTATTTAGGATAAAGCGATAGATGACAGGAACAGATGATAGATGACAATTGTGATTAGAGAATTACAATTGCTTGTGAATTTCAGTTTGGGCATGTAGTTGAAGGAGCTCGTTCTTGATCTGCTGGACCACATCGATCCATATAAATGGAGTCGAGTGAAAGATCATACGAACTTGAGCTCTCCAAATGTTGCCAAGTGTTACCAGTACGATTATGTGAGCAGTGATGTATGATTTGGAGACATACTTGATGTTTTCAAAGTCAAGCGAGGAACAGGCTTGGATAATATCACCAATCGAAACGGTTGGCCACAAAAATTCAAAGATGATAGCTTTCCAGATGGATGCCTTACTGGAACAGAGGAAAAGCAAGTGTAAGCATAAGGTACCTCTCATGGTTTTCATCAAAAATCATGGCTTTCTCCGCTAAAGATCACAACCTAGTAGATAAAGGCAGAGTCTCCACTTATGGTGGCTCTACGCTGGATTCTAGCCATAATCCAAGCAACAATATGTTTACATATGCTTCCTTCTTCAAAGATATTTACAACCAAAAGCGCACTCCATTTGAAGTTGCTCCCTCCATTGTTGATAATGGATCATCCCCAGGCAAGGCTCTCGACTTCACTTCCACCTTTGTTGAAGCGACCGACGACTTCTCGTTCATCATCGACTGCTCACAATTCATTGGCATGGTGTTCAAGGAGAAGACACTACCCAGCTGCCTTCGTGCACAATATCCCAAAGGTCTTGGTATTAGACATCGTATGGTTGGCAAGAACCATAAAGTCATTGAAATGAACTTTTCCACTGAACAGGATTGTATGGAGGCCTTGGGGAAGGAGTTCGTCCTCCATGGTAAAACTATTCAGGTCAGCAAGGCTTTGGACAAGAATGCCAACGTTGTTAGAGTTACTGTCTCGGCTATCAGTTACAAGCCTGTAGAGTTTCTTAAACCTTTGTTAATCCAGACATTTGAACAATATGGTGATATTCTCAATGTCGGTCTCTGTCACTCCAGGGATGGTAATTGGTTCACTGGTAGAGGTTTTGTTACACTTAATATGGATAGATCCAAGCAATATGAAGCTGAGGTGGCACCTCAGATCCCGTTTGAAGATTTTCCGGAGAAAATCCGTTTGGTTTGGACCAATATGTAACCTATCTGTAAGGATTGTCATAATGATGAACATGTCAAGGCCGACTGTCCTCGAGCAAAGAAGAAGGTCTGTCATAAATGCGGTAATCTCGAGCATCTCATTGCCCAGTATCCCCGAGCTCATTGGAATCGAAAGAAGGACCAACCTACTCAGGAACGTCGTCGCAATTCCGTTACTAAGGAGAGTAACCCTCCATCAAAGCCTACAGGAAGAGAGGTCAACCTCTTAGAATTGATGAATGTCAAGCAACCCAAATATCTTGCCAAGAAGAAGAATACGGATGTTGCCGAAGACGCTATGGAAACCGACGATGAATCCACCATTCCTGAACAAGAGACTCAGGAACCAGCTGACCCACTCCATCAGGAGGCAGTAGCATCAGTTGATCCAGTTGAATCTGTCGAGCCACAGACTGTAGCATCACCTTCAGTTGCACCAACCACTGTCTTTGATTCAACCTTAACTGTGGAATCTCATCAGGATGACAACCTTGATGACAAGGAACCAGCTCCTCCAGATGCACAGGAGACCGTTCACTTCACCAGCGAGGAATCAGAATATGAAGGAGGTGATACATCTGAAAGCTCTGTAGAATACACCAATTATGGGAACAGATACAATCTTAGTAAGGGTAAGAAGAAGAGTTCTAATGCTGTAGGTGACACAGCACAGGAGGCCTCTCAGAAGCGTTCTATTAGGGAACTGGCATCTACTCCGCCGGGATCTGATCAAGAGGGATCTGCCAAAAAGGCTTTCAAACAACAAGAGGACAGCCATATGGATGAGGCCGAGCAAGGCAACTCCTCCATAATCAAAGCACTATAACTTTAATGAGTGAGTCAAACCAAAATAAGAATATCAAAATTAAGATAGGTTCCATCAACTGTACAGCAGATACTGAAGCTAGCGAACAGAGATCTCCGTTTCGTCATGCTGAACATGGCAAACCTCGACGTTGGTCGTAACTTCAGCAACCACCTCAGCAAACAACAATGGCAGACTTTCTACAAGAACAACATACACTACTCAGCTCGCAACCTAAGGTATCAAATGATACATAAACAAAGCTCCAACAAACTTGCCATGTCGCAACTCCATCTGAAACATGCTGAATCTGATAGATGTGAACTCTGTTATGAAGTGGAAGACGCCAAACATCTCCTGATCAGTTGCGTCCACAAACTCGACATATGGGACTCCTCATTCAACGAGTTCCTTGGTTACCCCAAATCTGCAGATCCACATCTTATATACAAATCAATCATGCTCTTCAAACTGGACCGATATTTCATATACAACTTGGATATCCACATCACGACATTTGACCTCTTTGCCACCATCATGCGTATTATCTGGAGAAACCATTATCAACAGCTTTACAACCACATGCCTTTTGATTCAACCCAAACCAGCCGCCAAATTAGAACCGAAGTGTTAAGATAGTCAAATCTTAAGCAACTTTCTTACTAGATTTATCATGATAGCTTTATATATGGCAAGTCACTTTGCTCGCATACACTTGTCCATCTCTTTGATGCATTTGTCTTATTTCTAATTATTATCTTAATAAAACAATATCATCCAAAAAAAAAGTCTTCATCGAAAATCAAATGATCGCGTTTTTCACCTTGATAACGAAGACTTTTACTATGGTATATCTTGAATCAAAATGTTTCTATCGATCCAACGTAACCCTTGAAATCACCTTTGTGGGACTTTGATATGTAAAATTTCGACGTTTTGGCCAGAAACCTTTTTTCATATTTTTGTAAATTACTCAATAAGTTTATTCAAAACATCTACCTTACTTGATAACATTGGATGCGCCTTGAAAAGCACTCTAAGGAAGCTTAAAGAAGCACAGGACGATCAGTATATTTAATATAGTCGAATCTTGCAGAATAGTTCAATCGAGTCGAAAATCTTCAAGATTTGGCCAATCTGGAACAGACTATGAGTTTGGGTTTGAATTGATTTTGGCTGGTGGGGCTGGCTGGTGAACTCAATGCCCCTATAATCATGAGGGCAATAATAAACACTTTTGAAGCTAATGGAAGTAGATGGCAAATTGAATAGTACAATTTCTAGTGATGCTATTTCATTTTGAAGTTCTTTGTTTAATAACGCCAATTCACCGAAATACTTGCGAGCTCAATTTCTTTCCTTTTTGAGGCTTCAAAAGTGTCTATGAACAAGAAGATTATCATGTTATGATTGCATGTAAATATATATATAGAAAGATGGCAATGTATAATAATTTGTTTGAAATTGTATGAATGGTTAGCAGCTTATATAGAATTTAATTTGACTTGAAAAGTATAGCTTGATACTGTGTATGGGATAGAGACAGCAAAGATGAAAGCATGCCCTGCCCTTGTATAGACGTAGAAATGGTATTGTATAGGAGTAGCCTTGGCAATGTAGCATGTAGATGTAAGACTGCACAGATGATGGCTTAATTGTTTGTAGGCGTAGAGGCAGTAATAATCTTGACATTGCGAGCTGATTTATATAGATGGATACTGTATTAGACCAGTACTAAGAGTATCCACATTGTAGCATATTTGATAGACAATGGAGAGAACAGCTTGAAACATAATGAGACCAAAAGATGAAGCCCCGTTGCACCATCATGCCAGCTACCGGAGCAAAGAGTGCTGAGGCCACATGCGACAGCCACTCTACCCGCATGACCCTAGGCCCCATCCAAGCTGCTTCAACCAAGAAGTATGGAGTACTTGCAAGTTAAAACATGAAGGACTTGAGTCCTATCGATAGAGAGATGATGAGTAACACTGCAATGGACGACAGCTTCATGCGTATTATTTGGCACCGCTTCATTTCCATTTTAAGATGTATATGTAAGCCTAATAGTATGAATCAAAAGCACTGTCAAATTTCATTCATATGGCAAACGATTTACATTCATCAAAACCTAATCTATGTTGGCTACTGTCCGAATATCGGGGTATCTGAGCATGCATTACGTCCAGACTGATATGTGGGACGCATTTGTATCTATGTATCATACCATACTAGTATTTTTCTGCTCGCAAATGTGGAAATCACAGCGAAACTCATGGGCATTTGAGTCGTGATTTCTCGTGCTAGAAGCTGTTTCAGGCCGTCAGAGTAACACCAAACAATTGCTTTCATCAAGCTCTTACTTACGAGCACCTTTGCTCAACTTTTTTGGGATCGCCAAAATTTGACCAAAAACCATGAGGGATACCTCATGCTTTTTGACGAAAATCAAACGATCGCGTTTTTGACAGCAAAAACGAAGACTTTTTCTATGGTGTATACTAGACCAAAATGTTTCTCTTGATCCAACGCAACCCCAAAAACTTTATTTTTGAGATCTTCATATGTGAAATCTCTACATTTTCACCAAGAATCTTTTTTCATATTTTAATAAATTTCTCGATAAGCTTGTTCATAACACCTCGTTTAGTTTGCACCATTAGATGCGCCGTAAAAAGTACTTTTAGGAAGCTTAAGGGAGTATGGGATGTTGATCACAGTTTGTATAGTCGAATCCTGCAAAATAGATTAATTGAATCGATTTTGATTATAATTTGGCCAATCTGGAGTAGAAGATGAAGCGAAGTTGTAATTGTATTTTGGCGGCTGACTGATGCATCAATGTCTATCTGATAAAAATAATGGATTTGCCATTCCCTTCTCGCTCTAGACTTTTTCAACATTCAAGATAGTCAACGGCCTCATGCATTTTCTCATCATATAGTCATTATTGCGATGTATGACGTTTGGGAGGCTCACTATCGTCTCTTTTTCGATCAAATTTTCTTCGCTTCCGCCACTGTACGGGATAGTATCTCACTCGACACCCAAAAGATGTTCGAGGAAGAATTCATTCATGCCAGTCTATAATTTGTTCTTTCTTTTAAATCATTTTCACATATTTGTCTCAACATCTAATATCACAAAAAATTGCGCCCGCCGTTTGATTATAGTTCTGCTATCATAGTCTACGTGGAGCAAGTAATATAAACCTTTAAACTGCGAAACCTCATGAGAAGAAGATTATGAACAGAATAGCACTAAAGCTAAAATCTAGTTCTTTCTTTTGCTATTTTTGTTCATTGTCATACCTCATAGCTTTGCTTGTAACAAATTACTCGACCAAATGCGAGTTCTAATATGACATGGAAAATTCTCGATTCGCCAGATCAAACTAATAAAAAATGATCTCTTGGAATACGTTTATTAGCCCTATATATCTCACTTATTAATTGACGATCTAGCTTTTTAATTTGCAAAGAGTGCTTTTTTCTGCAAAGTTATTCAACGTTTTGTATTAATAATACCAAATAAATTGAGAAAGGCACATGTTTATCGAAAAGTCAAATTGTACATTCTCGAAAAAGGCAATAACTAAATAGCCCTAATTGAGCCAAAGATGAGAACAAGGCACCTTAGGAACAGATGTACAAATGATTTCAGGCACTTTGTGGTCTGATTAATTGCAACTTTCCAGATGTTTGCGAGCTGAATATATTGACAACAATAACGGAAGATGTTCTCGTTACAAATGCAACGAAAATGCGAGTAGTACATGTGAACTTGAATAATGGATCTTCCACTAATTTTCAAGTTAATGGCGCTAATAGCTTGTTTAAGGTTTTATTCCCCAAAATATCAACATTCACGGCAATTTAATCAAATTATAGAAAAAACTGGCCACATTTTTTAAGGATAAACGTTAAAGTATAGGTCTGATTGATTGACATATATTTTTTACGACATGGTGTAACAGCAAACGTGTATATTTCTTATATCATCTTTTAAAGTTTAGAAAAACGTACGAGATTTGAAGGAATCTCAATCTCTAGCCCTGTCAATAATAACTGAGCGTACGTTTTGCCTTGGCGATCAATGACCATTGAGCTCAAACCACCTCCTCCTGAATAAAAATTTAGTGTATTTAGTAGAAACACATCTATGCTTGGCATGGTCATACATACCCAAGGTTGCAGTCAGGACAAAATTTAAAGCTAGTAGGCCGGGTAAGTCGTATCTAACCACTGTTCCTTTACAAACATGTTGCATGTAATCCGATACGACTTGTGCGGTTAAAGATCGCTTTATATACGGATAAAATGTGGGGTCTCGAGCGATGATGCCTATTTAAAGAAAGTTTTTATTCTTGTTCCATGGTTGAGCTTCCAGTCCTTACCAATGTTGCTAACATCTCCTTTATCGCCACTTCTGCCGTAAGCCAAATCGATCAATTTGACCTTGATAATATCCCGTTGTTTGTCATCAATTATAGCTTCAGGAACAAGTGACACAGGAGTTGGATTCTGGAATGAGTGGCTATCATCCCAAGGACCCCAAGGAACAACCTGTTTCTTCTGATTGTCTAAAAAGAGAATAGTTTCCACTTGAGCTTTGGGATACAGACCAGGGAAATGAATAAGGTTTGGAAATGGTTTTGCGCGTTCAAAGAAACCAGTGATACCGGGAACCATATTTGTCACTGGCTGTTAATGTGGGAGATGAAAATAGATCATTACTAAATTTGTACAAATATTTATAAATATACTCAATACTTACAGAGACAAATTCAATCGATAGTGCCTTCAAAGCCTCCGGATCATCATGATGTCCTGTCATTCTTAATACGACCTCGCGGATCTCATTTGCATTCTTCGAATTTGATGGGCTATAGCGTGTATAGATAATTTAGACCTAGATGAATACTTTTCACTGTGTTATATTACCCATAAAGAGATTCCCCACCGACTGCTTCGATATTAAAATCCCTGAATTCCGGCATGCCATTCTCCTTATAGTATGCATTCACTCGATCTCTTACTGCTCTCCCAACAGCCTCCGCCTATTGAAGCAAAGCTACAGTCAGAACCGCTCGCCTGACATATCGAGTGACATACCTTTTCCTTGGCTTCATGCCCTCCAATGACAAGTTGTCCAGACAGCTTCCAGCCGTCCATAAAGATGCCACAGCATTTCAGCCATGGTGTAGGTGCGCGGCCTTGTGCCCCTCGTACAAGGACACGATCAGGACCTATTTGCGTCAAATTTATCTGGCGCAAATCCAAAATAACGTCTGGTAAAATGTACAGGGCAGGATCGAGACTTTCATACAAGATTTGTTCGGATACAGTAGCAACCGAAACGAGACCTCCTGTTCTTTCTGGCTTTGTAACCACAAATTCGCCAGAGCTACCATCAAATTCGACGATGGGATATCCCATATAAGCAAAGCCACCGTAATTTGAATTTGCAGCCAGTCTCCAATCAGTAAAGTTACCACCGGTAGCATGGCAACCACATTCGATAATATGACCTGCAAGTGATGCAGAGGCCAGCAAGTCATATGGTGGCAGCACCTTGTTCCATTCAAACTCATGCATTAAGGGACCAACGACTAATGCAGAATCCACTACACGGCCAGTGATAACGATCTGAGCTCCGGCATCTAAAGCTGCGCAAATACCTCTAGCACCAAGATATGCATGAAGTGATACAATGGGCTCTTCGGAATCGGGTAGTCTATCTGAATGCAGCTGGTGTTTTGTAGGTGAAACAGGAGAGAACGGTGTAAAGTTCTTGAACTGACTCAGAGATACAGTTGATAGACCGTTTTCCTCGATAGATGCCATTAAATCATCTCCTACCACAGCGGCTACTTTAACATTAGGTATGTTCAGCTCCACAAGCAGCTCCTCAATGATTTCTTTCAGCAAGATTGGATTGAGGGCGCCCGCATTAGTCACAATTTTTGTCCCATTTTGGATGGCATCAGGCAGAATACGACGAAGAACATAATTTGGGAACTGGGCGACGTACTCTTTGCTACCATCATCCTGGAGACCCATGTACTTCATCATACGACGTTGTTTCCGCCGGATAGCAAAGATGCCCATCGTGATCTCTAGAACAGTAGGAAGATTTAAGGTTATTTCTAACTTGGATTTGCATGAAAATCAGCAACATTGTACCTGCAAGGTAATCAGCGACCAAGTAATCCAGGCTTGAGCCCTCGTGTTTGACTAATTGAACAGCAGCCTCTGGCGAATCACCATAAAAGGCAGAGTAACATCCAATTCTTATAGGTTTTGTCATTTTATCCTGTTTCAAAGTAATAGAACACAATGGTAGTAATAAAGAAATCAAGATTGAGAAATGTTAAATATACTTTTTCCTCATGAAAATGTGTGGGGTAGGGAGAAATCCAAAATCTCTCACACAGGTTTATTTGTGATGCCCAAAATTTGGATTAGTAGCTTGGTTTTAAGAGGTTTTAGGGAATCAGCTCGTGAAAACCACTCGAGCATGAATAGCAATTTTTTGATTTAATGCAAAATTGGTGTCCTCCGCTTCATCTAGATATATTACTATCGTGCTCAGCAAGGAAAGCCCACACCTGGGTGGTGCTGTCGAGAAGTCACTGGATGTTTGGTTGCGGATTGTGATATTTTTTTTTTTTTTCACATCTCTTGCACTCCCAAAGAAGCAACTCGACACGAAATTATTAGCACAAAAGACGGCAACAGCAACTTCTCTAACTCGTCTCTATCACATCTTCTTAAAATTATAGTAAATGGAAGCAAATTTCAATCAAGTGTGCAGTCGGCTGTTCTACAGTGGTCTCCTCGTTGCCATGGTAACAGATAGAGACGGAGTGATTATCCTGAAAAGTAACCCTAGCAACAGATTTGCATAGCAACCTCACTGACATTTTGATTTTCTAAAGGTGTTTCTGACAAAGCAAAGGAGAGCATGAGTGAGCCCATCATACCAACCACTTTTTCCATAGCTAACAATCAGGTAAGTGCTTGCGTGTATTATGAATCATGAGGTCATATTCAGCTAGAGAACCAATAGCTAAACATATTCAACACAGGCTTCAAAGCTCGGACTTGCTCATAATAAAAGCATCATTAGTGTTTATGAACAATATCAAGTCATTCAGCTGGATCAATCGCCATTAATCATCACATTGGTAGCAGATTCTACGGCCAATACAGGTAGGCAATGCTTCCTCTCGTGATATCATATGTAACTGATCTTCCAAATGTCAGGGCTTTTCATGAATCTGGGTAATGATTTGTTGAAATTTACGGAACCATTGATCGATGCGATGAATGAGTGAATAATACAGTGATACCTACCTCTTTAATAATTGACATTTTAAGATATTTTCATGCAAACAATTGAAGAAAAAAAAAAGATAAAAATAAAGTGGGCCAATCAATACAACTTTGGCATTGGGCATTTTTCTTGTAACGAAAAAAGGCACCAGTTAAATTATGAAATGTCTGTGTTACTAACACTATTTCATGATCTGTTTAGTAAAAATTGGAGTTTTAAGTTTTTTGGTTTAAATGATACATGGACCATAAAATTGCCGTATATGGTCGGCAGTCTTTTGTTGAGTAAAAACCTATATAAACCCAATGCATTTTACAACATTTCCCTTTTTTCTTCCTCCACTCTTCACTTGAATTGCATACACTTTTTTTCTTTACTTTACTTTCTCTATACCATTTTTATATCCAAAAAAAACATGTCAACAAGCGGTTGGTTTTACATTCGATCTACAAGCACAGGCAATGTTGTCGCTGCTTCTGCAAATACTGAACAAGATTTACTTCGCTCACAAGTTATTGTAACTCCACCTACATTATCTGATCATGAACTTTGGTGTTGGAAGGGTCAATTTTTATGTAACAAAGCAAACGACCTTGTGCTTGACATCAGAAAAGGCAGATTGAGATTGATTGAAGACACAGAAATCTGTTTATATACACCCAAACCATTGGAGGATGCTCACAATCAGCTTTGGAGTGTCCGAGAAGATGCTGTTGATGCCTACGGTCGACCATTGCCAGGATCTTACATTTACTCGCTTTGCAGCAATGAATGGGTTCTTGATGTGCAGCCTACAGATCAAGGTGTTCAAAAATTAGTGTTGTTTCCTTTGCAGCCCATTGACAATGACAATCAGCGTTGGATTTTTGTGAAAGAAGGTCAATTGGATCTCAATGTGTCCATCAAAGACTCATTGTCCATGGCAGCAAAAAATAACAGCAATAGTTCTTACTTTTCAATGTCGGAATCACTCATTACACCCCCTGGCTCTGTATCCTCTTCACCTGATTATCCCACCGCGGCCAATGAGGAATATCTTCAGGGCCTAACTCCTGCAAAACGTGGATCACAGTCGGCTATCTTCTCAATGGAATCATTCAAGGACTATTACACTCGAGTTTATGCAGCAAAAGAAGCCAATATTAGGTATTTAAATTCTTCGGTGATTTCTAGTCGAGCAGTATACTCATATTTCTCTATAGTGACAAAGGCATTGCCATGGCTTCTGCGTATCGAGTCTTTCAAGATTGGAAATTAGATCAGATCAGTAATGATATCATGACTGGCTTTCCTCTCTCATCTTCTAATGAAGTACGTTCTCGACTTCAGATCTTGACACAAAATGAGGTATGTGGTATTATAAGCATGTGTAATTCACAAATATTAACATGACATATTTTATAATCAGGTTTCCAAACTATTATCAAATGGCGACATGTACCCTAATAACAATAAGGAAAACACCAGCAACATCTCCAGCCGTCTCATCACACAGCTCTATGATCAAACGCCCATCTCACCTTAACACGAATGTCTGATACCTACTTTATACCTTCCTTTTGTGAACACACATTCCTTTAATCAAGTTACCATCTTTGTAATTAGTTTTCTTTTATATTCACTGTACGACATGCTTATTTTACCGGCAATCCCCGTTTCTTTTCTCAAACCAAACCGCTTTCCGAATGCCTTTTAATACTTTTATGATAATCACCTTGAACTTATGATATATCTCCGTCAACCATTCTCCTCTTGCAGCACTCAACCCTCTCATTCACACACACACACACACGCACACACAGTTCGCACATGTAAAACCACAAATCTATAATATTCATCTTCCACCTTGTACATTAATCTCTTCTTGTGGGGCAATTCAAGAAACCAGAAGAACAACAAAAGCCAAAAAAGTTTCTATCACTCACTTTCTGTTTATATAACCATTAAATAATAATAACACATTTTGACATTATACCTTTTTTTTGTGATTTACGTGTGGAATACAATTGCATCTGTGCGCAAACAAAGTGTGCATGATAATGAGGTACAAAGTAATAATGTAAACCAGCAAGATGTGGTACAAATGACCTGAATTGCAAGTTCAGTATGGCTGATTTCACGGAAAACGGAATATCAGTCATTATACAGTATATACACACACACAGAAAGTGTGTGCGATGGTCTGATGATGATTGTACATAATAATCTTCCTTTCAGTCAAGACTCCCGAACTCAAATTGTGTGTAATGTGGCCTAAACGCTCAGTTTCTAGACAAGAGCGCGCATCATGTTTAAATCCCACACTGATAAAGTATTGATCATATACATTGAGAATAGAGTAGACAACATATTTCTTATTAAATATTACCAATAACGTATAGACTCGATTAACTTTGATAGTAAATGAAAATAAGGGTATACACCCTTATTTTTATAATACACGAAGTATATAATATATATAAAAACATTGGATTAGTGAATATAGTAAATAGCTGATTCTAATCATGGTAAACCAAGGCTGCATAAAAGCTTGTGCTCTGAAAAATGTCATACGCATATCTATTAAGGGAAGAGAATCGTGAACACGGAGCAATCCAAAATCGATGAAAATGACGAGTTACACCGCTTAGATGCACACATTACATGTACCCTCGAACTCTGAAATCGCTATCTCTCCGTGTTTGAGAGATGCCAACAGATAACCAACATTTTATAGGCTCTGGAGATCTTGGCTTCTACAAAAGTTTCAAGCAGCATTTGCTCGTTATTGAGACAACGGGCATCTTCTTTACCAAACATCTCAGCGATTTCAACTGACATGATGGTGAGAACATTTACTAATTTGTACAAGCCCTATAGAAGAAGTTAAAATTGTATTATTGCTTAATCCATGTCAATAGGTTTAAAAACTGACCAATGTCTGTCATTTAAAGGGCTTCAGATATGCGGCATGTAAGGTTTAATTACATTTGTCCTTGCTCTTAACTGAGGCAAGCGCAGCACAATGGTCTTATAACTTGCCCTAAGGTCTTGTGTATTTTAACAGATTGATCCGTAAGCCAATCATGTAGAAATCCCTCTTCAGTTACACATGAATTCTGGGTCACCAAAAGAACTACTTTCTCGCTTATAAAGCGCATCGATTTACGCTAACCAAAATTCAGATTTTTACTAAAATCCGGACTTAAATCCTTTCGTTACATACACTCATCTAGCGACTCAGATTTTTACAACTTTGTGTTTCTAGAAGTTAGATTTATTCTTCTTGGTTGCAATATAGACGCCATGTATCATTTACGTACATTCTTGATAGATATAGCAACTTTTTTCTCAAAATGTGATCAATTATAAACATTTAAAGGGAGAATAAAATAAATGACCGCTTAATATATCAGGATACAAGCTCACACTGACAAAAGATGACAAAGATAACCGTCTCCTTGTATCGGACGATATAATGTAACAGAAGCATACATCTAATCACAAGCATTCGAAATCCTTTCATGGTTAACATGTCTTTAAATTCAATTATAATACGGCCTTAAAGTTTAATTTACAAAAATGAGGTGCATTTGTGATACCACGGAAGAGCATAAATGGCAGGAATCATAACATTTTGAACGAATGAGATGCTCAACTATGTTCATAAACGGCCAGGTACATGTATTCAAATGTACCCCACATATAATTTAACCTGTTCTTTGTTTAGTTTCGATGATAAACGTTGCATATTCCCATGCTCTAATTGCATTTGTCCTCCTCTTTTTATTTGAATCAATTTTCAAGTCATGTATCATGTGCCATGAACCAATTCTATACATTGGCATAAATCTGGAGTTAAAGTTCTTGGATAGCTGATTGTATTGGCAAATTAAGGTATGAAGAAACAGCAATTAATTACTGATGGGTATGGGTATATTTGATTTGATATGAATTTAAAGTTGATCAGCGAAGAATATGAGGTTAACCTATGATCTGATTCATTAAGCTTTGATATACAGCCATGGTAGGATTACTCACGTCCTTCATTCCATGCATAAATACACAAGGCTTGGTTATTTATGATTGCTCAGCATCTATCAGTACGAGTTTTCTGCACTAAACTTCATAGCTTAAAGGGGATATGACGGTCTAATTTGTGCTTGGCATACTCCAAGAAATACCTCGATAGTTGCGTTAGAGTCATTGCAGTTAGATCGAGGCAATTCGTGTCTATGAGGGACAGACAAATTGGTTTTATTGCAATAATTCACCGACTAAGCGGGTGTCCTCACATTGCCAGTCTGGCGTGCAAAGACATGTGAATGAGTGGGGGATAAGACGTACCTATAAAAAAGTAAGAGGTCAAAAAATCTGCTGATAGATCCCAGTGAAAAGGCCAACTTACTTATCAGGATTTTGAACTCGACTGAAAGGAGGCAATACCTTGTTGCCAAGTGAGACCAGTGCCGAAAAACCAATGAGGGCAATGTTACTCGCTCCTTGCTCATCACGATTCATGGTAGTTTGTTTTAGCCAGCCTTTTTGGACACTCAGGGTTAAAGCATGTAACGGCACCGAGGTTCCTCTTCATTCTATTATCTTCACCACGCACCAGTTGTTTCTGTGTCGCCTTGAAACATGAGCAGCAAATTCTTGTAGAATTGTATTCGTCCACCAATCTGACTGTGCTTCTTGTGGACAGCGTTGACATGTACGGCTTCATACTTCGAGTGCTGTGGCCACGGAGGTACTGAGTATTGCGATGCCAGTTTCCTATGAAGGAAACCATCTTTGGCTTGTTGAAGGCGGACATGGTTGCAGCAGATCTGGCTTCACTGGCTACCAAATGTTGGTGAAGTTTCTTCAAGCGGATTCGTCCAGTTGCCCTTCCTTTCTGTAGCTTCTTGACTGATGGCTTCTTCCTCTTCTTTTGCCTATTGGAGAGGGCAGCATTATCGACTTTGCTGGCTGTCATTTCATACCTGACGAATGTTTCTTCGTTTCCAAGAGAGGTTGCAGTGTCAGAATAATCTTGCAGCATTTGAAACCGATTGATCGACTCAAAAAGAGTGAGAGAAGCCACTAGAAACGAATAATTCCTGAACACTGGCACTGATGTCGTCAATAATTGCAATGGGCTTGACACTCTTGCTCAAACCACAATCAAATAAATCAACAGCTTTGATGTCAAAGAAAGACATCTTTTTCTGTGTCGCATGTTGACCAGCCAAGACCAAATCGACCAGCATGCCAACAGCCTTCGACAAGCCGCGAATGCATGAGTGGCAATTAGCTTGGAAATCCGTAATCACTCCAAGAAAGACTCCGTAATCAAAACGAGGATGAATTATGGCCTTCAGAGAACGAGATAGACTTCGAAGCTCTATGGTTGGATCAACCATCGCTCCACCAGTTGCCTCACCAGCTCCAGCATCATCAGCTCCAGCACCACCTGCTTCTGGCCCAGTGGGTTTATCATCATCAACTTCAGTTTCATCGTTCTTAGATTTACCAGCACTTGATCCACCAGCACTTGATTCACCTGTACTTGATTTATCATTACGGAGCTTACGAAGGATACCAGGGAAGGAGCATTCCGCCGTTGATCGAAAGTGGAGGAGCTGATCCGCTGGGTCAAAGAAGAAAAACTCAAACACTTTCAATGTGGACAAATGTTTTAAAACATAGTCAATCGTAGACCGGGAGGTACCTCTAGTGAAGGTGAAATCATAAAAGGATTCTCCAGGGACGTTGAAACAATCATGCAAATTGTGTTGGACGAAATCGATCAAAGGTGTACAAGGATGTTCGACGGTGTAGTGTGAACTACTGCTGTCGAAGGAGTAGTTGAAGTCCAGGGCAACAATCAAGGACGGCAGGATGGCCGCCGAATTAGGTAAGGAATGTATCATAGAGATCATGTTGCTGAAGAACATGGTCTTGCTGCGAGAGCTGTGTTCCGCAGGAGCATATAAATTTAAAACATAAAAGGGTTGAATGGAGTTATCAAGGAGTGTAAACTTGGCAAGAATCAAACGGCCATCTAGGGTTTCATGGACTTTTTCCATTAAGAGGGCTGGGTTGACGGTGATAATTGCACAATACTGTGTCCAAAAGGATTGATGGCACTGAAATTTGAGGTGCATAGTGGTAGTGGTTTGATCAAAGTGATCCATAGGAATGTTGGTTTCTTGGCATTGTAAAATATTGAGCTTTTCGGACCTCAGATGTCTGACGAAGTCGTCAGTGTGTGTGGTATAGTGTTGTTTTGGGAAGGTTCTACAATTGATAGAGCCTATCTTCATATTAAAAATCTTATGGTCGTTCATCATTAATTGGAATAAAATCATGATTTAGAGTCGGTCAGGACTCTTAATAGCCCTTCCCAATCTACTTCTGAATCCCGGATTGAGAGATCTATCCTTGTTGAACTGTCTTTGGTGTCCATCAGCGCCATTGGATGCCTCAGGGGAGCTTTGAAGTTTGATCTTGCGTGCACGAACGACAGGACAGTCAGCCTTGATGTGCTCATCAGAGTGGCATTCCTTGCAAACAACACCCATGTTGCTCCAAACAAGGGTGATTTTGCGCTGTGGATTAAATGACATTTGGTGTTGAGTGAAATAAGATTGAACGTTGGTTTCGTCAAACGCACTGTCGATGGTAGGAGTGATGTTGAAAGAGGAACGCTCCTGCTGTTTAGCCATGTCTGCCCAACTCTGACTAGTGAAAGAGGAATTTTGTGGATTATGGCGAGAGTCTGTACCGGTTCCGTCAGTAGAACTGGCAGGATCCCTTACGTTGTGATCTTTAGTAGAGGAGGCCATGGAGGACACAAATTGTGTCCCAGCAGTGTCCTTCGCCCCAAACAAATTAAACCTCAGCACAGCGAGAAACTACTAGTAGGCTACAACACAAGTTTTGAATGGAAACCGCAACTTTAGGGCAGCTTTGATAGCACCTAATTCAAATATAACTCTATTAATTGTATCTTAGTGCATTTTCCTAATTCTAGGCCTTTGAATGATACTCTTTTTATGCTCATAGCTTGTGTAAACAACGCACGCTCCGAATTTGAAAGTTCACCACCCAAAAATGTGTTTGGTTGACTTCTCATGACTTGAAAATGCACAAAAAGCTCACGAAACTTAGACATTTATAGTATCAAAAGAGCAATGGAAAGACAATGCATCTTTTGATAATATTTGTTGGCTGTATAGACGCTATGTAATATACTTTTTTTTTCAGCAGGTTTTTTTTTGAGGCTTTGACGCGTTCAACAAAAATTGGTTTGGTGCCGCCCAAGGCTTGGCAAGTGCTTGACAGTTCTCAAGTTGATCGTTTTCGATCATTTTTTACATGCTAATTAAAATTCGAATAAAGAAACCTACTATTTCTCCTCGTCTTGGAAATGTAAAGGCATTACCGTCGTGAATTACGAGCGGACAACATGTTGGAATCAATATTATTGATTCCGTTGTTGAAGATCCCAAGTATACTATACAGGTATGTCGTTCCACTTCTATAAGACACTAGCTAATCTATCTCGCTACGCTCAATGTCGGCGTTGCCCTGTGGGCTCTCGCCGAAGACATTTTATATCAGATATGATAAAATTTTGGTATATCAAGTAGGTTTTATACAACCAACTATTAGTTAGTAGAAGAAAGGTTATATCAGAGCCAGGAGGAGGAGAGGAGGTATCTCCCTCAGCATCCTTTTTGCTTACACTGATATTAAACGAAGCCTATTATTGAGACGATGTGAAAGAAAATTCAGGTTTTATGCAGCGTTTGTACATTACAATCGCTATTTTTTGGTAATAGAGTTGTCATATCATTCACTGCTGCTGATGCTTTTAATAAGATGGCGACATAAAGCTGGTCATGCGCAAATATAAGACTTTTGTAAGATCTACAGCGACTTTTTTGAGATGTTGTCATTGCAAGAGATACCTTCATGAGGCAAAACTTCCAGACAAAAAGTATTTGCGCTGAGCAATTGTCTTTTCAGTTCCATGATTCCCATTTAATCAGCATCGCAATCATCGTTGTCATAAACAGAAAGGCATTTAGGTCAGCCAGCAGCAAGCAGCCGCCAAACTTTATTTAAACTTAGTTTATTTTTTCTGTTCAAGATTGGACAAGTTTCGTCCTTTTACGACTTCCTTAATCTATTTTATGATGTTCGACTATATAAATTGTGATAATCACCCTACGCTTCCTAATACATTCTTGAAGTACTTTTCAAGGCGCTTCCAATAGTATTAATTGTAATAAATGCTTTGACTAAAGTTACTGAGCAACTTGGTAAAACATGAAATGAGGCTTAAAGCAAAAATAACCATATTCTGCATATGAAAACCTCATAAAAGTGGCTTCAGAGGTTGCTTTGGATCGAGGGAAACATTTTGATCTAATATATACCATAACAAAAGTCTTCGTTTTTGCGGTCCAAAACGCGATCGCTTGCTTTTTGGTCGATTTTTGGCCATGTTTTTTTTGGCTCAAAAAGTTGAGCAAAGGTGTCAGGAAGTTACTACTACACAAGTACAAATGATTGGCGTTATTCCGGAGACTTAGAAAGGTCTACATGTCAAGATATGAAGGATTGAAAGCTGTCAAATGTGGTTATCTTTTGCTTTATGGCTTTTATTTACACGGCATGAATCACACCTTTGGTAGCTGAAGTCTTCTGGAAGAGCAGTTCTGTAGCTTGAGCAATTTTTAATACGAATAGGAGGTATATTGATTTTGGTAAAGCTTATTCTTGCAAATATATCAACTGGTATGGATATCTAGTGTGGTTTTCTTGACATGGGAGCTCCCAATTTGATGTTGTAACATACGACAATGATTGTCGCTTTGAGAAGGCTACTCGTGGCAGTTGAGATTAATTTTGAACAACTTGATTCGTATAAGATCTATCAGATCTACGCCCAAGCACTGTACAGTGAAATTTCCAATATCGGCATCGTGGATCAGATCTTCCATAAATTAAAAACATGTTGAGGGGTGGATCGAACATGGTTTTGTTTCTCTGTGTTCGAACCAAACGACTTGCTGATCAGAAAACGAATCAGCAAACTTATTTCGATGTCCATCCTTGAAAAACTTTGCGAGGCGAATATATTTTTGAAACTTTTGACAAATAACACTTGTATTTTCTCGAGATGATGCACGCATCTAATGCAAGCAAGGGGACTCTTTACAATGATGGCACTGTACGCTAAGTGTTTTTCTGCTTTAAATGACATTGCTCTTGTATGTTGTACAACCGAATGAAGATGAATTTGCAGAATTTAAATAATCGACAATTTTGTAACAAAATCAATTTTGAAAAAAAAAGTCGCTTGGCTTTATACCGAATGTCGACAAAGCAGAACCAACATTTGCAATCGCAGGAAGGGTCTTGTCCGCTAGACCGAATACCTTTTTTTTTGATTTCAAACAATTATTCAGAAACAAAAGGCTAAATATATACAAAACGGTTCAATTTTCCCCAATTGGATTATATAAAAAAGTATAGACCATAAGCTTCAAATACATCAAACACCAATGCCAACCCCACGTGTGGTACATGATTGGCTTTTCCGAAAAGAGAGGTAGTTGAATTGGTTAGTTGAAACCAAGAGGGAAAAATGGAAACATCGAAGGATATGCCCAGCTTTTATATATAAACTGATGTACATGACAAATGGTACACGCAAGCGCGGTTAATAGATATATATAGATATATATATATATAAGCAAGAATGATTAAATCATAGCGTAACCTCCAAATGCAGCACATCCTATTGTTGTAATCATGTTGACTTAAATTTGACATGCTTCTTCGAATTTCTATACCTTGAAAATGTAAAAATAACCATACTTTTAGGGCCAGAACAAGTTGAATCATGTCATTTGCTACATGTGAGGTCGTGTGTGTGAGCTGTAAGCCAATCAGTGCGGCCCCCAACTTGCCTTATCCAGCTAATTAGGCCCTTAGATTAGTGGAAAATACTGGTAAACCAAGGCTCCGGCTGAACCCAATGCTCAACATCCGAATATCTGTGTGTTGTAATTATATAAAAGTTTTTTTTTTTGAATATATATAAACCCATATTCTGAAACTTCTGAAAAGCGACACTTTATTCTTCTTTCAATCTCTTTCATTTCGCCCTTTTGATCGTCCCATAATGAGATTCTCACATACATTGCAATTAAATGCAGTGCCAGAGTGGATTGACAGCTATGTCAAGTAGGTGTCCCCGCTAAATGTAAACATGTCAAACGTAGACCAACTCATTTTTTGTAGCTATGACACACTGAAAAAGCTGATTTTCCAGCTGGAGAAGGAAAATGTCGATGAAATCAATGCCAACCAAGATCCCGAAAAGAGGCTTGAACACAAACAAGATGGTGAAGCAAGATTTTTGACAGCTCTCGATGCCCAACTTGAGAAAGTGTTTGATTTCTACACCCAGAAGGAATCCGAGCTCTACGGCATGCTTGACCAGATTGATCATGAGATTGACAGCAATGGTGATTTGAACAACGATGGTGAATATCCTGATGCCAAGGCCCATTTATCCCCTCTTGAAAATCTTGATTCTACCTATCGCTTCCCTAATTCCATGAGCGAAAAGGATGATACCGGATATCCGGTGGAAAGAATCGAGCAAATTGCTCCTCAACGTCGTGGTTCCAGAGCCTCTCGTGCATCCCGTCGTCCTTCTCGCCAATCATTCGAATCTCGCATGTCCATGGACAATGTGGACGATTTTTTGATGGAGCAGCTTACTGATTTGCGTTCTCAACTCATCTTACTCTACATCTCATTATCCGAACTTGAGTCCTATGTTGAGCTGAATCGCACTGCCTTTGAAAAGATACTCAAGAAATACGACAAAGTGTTGGAAGGCAATTTGAAGGAACAGTATCTCAACAAGATGGTTATGGACAGTAGACCATTCATGCCCGAAACCATGAACGTCCTCAAAGAACAATTGGCTCGCATTGAAACTATCTTTGCTAATGCATTCTGTGGCGGCAATCACACTGTTGCTCTGCGTCAAATGAAGAGTCATTTGCGCGATCAAGTTACTTTTGAACGTAATACTGTGTGGAAGGATATGGTGCGTCAAGAGCGCAAGGTCAATGACACTAAGCTCGTCGTCCCCAAGGTCACCAAGAAATACAAGATTCCCTTTACAAGGTTCAGTATCGAAGCAGGTCTCCTTCGTCAACTCATCTGCTTTGCTTTTGCCATTGCTGCTTTCATCATTCTTCTCTGTGTCGATTGTTTTGGTGACCGTCAAGAAAATTACTGTTTCGCCTTGCTGATCTTCTCTGCCATCATGTGGGCTACTGAAGCCATTCCTCTTTATGCCACGTCCTGTCTCATTCCCTTCTTGATTGTGCCACTTGGTATCCTCAATGATGCTAATGGCAATCAAATGACTGCAAAGGCTGCCTCCAAGGCTGTCTTCCAATCCATGTACAGTGGCACCATCATGATGCTTCTCGGCGGGTTTGCTCTTGCAGCTGCTCTCTCCAAATACGGTATCGCTAAAGCATTTGCTTCCCATGTCTTGAGTCGTGCTGGTACTCGTCCCATGTGGGTTTTGCTAGCCATCATGTTTGTCTCTGGTTTCCTCAGTATGTTCATCTCTAATGTTGCTACTCCTGTGCTCTGTTTCTCCTTGATCGACCCTATTCTTCGTACCTTGCCTGACAGATCCCGTGTAGCACCTTGTTTGATTCTCGGTATTGCCCTTTCCAGTTGTATTGGTGGTATGACCTCTCCCATCTCTTCTCCTCAGAACATTGTCACTATCCAATACATCAACCCCAACCCTGGATGGGGTCTCTGGTTCGCTGCTGCCTTGCCTATTGCCGTCTTGTCCATGTTTGTCTGCTGGGGTCTCTTGTTGCTTATTTACAAGCCTGCCAGAGATACCCCTCATTTGAACACTATCAAGCCTACCAAGGAGAAGATTACAAAGACTCAAATCTTTGTTTGTCTCACTGCCCTTGCTACCATTGCTCTCTGGTGTGCCGAGTCTTCCATTGAATATGCCTTGGGTGACACAGGTATCATTGCTGCCATTCCATTGTTTGTCTTTTTCGGTACTGGTATCTTGAACAAGGAGGACCTCAACAACTTTTTGTGGTCTGTCGTTGTGTTGGCTCAAGGTGGCATGGCTCTAGGTAATGCAGTTACCTCATCCGGCTTGTTGCAAGATATTGCTATCCGTCTCAAGGATGGTATCTCTAACTTGCCTGTCATTGCTATTTTGGCTGTTTTCTGTTTCCTCATCTTGGTCTTTGCCACCTTTGTCTCTCATACTGTTGCTGCTCTCATTATCGTGCCTATTGTCAAGGAAGTTGGCGAGCAATTGCCTATTCCCCATCCCAATTTGTTGGTAATGGGCGCTGGTTTAGCCTGCTCTGCTGGTATGGGTCTCCCAGTCTCTGGCTATCCCAACATGTCTGCTATCATGCTTGAAGATCCCTCTGGCAAGCCTTACTTGTCTACAAAGGATTTCGTCATTACCGGTATTCCTACTAGTATCATTTGTACCGTGTTGATCTTTACTCTTGGCTACGGTATCATGTCTGGCATTGGCTATTAATCTGTATTCATTCATTCTCTCTTTTCCATCTGTTATGTATATATATATATATTTTGCTTCAAAACTACTAAAAGCTCCCGTCTTTTAGGCTGTGTATACCGTTTTAACCATTCTTCCCACTACTCGTCTTTACAAATTATACATTCATAAAAATTCGCAACAAGTAATAAATGCCATTTCATTGCAATTTTATTTCAAAAGTACATGATAGCATGCATTCAGCTGCAATTGATCTAGTGAATAGCACACAATATCCAACGACATGGCTGGCTTTTCAAAATGATATTCCTGCAACACGCTTGGCGCTATTGGCACCAGTTCCTGTGTCTGACTCATGTAATAGTAAAAGGTCGTACGCTGTGATTTCTTCTCAGAGACAGAAACTAAGACAGCATCTGTGACACCATAATCCTGTATAATGATCAGTTTCTTGAATTGTGTGAATGGCATGTTGATAGTATCGATGGCTCTCATGGCCAGATCTGTTGAAAAGCTGCATGTGTCTATTTTCAAGTAGTAGAGACTTGTGGCATACAGCTTTGAAAAGTTGTACAGAGATGCTGATGAAGTAAGCAATGATCTTTCCATGGATACAAAAGTCAACTGATGGTTTGATAACAACGTGTCGTCCTGGATAGATGATTCCATATCAAAGCAGCCTTGTACCAGGTTGAACACCTTTAAATTGGGGCAGAAGGATGTGAGTATCGTTTCCGTAGATTGTGTGTGGCCCAGAAACGAAGATGGGAGCTGGATACTTAATTGATCCAACAGATAACCGTCATCTTGCAATAGAGCCATGTGCGGCAGATCATTCACTTCCATACCAGCAGGCAAATGTCCCTGATATCTCAGACTTAGTTTACCCACGTGTTGATTTGATGTTGTTTCTTCCTTGTGGTAGACAAGATCCGGTTGACCCGTGGTAAACGATGAGCAGCTGCCATAGCTAATGTAGAGCTTGGGTCCCGTCTTTGCGTAATAGAACTGCCTGACTAGCTGGTGCATAATGGCATAGTTGGGCACAAACAAATCAATATGCGCTTGGTGCAAGCAAGTTAAGAAACGGATCATGTGGGCCATTGCCATCTGCAAGTCGTCTGACCAGCCGAATATGTCGTTTGTTGGCTGAGAAAAGTGTAACATTAGTTTTTGAAGTTGAGGAAATTGATGAGTGATGGTATAAAGGAGCTGAGGATTCAGTGAGCTGGATGTCAGTTTGAGTTGTCGCAGTTTGGGCACCAGAGCTGTATTGTGTGTTGCTGTAGATGTCGTGTTTGATGTCATGATTAGTTGATTGATATTTGGGCATTCAATCAGTGTGGGTATAATATCATACAAACTGGTGAAACCATGTTGAGTGGTTATCTTTAATGTTTCCAAATGTGTAAATGATTTGATCATATCGATGAAATGCTGTTTGCTGGATTGCCATTCGGTGATGTGCAGATACGACAGGGTGGATTTAAAGTACAGAAACTTGTCCAAGCTCTGTTTGTCAGCCATCACTTTGAACTGTGGTACTTTTCGCAGTCGTTTCCAGTGCTGTTGATTGTCGATCGACATGACATTGTTCCAAAACATGTTGGATGGGAACTGCAACTCCTGAAGGTTTGGACAGGCGGCTGCCAAATGTTGAAAATCCGCGTTGGTTGGCATGAATTTTGTTTCCAATGCAATCTCATAGTGAATGACAAGCGATTGAATGAATTGGCCCGGCGTAGGCAGCAGATAGCCACCAGATGAGATGCATTCAATGAACTTTTTGAATCGAAACAGGTGGTGGAAATTGAGATCATCATGTTTCTCCTCAATGACGACCTTGCTGTAGAAGGCGCATTTAGCAGGTACATGCCATGAACGACAAACAAACTGGCAAACAAGCTGGTCTTGTTTGTTTGTACGATCAAATATGCAGGATACCAATTCAATTGGAAGGACATTCATGATATGAACAAACAATAAGAAGAAAAAAAAAAAAAAAAAAAAAAAAAGGTAAAAGAGAAGGAGAGAAAAAGTATCCTAGGCTTTTGCTGATTCATGTGAGGGGGGAGTTAGCCAATGAGATCGAGATGGTCTGTTTATATGAAATTCATGTAATCCATGTTGTGCTCCTTGATCGTACGCCAATACAATGCGTTTAGGAACAGATAAGATATAGCCAGCATCTTATCAAATGGCGCGTGAGCAGATGCATGACTACAAGCCTATAGGATCATTATTTCATGGTGTATGCATTTTAATTGAACTCGCTATTATAACGTATTATTTATTAGTACGGGGAAACGAGCCCATCAAAAAGATTTCAATACAAACTTGGAGATTTATTTGCTCATATTTGACCTATATAAAAAGACGCTTTCAAGAGCCAAAACCAATGCATTGGCGTGCTCATCTCATTATTTCTTACACAATTCAACTAGTATGAAAGTATTGGACTCTGCAAGATTCGGATTTGTCTTTGCTGCCATCTTACTCATTAGCAATGTGCAAGCTGCTTGTCAAGGTGACATTGTTGTAGTTACACAGCAAGATATGGACCAGATGCGTAACTGCAAGACATATGGTGGCAACATTTTGGTCGACAACTCGGGCGTTCCTGAACTCAAGATGAATGGTGTTGAACTTTTGGAAGGCGACTTGATCATCTCTAACAACAATGGTCTTCAAAAGTTGGCTTTCCCCAAGTTGCAAGGCATCAATGGCCAACTTAAACTTGTCAACAACAAGCTATTGAGCACAATCGACATGAAGCAACTCTATGCCATTCGTAGCCTCGAAGTGTCTGTTCATCCTGCTCTCAATGACCTCAAGTTTCCCGCTGGCTTATCTCAAGCGGAAAAGATTATCATTGCTGATACTACCATTACCAAGGTTGAAGGCTTCAAGATGACCTCGGTCAAGGATGTCGAGATTTCCAACAACATCTATCTTAAAAGCTTGTCTTTTGGCAACATGACTAACCTTGGAAACATTCTTGTCTCTGCTAATTCACCTTCTTTGCGTTTGGATGTAAGTTATCTTTTATTTTGCTTATGCTTTTGCTAACATGCTGCCTGTTAGTTGAGCCAAATCGACGGTGTTCGTGAAGCTACTTTCCGTAATGTAGCTCAAATCTCTTTGGACAACCTCAAGAAAGTACTTGGTGATATATCCTTCATCTCCAACTCGTTTGAAAGCTTGGAAATGCCTGCTGCAACTGACATCTCTGGTACCTTGACATTGACTGACAATATCAACCTCAGTAACTTGTCTATGCCTCAATTGGCTCACTTGGGTGGTGCTCTCTCGGTTGGAGGAAACACCAAGCTTACCAATGTCAATGCATTCCCTAACCTCCAACAAGTTGATGGTACTCTTGATATCACGGGTGGCTTTGATGAGGTCCAATTCCCTGCTTTGAGTGATGTCCGTGGTGGCCTCAATGTGCAAACATCTAGCAACTTTTTCTCTTGTGATTCTATGAATAAGCTCAAGAATGGAGTCATCAAGGGCAACTCCTTTATTTGTAAGGCTGCTGTTGCCAAGCCAAAATCTAACATCAAAGGAAAGGGCGGTGCAGGCGGCTCCGATTTCATTGAAAATGCAGGCAATACTTTGTCTTATGGCTACTTGACCATTGTTGGTGCTACTTTGGCTTACTTGATTAATGCTGTTTGATTTGATTCATATATAACAATACTACTACTATTACTATTTAATAAACCCATTTAAAAACCATTCAGATCTTGTAGGATTTTGGGCTGTCAGGCTTACTAAAATTGCAGATATATATGAGCTGTAGTACACCACAAAAGCCATGTTTCTTCGATGCTTTGGCTGTGCATTTGACATGAATGCCTACGAAAGCATCTTCAATCATCTGTCAAACACAACATTTGAAAGCTTTTTTTTGCTAGGTCTTGCTAACCAAAATCAATTGAATCTCCGACAAACACTTGTCGTGTAACACCATATCAATGGTATAAAGATCCAAGCATCCACATCAATAAACGTCAGTCTTTCTTCTTCCTACATATTATAGTGGTCCCTTTATTCCTGAACAATACATGGTGAGGCTCCCTAACTGAATTCTCGAACCCGGAAACCACTAGATATATCAAAGGCTCACACTCGACTACACCAAATCACACATATCGCAAGATCACACATATCGCAAGATCACAAAACATCGCTCCAGCACACAGCTGCAATCACCTACTCGCAAACAGGCCCGAACAACAGAACCAAAAAACTACTTCACGCAGCAAGTAAAATTTATCGCATCCCTTCGAAAGGTTTACACCACAACAAACAGTACCTCGTCTATCACATCATCTTATCACACCACCCCACAGTCCGTTAACATGGCCGATTCCAACACCAAGGAGTTCATCCAATACATGAACCTTGAAAAGGTCAAGTCTATTGACATGCCACGGTATGAATTGCATTCTAGCTTACGTACCTACATCAAAGAATTTGAATTACAGGCAAATTTCGTAGGCATTGAAAACATGGATATCTGTACCGTCCAACTAGGTCGCTTCATGCCTCCCGTCATCAAAAACTGGTTACCTACCTTACCTTCCTCAGTCAGACAAAACTGGGCCAACGTAACTGAACAAATGCTGTTACAATTTGGTCGTCCTGCCGACGAGGAATATCGAGAGTTCAAGTCCAATTTGAAGCGATGTCAACAACCCAAGCAGGAGTCCATCAAACTACATAGTGCTAAATGGAAACATTTGCTAAGTCTGCTGCCGGATAATCATATCTCGGATGCTCATCAAATATCTTTATTTACTCAATCGCTACACGACAGAGGATTACGTGCTACATTAACAGCGTATGTAGAACTCGCTAAGGTCACAACGGTGCAAGAAGTTATCACGAAGGCCATCGATTTTGAACACAAGGCTAGGCTCAATGATAATACTGATGAACAAGCACACTTTTCGGGATCCCACACTCAATCCACGATGGATGACCCAATGGAAGTTGATTATGTTAATAGCTCAAACTCGTACAAAGACAAAAGTACTAAAAGACCATTCAGAAATAGCAAAAAGTCATTCAATTCCAAACCTCGTTCACGATTTCCTCCGGATCCTGTACCTCGATTATACAACAAACAAGGACATCCTGTCTGCGGTCACTGCTTCGGCGAACATCGAAATTACGAATGTCCCACACAGGCATCCTCTGTGCATCAGACAGACACTATTGAACACCCAGAGGATGACTCAGGATTAATGGAATTGGGGTCCCCGGTTCCTCTTAATCACATTCGTGCTACTTCCATGCATGCTATTCGAACCACTCAACATGACAGTTTCACTCCCACAACTAAAATCGTCATTGGAGATCACACTATTCATGCATTATGGGACACAGGTTCTGCTATCACTGCCATGGATTATGACACATGCGTTACACTGCAGTTGACAATAGACAACAATCAGATCATCAGTTACACAGACGTGAACAATCGTACAGCACAAACGATGGGTATTACTAAATTGAATCTTTTTGGTTACGAAACGAAATTTCATGGTATACGCGGTTTGGCTCGTCAGGCTATCATCGGCTGGTATTTCATGTGCAGATTTCAGGTCAATATGAATACTAAACTCAAAATGTTCACACTACAAACTGACAATCATCTTATAAACTTACATTACGAGACCACGGCTACGAGGCGTTGTAACATCCAATTAACCGATTCCCAAGATGCTCGGATACAAGATGTATTACAAGAGTTCAAAGAATTATTACGCAAAGACTCGGACAAGCCCTCAGTTACTACCAAAATGGAATTCACCATCGACACGGGAGACCATCCTCCCATTTACATTCGACCAAGACATTACCATCCTGACATACAATCGAAGATCGACGCCAAGCTCTCTGAACTGGAACGCAATGGAATTGTCAGCAAAGTCAACTTCACGGATTGGGGCTTCCCAGTAACAGCGGTCCCTAAGCCAAACGGCTCTCTTCGCATATGCGGAAACTACGTCAAACTAAATGCGATCACAAAGACTATCAAGTATCCGTTTATCAACCTCCATCATGCACTGCAGTCTCTGGGCAACGCAAAATATTTTTCAAAAATAGATCTCCTGTCAGGCTATTTTCAAATTCCCATTGCTGCTGCTGACAAGCCCAAGAGTGCCCTGGTAACACCTAACTCTACATATGTTTTTAACACGATGGCCATGGGGATGAAAAATGCCCCAGCACACTTTCAATTATTAATGGATCAGGTACTCGGGGACATGAGATACAGAACTGCTATCGCTTATCAAGACGACACCATACTGTTCTCTGATACCTTTGACAATCATGTGCTCCAGTTACGCAAACTCCTAACGAGACTGAGGGAAGCCAATTTGACCATCAACATTGAAAAGTGCCAATTTGGGCTAAATCAAATCAATTTCTTAGGTTTCATTGTCTCTGATCAGGGTGTCCATGCTGACATGGATAAAGTTACACCTATCACTAATCTACGGGCTCCCACAAATATAAAAGAGGTTGAAAGGTTACTCGGCATGGCAGGAGTGTATTCCAAGTTTATATCCAAGTATCAAGTAATGGTGGAACCAATTCGACGCTTGAAGATCAAAGATGTACCATTCGCTTGGGAATCCGAACAGGAGCACGCGTTTCAAGAACTCAAAAGGTCTCTCGCTGCATTACCTTACTTGAAACAACCCAATTTCAAACTTCCATTCGAGCTTCATTGCGATGCTGCCACCTCAGCAGGCATTGCTGTCATACTCTGCCAACGGTACGATGACACACCTTACCCTCTCTCCTTCGCATCCCGCAGTGTCACCAAGTTTGAAAAAAACTACTCCATCCGTGAATTGGAAGCTTTAGCCATCATCTTTGGGGTTAAGAAATTTAGAATGTATCTTGAATGCAACCAATTTACCGTATTCACTGACCATTCATCCCTCCAGTGGCTTCTTAATACCGATGCGGACAAACAACCCAGACTTTGGCGATGGTGCCTCTTTCTACAGGCTTATGATTTCAAGGTTATATACATACCTGGAAAGGTGAACCATGCTGCGGATACACTATCTCGTGCTGCGATTCATGCAATTGTCTCTCATCATCCGGACATCGATTGGGCCAAGGAACAAAGACTGGATCCCATGTTACGACCATACTTTAACAACACGAATGTCAAGTACTCCAAGCATAAAGTCGTCGATGGCATACTATACAAGGTAGAAAACAAACAGCACAAGACCATAGCCACAGACATGTACATAATGGTACCTAGCCATCTGGTAGCGAATCTGATCAGCAAACATCATGACTCCAAGTTTGCAGGACATGGCGGTATCGCCAAGACCAAGGCTTCCTTGGTAAAAGCGCACTTGTACTGGACCAACATGACTCATGATATCAATGCCTATATTCAGAAGTGTCAAATTTGTCAAAGAATCAAGGGACATGTTGCTACTAAGCATAATATGACCACTACCCATGGAACAGCTCCGTTCATCAAGGTCGCAATCGACTACTTTGGTCCTCTGCCAACGTCAAGCGCGGGACATCAATACGTGTTGGTGGTTATAGACACATTCACAAAATACGTAGAACTATATCCTACCAGGTCTACAGCATCTCAAGAATTGGCTTCCATCATGTACACTCAGTTTATATTGCGACATGGCGTTCCCAACGAGATCATGTGTGATAACGGAAACAGCCTTGGATCACAATTCACCCAGCAAGTAGCAAGATATGTAGACATCAACATCGTATACACACCGCCGTATCATCCATCATCCAACGGGATAGTGGAACGATTCATGAAAACACTACGAACAATGATTTTATCATACACGGATATCAACCAGATTTCTACAAGATGGAGCAGCAACTTGAGGATAATTCGATTTGTATACAACAATATGTATCACCATTCTATCAAGACGTCCCCATTTGAGTTGGTCCACGGGCGCACAGCACGCACACCATTATCAACGATAATACCAGAGAAATTACCGGATTCATACAATGAACAAGACACCCCGGAATCACACTTCGCGAAACAGTTACAAATCAAGCTTCAAGTTACATTTGAACATGTACACAAACATTTGGAGAAAATATATGATAATCAAAAACTAACACCACAATTTGAAATCAATGACAAAGTATACATTTTCAACAATCGTATTTCCACTCGCAACAATCCAAGAAAACTACAAGTAGATTGGATAGGTCCTTGCACAATACAGAAGGTCCTGTCCACCACAAGATACGATGTAATCAATGATGCCACAGGTCAAAACACAAAAACACCCATGTGTCTTTTCTGAAACCATCTCACTGATCAACTTCTACCTATCATCAAGCTTTTTCCTATATTAGGTTTTTTAACGCGATTTTCATTCATACATTTATATCATAGTCCTTATTTAAATTCTATATCTTATCACAGCGGTGGGATGTCGTGTAACACCATATCAATGGTATAAAGATCCAAGCATCCACATCAATAAACGTCAGTCTTTCTTCTTCCTACATATTATAGTGGTCCCTTTATTCCTGAACAATACACACTTCCTGTCTCAGATTGGACAAATTTCAAAAAAAATCGATTCAATTAATCTATTTTGCAGGATTCGACTATACAAACTGTGATCAACATCCCATACTCCCTTAAGCTTCCTAAAAGTACTTTTTACGGCGCATCTAATGGTGCAAACTAAACGAGGTGTTATGAACAAGATTATCGAGAAATTTATAAAAATATGAAAAAAGGTTCTTGGTGAAAATGTAGAGATTTCACATATGAAGATCTCAAAAATAAAGTTTTTGGGGTTGCGTTGGATCAAGAGAAACATTTTGATTTAGTATACACCATAGAAAAAGTCTTCGTTTTTGCTGTCAAAAACGCGATCGTTTGATTTTCGTCAAAAAGCATGAGGTATCCCTCATGGTTTTCAGTCGAATTTTGGCGATCTCAAAAAAGTTGAGCAAAGGTGCTCGTAAGTAAGAGCTTGATGAAAGCAATTGTTTGGTGTTACTCTGACGGCCTGAAACAGCTTCTAGCACGAGAAATCACGACTCAAATGCCCATGAGTTTCGCTGTGATTTCCACATTTGCGAGCAGAAAAATACTAGTATGGTATGATACATAGATACAAATGCGTTCCACATATCAGTCTGGACGTAATGCATGCTCAGATACCCCGATATTCGGACAGTAGCCAACATAGATTAGGTTTTGATGAATGTAAATCGTTTGCCATATGAATGAAATTTGACAGTGCTTTTGATTCATACTATTAGACTTACATATACATCTTAAAATGGAAATGAAGCGGTGCCAAATAATACGCATGAAGCTGTCGTCCATTGCAGTGTTACTCATCATCTCTCTATCGATAGGACTCAAGTCCTTCATGTTTTAACTTGCAAGTACTCCATACTTCTTGGTTGAAGCAGCTTGGATGGGGCCTAGGGTCATGCGGGTAGAGTGGCTGTCGCATGTGGCCTCAGCACTCGTTGCTCCGGTAGCTGGCATGATGGTGCAACGAGGCTTCATCTTTTGGTCTCATTATGTTTCAAGCTGTTCTCTCCATTGTCTATCAAATATGCTACAATGTAGATACTCTTAGTACTGGTCTAATACAGTATCCCTCTATATAAATCAGTTCGCAATGTCAAGATTATTACTGCCTCTACGCCTACAAACAATTAAGCCATCATCTGTGCGGCCTTCCACCTACATGCTACATTGTCAAGGCTGCTCCTATACAATGTCATCCCTACGTCTATACAAAGGCAAGGCATGCTTTCATCTTTGCTGTCTCTATCCCATACATAATATCAAGCTATACTTTTCAATCCAAACTAACTTCTATACAAACTGCTAACCATTTATACAGATTCAAACAAGTTATTGTACATTGCCATATCTTTACGTATACATTCTCGTATAACATTGCATTAATAGTAAACAATATCGTTTTGCATTGCGTTTCATATCAAGGCATATAACGATTGGGGTCTTTCTCTGAGCTGCATAGCTAGAGTTTAATTGTTATTTGAACTAATATGTATAACAATGCACCGTTGCAATATGATCTTGCTCTACTTTTGATTACCAACAGGTGAGACACAAGCTTACATTTGCACATGGCGTTCTGGGTTTCTTTAAATGGGAGTTTCAAACAGGAAACAGGCATTAATTGACTTTTCTTTATTGCAGAACATTTTTGTTCTCGAGCAAATATCCTTTCATGTCTACAAATAATGAACCAGACGAATTACCTCCAGTGCCTTGTCCACTAGGTAACAATACTACACCATTGTCCGCTGGCAAATTAAGAGTAATTACAAGCTTTGAGAGCCCATTTAGTGGATATGCTTACAGTAAACAATAGATACAAATACTCAGTTGCTTCCTCAACGTCAAGGTCAAGAGACCCTATGTGATAACAACCCTAGGAGGTATATGGTATTACCAGTAGCACTGTGTGATTCACTCATTGGCCATTTTATCATAGACGAAAAATATCAGACCTCAGTATCAGAATTCAAAGAAGGACGCTGGAACGAATGCTTTGAATTTACAGTGACATTTCATGCACAATTATTCGGCACAATTCAATTAGATCTATACGACAACTATACCATCTATCCAGACAAGCACGTGGGTCGTGCAGAGATCCGTCTCAGTACGCTTGAAAGTATGCCAGAAACATTCATGAGTTACTACGAAATCTGGGACAAAAAGCTATCTACGGGAGCAAGCTCCAGCATTGGCAGAGAACGAGCGGCAGTGAATAATGTGGGCGCATTGCAAGCCAAGATCTCGTATCGCTATTTACGATCCAGCAATGTAGTTGATCAAGGCCAAAATTTGGGGCAGATAAAAGAAGTGCGGGAGGCTCCTCCTGGGTCCACAGATTTGTTGACAGAAGAACAATTAGCTGCTGAATTCAAGCGCCATTTGCAGTTCCAGCGTGAGAGGAAAAAAACCAACAAAGGAGGCATCAATTTCAAGAAATTTGAAGAGCAGGATAGTGTGGCGAATCAAGAGGGATTGGATTACCCTGATGAGAGTGATTACAGTGATTATGGGGGACAAGTGCATCATTCGGATGGATCAGACAGCGATGAAGAAGAGGGATCGTTGATGCAACCACTGAGGATGAGCAAGAGACGAGCCGACACTGCGTCCTATGGCAGAATATCCAATGCGAACGACAATGAAGAGGATGAATTTGGAGAGATGGTAGCTGCGCCAGAGCCAAATACGGTGCGACGATCGACATCTTGGCTCAATTTGTCCACCAGCGTAGCTGACACCAATGCCAAACCGAAGAGTAGAAAAGTAGTAGCCAAATCAAGTGCCTCAATCAAGACCATTCCAAGTGCCAACGAGAGTAAACAGTCCAAAGGATCCTGGATGGGAGCAACAGACACAAGCCAAGTGATTCGCACCATTGGAAAGCTGCTTGCTACTTTTGGCCAAGGATTTGAATTGACCAATATGCAGGTGTTGACAGGATTTACAGTGCTTGAAAAGTTTTACTCGGACCTTCCAAGAAACAGATCATGGGATATAGTCGAAAATTTGTCTGATGTGGATATGGGTGCTCGATTTTGGAAGTTTTCAATTGCGTCTTATGGATGGAAGGGCCTTAATTTCATTGGCAAGGGAAACGGTATCTTTTCTGATGCGATGCGAGAACATTCTGATGCCAAATCCATCATTGAATACCTAACCATACCTAAAGAGGATCTCCTGGCCTACGAGTTTCGATCAGCAGAGGCATTTCGACCGAGTTATTTTATCGCAAGAGATAGGTTTACAAATTCGATTGTGCTGTCTATTCGAGGCACGATGGTAAGATCCATTTTTCGCCTGCTTTTCGAATGGCAGTAACATTCTTTTTAGAGCATCATGGATACCCTCACTGATCTAGTGTGTGAATATGAGCCCTGGAAAGGTGGATTCATTCATAGCGGCATGAAAGTGAGTTGATTGCTTGTCTCTGAACAGCCATATATACTGACTCCAGTCAAACAGAATTCGGCCATGTGGTTTTTCCGTCATGTTGCTCCTCAACTGATCGCATACAGCAACGAACATTCAACAACAGGGCTCATAATTGTTGGCCATAGCTTAGGTGCATCTACAGCTGCTATTCTGACTATCATTCTCACCGATTACATGGAGGAATTCCGTCAAGGAAAGGAGGAGTTCACATTGCAGTGCTATGGCTATGCTCCAGCGTGTGGTCTCAGCCTGGATCTAGCAGAGAAATACAAGGACATTATTCAATCATTCGTTTTTGCAGACGATATAGTCAGTAAACTCAGTTATGGATCCATGATGGATGTTAAAGAGCTCATCATTGCAAGCTCTGAGGCGGTGCGAAATATGGGCGTAGGTGAAATCCTGTGGTCAGGAGGTGCTGGAGACGAAAAGTGGAGAGTAGCGTTCAAACAGATTGCAGAGGTACGCAAACGATGTTTAGATTCACTAGAGAATCCTCGAGTAAGTAGTGGGAGGCGTGTCAGTGTAAATTCCTTCTAAATAATGTGTGCAGCTGTACGTAGCGGGACAGATCTATCAATTTTGGCTGGTAAGATCCGTTTGTTGACGCACAAGCAACACCAGGACTCATTTTGCATAGGATCCAACACCGAGCAATGATACTCGTATAGTGATAGAAAAGACAACAGCAACCAAAGTGTGCAATGAAGTTGTAGTCAAGAAATCTATCATGCTGGATCATTTACCGACTAATTTTGATGTAGCATTCAGACGAGCGAGAGAGACATTGATGATGGAAGGAAGTTCTATTGTTCCACCCGAGAAGAAGTCCTCAGCGGATGGTGTGCTGGATCCTGTGCCATCAGAAGGAAAGGAGCATATTGGATTAAACAAAGACGTGCAACAAGTGCACAAGGATGATGACGGTAACGAGCACACTAAACCACTTGCTACGAATGAAAATGATCATCCCATCTGGGGATCTATAGCCAAACTAGGACTCCAAGGAACGACAGACAGAACGGGTGGGGAAGGAAAGGTTTTGAGCGATGAAACCAGATGATGGAAAATGTACATAATATTAATGCAAATCTAAGATTTGACTCTTGAAATTCGATTCAAGGATAAATAAACTAGAGAAGCCTTGTGCAACACATGTTTTATAGATGAAAGGTTTTCTTTATTGACATTACGGGATTAAAGGGGGTAAAAAAAAAAGATCATGATGGCTCTGTGATCTACAAGAGCTTCTCGATTTCAGCAGCAATAGACTTGGGCTCAGTGGTGGAGGCAAAACGCTTAACAACCTTACCCTCACGATCGATCAAGAATTTCTATTATCCATAGTGTTAATCAATGACGCCATATACACTGAATCCTGGTAATAATTACCTCAAAGTTCCACTTGACGCGCTTCAAACTGGTAAAGGGGAGAGAGAATGTTTAGTATATGTATATCCAAAGGCTAAATCAGCGTATTTACCCGAGAATGCCGGGTTGGGATTCCTTCAAGAACTTGTAGACAGGCGCTTCATTGTCACCATTGACATCACTAAAAGAGTGTCTCGCATAAATCGTTTGGTCTCTAATTTCTGATTGTCTGATACTTACAGCTTTGCAGTCAAAGGGAAGGTAACACTCCAGTTCAAAGTACAGAAATTTTGAATCTCTTCCTCGGATCCAGGTTCTATCAATATGAGCCATATCAGATACGATCCATGTCTGTATCCCGATGATGGAACTTACCTTGACTACCAAATTGGTTACAGGGGGCGCCAACGATAACGAAACCCTTAGGTTCGTACTTTTTGTAGAGCTCTTCCAAACCAGCATATTGCTTGGTAAAACCACACTTGGAGGCAACGTTGACAAAAAGAACAACCTTTCCAGATGGTTATTCAACCAGAATCACCAAAATCATTCAGTATAATTACCTTGCCCTTGAGATCAGCGAGATTCCAGTCTTTGTTCTTGATGTCCTTGACGGTAAAATCGTATAAAGTAGTCATTATGATGTGTTTGTTGTTTGTTTGTGTAGTTAAAGAAAAAGAAAAAAGAAAAAAGGAGAAAGTTTGTTTTCAGTTTGCATTAAATACCCTTTTGCTTGTGATTTTGTGATTATGAATAAAAATCATCGGCCCGGTCGGGGGGCAAAGGTATACGCAATAGAAAGTTGACTTTTATGGCATAACACCAAGAATGGCCACTGTATTTGCCAATCAAATGTTGATTTATAATATTCTCCATAGTAGTACGCTTTATATGCTGCACCTGATATTAAATCAATTGTCAAAATCGATTTGCAATTTGTCATGGCATTTCGTTTTGAGTTAATGATGTTTAATTGTGATGACTGTAGATGAAGACTGCTTGGCATCTTGCATTAGATCGACCCCAAATTAGGCACTCATCATGGATTTGAAGCCGCATCCAACAATTATATACAGCTGAATCCCAACCCCATTGTTTACGATGTAGAGAATCTCCCTCTGCATCGAAAAGTTACTTGAACAACATTCAGGCATATTTTTTTTTATTAGTGAGAGTCATTTTCATTTATTCACGTTTCTTTTTGACATCCTGATGCCTAGTACTGCTGCTGTGCTTGTGGTTTTATCATTTCCCCCTTCTCTTGTGCCGAGCATGAATTTTCGTAGGATATAATGTACGTGAGTGGCTTCGCGATAGGCTTTTTTTTTCTCTTTTAGACAATCATTAGACATGGCTCTACCTGAAGATTTCAATTTTCGAAAATGTAATTTATGTCGAGTAAATAGAGAAATTTGATAAATAATCAAAAGAGACGAAAAAGAGCTGTATTGAGATCACCCAGAGTACCTACCGCTTTCATTTCAGAGCTAAGAAGAATGCAACCTCATCATCTCCAAGAACATAGTAATGCATCTAATTCAACACTTGATAGCGTTGGTTTATAGAGAGGGTTTACCGTATCGAAGCAAAGGTGCAAAGCCATGGTAATCAGGCGTCTAATCCAGCATTTGATAGCATTGATCTATACAAGGGCTTGATAGTAGCGAAGCGAATATGCAAAACCATAGTATATAAGCAGCAAATTCGATTTCTCATTTCTTTTATTAATAAGCTTACCAGTAACATATCGCATCAAAATTTGCATGAACCAGCTTTACCAAAAATCAATATACCTCCTGTTCGAATTAAAAATTGCTCAAGCTACAGAACTGCCTTTCTAGTAAATTGCAGCTACCAAAGATGTGATTTATGCCGTGTAAACAAACTCTATAAAGCAAAAGATAACCAAACTGGACAGTTTTCAAGCCTTGATATCTTGACATGTAGACCTTTATGAGATACCGGAATAACGCCAAACAATTTTACTTGAGTAGTAGTAACTTCCTGACACCTTTGCTCAACTTTTCGGGCCAAAAAAAAACATGGCCAAAAATCGGCCAAAAAGCATGAAGGGTACCTCATGGTTTTCACCAAAAGTCAAACGATCGCATTTTTTACCTTGAAAATGAAGACCTTTACTATGGTATATATCAGATCAAAATGTTTCTCTCGATCCAAAGCAACCTCTGAAACCACTTTTGTGAGACTTTCATATGCAAAATATGGTTATTTTCGTTTAAAACCCCATTTCATGTTTTACCAAGTTGCTCAGTAACTTTAGCCAAAACATCTATTACAGTTAGAACCATTAGAAGCGCCTTGAAAAGTACTTCAAGAATGTATTAGGAAGCGTAGAGTGATCATCACAGTTTATATAGTCGAATATCACAAGTTAGATTAAGGGAGTCGAAAAAAGACGAAATCTGCCCAATCTTGAACAGAAAAAAATAGAATGAGCTTGAATCCATTTTGGCGGCTGACTGACCCTTTCAGTTGATGACAATGATGATAGCAATGCTGATTAAATGGGGATTATGGAATTGAAAGAACAATTGCTTAGCCCAAATACTTTTTTTGGGAGCTTTGCCTCATGAAGGTGACTTTTGCAATGGCAATATCTCAAAAAAGTCGCTGTAGATCTTACACAAGTCCTGTATTTACTTATGACCAGCTTTATGTTGTCATCCTATTAAGAGCAGCAGCAACAGCGAATGATATGACAATTGTGATCTACAAATGCTGTATAATAAAACCTGAATTTTTTTTTCGCATTTTCCCAATAATAGGCTTTGTTTGATATCAGCGTAAGCAAAAAGGATACTAAGGGAGATACCTCCTCTCCTCCTGAATCTGATATAACCTTTCTTTTATTAACTAATAATTGGTTGTTTAAAATCTACTTGATATACCAAAATGTTATAGTATCTGATTTAAAATGTCTTCGGTGAGAGCTCACAGGGCGACGCCGACATCGAGCTTAGCGAGATAGATCGGCTAGTACTAATATACAGCATTTGAGCAGTGATTTTTCGTGCTAGAAGCTGTTTCAGGCCGTCAGAGTAACACCAAACAATTGCTTTCATCAAGCTCTTACTTACGAGCACCTTTGCTCAACTTTTTTGAGATCGCCAAAATTCGACTGAAAACCATGAGGAATACCTCATGCTTTTTGACGAAAATCAAGCGATCGCGTTTTTGACAGCAAAAACGAAGACTTTTTCTATGGTGTATACTAGATCAAAATGTTTCTCTTGATCCAACGCAACCCCCAAAAACTTTATTTTTGAGATCTTCATATGTGAAGTCTCTACATTTTCAACAAAAACCTCATTTCATATTTTCTAAATTTGTTTATTAAGCTTATTCAAAACATTTGTTTTAAATAACACCATTAGATGCGCCTCAAAATGTCCTTTAAGGAAGCTTAAGGCAGTTTGAGATGGTCATCACACTTCCTATAGTCGAATTCCACGAAGAAGATTAATTGAGTCGATTCTAATTAAAATTTGACCAATCTTCAGCAGACAGCAAGCGGAGTTATAATCCGGTTTGGCTGACAGAACTAATGCGTTTCTGATGATGACAGTGGACGTTTAAAACGCTCATGAGAACAAAATTGCTAGCTAAAAAAGTATCATAGCTTATCTTAGCTACAAACTATTGCTTTTGTAGCGCATTTTCATACCAGATAGCTGTAATTCTTTAGATTGTCATCTTGAGAGCAAAGCCTAATGTGAAATGCAAAAAAGGCATCCTGTTCAAAATGGCTAATAATACTTTTTGTGTATACATGTCTTGCTTTTAGTCTAATCGTCTCTATCGTAAATGAAAGCATCAAAAATACTTAGCCTTTCCTCGTTGATGTACACATCAGCAATGCGGGATGTGAAAGCACGACACAAAGCTGCCATGTAGGGATGTCGTATATGATGCTCATGATATACTTTTTTTTCTAATCACCAAGGCACCAAACCATAGAGCAAGGAGCACTCCCGGATTTGGATGAAGCTTGCTACCTCAAAGCAGCGCCAACCTTCAGACTATATCACATTTCATGATCTGCGCTTTCTCAAATGTGAGAGTTACACTATGTTCAGTGTGCCTACGGGCCGGACATTGCCCGGTGTTTGTCCACAGATCAAACAACTATTGTAGGAGCGAAGAGGAGGAAACTGCATGTGGGGGGGACAGGCAGTGGAGGGAGAGATTGAAGGCAATCGAGAAGGGCGTAAGTTGATACACCCTCCTCTTTCATCACCTATCTTTAGACATGTCTGGATCCGATCGGTAAGGATGAATGCAAGATGTATTGACAAGAGTGAAAAAGATGAATGGATGTAATTTGTCAGATGGATACATGGATGATGGATCAAAAGTATGGATTGATTGGGAGACCTAGAATTCTGCATTTTTTTTCACTCTTGGATTTTACACAACCTGGAAATGCCTCATGTATAGATGCTAATGTGTATACAATGTATCTAGTTTGTACAGCAAGGGCCGCGTCTTGGGTTTCGAACGTGCCAAGCGTACTCAAAACCCCAACGTCTCTCTCATCCAAGTTGAAGGTGTTCAAACCACCAAGGATGCTCAATTCTACCTCGGTAAGCGTGTTGCTTATGTCTACCGTGCTCAACGTGAGGTCAATGGCTCCAAGATCCGTGTCATCTGGGGTCGTATTGCCCGTACTCACGGTACCAACGGTGTTGTCAAGGCCCGTTTCCGCAAGAACTTGCCTCCCAAGGTCTTTGGTGCTTCCGTCCGTGTCGTAAGTTAATTTGAAATTACATTGAATAGAAGACCACGCCAACTAATTGTCCTTCTTGTAGATGCTTTACCCTTCCAACATCTAAATTGCTCTAATTTAGAAGAAACGAAATTTTAAACTCGAGAAATAAAGCAGAGAAGTCTATAAGATGAGCCTTACATACTGTACATGCTGTATTTTACATCCGCCATATCATTTTCTGTGTGTTTTTGCTTGTATTCATGCGCCTGAATTGTTCATTGGAAGATTGGATTGTGAAATAGTAATGTAATCGTTTTAGGAAGAGAGGTGAGTGGTATGGATGAGTGATAAAGGAGGACAGCCCAGTTTCTGAAAGAGCATTGCTTGGCATAATAATGGCAAGCAATTGCACAGGCATTGGGAGTTTGTGATGGGCCGTAAGGTGAGGGATGTGAGGATGACGTTCAAGATGGCGCCCATTCACAGTGAGCAGTATGCCTGATAATATATACCATGTATTGCAAATCATGCTCCCAGAGGTGGCGCCAGGCTTTGCACTTATTTCATGACATGCTTTATGCTTCTGGCCGCTCAAGAAATTTGTGAGATACTCTACAGATGTCATATATTTGATGATGATGAAAACTTGCAGAAAAGTAAATCATAGTCTTGCAACTGCTTGAATGCCTTGATCTATGTTAGCAATTCCCTTCACGAAAAAGCTTATTTGCTATGACGTTGATAGCAATATCCGTTATGGACTTTCTTGATCTCTTGAGATCCGACGTACTCCATACAATAGCCTTTTTTGTTGTCTTAGTTCTTTGCGTAATCGTTCTGCCATATGCTAAAGTGATGCTAAGGTACACAAAAATGAATATAGCAGAATCTAAAAATAATACATTCAACGAAAAGATACAATCAGTTGGATATTAATATTTCCGTGGATATCTTGGTGAAGGCTCTGCTTTTCAAGTAAAGAGTCGACATTTGTAAGATCACGCAAGGTTTTATATGTATGAAAGGAATAGCCAGGCGGAAAACCGCTCACAAGGGGGCACCTATCCATCAATAGCAATCATTACAAATGCTGTTGAGTACTGGGTACACCCGAGATCAAATAAAATGCTGCTTTCAAAGTATCTAGTTGGGCCAAATTTGTACACAATTTATCATACTCCCTGATTTCATGATGCAAATTATATGCTAGCCGAATCGTGAATTCACTGTAAAGATAATTTCATTTGCTAGGAGAAATTTTACATTCAATTGAACGTTTACATAATATTATGCGCTTATCTATTGTACTGAATTGACATGCAGCGATATTTATCTGTTACGCATTTGTACATTTTATAAATGAGACAAAACATTGCCCGTGCGAGAGGAACACCTTGTTTTGACAAGAATAACAAACGTCTCGCACCAAAAGAATTTGTCATAAGCTATGCAAAGAGGATCAGCGTGCCCGCTTTGCAGTGGCTTGGGGAAGAATTGCTGTACATTCAGGATGTCTCGTTCATAGCCGAGATTTCTGGGTTTTGACAGGCACATGCATCATTCCAAGTAGACAATTGATTCCGAGAATTTACATGACTCTTGCATGACATCTTTGATAACAGACCCCTAAGAAATCAGATAAGCACAGGCAGGAAATGGGTCGACTTGAATGAAACGATTGTATTCCTAGAAACTATAACATCATGGCCCAGTAAACATCAAGTGATGGAAGATTGGAAGGATTTTTTCTAGGATAAAAATAAACATTGGGTAAAAATGTGATATTTATAACCAAAACCAGAAAAGGCGGAAGAGAGCTAAACCATGTGCGTACTAATAGTATGGCGGATTTCTGCTTGAGGATTGTGTATTATGAATTTTCTATATTCTAAAACTTTAAATCTTCACAGAAATGCAGCAGCATCCTTTAGTCTCGAAACAAACGTGTTCCAAATTAGACATGCCATGCATTTGCAGTTCATGGCATTAAACAGCCATGTCTGGTTTGGGTGGAAGGGGTTTTTAATGGATGTAGAGACAATCTGTCTCCCATGGAGAGTTCCCATGTTGTGAAAAATGACGAATATCCAGAAAATATATAAACATCCGTTGGTAAAAAGGAAATCAACTATTCTATTATGGCAAGGCTGCAATTGTGTTGATTTCCTTAACAAGCTTCATTATTGAGAAGGCGATGTAAGACACATCATTTTGACATTTTCTTATAAAAAGAACCAAATGTCTGCAATGAGAGTGTCTAGCTTCATTATTCTTCTCTCTCCTCTTTTTAATCATGTACGCTCGTACTCAATTCATCCTCGCTTTGGCTATTGTTGCTTGCTCTCTCTGCTTGATCATCGCTGCTCCTGATGCTGCTAATGAGCTCAACATCAGTAACAAGGTCAGAAATCCAAGATTAGGTGGTTCTCGCATCTCCAAGCAATTAGGAAAACGTGATGAAGGCTTAACATTTAACATTGACTTGAGTGGCAACAGTAACAATGATGCCTCATCTGCCATTGCTGTCGCTTCTACCGCTGCTGCTTCTGCTGCTCCAATTGCATCCACATCCGCTGCTGTCATTGCGTCTACCAATGCTCCTACACCTATTCCTACTGCTGCTCCTACCGCTACTACCCGTTATGCTAGCTCCTTTGTATTCACTGCTTCTCTTAAAGATACCACTCCCTTGAATGATGGTCTTTCCAAGATGTCTATCTTGCGTAAGAAGGGGTTGAAACAGTCCAAGAAATCACTTGCCTCTGCCAAGTCAGCATCAAAAGCATCCAAGAACGCTGGTAAATTGACAGGCACTGCTGCTGCTGCCGCCGCTGCTGCTACATCGAACTGATTTTAACACTGAGCCCCTCCCTATTCTATCCTGTATATAACATATTAATTAACGAAATAAAATGATTTTGAAACTACTTCATTAAGTCGATTTATTAAAAAAAGGGCTCGAAAAAAAAAAACTACAATTCAATTTGTCCCACAGTTTCACTAATACGATCTCTCAATGCTTCCACAGCAGCTAATTTACGCTCCAAAATCTCATCCAAATCTTGCAAATACTTTGCAAACTGGGCTGTGCTCTTTTCACTACTACTGGAAGAGCCGTCCTCAAAGTTTTGGTTGGAGGAAAGATCCAGCGAAATGTTGGCAACCAGTTTGGTTTCTTTCTTGGTGCAATCTGTAATCTCTCGGATTTCAGCTCGATGAAATTTGACAAACTCGTCCATTTTATCATAACTAAACGAAGGCACGCCAGTCAAGGAAGACAAGCTATCAGAATTGGGTATTTGCTGCTGTTGTTGCTGTTGTAAGGGCGATTGTGGTTGCGATTGCTTTTGTTGAGGTGATGACGGAGGAGGAAATTGATGAGAAGATGAAGAACGATATTCAAACTGCTGTACAGTTTGTTGTACCATCATAGAGCGCTGTGGTGGTTGGTGTGAGCTTGAATAAGTAGAAGAGGCATCAGATGCTGTATCCATCGATGTTCTTGAGGGGGAATACATGGAGAGTGATCTAGGCATAGTGGATGACGACCGCTTCATTTGTAAAGAGAGCGGTCTACCGCCATGCTCGCTGCTGTTGGTTACACTGTAGTTGGATGCCATGGACATGGAGTTTGGTCGATAGTTGTTGGATGATTTGTAGTTTGAAGCAGCAGGTGGCAGTTGCGAGGCAGCTACCATGCCGTAGCGAGGGGGTGATTTGGGCGGGTTGCTGATATTAGGGGTATTAAAATTAGAAGAATGAATCAGATCATCTTGCTCTTGAGGGAAATCGACATCAAAAATGTTCTCTTCTTCCACATTAAAGGTATCGTCGTCGAGAATATCAGACTCGTTACTGAAATAATCTTCATTTGAATCATCTTGAAACTGTTCATCTTCGTTGGAATCGTAGTCGTCATAGTCGTTGAGCGAGGAATCTGCCCACTGGGTATTCGTAGTACTGTCGTCCACTGTGCTGCTTCCAGAATTACTTGGGTTTCTTTCCATGGGGGATTTGCGGTCTCTTTCACCCTTCAACTCCTTGACTCGGTCAGCGTAACGCAGCGTGTTCAAGGTGTGCTCACTGTTGGAGCCGCCAGGAGAAATGGTTGCAATCATGCATGTTCTAGAGTTACCCACAAACGAGTCTTTCAATACTTGCGTCAGCTTGCTTTGACGGAAGGGTGTGTGTCGCTTGTCCTGATCCAATGCTCGGATGCACTCTTTCAACGCCAACAAACTCTTGTTGATTTCAGCACCTTCCATTCTACATGATATCAAATTAGTCTTTTGTTTTTCAGATGTTCGAGAAAAGCTACCTTGTCTTTGTGTCAGCCTCTCCTCTGTCAGCACCTCTTTCTGAACCAGCAAGATCAATAAAACTCATTTTACCATGAATCTTCTTTCGATTGACCTTGTGTTTAAGTAGAATTTGAAGCACTGCATGAGACCGAGATGAGCTGTCATTTGCACCTGTGCTGCCTGTGTAATTTGAATAAGATACAATGCATACATGACATACAATTAGCTGCACTTACCAGTACTTCGGACACTGCTGCCATAGTCAAACACCTGTATTAACTTGTCCACATTGTCGATGGGGTATTCTTTCAATCCAGAGACAATCACATTGTTCTTTCCATCTTCTCGAGCAAACAGCTTCTTTCTTTCATTTAAAAGATCGTACAACTGCCCCTGATAGATTTCGTATAAACCAATCCAGGCTGACAAGTGTTGGTTTTCTGGTTTGCGAAGCATAGAAAAGATATCACGCGCAGCCATGATATACAAGCCTTGTTTGGGATCCAGCATGGTGAATGTCTTTCCTGAGCCAGTTTGACCACTACAAAAATGGATCCATTTAACTTTGTGCTTTCAGGTAATCAAACCAATGGGCACTTACTAGGCGAAACAAGTTGCTTTCCCTCCCTTGAATATATAATTGACAAGAGGCCAGGCCGTTCTTTCATACACAAGGTTGTTTGGACAGTTCAAGTCAAAGACATCATCAAAAATGAATGAATGCTGCTCGGTATATTTGGTTAAATCCAGCTTGAGTCTAAACAAAGGCATCACATTAGCATCACATTTTTCACACCATTTGATTGTCATTCAATCACATACTTGGGCTCATTGATCTGTAAGCTTCTGTTGCCATTCATGGGGGCTACATCCTTGTCACCTTTGTCTATCTCCTTTCTGCTGAGAGGCCTCTTTCGAACACACACTCTGATCTTTTGATTTAAATCACTGGGAGGGAGATTGTAGTTGCTTAGGTTGGCGGTGACTTCAGTGTACCTAGTGCCAGGTGATGCTCTCGCTTGTTGCTGTTGTTGCTTGGCAGGAGAAAGGGGTACACCATACGCATCCAGCAAAGGCGCAGAGGCTCTGAACTTTCGGTTCTTGGTAGACGTTTCATCCTCCTCTGAGTCGTCCTCTTCTTGCGGCTGATCTAGATAGAGAGATCTTCTCAACTCTAACCGACGTCCCTTCAAAGGAGCTGCTCTTTGCTGATTAAAGTCAGGTCGAGGAGCATCAGACATGGTGCGACTTCTCACAGGTCTATCGTGTTGTGGAGGTTGAGGTGGCTGAGGAGGGCCGCTATTGTTGTATAACGCTTGTGGTTTGGATGTTCCAATAACGCTTTGTCTTCTACCACGATTAGCCGGATTACTATTGTTGCTGTTAGAAGAGCTAAAGTCTGGCATCGGCAATCTACTGCTGTTCAGAGTGGCATTGTTGATGGTGGCATAATTTTGAGGTTGGCGAAGGCCGCTTGTATTCGCGGTGGATGAAGAGGGTGCCATCATGCGATTATTAGTGGTGCTGATGGGGCTGCTCATTTCTGAATCTTTGCGTATAGCTTGAACAAGACCAAATATCTTTCTTCTGTCGCCTGTATCTGTAATGCCAAGTCGGGAATAGTCTTGCAATGATAACTGTGATCAATGTATTTAGATTTAGCTGCAGTTGAATAAGATCCAAGATAGCTTGATCATACCTGAGCCAAACTTTGAAGGTGCGTTATTCCATGAGTTGAAAACCTAACAAAACAAGATGATTTAACATCAAGCAACCATACCCACAGACCAAACTGATCATCTTTCTCTACACGTATAGATGGAAAACTCACGTTGGGTAAAACTAGATGTAAAAATGCTTTGAATACACTGGTTGGAAATGTGTGATTTGGGATGTAAATGGATTTCTTACCTGGTCCAGTTCATGTTTTCGCAAGGTATCCAGAAATACAGACACACTCATGATGATTTTAGTGCTAAATTACAAGTGAAAAAGAAGAGAAAAGATACAAAAAGGAAACATGTGTTGTCCTATTTAATTTCTTCATAAAAAGTCTCATTGAAGCTGCTTCAATGAAGCCACACAACAGAGATACACCTTTCCCCTGACGTCACGAAGTAATAGTTTTTTGTATAAATTGTACCTGGATTCATTGTGGAAACGATGACAAGAGAATAATCGACACACAAGCACATCAGCAGGCGTATTTCATTATGAGATGAAAAGGAGAGGCATGTAGATGCGGTTTTATGAGACAAGATGAAATACACATTCATTGTTGTTGTCGCGGATGATGATCACACATTTAGTTATGCATGAACATGATGCAAAGAATGGAGCAGCTCTGCTCGCATGGGATGTTTTGCTTGTATTCCTGACAGAGTATTGGACATTTGATTGTCCATGCTTCAATGTAGATGAACAAATTAATTGCAATTTAAACGGATTTTAGAATATCCAAACAGAATTCCACCATTGTTTGGGAAAAAGTGAACGAACTAGACACTTGAAGATGTGTGATTATCACTACTGCAACTCCAATATCGGGTTACATCTAAAACAGTGATAGCAAGGGAACATAAGCAAACAAACCATCATGGCTGTTTATCAGACGAATAGGAATCATTTACAGCTTTCGCCATCCGACATTCCCACGTGTAGGACACTATACTCATGTACCAGCAATTTATATACTACTCACATTTTAGTTTACAAGATGTTGGAAAGGCTTCAAACGATGCTTTTGATCTCAAATCAAGCATCAAAGTTGGTACCTGAGATCTGTTATTTAAATCCAGATCAGCCATTTTATCACCATGGCAACGAAATGACATGAAGAGATCAGCCCCTGGATATATTCAAATAGATCATAGATATCTGGTTTGTTTAACCAAACGAGGAAGGCGGTCTCCAAAAAAATGACAAATCCATCAAGAAGGTTCAATCATCCATTAAGGGAAAAAAAGAGAGAGCGAAAAAAAAAAAAAAAAAAAAAAAAGTACAAATGGTCACTCTTTTTCCATCAACATCACTCTTCTTTCCTCCATCATTCACTTCTCTATCCTAAAAATGACGTTAAACGATGACCAGATCAAGAAATCCAAGAAATTTGCAGTAGGAGACCTTCCTCCCTCTCCCACCACCAGCACAGGCACCATCAATACCACCACAACCACTACTAACAAGAGACCCACTCGACATCATGTCAAAAGACGCTCCAGCGGTCGAGTCCATGTCTCGAAGCTAGCTCCCATGGCAAGAGCCCATAGCAACAACAACGATGATAATGAAGAAAGAAAGCCTATGAAGAGATCACAATCGAATAAATCACTCACCCGTCTATCATCTCTGGAGAGAAAGGGCGGAATGACAAGTTTTACACCTGCTGTTAGCAACAATACAACTAAGAATCAAGAGTATGATCAACCACCACCAGAAACAGAGCAAGTGGTTGAAGGACAAGAGGAGAAAGTGATATCACCCCATTCTCCTCCTACGACACCACCATCAACTACAACGACTCCTATAGACAAAAAACCTACATTTCACGTTTCACATACTATACCAGCAGCACCTATCGAACAACCTCTTCATGTCACAGCAGACAATCTAGTGGTACCTGATAAGAAAGCGACAGTTCCTAGTAATAGCACGTTAAAGAAACCGCTGCTGAAGTCTCAATTTGTGGAGCATTCCAACAGCAATGGCAAGAAAGTGTCCAACGTTGCTTCAGCGGCTATTGCTCAGCAGCCATCGGGCATCACTCGCACACAACAGAAATTACTATTGCAACGTGAACAAAGCTTAATCCACGATGAAAACAACATTGCCCACCCTAAAAACATGATTCGACTCACCAGAGAAATGGAGAAGATGGGTAAAGAATACCGCTGTGTGCGTAAATACCAAGATCCAATGATGGAGAGCCTGATACGATGCCAACAAATGCTGGATAAAAAGAAGCAGCCTCCCAAGAAGCCAGTGTTGCAGCAACGCACCTTCTCTACTGCTGTCATCCCTACCATCCACAACAACGCCGCTGCCCTCACCACACACGATATACCTCACATGGAGCAACGTAGACAAATCCTACTGAAAGCTGCTTTGCACCAACAGCAACAGCAGCAGCAACAGCAACAAAAGCAGGAAGACTATCATAATAGATGGAGTGCCGGCAATTTCTTAGAGCGTTTATTTTACGGCACTTCTTAACTCCAGCATACCATTCTTCCAGAGCCATTTCCAGTCAAGATGACAGGAGCTGCAGTACTAGGATGAAATTGTGCTACAGATGGTACAGCCGTAATATGATCACTATCATACAAGACAGCCATTTCCTTCCCCGTATCACCGGAGAAGATGTTTATCTGATGGTTCATATTGCCAATGACCAAATGCTGATTGTTTCCTCCTTGATTCTCGTTTGTATTCCATCTTGCGCGAAGATTCGTTACCCATCTATTTAATCGTATTATCATTATTATCTTTTTGAAATATATTCATGTATTTTTCCTCTTCAACATCCTACCTTCCTGTCTTGCAGTTGTGTGGAATGGCAGTTTTCAGCTCCAGTGTCTTGTTGTCCTTGTTGAAATCAAACAATCGAATAAAGCTGTCGTAAGCAGTGGTAACCAGCATATCGCCGTTGGGGGACCAGTAGCTGCAAGTGACCGAATAGCCATGTTCAATAGACTGCAAAGGCTCTACCTTGGCATTCCTTTTACTCCACATGCGTAAATCCCAGAGGGTGCTTGTTCTGTCGTTGGAAGACAGTGCCGCCAAATGCTGATGCACTGGATTCAAGTGGACACTGCCTATCTTTTTGGCCTTGAGTTCGTGAATCACAGCTTCCTTTCCACTAGCACGGGCATCTACGAAGCCTAATTCACCATCAGATGTAGTGAACCATGTCTGATTGTGTGTGTCAATAGCTGATCACCGGATGTCTTTCTATGCAACTTACACAATGTCCATCCTGAGTCATGTCAAACCCAGTAATGGGGTACTGATCTGATCCCAAGTCAAGGGTGTCAAACTGAGCTGTGTTCAGATCAAATACTCTGATAAAGCCATCATACGACGATGAAAGCATCTTGGTGTTGTCGGCAGGGTTGAAATGTATATCAGTGATAGTGCGTTTATGAGGTCTATATTTGTAGGTGACAGGTTCACCATCCTCTTCCTTGCCATTCACATCCCAAAACCCAATGTATCCCTCCGTATCAGTGGCTATAGCCAGCATATTTGTTGAAGATGGATGAAACCTAAGCATATAGAGTTACTGCGAGCATTCTGATACATTCGCTGCACTCCAACTCACAAGCAATGTGTAATGCGGCCTGGCGTTACTTTTACAGTATTCCATTCGTGACGGATTTCGAGCTTGCCCAATGCCCTCTCTAATGATTCATATGACTTGATTTCTTTTGGAGCGTGTTCTTTGTTGCCGGCAGGCTTTGTGTTGGGCATTTCAATTGTTTCCTTCAGCACACCCAAGAATTTCTTCTGGTCCTCTTCACTCATGGCGTCACTTCTCTCCGCATCTTCGTATTTCGCTCTCTTGTTAGTGGGCTCGACGTAATCAGTGTCTGTCATATCTGGTTCTTTTCCGCGAATACGAGCAGAAGAGCGAGTAGCTACTTGCGGTTGCTTGGGTGTTGGCTTGGGTGTGTGTTTCCTGAGCGTCTTACCCGTGCTTTCTGTCTTGATGTTGAGGGTTGGCAGGTTTAACCCATTGAGCAATGCCTCATTAGCCCTAATTGCAAAGTGTCAATCAATGAATCTACAGTGGCGTATGCTTCTGCTGGTACTTTATGTTCTCTAGACGTTTCTTTTCGTATTCTGACAACTTTGACATGATGATGTAAAAAGAAAATAAGTTGAAAGGGATCAATCAATTGCCCATCCACTTTCGATTTATGTAGAGAAGAAAATTTTTGTCTTGTCCCATTCAAACTCCATGTTGAAAGATTGCATAATAAATGCTTTATGGTCCAACCCCTACAAGTTCTCAGCCAAATGGGAATTTGGTCGCAGCATTCAAAAAGGGAACGCCTGTGGCAAATTGTCAGCGACAATATTGATGTACTTGCTTTTTTTTTGCAGCAACATAATCGCGAAATGGAGGATCCAGCCTGCAGCGGGATCATTTAGAATCGATAGTACCACACAATAGTAACGTATGGCTACGGACAATTGTGTTTTTTCTGTTCTGTGGGAGGTACTTTGCATCTCTCCCACTGTCTGAACGCCTTCAAGCACACGAAAAGTCATTGCTTGCATTCATAATGAAGGGGTGCCATAGATCAGTTCGCATTTCTTTCTGTTTATAATAGTATTCAGCATCAAATGCCTCATAATCTCGTTTTCTAACAATACTCAGCATCCAGGGACCATATACAACGCATCAACTACGCATTTCAAACATTATTCACTCTCGATAACTCATCCACAGATTTACTAACAAATAAGGATTGAATAGAACAACGGCAAGACTCTGTGAAAGACAAGATTATTTCATTCTTCTTCTTTATTCCTTCATCCTGCGTTGTTTTCATTAATAATGGATGATTAACCTTCATTCAACATTTGTAATACACAGATGGAGAAAAAGTATAACAAGAGCAGCTTTCGCGAAATCTTCATTTAAAAATAAAGAATAGCTTTAGAAAGTATTTTTGCTTCCAACATTTCACACACACACTTTATTACGTTAGGACGACGAAGAGTGTACGCCATAATTCTTGAATGGTTTGATCAGCAGGAGCCACTCACGTTCAAATTTGACAGTTTTTAGGCCTTCATATCTTGACATGTAGGCCATTCTTAGCTACCGTAATGACGCCAAGTGATTCTACTCAAGTAGTAGTAACTTTCTGGCACTTTTGTTCAACTATTTGGAGATCCAAAAATCATGGCCAAAAGCCATGAGGTACCCCTCATGGTTTTTTTCAAAAATCAAACGATCGCATTTTTGGCCTCAAAAATGAGGACTTTTACTATGTTATGATATTAAATCAAAATGTTTCTCTTGATCCAAAGCAACTTCTGGAACCGCTTTTATGAGGTCTTCATATGCAAAATTTTGACATTTTGGCCAAAAACCTCATTTTGCATTTTCTAAAATTGCTCGATAAGTTTAGTCAAAACATCCATGTTTCTTGGCACCATTGGGAGCGCCTTGAAAAGTGCTCCAAGGATGTATTAGGAAGTGCGGGCTGCTCATCACAACCTATATAGTCGAATTACACAGAACAGTTTAAAGAAGTCGAAAATAAACAAAGCCTGGCCAATCTTGTGAAGAATAAAGTTCTGCGTTTGAATCAATTTTTGCACTGCTGGCTGCCCAAAATGCCTTTCTGATGACAGCGATGATTGGGATGTTGAGTAGAAACATCGCGTTCACAGGCTTCTCAGAGATGGCCACCACTGATGGTGAAACACTGCCTCCCTTCTGATCCCATTATAATCCAAATAAGTAAGTACAAGGTGCTGTTTATTAACGGATGCTTCTGCTCACATCATGTCTCTACTCAGGTACAGCTTGTCAACAAACCTCAGCTCACACCATTCTGGTGGCGTTCTGAAGCCCTTGCAATGAGGCCACAAATTTAGAGTCCCTCAGGACCTATAACAGAAAATGCTATGCTTCTTGCATTGTACTTGTGATAAAAAACCAAGGGCCCAAGGATTACTATTCCAGTTGACATTTGTTTATTTAAAAATACATTAAAAAAGTAATATATGTATATATATATATATATTTGAGCTACACTGCTCGATTAATGAAAATTCATAGCTTCATTCTGACTCCTGATATTCAGATCGCCCCTTCTTTTCTCTTTATTCATCTCGGGATACTTGCTATTGCTGCTCACTATTGGTGCTGCATTGTGGTACTGAACAAAGCAATTGGGAGGCTGTTGGTGGCCCTGGTCCATGCTCATTTGCTGCTGCTGACGATGGTGATGCTGTTGCTGCTGCTGCTGATGCTGCTCATTCTCTACTAAGTACTGTTTCAGCATCTTTTGAGCCATGATTTTACCTCGCAATCGATCGCATGTTGCCTTCAAATGGCTGTTCTCGTGTTGAATATGATCCAATTGACGTAAAAGTAATTCATTTTCCTTGGTTAAAGTGGAGATCATGGCTCTCATCTCGCCGTGCTGTTGATTCTTCTTGGCCCTGTACTTTGCAGAAGCTGTTTTGTTACGGAGACGACGCTCATGAATAGACAGAGGCGGCTGCGTAGTGTTGTTGTTACTACTGCTGCTATTGCTGCTACCACTATAGTGATACGGATGGTAGAAGGAATTTGCCACGATAGGTGGTTGAGGCAAACTAGTACTGTTGGACCGCGTGTTTTTGGTTAAGAGAAGATTACTGTTGCTCTGGTTGGGAGAACCAGGAGACGAGTAGTTTGAAGACGAGGAATAGTTGGAGAACGTTCTCGATGGCGGAGACGATGAGCCTGATTTGGAGCTACTACTGCCTGCAGTAGGAGGCGTAATGGTATCCGACTGAGACGATGAGATGGAAGGAGACCCACAAGTCAATGGAGGTGAGCTGTTGACATCGTTATAGTCAGGCCCTGCAGTAGCTGTGGTATCCGCAGCAGTGGCAGACGCAGTAGCAGCAGAGGAAACGTCCTCTCTTGACCTGCTTATGGGTGATGTGATGGATGATATAGCCATAGGCTTCGCATGGTATTGATCTGTTGTTAAAGGCATGAAAAGAGACATTTGTAAAAAGAGAAAGCAAAAGACCATAGGAGATGATTTCAGTCAATTTATAGTGGTTTTTAAAAAGAATGACTTTCATCGCCATCATGGATGTTGTAGTATTGTACTTTTGTTTTTAATGAATGGTGATTTCTTCCGTTGATACCGAGAATTTAAACTTGTCTCGAGTGAGTTGCAGTGATATACAATGTGTTCGGATGAATTGATAATGGTACTATTTGTAGATTTTTAATGATTTATATATGTTGGCATCATCCACTGGTAAAATTAAACATTTGCAGTTTGGAATCAAATCAAGAAGTTTCACTCAATCTAGTGCGGTTGCATCTTCGGGTCACATTTTTGCACTGGGACAAGATAGTCTGATTTGCATGAAAAACGTTGTAAATCAAATAAAAACACAAACGAAGCGTATGAACAACAAATGATTTAGTTTATTGGGAAATGAAGTATGGATTAAAAATGTTAGGAAAATAGTAATGAAGATTGCGATGCAGATGAAGCTTGCTGTGATGCTAAGAGTGTAGGGAACGTGCAGTAAAGTGTGGAAATGTTTGCATGCGTGTATGAGTGTATGTGTGCATAAATAAAGGACAACATCAAGCTTCGTCCTCCCCACTGCCACTACCAGGGCTTTCAGACTCTTCTGCTTCGGGAGGAGGAGTAGCATCGGGGTTAGCGCTCTTTTCATTAGACTCAGATGCTCTCTTCGCGATCTGCTTATTACCTTCATCTTCAGGCTCGTCTTGATCCTCAGGTTCATCTTGATCTTTTTCTTCTTCTTCCGCCTTGGCCTTCTCTTCTTCTTCTTTCTTCTCCTCTTCCTCTTGCTCCTTCTCTTCGTCTTGATCCTTCTCTTCGCCTTCTTCACTCTCTTCGCTGTCTTCTTCTTTCTTCTTGGTAGGTACAGCAGCAACAGCAGCAGTGCCGGCGGTGGAAGGAGCTGAAGCAGTACCTGGAGCAGCAATACCTGGAGAGGCAATACCTGGAATAGCAGGAGGATATCCATAATAACCAGGAGTTGGGACGGAACCAGCGGAACCGGGAGGCAATAATGCTTGGATGGCAGGAGGGATTTCACTTCCAGGAGGTGGTGGGGATGTTGGTAAACAAGAAGGTCCAATGCAACCATTATTGTTAGGTACTGAAGGAAATGAAGGAGGACAAGGAGAACCATTACAATCAGAAGTAGGGGGAGGGGGAGGACAGCCTGTGCCAATACAAGGATCAATAGCAGGAGGGGGAGTTGGTGGTGGTGGACAAGGCATTCCACCACAGCCATTCGCCATGGGAGGTGCATTATTAATATAATAATACTGTGGTTGTACTTGTGGAGCCGAGCGACCATGCTCAGATGCCTCCTGAGCCACTAAAAGTTTAGTGAATTCCGTAATGACTTTGGAGATCTCTTCTTTCTGCTTCTGTTCCATTGTTGGCTGCATTCTCTTCTCAATGATGGAGCGACTGTACAATTGACGGCCTCTTAGTGAGCCTTGATTGTTGATGACAAGCTGGCCATTTGATCTACGCCAGAAATCAGTATAAAGTATGGTTTCTGGACATGACGTTGATCTTACCGATAGATGTCTTCAGAACCGGAAACACGATCGGCGTGTACAACGGCAACAGCCATTGAGATGGTGAAAATAGCAATAGATGTAAGTCTCATATAGAATTAGCTTTTCTTCTCAAACAAGGAAAGAAAAACGAAGAGAGGAAGAAGAAAGAGAAAACTTGTATCAATTCGATTAATTTAGTCTGTGTATTTTATACATGAAATTTGACATGTAATATATCAATGGAAGTATTAAAAAACAAGGGATGAAGCATATTTTCCACTCTCTGCCCTGAATATCCAAAATGAATACATATTCCCTTATCTAAGTCTGCAGTTTATTTACAAGTATGGAAAACTCAAAATCACTCCTTTACGCTAGTATTTTAATTATTAAAAATGGGATATGACATACAATTGCCATATACACCATTAAAATAATACAGCGCTTCTTTTTAGTGAGTATATTCAAACATGAAATCTTGTCGCCTAAACTAAAATCAAACATCATTATGTATATTGTTGTCCATTGTCCATCATCGTCCTGACATGTCTTTTATGTGGTTTGCTTGAGAGATGTAGATTGCCACAATATCTAATATATGCTTTACATGTACAGACACACACACACACACATGTTAAAATATCAGTATACAGAGGCACAGACAGATGATATACATATATATATATAGCAAGGATTTATTGTACAGTCGTAAGATAAGTAGGGGATGATATGTAGGATATATGGATATATATTCATATTATAGATAGATGATAGATAGTTACAAGTAAAGGATGCGATAGTATATATAAGCTAAAATATGTTGCTATCTTGTATTCATAGCCTTTTGTTGTTGCTGCTGGTGTTGCTGGTGCGAAACAGCTCCTCCTCCCTCCCTGTAGGGACAATAATGTGTAATTGCATCAATATTTACAAATCCAAAGAATTGACAGCTTGCTCTGATTTGATAGCCTTCCGCTTTTGTCTTGGCATTTTATCATGTTGTACTTGTTTTCGACCTATGGAGCCCTTGCCAATGGATGCATATTTGATGTTTTTCTTTTTGCCCTTCTTTATTGAGGGGTAGGTTTTGTTGCTCTTGCTCTTCTTTTTCGATTTCCTAGTAGAAGCAGAAGGAATGTCATGTTGCATTACAGCAGAAGAACAGGAAGACGAAGAAGAAGAAGGAGGCGATGGAGGCGATGGAGGCGATGGAATTGATAAAGCAATCTGTTGAATGTAGATATGGTTACTATAAGAGGAATTGCGAGGTGGAATGATAGGTGGCGTTAATGTCTTTTCAGGATCCATATCAGGCAGAGGTTTAATAAGAGCAGCCAAAGCAATCATTTGTGCTGCCATTGTAGAAGACTGTGTTGTGTTAAGAACTGTTATTGTATACTGAATGTTATATGCAGTTTTACCTCATTGTCGCCGTCCTCATTGTCCATGTCATTCCTTGTGCAGGTTAAATGCTACGTGTTTATTTGACACATCAGTATCATGTATGTGCATTGTTACGCTTGATCTTCATAGTGCATACATACCTTAAAATTGGTGGGCCTGCCAATGATACTCTTGGTAATTACAACCTTCTTTTTATACTTGGGCTTTTTTCGAGATAGAGTGGTGTTTTTGACACTGGCATGTTGACGATGCTGACGATGGACTGGAGTAGATTTCTTCGTGGCATTTCTTTTGTTGCTAAAAAAATTGTGGTTCTTTAGAACAGATGGCTTTGCCATCCTACTTGATGTTGATGGAAGATCAGACTTGACCAGCGTGCGATGAGGTGAAGATGGCTCTTGTCGGCTATCTCGATTAGACTGTGTCTGGCTGATTTTGTTGCGCAAATTTACGCTGAAAACTTTGGTTTTTGAAACTGAATTACCCATGTCGAGTTGATTAGAAGAAGAAAAGAATGATCAAAGAATATGTTTATGGTGTCAAGGTTCATTTCTTCATTTTTGTTACTAATTCTGATATGTTTGAAAAACAATCAAATTTACTTTTATAGAGCACTGCACAAACATTTCGCTATTGGGATTCATTCGTGTGTATGTACTACTATCGCTCTTTTGAAACCCCTCTACCATACCTAGCTTATTCAGAAGCTTTTCTACATTACTCATGTTTGAATCATGTAACATCACTTGAGATTAGTTTTTCTAGAAGCTCATTCTTTTGTGATTTCTTGAAATTTTGGCTTTTTGTTCATCAATGCCACGTTTTCTTGTAGAGTATCATGATTTGGTTTGTGACAATATAGACCTTTGATCCAAGCCGATGGCGAATATTAGCAATGTGCACACTTTCATCACCAAAGTGCATTTGTTACTTAACAAACGCATCACGGATATCCTTTTGATAGATCAATCAAGTGCTAAGCTTTTTTTTTGTTTTTTTTTGTTTAGTTTTGAAATAGTGTGGTATCAAATCTCATTTAGATGGCATGCTTCCAAACATTGTAAAAATAGACATTGTACAAAAAATTGCTATAAATTTCTGCATTCAAACTGATCCAGATTACTTACTGGCATCAGGAATCTCCATCTTATACTGCACAGCCTCTCTTAATTATGATTAAATTATTCAATGTTACACACTGGCATACTTGTATATCACTTCCAAGGTACACAAGCAGATTTTTTCGTCCGTCGTTCAAATGCCAGCCAAAAATAGGAGGAACCGAGGGATTCTTCATTTGATCTGCCTTTTAAGTCTTTACTACATAAAATACCTCTTTTTTTTCATTTCTTCCTGTCTTTCTCTCTTGTTTATTCTTTCTACTAATATAGAAGATGGTTTTAGCATATTTCAAACAAATTCCAAAGCGATGGAGGCTATTTATTCTCTCACTATGCTTCGTTTTGTTGATGGGACAAATGTGGATGCTAACAGGCTCATCAAAGTTACCCCTGGATGGAGCCAATCTATCTTCGCAAACCACAGCTAATGATAGAGATACTCGTATTGAAACGCCATCAGAAGAACCAGCTACACAACCAGCACCAAAGCAGAATATTCTATTAGGTTTTGGTGGATTCTTGTCTAAATTACCCCAGATTCAACATGATTTTGGCCCTGAGCCATTAGCATATACTCGATTAAGAGAGAGACGACGAGCAGCGATCAAGAAGTCATTCCTTCATGGCTGGAAGGGTTACAGTAGGTGAAATTACAATATATTCTATCAATACAGGCATCTGGATCGCTGATTTATATTAAATAGCAACATACGCTTTTGGCCATGATGAATTGAAGCCTCTCTCCAACAAGCCCAAAGATCCCTTTGGCGGATGGGGTGCAACCATGGTCGATGCCTTAAGCACATTAGCTGTGATGGAGCTACCAGGCGAATTTCTCAAGGTGATGCCTCGTTTACACAAGATCAACTTTAAAGTGGATGAAGACATCAGCGTATTTGAATCCATTATTCGATATTTGGGAGGGTTTCTGAGTGCATTTGAATTGACTGAAAGAAAGCAAGATATACTGCTTCAAAAAGCAGAGAAATTGGCGCAGGAATTGTTGCCTGCTTTTGAGACGCCCTCAGGGCTTCCCCATCATCTCTGGAACCCAGTGCAGTAAGTTTGGAATCGTCTGTGTGTGCGATCCGTACGATTGACATACATATTTGCGTTTTCTCCTGAAAGAAATAAATCAAACAACAGAGAGACCTTGATTGCTGAAGTAGGCACAGTTCAACTCGAGTTTATGATGCTGTCTCAGCTTTCAGGCAATCCCATATATAGTCAAAAGGTAAGAAATACAATATTTATCTGCCATGAAATTTAGCGATTGAATTTCTGTAAAATTAGGCTCAAGCAATTACTGATTTTTTGGATAAAATGGGGTACGAGCATGGCATTTACATCAAGGGATTGTATCCAACATCAATTGATACGCATAAGGGAAGATTTAAGGATGGTAGCGTATAGTAAACGCATTTGAAGAGCCTCACATGCAATTCTGACGGGTTGGTTTCTGCTACAGCTATCACGACATTTGGTGCAATGGGAGATAGTGCATTCGAGGTAAACATACATACATTCGTGGTCTATATTGCCATTTTACGGTTGTATTGATGTATTTATAGTACTTTTTAAAAGAGCATCTATTGGTGGATGGTACTATTCCACAGTACGGACGAATGTGTAAGTTGCCTTGATTTGAGAGTTGTATGACAATGCTAAGTTACACTTTACAGACATGCAATCAATCAAAAGCATGAAGCAATACATGCTCCGCCAAATCCCAGGATACGACATGTTGTTACTACCGCCTTTCAACACGCAAACCAGCACATCCAAGGACGCAATGGATCACTTGACTTGCTTTGTGCCAGGTATGTTGGCTATGGGAGCAAAGACGTTTAACGAGCCAGAGGATATGGAAATTGCCAAAGGTCTCATGGAAACATGTGTTTTCATGTATCGTACAACAAAGACGGGTTTAAGTCCAGAAAATTGGGTGGTTTCCAAGACAGAAGCATATAATCCCATGACGTTCAACAAGACGAAAGAAGAGCTTCAATTAGCGAGAGACTGGTGGTATGATGATGAATTGCAGAACCCATTGATCAAAACACAATCCAACGAATCATTGGTGGAGAGGGTTGAGGCACAACAAAAGGTTTTGGAGGAAGAGGAGGAGAAATCGCAAGAGTATTTTGTTGATTACAAGTTACCACCTGTGAAAGAGAGACCCGACTCATTATTTTTTGGCGACAAGAGATATATTCTGCGTCCAGAAACAGTAGAAAGCTTATTTATACTTTATAGAATCACAGGAGATCAGAAATATCAGGTATGACACACACACAAGTGTTACCAACGAAAGCCTCATTATTTTCAATGCTGTAGGAGTATGGATGGGAAATATACCAAGCCATTGAAAAGCATTGCAAGACAAAGAGCGCCTATGCTACCATTCGCAATGTGGATAAAATCAGAGGCGAAGATGAAGATGACGAAGGAGAACCGCTGGAAGGATTCAATCAGATTGATTCGATGGAGAGCTTCCTTTTTGCCGAAACATTCAAGTATTTGTATTTGTTATTCAGTCCTCCTGAAATCATTTCTTTGGACAAGTTCGTATTCAATACAGAAGCACATCCCTTTATTCGTAGACAATGGAATTGGGACAAAATCTTCAACTAAATGGCTGCATACCATATATCCTTTACTAATCTGCATTCTCTCATCCATTGTAAAATAAAATACGTGAACTTTATATTAAAAATAGCTCCAGTCAGCTCAATCATGTTCCGTTGGCAACAGTCAGTGTATAGCAGGTGTTAGATTAGTTCTGCATAGCATTCCAATAGTACAAGTTCAATGTCGCTCGCTACAACGGACTGAGGTACACTTTTGCAACTTCTATCCAACTGTATGTGCAATGCTTCACTGACTTGTAGATTGATCGAGTCACTGTTTTCGCAATTCAGTAAGTATTAATTATTGCCACCGAGAAAGTAAGGCTGTGGTTGTTCCCCTCACCTGATGTAGTCCTGATTTTGGCCTGCTCTTTGTAAAACGGTTCAATATGGCTTGTAACTGAGAGCATGGGCTATACCTTGGAATCATCGCTCGCATCTTTTCTCTATTCCGCTTTTGTTTCTCTTTTGATTTCTCTGAATTTCGAATTGAAATTCGCTTTGAAAGTAGCATGCTCCTATACCACCTTGTAAGAAGAACGATGGTGTCATTAGATTTTAGATTGGATGGATTGTTAGCTGAGAAATAGATGATTTTCGAAATAAGGCAACTTTGAACAGGGAGCTTCCTATAGGAACCTGTTAGTTACGAGTGATTACACGTAGTAATAGATCGTTAGATAAGGTGTTTCAAAGCATTGTATTGAAAACCGCTTGGTGATAAGTTATTTTGCTGTGGTTTGGCAAAAGGTCAAAGGCCTGTTGCGCAATTTACGTAAAGGGGGGGAAACAGCTATTCCAAACTTTGTGCTGATGCTAGAGTCTTTTGTTTCTGAACCATTATATACCACCACCAACTCTGAGAGGTTGCTAAACAGATAAACTGATTTTCAGACGCTACGTTTGTTGGTTGTCAAATACTTAAGTGAGGAAAGTTTAACGTAAACAATATAAAAAAGAACAGTGGACGCTATTCTTTGCTTAACTGCCAACTCAACCTGACTTCTTCTGTATTAATTATATATTCTCTTCCTTTGCTTTGCTCTACACAACAACAACATCACAACACGCTTGGTCATCCAAGATGCTTCCTTTCATATTTAACCATTTTCTGAAATAATCACAGATTTCTCAACAACCATGCTAGTCTCAGAGCTCTAGCATCGATATTTCAAAAATCGATGTTCGACCGTCCAAAAATTGAAAACCTCAAAATCAAAAAACATTTTGTACATACAGGTCTTCATAGGTAAAAAAATTAGAATCTCGTCAAACTCAAATATGTTGTAGAATAATGATATTGGAGCAACTTCTAAGTGAAAACATTATACTGGAAATGTTTACTTGATGAGTCAATTGACATCAGAGATGCTATTTTTAAGCGGGGGAATATGCATACCTTAAATTGCAAATCTTATTATTATCGAATAAAGCAAGCTACAGTTGTCTAGTCTTGACAACAAGATTCTTCGACATGTCACGTATCTCTTAATAACTTGAAACCAGCAAGTTAATATGGCCCTTTTCGTACGCTCTGATTTTTAAAATGCTCGGTCAAATTTTAGGTCGAAAGAAATTTCTTGAGACCGTCAGAACAAAATAGGAAATGTTATTATGCTAGAATCTTATTGAAGCTTTATTTCATAGCGAATTCAAAGATATATAAAGGAAAGAAATCTAATCATTATACTATCAATCTTCTTTTTTGCTCGGTCATTACCAGCTTATTTTCTTTAAAACAATCCAAATTTGTATTATTTACACGGTTTTCAATGTCCTCCGTCGAACAACAACTCACCGCCATGCAGGAACAAATGGCTACTCTCCAAGCTCAATTGGCCCAGGTTATCAATCCCACTCCTATGCAGTCAGAAGATAATACTGCCCCTCCTACCCTACATTCACTCAGCACCCGTCCTCATTATGAATGGACACCATCCGAGGCCCAGGTAAACATCCTGCACATGGATACCCCTATCCACACTTCCAAACCAATGGCACCTGCCGATCGCAAGGCAATTATTGAGACATAATATTCTCCAGTTGCCCAGTTGGAATACCGTTCCCGGGCTATCGTTCCATCTGCCGAACAAATAATAAATAAGGGCCAAAAGATCGAAGACAACTCTCTGAAGCACCTTCAATATCAGACATCAGCTATCCTCCGCCCTCTGGACGTCCTTGCCAATGAGATGATCACTCACGACGGCAACAATGCCAATTTGGAACGCTTCTGTGCCATGTTAGCAGAAATGCGCAGTCTTGTGGTAGATCTCTGCTCTACGATCACTCAAGCTCGTATCAACATTGCTTACCGGGCAGTTAATCCTTCTTTTTCGGTAAAGGCAGAATCGGATGTCGGATATATTGTGCCTGTTGTGCCAGAAGGGCTACAACTGTCTATAAAGATTAAGGTATTCTTGATGGGTAGATATGTCTGTGTTGTGCAACAACATGGACAAGCTATGATAAGTGAAGTGCATCTCAGCTATCTAAATACCGAGGTTCACCAGATGTGATAAGCGTTGTACAAGATAAATTGCTACTTTGGCATTCAGAACTTAGTATAAATAGAATAACTCTTGTCTTCATCAATAAATCTTTAGTTTTTGTGTCTGATCTTATTCAAATAAGTCTTTTCTTGTTTTTATAATATTGAACATTTTTTATAAGCTACAAATAATAATCCTTTTATTCTTTGTGCTTAACAAATCCCTTTAAACCTATATAAAACTTGTAGAGTAGCCACATACGGTATATATGGTTGTAGAGCACGCATCACATAAAAATCAGATCCACAAGTATTATGAAAGGTGTTCAATGTAAGTAGAGGGTCAACATAAAAGTAGTAGTATTTTAATAAGATACGCAAGGACAATCGGTAGCGCGAGCTGTCACTGTGCTGGTTGGTTCTCACCGAAGCGAAGCAAAGGTAAAGAACCATTGGGCATAAACTTTCATTTGATTAGTGATTTATATCAATCAACAATCAAGGTTTTTCTAACATCTTAGCTATATTAACTTTACGATATTAGCCAAAGACCCGCGGCATCGCGAGCCGTTTGAGTGTAGGCTGGTTTCCACCGAAGCAAAGCGTACAAGGTCAGGAAGCCACCCGAAGTGTCGAAAGGCTTGTATCATATTCAACATAGTATAACTATAATTTTTTTAGTACTTGTTTCCCAATCTAGAGAGCTTTTAAAAAAACCTATTATCTACCTGCAAAAAAGATATTCATATATTACCCCTAGGGAAATAAAGGGTAATACATCAACAAATTGCAGTGCGACGAAAATAATTTTGGTATTAGATTATGGACACTATTTTGGATTGATTTTCATCAATCTTGCCTTCTTGGCTCAGTTGGCAGAGCGTCTGCCTAGTAAGCAGAAGGTCAACAGTTCGATTCTGTTAGCAGGCATCTTATTTTTGCACTTTGCACTGAAAGTAGTGCATGTAGCGCTTTGTTTACTCTCAAAACGGACGTAATGAAAATCAATAAAGCCTTGGACAGATCATGGTCGCTTATTAAGACTTATTGGCAACGGTAACAAAAGCTTAAAGATGCAAATGTGCAGATAGCCGATAGTGATGATAGAGATTTGGAAACATAATGCATTGATTGTACAAAAAGGAGAGACGCCAAACACCAAGGGCATACTACTTGAGGAAATTTGTTATCCGGAAAACGACTGATAAGCGATCGTAAATTATCAACATTAACTTGTTCTCGGTAATATTTTTGACTATATAAGCGCAGCATCATGAATAGAGCAAACAAGTAAAGTGCTTGACTTCTTTCATCAATTTCACCTTTATGGTCATGCGCGTGCTATTAATAGCATCGATGGTTTTCGTTGCTAGAAGCATCGCAGCTACTTCTCTTCCAATCACTCACTCGACAGACGACATCAATTACAATCACTTTAGCAGTGTACTAAACTCTAATTACAGCGTTCGATTTGTAAATCCACAGTTGTGCGATCCTAATGTGACTCAGGTATAGTTTTGATTTAGACATTTGAGCATAAGTCATCTACTTATGCGTTGTATTAGCACTCTGGATACTTGGAGATGGGTACAGAAAAGTACTTTTTTTGGTTCTTTGAAAGCAAAAGTAAACCAGAAGAGAAGCCTTTGACAGTTTGGTTAAATGGAGGTCCTGGCTGTTCTAGCATGATGTAAATATATGCCATAGTTAGGCTTATTCCCAATTACTGCTAATATGAAATTCATTCTAGCGGTTTATGGCAAGAAAATGGACCTTGCAGAAGTGGAAAGAATGGCACCGAAGTTACATACAATCCGTACACTTGGACAAGGTTCTCTAATATGCTCTTTATTGACCAGGTAAAGAAAATACTGAATTTGCAGTTCTCGAACTAATTTGAAAATAACAGCCTAGTGGCGTTGGCTATTCATATGGAGATAAGATTGATTCACAAGTAGAGACAAGCGCCGTGGCATTTTATCAAGCGATTCAGCTATTTTATGAGGCTTTTCCCAAGTACAGTAAACTGCCCTTCCATCTCTTTGGAGAGTCTTTCGCTGGTCGTTATATTCCAATCTATGCAGAGTATATTGTCAAGAGAAATCTAGAAGCAGTGAATCAAGTGATACCTATTCAGTCTGTTGGTATTGGTAACGGATGGATCAATCCATTAATTCAATTAAAGTATGCGGCTCAAATGGCATGTGAATCTAACTGTAAGTGATTACATGAGTGCAGTATTGATCTAACAACAAGTTTAGATGGTCAGCTTTTGCCCGAGTATTTATGTGCTCAAATGAGAACTAATTACAAGCGATGTGCCAAGCTGAGTAATGCATAACCTAGCAGCTAGTCTGTAGATATAATGAGCGTGTTATTCATACTATCTTTTTTGATAGTCGAGAAATGCTACGCCTCAAATCGCCGAAACGACTGTGTTGCTGCCGATGGATATTGTAATGCAAATGTAGACGGTCTGTTCAGCAGATCAGGACGAAATGTCTACGATGTCAGGCAGTCTAGCTCAACTGTAACACCGCCTGAAGACTTTATAAATCTACTAGATCTTCCTGATCTTCAACGAGCAATTGGCGTAAAGCACATGAAATACCAACAATGTGCTGATCCGCCAGTAAGTCTGTTACTATATATACATGCGTAAGCTCACACACGGTTTCTTGTAGTACTATGCCATGATTAACGCTGGAGAGGGGTAAGAAGCAACTCGCTTTCTTTCTATGTAGAGTCTGATTTCATATATACTAGCATGCGCAACTCGGCGCTGTATTTGAGCTCACTCTTGAATCATGGTGTTCGTGTTCTAAACTATGTAGGAGATGCTGACTACCTATGCAACTGGGTAAGCCAGCCATCACCCAAAAAATTATGACTCATTACATTACTGAGTGCATGTCATTCTTGTAGTATGGAAACTATGCCTTGACAACCGATTTAAAGTTCAAAGGAAGTGTTGAATTCAACAGCCAAACCTTAAGACCTTGGATTTTCCAGAGTAAAGAAGTAGGCCAGGTTCAGAATACAAGTTTAATGACTTTTCTTCGCATCTATGAGGCTGGACATGAAGTGCCTTATTACCAACCTAGAAACGCTCTGGCTATGTTTGCCAAGTGGGTATCAAACAAAGCTTTTTGAAAGGATGATTTTACATTAGACTTTCAAATGAACCTTCTAATATTACGCAGTTCTGTATAGAATCATGCAACCTCATATAAAAATCTACTTTGTAGATGCCTAGTTGATTAGTCCCTTGAATAATAAATATTTAGGTGGTCTGATAAGGTTCTAATTCTTTATGCATTCAGAATGATGGCTAAGTATAGTCAAATCACCAACACTTCAATGGTCAAAGTTCATAGCTAGGAACTACATTACATTCGGGGGCATATCAAAAAAGAAGAAAAAAGCAGCATCTGTATGTATATAGAAATCAAGCGCAACATAGTAGCAGCACTGAACAGCTGTAGAGAGACTCGGTTGAGTAGCATAAGCTTGCACACTGGAGGCGATAGCTGCGATGCAATGTTCAGATCATGGCAGCCTCCATCGTTTTGTAACATGTCTTAATGCCTCTTTCTAGTCGCTATTCCGCAACATGGCGATACAACAGACATCTGCTGTGGACTAGCACGACAGAGCATGCGTGAGCGTGGCCTTGAGTGCTCTTGTTGATGGGAAAGCCCAGTTATCTGATGTTCAAAGATCTCTCTTGCGTGACGTGGCTGTAAACTAAAGAACTTACACAAATTGTTACCTGAGTAATATGTGGATGAGCGAGGAAGTTTATAAAGTTTTCCCAACCAACGATTTGATATTCCTTTTGTTTCATTTCTTGGCCTTTTTTTGTGTGTATTTCATTCAGGAAACAAGACATAGAGAGACGAGTAGACAACAATAACAGCAACAGCAACATTCTAGCTTCTATTCAGTGATAGAGAATCCCCTCGACAAACATCTCAGTTTAAACAACCAGAAAAACCTCGCCCAAGATGATGAATAGTATCAACAAAATTTCGCAAGAAATCCTTGCAAAGCTTCCTCTGTTCAGACTGAAGGGTAAGAAGACAAGATATCACTCGAGAAACTAGCACATGTTGACTGAAATCGTTTGATCAGATCTTATCAAAGCTGTTCGAGCTTGTAAGACAGCAGCCGAGGAAAGAGCAGTTATCCAGAAAGAAAGCGCCAACATCAGAACCGCTTTCAAGAATGAGAACCCTGACACGCGTCATACCAATGTAGCAAAGTTGTTATATATCCATATGCTCGGTTATCCTGCTCATTTTGGCCAAATGGAGTGCTTGAAATTGGTTGCCAGCCCTAAATATGCCGACAAACGATTAGGCTACCTGGGTATCATGCTCTTGATTGATGAAAAGACAGAAGTACTCACTCTGGTCACTAACAGTTTGAAGAAGTAATACCATACTCACTGGAAGAGAGAAGAACATGCCATACTAAATAAGTGTTCTAGTGATTTGAACCATAGCAACATGTTTGTAGTTGGTTTGGCTCTGTGTACGATGGGTAACATTTCTTCGTCGGAAATGGCTCGTGATTTGTGCTCAGAAGTAGAGAAGCTTATGGGCAGTTCCAACACCTATATCCGCAAGAAGGCTGCTTTGTGTGCCTTGAGAATCATTCTTCGTGTGCCTGAATTGCATGAAAATTTCATCTCGAGATCAAAGTCCCTGTTGAATGATCGTAGTCATGGTGTACTGATTACTGGCATCACACTGGTAACAGAAATGTGTCAACAGTATCCTGAGAATGTTGCCATCTTTAGAAAGGTATGTTGTTATGATGGCATCAGTTTAGTGGTGGGTTGACGCTGACACATATCAGGCTGTTCCGCTCTTGGTCAGACATCTCAAAAACCTTGCCAGTGCTGGGTTCTCTCCTGAGCACGATGTTACAGGCGTTACAGATCCTTTCCTTCAAGTCAAAATCCTTCGTCTTTTACGTATTCTTGCCAAGAATGACCGAGAAGCATCTGAATCCATGAACGATATCCTTGCTCAAGTGGCTACCAACACTGAGAGTAACAAAAACGTCGGCAATTCCATCCTGTATGAAACCGTTTTGACCATCATGGACATTCAAAGTGAGGCAGGCTTGCGTGTGTTGGCTGTCAACATTCTTGGAAAGTTTTTGAGTAATAGAGACAACAATATCAGGTAAGGCATAGTTGAGCCAAACGGCAGCATCACCTTGACTGATTTCCACACATAGATATGTTGCATTAGAGACATTAAACAAGACAGTCGGCATCGAGACACAAGCTGTGCAGAGACATCGCAATATCATTCTCGACTGTCTCCGTGATGGCGATATTTCCATCCGTCGTCGTGCATTGGAGTTGAGTTTTGCACTCATCAACGAAGGCAATGTTCGAGTTCTTACAAGAGAGCTCCTCGCATTTTTGGAAGTCGCTGATTCAGAATTCAAGCAAGGTATGACTACAAAGATCTCCCTTGCAGCTGAGAGGTTTGCGCCCAACCAGAGATGGCACATCGATACCATGTTGCGTATGCTGAAATTAGCTGGAGGATTTGTGCGCGAAGAAGTGCTTGCTGGATTTATTCGTCTTGTGGCTCAAACGTCTGATCTGCATCAATACACTGTTCAAAAATTATACTCGGCATTGAAACAAGATATCTCCCAGGTAGGAAGTCGGCATTGGCAAGGCACATGTGTGAGGTTGATTCTGACAGTATTTGAATATACAGGAGGGTTTAGTTTTGGCAAGTGTTTGGGTCATTGGTGAATACGGTGATGTGCTCGTTGGAAGTGGCAATTTTGAAGAGGAAGAGGGCGTTGTTATTGAGGTATCTGATTATTTGGTCGTCAAATTACTAGAATCCATCTTGTTGGGTCCCTATGCCAACCAGGTTACCCGTGAATATGTTATGACAGCGCTTATGAAGCTTTCTTCCCGCCTATCCGACAACAGCGCACAAGGAAAAATCAAGGAATTGCTCAACGAACACACTGTCAGCATGGAGGTCGAGATTCAACAACGTGCTGTCGAGTATACCAACCTCTTTTCTTATGATTCCATTCGTCCCGCTGTGCTTGAGCGTATGCCTGTGCCTGAGGTCCGTACTATCATTGATCAAAGTTCATCTACTGATAGTCCCAGTGTTGGCCATGCTTCAACAAGTGCCAGAGCTGGTCCTAGCGACCAAGATTTATTGCTGGATCTCATGGGTGTAGGCACAAGCGGCGGCGGCGGAGGAGGAGCCGCAGAACAAGTGGATATGATGTCTCAAGCATCGGCTGCAGCATCATCCCCTGCACCACCAAAGGCTTCCAATGTCGATCTTTTAGCAGACTTATTCGGCGGAGGATCACCTCAACCAGCAGCACTAGCAGCATCTTCTCCAGCTCCAGCATCCGCAAATACAGCATCCAACAGTCTGATGGATCTATTGGGTGGAGAGATATCAACAGCACCTCAACCTGCATCACCCTCCACACAATACGGCTTGGATTCTCTTGCTGGCTTAGGACAAGCATTGCCGTCAAGCCCTCTTTCATCTTCAGTGGGGTCTCCAGCTACACCTACCGCACAACCAAGTCAAGCAGCAGGTGGTTATGAAGCATATACAAAGAACGGTTTGACCATTCGACTTTTGCCATCCAAAGACCGTACCAACCCAGCCATCATTAATATCCAAGTTTTGTTCTCTAATAATGGATCTCAAGGTGTGATTAATGACTTGCAGTTCCAAGCTGCCGTTCCAAAGAGTCAACGATTACAAATGAATGCTGCTAGTAGCCATGTTGTTCAGCCAAATACTACTGAAAAGCAACTCATGAGAATTAACAACCCACAACAGGTAAAAACTGATGAAAATCACCTTTAGGCATTTATTAACGCGATCGTTTTCATACATTAGACTACCGTCAAGCTTCGTTTACGTATATCTTATGAAGTGAACGGCGAGAAGAAGGATGATATTGCTCAATATGGTCCATTCCCCGAAGGAGCATTTTAGTTTTGTTGTTACAAAATGATTTAAACTGTTTGAAATAAATAATAGGTATGATCTGATCCAGTCTGAAGCCGACAAAGCGCGGCACTTGAAGGCGAATTCATGCGAAATTGGTCGATGAAGCGAGTATTCACTCCAAGAGCACGTTTGGGTGGGTGTAAATGGCTGAAGACGCCTCCCAAACTCTTTAAGCGCGTTGTTACAATGAAACAAGTCAAAAGCCTATCCAAAAGAGTGCCTTGTACACGGTTTCTCTGTATGTAATCAGCTAAAATTGACCGATAACAGCAAAGTGGCCTGCCTTTTCAAATCTTTCATGGCGTGTGCTCATGAGAATTGCAGTGATATGCAGCAAACAGATTAGCATTGGTGATAAAACAGAATCAGAGGATGTAAAGCATTCATTTGGCATCCTGTAACACTCAAAGGAAGGACAGATGCAACGCGTTTTAAAGACGATACCAGGTTGCCCATGGTTGTCTAAACTCGTGTACACTGGTTTGAACGTTGGTATTTTATTTGTAATGCTTCAGTGCGATTAGAGAGCAGCACGATAGACTATAGATGCAATGTACAATAAGGCAATAAAAAGAAAAGAACAAAGACTGCAATAGAGGAATACAACACTTGGAGCACGACTATCTGCCCTTGTAATCTTCTGTCGATGTAGATGGTGATGGTGAGGAATTACAGTTATTTACAAACATCATGATTGTTTTTGCAGCAGAAGTGGTAGGGGATGATGGAGGGCTAGCATTGTTGGTTATAGACAGTTCTTCTACTGGGTCTTGGTCCTCTGAATCCATAAGATTGGGCTCCATCTCAGTGATATCTGGTAAGGGTTGAGAGCAATACAAGATGTGCGAATTGCAGCTATCCTGCTTTTCTGTCATTGCAATGGCGTATGATAGATAATCAAGCGAGTTTCTAACTTTTGGCATCGCTCCATCATCCGAGATTAAAGAACACTCGTCAACTGCTGAAAATGAGCGTTTTTGATTTATTTCAACATTTGAGTTGTCTTCTGTTGTGCTGATATTGCTGCTTATTGTCTCTTTGTGAGTGGGCTGATGGTAATGGTGGAAATAGAGTTGCTTTTGGTTCTTTTTTGATGCCAATGCAGACGAGTTTTCTGGCCAGCCGTCTATTGGATTGGAGAGCGTGCGCACAAGGCCATCTCGTTTCGCTCTGGCTTGTCTGGCACCGGGAGAAGGTATGTACATTCTTTTGTCAATGATTTCTCTCTGTGTAAATCTTGGTCTGGGTAAATCGTTGATATTTTTTCTCTGCTTTTGTCTCCATAATTGCTCTACATCGAAAATAGTTGATTTCTCCCAACCCTGATTCAATTTGAAGCGTGCAAATCCAAGTCTAGCTCGAAGCGATATTAAATGCTATGACATATGAGTCAGCTTTCTTTTTTTTTCTGACAACAGTTGCACTGTGAGTGGAACACTTACTTGAGAGACATCCATCATTTCGGATTTATTATTATTTTGTGGATGCAGTAAATGGCATTGAGGATTTTCCATAGCGCTGTATTTGCATTTTTTGTTGGGATGTGTTGAATTTGAGGATTGGTGAAAGGCGTTGTAAGACATTTTATTATTTTTTCAATAGGTAGAGAAAGAAGAAGAAGCTGAATCATGACATTTGCTTCTCTGAATCAAGCAATCATTTGATTGTCGCACAGTTTCCTGCTCCCCTTTTTTTTTCTACGAAAAAAAAAAATAAATTGTGCGCGTTGTATTTGACGCAATTCTGGGCTTGAACGCACGAAAACGCGAGTTTTTTTATAATACAAATTGATTTTTTTCGAAAAAAAAAAAAAAAAGAAATGTTATATGTACCCACATTTGTGGAACCAAAGCAATCTCCACTAGGCTCAATACCAAGGTTGACCCATTTTGATCAGCAGAAAACAAGCTATTCTGTATAAAAAGATGCCAATTTTCAGCATTGACATCTGGTTGCCATGACAACTATCTAAATACCAATTTATTTTTTGATCAAATTCTCGGGATGATTATAGGCCTGAGCCACGAATTTGTTATGTCTGCCCAGGGCAACTACATCAAAAAGCGAGGTCAGCATGTTGCTCACAAACAAAATGGATGAGACATCATTACCTAAGCGACCTTTGCTGTACATTTCTACAGTTGTAAAAGCTAATGTTTTACCCAATTTATCTACTCGAGCATCAATATTGATAGTTTCCCCTTGCTTGACACCAGAGATGTAACTAATATTGATGTCTGTGCTTACACCAGTGGCAAAAAGCCCCTTTGATGCGATAGCTAAAGAACCGCCAATATCGACAACAGTTGCCAACAAACCTCCATGGACAGATTCAAGTCTATTCTACAGTTTGTTAAACCCAGAGTGATTGCAATGGAGATTGATGATAGTTTACCAAATGTTGCTTTTCGACCTGAAATTCAGCAGAAACTCGACCATTCTCACTGTTGATTACTTTGAGCTAGCATATCATATTTAGCTAACTGTCAAATACACCCATTTGAAATGTACCTTTGGCAATACAAGTGCATCGTAGCCTCCTGCACCCATAAAACTCTTCAAATGCAGTCATCGCATTAGGAAATCACTATTTAACATGTTGTTTTTGATGTGTTTACCTTCAACACCTTTTGCACTAATTCAGGGGACCTTAAAGCTATTGTGGGAATCATATTGACAAAGAGGAAAAGAGATTACTTACAGTGGCAGCTGGATACTACAAGAGAAAGCAGCGGAAAATGAACCTTGGGGTTGAACCATGATGAGGACGAGCTGAATTCCGTCTCAAAAACTAGCTATCTTTGGAGAAAATAGCATCACATTAATCGCTGGCATGTTGGTTGATTCATAAGAATTAGAATGAAAATCATTTGGAGGCAGATAAACCTCTAAAACCTACCTTTGCGGGCATCTTTGATATAAATTAAACCATGATGAAGCGCCTTACAATCCAATACTCATTAGACTGACTCTACTTATGGTAATAATGTAAATGAACATTCAGGAAGCATGATACCGAAGCCTCTTTTTTATTGTTTTGCAACAAGAAAAACAGGTTTGGTTTATTCACAATATTAGCAAATCAAACATCTAACTCATCCTCTGTATCTCTGCCTGCAGAGCTCTTCTTCTTCCTCATCCCTTCATGTGCCTTGAGTTTGCGTTTCTTTTCTCTTCTAGCTGTTAATGAACCTGACGCTGATCTATCGTCCTGACTAGAGTCCTGATCCTTGTCTTCCTTCTGTGCAAGAGCCTACATGTTTTACAAGCATAAGAAACCAAACAATGTATGCATTCTCATATATAACGTTACTTTTTGATATGTCGATGAGGATAATGAAAAGAGTCTGTCTAATTCAGTGAATTTTGGCTTTCTTCTGTCAGGTCGATTTGTCAAATAGCCATCGAAACCACGAATGATATTTCCATTTTGTTGCGTATCTTCCAAGTAAGAGCCTTCAAAGAGATAGATGGCATTTTCCAAGTTAATCTATGGGCAGGAAATTAGCCAAAATTAGCATTTCAATTGTACAAATGTCTAGATTACCAAGTTTGTATCGACTTGCTTCTTTCTTGCTAATAGTGCTTGTAGTTCGTGTTTGGCTTCTTCGTATTTTTGACGAGTTACTTGAGGTGGCTCAGCAGCTGGCGTTTCTGTGCTTGGTGTTGTAGTGCTTTTATTAGTGGGTGTGGTAGGTGTTGCAGAAGTGGTTGTATTATTAGTATCATTGTTAGGAGTAGTATTGGCATTTGTCGAACTTTCTGTAGTGTTAGAGGTGCTAGAAGCCTATCATACGTGTGAATCAAGTAATATATCAGCCTTATAGTGATGATACGTACTTCCTTGGTATCTTTAACCTCTGACATTGTTGTTGAATAGTATCAAAGAGTGGAAAAAAAAATGAAAAAACTCCCTTACCATAAAGAATTTATTCAAGTTCCGTGGTTAATCAGTGCTATAAATTGGTAATAATTGGGCTGAGGCTAGCCCTTTAAATATCCTAACTTTCTTCTTTCTCTTATAAACAAGTTTAAACTACCACATTTAAGGTACACTATCCAGTTTTTCGTATACTAAAGTTTGTCTAATTTGACGTTTTGCAGCTGCACCATGTCAGAAATCAAGAAAGAGGAACAGCAACCATCACCACATCTACAGGTCGAGACTGAGCCATCTCTAACAGCAGAACAAGCGCCTGTTCCTGAGGAAAAGAACGACGCTGAGGCGACCGTCCCTACACTACCCCAGATCATCATCAATAATAATGAACTAGAAGCACCAGAACTAGCCATCAATGGCGATGAATTGATACTAGACGAACCTCAAACGCCTGTACCTACCGATGCCTCCATTCTGTCTGAAAGCACGATACCTGATGAGACATCCACCACATCATCACACTCCACCTTGATACCTGAATCACTGCACAATGACGATACACAGCCAATTCATATGGATGAGTCAGATTTCCAAGGACCAGTGATTGATTTCTATCGAAACAAGAATATTTTGATGACAGGTGCTACTGGTTTCATTGGAAAGGCCATTTTATGGAAGTTGATACAGGCTTTGCGACAAGACTTGGGTTCTATTTACATCTTGATTCGTAGTGGCAGTATTAAACGTAGCAAGATTGGCAGGCCCTCTGAGAGGCTTCGAAATGAGATATTCAACAATAAGGTACTCTATGAAGGGCTGTGTGGTAGATGGCCATATTAAACCTCCTTTTTTCATTATGCAGGCATTCTTGATCCTTAGACGTATGATGGGAAAGGCAACATTTGACTCTATCGTCAAGAATAAAATCATTCCCATTTCCGGTGATATTATTTCACCAGATCTGTCCATGTCTGAAGTGGATCGAGAGAAGATTACTGAAAACGTAAATGTTGTGATACATTGCGCAGCCACATTGAATTATAGTGAAAGATTGGATCTGGCATTAGAGGTAATGTAGAGTGTGCATGTGGACTTTTTTGCATAATATTCATTTCATTGGGCGCGTTTATATATAGACAAATACACTGGGTACGCTTCGCATGATGGATCTAGCAGATGAATGCAAGCATATGGGTAAGAAGGAAAATGAGAGTCTAAATCAAGTACTCTGACCACATAGTCATACAGAGGCGTTTATTCACATGTCACTGGCTTACACGGATCCCAACTTGCCTAATGGTCATATTCAGGAACGAGTGTATCCAATGCAGGTAGGCGACCCTGAGGAATTATTGACGGAAATTGTGGATCTGGAGCTACAGGATATTCCAAAAATGACTCAACGTATTTTGGCCTACTACCCAAACACTTATACATTCACCAAATCACTTACCGAGCATCTGATCATGAAGCGTGTTGATCTGAATCGCATTGAGGAAGCGCAGGGCGGAAAAGCGCAGTGGCCAGTTGCTATTGTCAGAGCAACTCAAGTAGGTGCTGGAGCGTTTGAGCCTTTGCCTGGCTGGGTAAGACCATCTATCACTTATAGGGAAAACGCTAATGATCTTCTATCTAAAAGGTGGACGGTGTTACAGGTGCAAATGCTGCCGTGTTCTTGATGGGCAAAGGTATCCAGGTACTACAGCCTGACATGGGCACATTAGTAGCCGATATTGTGCCTGTAGATTACCTGGTCAGAGCAGTGCTTGGAAGTGCGGCCTTCATGACACCGCCAGGCTACCGCTTTCTGTTACCGTACAACGAGGTGTTGGCAGATGGTGTCGACACAAACAGCATCAATGTACCCAATATGCAGTATTTCCCTTACATTTACCAAGTATCAGCCTCTGGATTCGATGAAACAACATGGCACCAAGCATATGACTCAGTTCGTTCCTACTGGCTGCGTAACACCAAGCTGGTCTTGCCTACAGCGCAAGAGTACTTTGTAGCCAACAGATCACTGTTCAAAGCCAAGTTTTTCATGAAGTACAGCTTGCCACAATCACTGTCTTCGGTGACCAGCGCTATCAGCAATGCCAGTGGCGTCGGTGGAAAGGCAGGTGCGACATCTGATGCCAACTCGCTGAACCGAACGATTGAACTTGCGTCCCGAGTGATTGACTCTTTGCAGCCATTTCTGCGTCACTCTTGGGTATTTGACCACCAAAACGTACAACAAATGGAGCACGACATGCAACATGATGCACAATTCAACTTGAGTCGTTTTAAGCACATGGACTGGGACACGTACATGACCAATTTTGCATTTGGCGTGCATGCTTATATCACCCCTGCACCGCCATTGAGTCTGCGAAACATCACTGTGCCTGAGGGATGGGCGTGTTCTCTGTACTTACACCCTGGAGCCGCCCAACACTCAATCATTGATAGACAGATTGAGTCTGTCATCTTTAGTGCGTCTGATATCCAAAAGAGAACAGAGCGCATGCTGAATGAATTGGTATTATCGCTTGAGAAGCCTGGACAAGAGCTCAAGGATAAGAAGAAAATGGAGGAATGGGTGAATGATTTTGATGCTAGTCTAGATGATTGGTGTCATGATGACTCGGACATACTTAAGAACAAGGACAATATGGTAAATTTAGGACATTGGGCTAAACAATCAGAATCGCATGAGGAGCACATTCGAATTGAAGTGCTCAACGACAGAAGAGTGGGACAGAGCATTCGACAGGTAAGTGTATTGCTTGAGTGAGAGAGAGAGAGAGAGAGAGAGAGTCACTGCATAGACCTCAAGATAGACGACATTTTAACGCATATAACAGATCATCGAGACGTCAGGCGTGCCACAAAGCACGGTGGTGGGCGAATCTCTGAAAATCCTGCAGAGAATGAAGGAAAGAACACAGCTGCCCTATATCTGGTCTGCCGGTGCTTTTCTTAACGCTTTGTTCAAGCGTCTTTTTAGTAGTTTGCGTATCAATGAGATGGATATTGCTCGCTTGAAAGAGCAGATTCAGGGCAAAAATATCGTCTATGTACCTGTTTCCAAGACGATCATAGATCAGCTGCTGGTATGGTATATTTGCTTGAGATATCACTTGCCTGTCCCTGCTATTGTGTGCGATGAAGGTTTGTTTGTTTGACGTCTAAACAGGAAAGTCATTGCTTAACATGATGAAATAGCGTTGGCTTTATTGGGCCCCATTTCTGATATCCTGAGAATCTCAGGTGCGTATTTTGTGCGTCGAGACCTCGCCTCGCGTTCGCCTCTCAACACAGCTGTCGCATCTGCTTATACTGAAGTGCTGCTGAAAGAGCACGGCGCTTTGTCCATGGTTATTGAAAGAGCTCGTTCTCGCACTGGCAGATTACAGACTGCGTATCATGATGGACTGATGAACATGGTGATTGAAGGTACACTGGGACACAACCAACAGCAAAAGGAGACGCCCAAGCAACTATCACCACTACCTACCCCTGCTGGATCATTCTCTTCTCTGTCCATCAAGAAAGAAACAGTACTGGTTCCTGTCAATATTACCTACGAGAAGATCCCTGAATTGAGAACACTGATCGATCAGGTGCTCGACCAAAAACCGCGTAATTTGACTGTAACATCGTCCTTCCTTCGTCCCAGTGCTTCTGTGGCTGACAGAGCTGCTACAAAAGACAATGGTGTTATTGAAAAGGGCAAGTATGGGCGTGCCTTTGTTGGGTTTGGTAATGTCATTGATGTTCGCCAGGCTGTCAAGGAAGCCAGCTTACCTGCAAACAGCAATAAGCGATTGAGGTATGTGTGTATACAACAGATAATGGATACTGAAGACTGATGATTGCAACTAGCACTGTCGCTGTCAAAGACGAAGACGCTGTAGCTGACTATGTGGCTCGTAAAGTACAAAAAGGCCAACATGAAGCTGCTGTAGTGAGTCCAGTGACACTGGTCGCTGCTACTATCTTGTTTGGACGCGCTACTGGTGGCATTCCCATAGGCAAAATCAATAAGCATGTCTCTTGGTTGCGCGAGGAGCTGGTAGAGAGAAAGATCAGCATTGATTGGCAAGCAGACGAGGATGTGTCTACCATTGTTGCTTATTCAATGAATCTGCTGGATGCTCGCAGTAATGTCACCATGGATGGCAAGCGCATTACCGACCAAACTGTTGTTCGCGTGGTGGAACACGCTGATAATGTCATGGATCTATCCTACATGGCTAGTCAACTGATCGAAATCTTTTTGCCTGAAGCCTTATTTGCTGTGGTCTATCTGTCTGGCGTCAAGGAGACGAACAAGAAGGATCTGTACGCACAGTTCACCTTCTTGGTTCGTCTGTTTAAGCACGAGTTTATCTATCCTTGGAGCAGAGAAGAGGTAAGCTAACCAACTCATTCAGAGGAAGAGGTGTTCTCACATCCATCGCTTTTAGAAATTCAACACACTGCTGGATTGGTTTGTCAAAAAGAACTTACTGGTAGTCAATGAAGAGGGACAGTATACCAAGGCTGTGACCATCGAGAACAACGAAGCGGAATATACCAGAGTCTGTCTGTTGGCATCGTTCATTTACCCCACACTGGATGCCTACTGGATCACATCCTGCTCGTTATCGGCGTTGCGTGATTTACCCTACATGCCTCGCAAAATTGTGCCTGTGCTCTCGCAGTGGATCGCTGCTCATCTGATCACTGGAAGACGCACTGTGTACCGCGAAGTATTATCGACTGAGGCAAGTCAGAACGCGGTAGACAATTTTTTGGCCATTGGTTTCATCGACGCTGTGCATCCCAAGACCAAGCTGTCTCCAGATGCTCAAATTCTGTTGCTTGAACTAGGTGTTACTACCAATGAGGATCTCGTCATGGTATCCAGTAGAAAGAACGATGAGTTGGACGATGTGGTAGGTGTCGGCAGTATATAGATTATCAAGTTGAAGTCAGTCTAACTCAATGCACTGCGTCCTGTAGTCTTCCAGTGCCCACCACGAAAGCGAGAACATTTTGTTGAAACTGGACGACATTGCCTCCCTTTGCCATGAGATTGAAAAGTACAGGTTTGTCACAGACAATGTCAATTCCAAGCACAATGCACAAGTATTCGATAAATGTCAGAATCAGATTCGATCTATTTTGAGAGCGGATCAGAGTTACGCTGCTCAACACGGTATGCAGTTGGATAAGGAAGAGGATCAAATGATTCAGCTGGTATATTCCCTCAAGGCAGCGTCAAGCACACCTGTTTTATCTGATGATGGATCTGGAAAGCATTCACGAAGAGTGTCTCAAGCATACAACCTCAAGTCTTCTTAGACCTTTCATATGTCATATAATTATATAATATTGTATAAAAATCAAAACATTTAAAACATTGAGTACCGGACAAAGCTCAAAAAACATTTCTTCACATTTACAAGCATGCACATGAGCTTCTGAGTGAAGAAGACGAATGGCAGGCCTGAAATCATATCAACGAGGATGCTTACATTCGACTCAACTTTCAAATGAGATTGGAGCTAATAATTGTTAGTGGAGATAGGCGCACTCAGAATCTGCCAACTGTCAACGAGATTGCAGCCATCACTTCTAATGAATATTCTGATACGAGTTTTAAAGATACACTCATTACGTATCAAAATAACATTTTAGTCAGTGGCGATAGTCTCTTTAAAACAAATGAATCAATTGCATACTGCCTACATGCCATGTTGAAATGCTGTACATCATGACTAGGAAGCTGCGATTACACATTTTTGGGTGATGAGCAAGGCTGACTGGCATTGTCAGATATCAAAATGCCCAACAAAAGTAAAAAGAAAATATTCAGATTAAGTTATAGTCCTTTCAAATTTATGATCCCTATTTAATCAGGATCAATAGCATCATTTTGATTTAATATATACCATAGGAAAAGTCTTCATTTTCAAGATGAAAAATGCGATCGTTTGATTTTCGATGAAAAGCATGAGGTACCCCTCATGCTTTTTGGTCGAATTTTGGCCATGTTTTTTTGGTCCTCAAAAAGTTGAGCAAAGGTGTCAGAAAGTTGCTGCTATTCGAATACTATTGTTTAGTGTCATTTCGGTGGCTCAGAAAGGTCTACATATCAAGACATTTAGGCTTAAAAGCTGTCAAATTTGGCTGTTTTTCATATGTTTGCTTGTCGATTGGCGCGTTTTTGTTATGGGACAAATGCTTAAAGATATTGTATTCGTTAATCTAGATTCAGGGCATGCTGTTATCTTCAAATATTCAGCTAGAAATATTAGGTTGAGTAGCACTGCTCTGTCACAACATCACAGCACAATAATTCAGCTTATTAGTGAGATGATGACGGCTGTAAGACATGCTGGACATCTTAAATGCAATGGGTAGTCTGCATCTAGTAAAAGCTATACTATACAATTAGCTCAAATATATACAGTCTGTAACTCGATAGCTTATATTATTAGGTGGTCCGTATCATATCCAATTTAATTGTGCCAGAGTTATGTATGTTAAGCTGTGTATGTGTTTGATCATTTAGTATTAATGTATGCATTCACCGCTGCATTCGGCTCATTGATGATAGCGCACTAGAGAGTCAAAACATTAGTATTTCACCTATTCATAGGTACTTTTCGACCTACCACTATCATGCGAGAAGCCTCCATAACTGTCGATATGATTATTCTATGCTCTACGTCTGTAAACAATGGAAACAATTTACTCACGGGTATATAATATACTCACATTATGCTCTTTTTATTCAAAATCATGCAATAAATGCAATTGAAAAGTGGTCTATTAAGTTTAGAGCCGCGTAAGACGGTCATATTAGCATCAAACAACTGCTTTCATACAACATTAACTTGATGAAATCATCCCTTTGCTCAACCTTAAAGGGGCCAAAAAATTGCCAAAAATCGACTCTAAATTATCAGTTGCCTCTCATAGATTTCACCAAAGATCAAACGATCATATTTTTTTTTACCCCAAAAGCGAAGACTTCACCATAGAATATATCAGATCAAAAATGTCCCATCAATCCAGAGCAACCCCTGAAACGGTTTAAATGAGACCTTTATATACATTTTTTGACGTTTTGAACCTTTCTCAGTAACGTCGTACAAAATCGTTTTTTTTTATGACACCATCAGATGCGATTCAATGCATTAGACAGAATGTGCGCACGTATCAAGGTATGCATTTTGCGAACGGTAGATGTCAGACACCATGTTTACAAGATTCAAGACATTCTAACAGAAGTTTAACAGAGTTTTGAATCTTTTAGCTGCTTGCTAATGAATCAATGCCTTTCTACCGTAATCATAAAGACAATAGATGTTTTTGAAGCTAGCAAAAAAATACTTTGGGTGAAGATTATGTTGTAAGATAGTAGAGCTGTTATTCCTTACTTGTGCCGAACATTTTTTTTTTTCAAATATTAGATTTTGTCATTGAGAGTTGCTTATCCAAATGCGAAAACACGAATTCTAATATGAGATGCAATATGCCGCTCTATTTGAATTGCAAATAATGCTTTGAATGTAAGCCGTAGTTAATACATTGTTTGAAAGTTACGAAATTTTTATTAGTACTATGAAAGCACTACCAATAAAATCAAATTAGCTGTCAAAAAATCTTCCATGCCATACTTTTGCATTGTCAAGATAAAAACGACAGTTTCTTGCGGTTCATATCTCGTGATAGCCCCTTCTGCCAGCTTATTTTTCTTTGCTTTCTTCTGATAAAAGCAAATACTTTTCGTACTTGGTTGCCACATACGCTGCATAAATCTATGTAAAACAAAAAGAGAATAACATGTATTAGGCACCGTCTTTAGATGAAGTAAACTTGGACATCATATATCTACCTGTTGCGCATATGACACGCCGAAATAGCCAAACAACAATGCTATCATTATAGCACACATGGTTTTCATATCTCGCTCAAAAAATTCAGGAACATCTGGACCATCAGGCACGTTGATTTCAGGCCACTTTAATGGTGCTGTCCACAAGCATTCTATCAAGATAAATGGTGTGCTGATGACATTGAAGTAGAGTAAATTCTTGTGGTATTTGATAAGCTTTGGTGATTTCTATTAAACCCATGTTAACTAATAGTCAGGTGCCCAAGATGAGACATTGTATGTACGTTGTAGCTGCCAACCAAACCAATGGCATAAGTGCTTGCATGAATCATTGAGAACATATCCACTGGGCTGTCCAAATAGGGAACCGTGGTATGAAAATATCTATAAGAAGCTTGAAGTACAACCAATGTTAGTGAGGCTATCTTCTTTCACAAACAGCAATCTCTACCAGGAGTATTCACTTTTGGATCCTCAAGATAGTCAGATGCAGCAGAAACGGTTTCAATCAAATACGGAATGGTCTACAAATTCAAAACACATTTGAGCACATCAAAACATTCCTTCTTATTAATTGTGCTCAATTACCAATGAGCATAGTGAGTTCAAGAAGACACCTGCTCTCAAGGACAGACAGCAGTAGCATTTATTAAAGGAAGACGGGATGTATTTGGACATTGTTATAAAGTTGAAATAGAAAGTTTAACAAAAAAGTCAATGCCGGTTATTTATATAGGATCAAATCCCTTCAACTCGTGTCACCTTCTCGAAAACTGCACCAAGGTTCTGTGCTCAATAGAGAAGTTTAAGGACCAACATTTGACTCATAGCAGAAGAATGTTAACTTGGTTAGCTTTATTCAATAATGCTTAAAAGTCTTCGTAATCATCTATCGAAAGAGGGAAGAAATATATTAGTAAACCACGAAAAATCAGAGACACATCTGCTTTTACCTTCAATACCATTGATTGCGTGCAAAAAGAACAAGACAATGTTGGATGTACATTGCATGTTAAAACCATGATACAGGCCGCGCAGACTCCAATCTGTGAAGATGCTCTTCTTTTGCAATTTTTTGCTGCTGCTACTGTTATGTTTCTTTTTGTTGTGGGGTTTTCCGCCTTCCTCTTTGATGATACAGTAAGCAGCGTTTGCCATACCTGTGTAAGGGACAGGGCGCATAGCTACCACAGACTCAAATCGCTTGTTTCCTGGCGTTCTGGTTCTGATTTGGCATTGAAGACGCTTGCGAATGGTATCCAATGGTAATGTGATCAAAACTTCTAGTGTATTGAGGCCCAATTCTGCAAGACTGTACATGAAGGGCGATTCATTAGCAGAGATACGAAGCACACGGTCAATGATGAGTGGTGTAATGTTCTGCAATAATGGAGTAACAGTGTGGAAAATGATGGTGGGTAAAAAGTTGTGAGAGAAATAGAGGCCCTTAATGCCTCCTTCTTCTTGAATGATGGTGCGCAGTGCGTGGAAAGGACCCTTATACTTTCTCTGCAAAGGTGAAGCAGATTGAACTTGCATTCTGGGTCAATGCCTAAGGTCAATATCTCATCCTGACTACCCTTTTCTCTCTCTCCCGCTAGATGCTTACCTTGTTCTGATCAATTCTAGAGGACTGAGCACAAATCCAACAATGAGATTGCTAGCAACCAAAGTAGCCAAGTTGGGGCCAACATGATCCAAATGAACCAGTGGAATCGTGTCATCGTATAAATCAAACATGTCGTTTAGCGAGCCTTCCAGTGTAGGTTGAAGGAATAAGTGAGAAATCTCGTAAATCCAGTTTGTGTATTGACCTTTGAACAACGAGCGCCAGCCTTCGTGAGGTTGCTTCATCAGTTTTCCAATTCCCTGCCAAACACCACCATCAATAGGCTTCATTTGGTGCGGTGGTCTCGTCATATCGTCATACACACTCTCGCGAATCACATATCCACTAGCATCCACAGCAAGCTTCTTCTTGAAAACTGGATCATCTACATCAATCGTGCCTGAATTCAAGGGATCGCTTCCTGCTGAATAGCGTCTTCTGCGTCTAGACTCGTGCTCCTCCTCGTAAAAGTCATCCTCTGAATCCTCTGAATCATACTATGTAGAAGACAGGGTATTGATAAATGAATCCTATACTATCTCTCTCAACGGATTTCCTACCATTCTTTCCTCTGTTTCAGAATGTCCATCCTCGTCGTCTATGGTTGTCGTGGTGCGGGCAATGGAGGTCACTTCGGCGTCTTCTCGAGGCATGTATTGCACTTGCAACAATGTTTTGGACACTTCAAATGGGCTACTGACAGCCGTGGTGAGGTACTTTAGCACCGTGAAGTTGATGAGCTCTCTTGCAGCAGCCTTTGAGTCGATTAAATCGTCAAATTCGTTGTTGTTGTAGTATGAGGTTGCCACCGTTTGAGCATCGGGGACGACAGTGTAGTTTCCGTTGCCAAGTCCAGGCGTGTAGTAAGGTCTCAATCCATTTCCACCTCTACCGGCTGTCGAAGGGAATGTGGCAAAAGGATGGCTTTGGTCCGCAGGCATTTTTCTTTAGTAATCTCTCTAAACAAGGGGTGGTGAAAGAATATTTTGTAATTCCAATATCACGCATTTCTTGTGGTGTGTGTGTCTGTGTGTGTTTCTTGCTGTGATTTTCATTTTGCGAGTGGCAAATAAAGAAATGAGAACATCGACGTCATCTAGGCTTGATTTCCAAACAACATTACACAGAGCGTAGATGAGACATTGCATAGTGCCATTTGGAAACTTAATTTGATGGAAAATTCTGCAATCATCTTTTGATAATGATACTAAAATGCTGGATAAGTCATTTTGATGGAATATTATTTGGTAGAGATCATCTCATAACAAGCGGCTATTATGCTCTCTCTCAGTGGGCTTTGTTTGTGTGTTTATTTGGTGCGTGTGTGTGTGCTTTTATGCGTGTGATACATTTGAATTAACATCATCATGATGAATTTGCAACCACAAACTTTGCTTTTTCTATTCTTCTTTTTCTTTTTCTTTGACCATTCGGTTCTGAGGCTATTCTTGATCTAATGGATCAATACAGTAATATAGCTTAAAAATAAAGATAGACATTATGTCAACATCGATGATGCTATTGCCCACTAAAAAAAAAGAGCCTAGCAGCGATATCACTGGCTTACAGCGCTTTAGACTCCCGCAGCAGTGATGAATGGATTCCCTTTTGAAGATTAGACTTTGAATAGAATGACATAGAACAGTCGTCGATCCTCCAGCGACAACGTCATGATGATTTGGTAGTGATATTATGCTTTTTGCATTGACGAGCGTGTCTACATGAAATCGTAATAGGAAGAAAAAAAAAGTATAAATACACTGGATGTTGGGCACCATTTGGATAAAAAATCATTCTCATTTCGAATTAAAACAACAATAACAATGTCTGCTTTCAACAACACCTCCAACAACAACACTACCTTAAATCAACCTGGTCTCGATGGCCGTATCCAGCCTCCCGTTGGTGAATTGAACGAAAACCACGGTATTGCTGCCACTGGTTTGAACGAACCTCACACTCATGCTACCATTCCTACCACTCAAGGCACCACTGCTGAACGCCGCTCTGATAACTTAAACTTCTCTGGCCCCCCAATTGCTGGTAACAAGGTTGATCAAGCCGGTTCTCACAACCCCTCTGCTACCAACCGTACTGCTGGTACTGGTATTCCTCCCGTCAACACCGCTGAACACGCTAGACACAATGCTGCTGAAGAGGCTCTCTCTGGCCATCATGGTCATCATAATAACCATCACAATGTAGGTACTGGTGTTGGTGCTGCTGGCACTGCTGCTTCTGCCGCTGGTGCTGGCTATGCTGCCGCTGATAAGTTCTCTGGTGACCACCACAACACTACCGGTACTGGTCTTACTGGATCTCACCATAACACTACCGGCACTGGTATTACTGGTTCTCATCACAACACTGCTGGTACTGGCATTACTGGATCTCGCCATGACACTACCGGCACTGGCATTACTGGATCTCACCATGACACTACCGGCACTGGCATTACCGGCGATCGCTACAACACTACTGGTACTGGCCTTACTGGCGACCACCATCACAAAGATCACAACCTCACTGGTGCTTCTGCTGTCAAGGGTGATCACGGTGCCTCTCACCACAATCAGCATGCTCATATCGGTCATGATGCCACTCATACTGGTGCCGGTGCTACTGCTACTGGTGCTACTGGTGCTGCTACTGGTGCTACTGGTACTACTGGTGCTACTGGTGCTGCTACTGGTGCTGCTACTGGTGCTGCTACTGGTGCTACTGGTGCTGCTACTGGTGCCACTAGACACGCTGGTGAACCTCAACATGAAGGTCTCCTTCCCCACAAGAACAAAGAACATCACGCTACTTCTGGTAACCACCCCACTGCCTCTGATGATGCTGAAGGTAAGGCCTCTGCTGGTGACAAGATTAAGGGTAACCTTGAGAAGATTGCTGGTAAGATCACTGGTAACGAAGCCAAGGTCGCTGCTGGTGAGAATAAGGCTGCTGGTCGCACTTAAATAATTTGCTCTATATCCACATTTTTATTTGTATTATTCTTGTAAACTCTCAATCAACCAACGCTTTTTTTTTGTATAAAAAACGTATCTGTTAAATAGTATAACCTTAAAACCTTACTACTTTTTATATAATAAAATAATATTTTTGTCATAAAAACTTTTTTTTTTTTTTTTTTTTTTTTTTTTACATTTAATCAATGCAGGTTTTGTTGAAAAACGTGATTTGATAGACCAATTTGTTCAGGCTCAAAGTAGCAACCATTGGCTATATTGCACTCGTTTTCTTTGTGTTGAAAATCTCCAACATACATAATACAAGCCAAGAGCTGCACAATACATGATGACAGGTATCTAGGCCAAGGTTTACGAGCTGCTTGGATTCAAATTACATACAATTCTTCTTTCGATCCTTGTAGCAAAATACAACTAATTTGAATGAATTTGAGCATTACTGTCTTCTTTTTATACGTTGCTTCAGTTCATGTCAAGGACACAAACGACTACTCATATCTCCAAAATACTTCCAGCACCTTTCATTATATATGTACGTGTGTTTATGCTTCGAATGGCTCTCTACCTTCGCTTCACTTCAGTGAGGACCAACCCGCACAGCGACAGCTCACGCTACCGATTGCCCTTGCGCATCTTATCAAAATAAAGTTACATTCATTTTGACCCTCCACTTACTCATAAAAACCCTTCATATTATCTGTGGCTCTGATTCTTATGTGATGCTCTGCATCCATATACACATAGCTACTTTGTATACAGGCAAGCAGCATACTCGTATTTCATCTTTTTAGTCCTTAGTGCCACTAATACAGCAAAATATGAGTGCTTTTGGGCCGCGTTTTCTTGCGTTCAAGGTCGTTTTAGGTCGTCAGAATAGTACCAAACAATTGCTCTCGACTAGCAGCAACTTTCTGACACCTTTGCTCAACTTTTTGAGGACCAAAAAAAAACATGGCCAAAATTCGACCAAAAAGCATGAGGGGTACCTCTTGCTTATTCATCGAAAATCAAACGATCGCATTTTTCACCTTGAAAATGAAGACTTTTCCTATGGTATATATTAAATCAAAATGATGCTATTGATCCAAAGCAACCCCTGGAACTTTGTTTGTGCAGCCTCCATATGCAAAATCTCGACATTTTAGCCAAAAACTTCATTTCATATTTTTGTAAATGACTCAATAAGTTTATTCAAAACATCTGTCTTGTTTAGTACCATTAGATGCGCCTTGAAAAGTACTTCAAGAATGTACTAGGAAGCATTGGATGATCACGACAATTTACATAGTCGAATCTTGGCCATGTTTTTTTGGTCCTCAAAAAGTTGAGCAAAGGTGCCAGAAAGTAGCTGCTAGTCGAGAGCAATTGTTTGGTACTATTCTGACGACCTAAAACGACCTTGAACGCAAGAAAACGCGGCTCAAATGCTTACAATTTTTGCTGCGTTTTACATAACTTTGAGTAGTAAAAAGCTAATTCATGTACGCTGTTCGCCTCTGAATGAATTTTTCATACTGGTATATATGTGGAGCCTGGCAGAGAAGTCAGATACAAAATCACAGATACTCTCACATGATAAAAGTGGAATTTAATAGCATGTCTGTTATTTAGGCTTGATCTGTCTCAGGTTTGCCTTACACAGGCCTGCATGGTATTGTACGGGCCAACTATGGATACTGATGGGCCGCTTTGTATACACATCGTGTCTTTCAGGTATGCCAAATACACCCAACCGGCAACTGGACGGCAAGTCGGCACATCAATAAAATGACAAGCGACATTTGTTGTTGTTGACATTTACCCCCCCCCCTTTCTTCTGCATAAACGCAAATAAACAAAGCACCAAGAATACATGTCAGATATCATTGTACCTGGATTTAAGAGCTCTGAGCTCATTGCTGAATTGAGCAAGTCTTTCGAGTCATTTTCACCCGAGGAAAAAGCTAAATTACTAAAGCAGGTTTGTATCTTGTTATTTCGTGAATTTGATATATAATCTCATACAACAACATCAACACACGCTTAGGTCAATGGCATTTTTCAATTTACAATTAAAAACAAGAATGGCAAAGAGGAGATTTTCATTGTTGACTGCAAAAAGGAAGGAAAGGTATCTCGTGGCAAAGGTTCTGTCAAGCCAGATGCCGTTTTGATTCTCAAAGATGAAGATTTTGTTGCTTTGGCTACTGGAAAGCTTGTTGGTAAAGTACTCAGTACAACATATTCAGAGAGACCGTTTGTTGACGAGCTAATTAATAGGTCAAAAGGCTTACATGACTGGCAAGCTCAAGATTAAGGGACAAATCATGTTGGCAATGAAGTTGGATAGTGTCTTCAAGACAATTCAGCTCCCCTCTGCCAAATTATAGAGAACAAGTATTGTCAATTGAGATGAAGTTGGCCATGTTGTAGTGTGAGGTGTCGAAAAAGCTCCTATTAGCGTAAATAAAATATAGATGCAGCATTATGCCAAACAATTAGACGTTGGGAACGATGAAGTAGCATATATATACTTGAAAAGATGTATCATAAAAGGACCTTGACATTCATTACAGAAAGAGGTGATATATCTCGTTTCTATGTTTTATCTAAATTTGATTGTTGTTTAAAATATTAGCGTCAGCCATGCGAAAGAAACACATCATGAAAACATGCAATCAAGCATATGAACACCAACAACAGTAATCCAAACTCTGCCAGAAGTAGTGAATAAAGATGGGTCTACTTTATTCCAATAATCATAAACAGGGTATTTCCAAATCAAGGGAACTGAGTTAAGATGGTCATCGCTTTGAATGTATTTGGGTTCCTAATTGAGTGCATATCATTTGAAAGATATCATATTCAGGGTGAAGAAGCGACATGTTGACATGTATTGATTGAAAAATCATCATGTGCTGTTGTAGAGTCTGTATGCTCCTGTGTAGACACTGATTCTCTTCTCTCCTCTGTGATCTGTACATCAATGACTCTATTCGTCCCTCTATACTCCAGATGGTCCAATTCTGATACCAGAGACAGACTACTGAGTCTTTTTTTGGGCAAATGGTCCATTACTGAGCCACTGCCCCCAGAAGAATTGGATATATAGGTTGCTGAATTTTCTGATGCGTCGGTATCGCTAATGTGTGCATACATGGACTCTTGACATTGTGCCTCGTATGCAGCTTTCTGGGCTTCGGAAAACTCAAAGAGTCCTTGGGTATCTGCTTTACTGACAGGATCCATATTCAAAGGTTGATCTGATGGATTGGTGTGCTCTCTGCCAGCAAGTCTTCCCAGAGTATACATTCCATGTGTAGTGGTCGTGGTAGCAGTAGCAACAGAGATATCGTCATTGGTGTTTAGTTCACTCATATTTTTCTCTAACGATTTGAATGATTCAGGCATTGAATCGAGCGATGCTTTCACAGCCATTCGTAATGCATGTCTCTTCTCGGCCACTTTTCGTTGTCTTCTATCAATCTCTCTCTGCTGACTTCTGGTAATTGCCATTTTTTTTTTTTTTTTTTTACTACGCAATGAAAGGATCGTTCAAATGCTTATACGACATTTTTTTTTATATAAGGACGCCAGTTAAAAGAGAAGGTCACTTTAATTACTCTGAAATCCAAAACATTCCCGGATCTAAGGTTCAATGTCTTGTGGTTTCTGGATGATGGTCTATTGTGAAAAAGTTATAAATATCTTTTTTACTGTATCTGTCACAATAAAAGCATACATCAAATGGAATAGTTCCAACACATGCTGACTAGATGTATTTTCAATAATCCAAGTTTATACATAATCGTGGCTGCTCGTTCATGGTCTGAATGTCATGGCATGTCTGATCTACCTATCGCTAAATCCTGATCCCGCTTAAAATCAACTACCTACGTATGATTGTTGTGTCAAAAATGCGCTAGCTAGCAGTTAAATGAGCCGAGGATCATCCAACCAAAAGGGAACCCAGGATACGCTGAAAGAGAAAAAAAAAAAAAAAAAAGGAGGAGAGGGGGGGGGGGGAGCATCTGGCCACTGTATCTACATGTACATCTTGGGTCGAGACTCTAGACAAAAGCAGAAATCATATTTAGAAATTTTGTTATTTATTTAAATAGGATGCTTCTTAATTAGCTCTCTTTTTTTTCTCTCTTTCTTTCCAAAACACCACATCTGTGCTCTTTTTTTTTTTTTTTGCATAATGTCATCGACATTTCTACTGTTACTTTCACTGCTGACAGTAACTGAAGCCTATTTCTATGTGCCTAGCTTCATGTCAAACCTGCCTTTTCAAGGAGGCATGGCGACGGCACAGAAAAATAATTCATTGTACATGTTTGGCGGAGAAAACGCAACCACATCCTACACAAACAACTTGTATAGACTTGATCAACTCAATGATACATTCAGCTGGGGGGCCGTAAATCAAGTAAACGCACCTCCTGGCACCTTGTATGGTCAAGCTGTAGTGACAGATAACGGCAGCCACATGTATCTCATGGGCGGCATGGCAAACGCAACCAACAATCAAATGGCGAACCTTCAATACTATCAATTTGCATTTGACAGCAGCACATGGACCGCACCTACAACCAACACCAACTCGACTGGCAACATCACCATGCCGCTCAACAGAAAACTGTTCAGTGCTAGTTATGATAGCTCCAACAGCAAAGTCTACATCTATGGTGGTTCCCTAAATGATTCTGCTATCTTTGCGGATCTCTGGTCATTTGACACCACAACACAACAGTTTACACAGTTGCAAAATCCTGGTGTTCCTCGATATGCTCACACAGCCTCTTTATTAAGGTAAGCTATTTTCATCTTAGCTCGACTCGTAGCTATGCTAACACATTGAGCTAGTAATGGCCAACTTGTCATTATTGGTGGAGTGGCTCAAGTGAACCAAAGTGGACAAATTGGAAATATTTTGGCACCCATGACCAACATCTATGTCTATGATACCAAGACAAACCAGTGGGATCTCAAGGAAGCTACAGCAGCCAGTGGAAGCGCTTTACCTTCCACCCGGTCAGCTCACAATGCTGTCGTTAGTAAGTTTTGTGTTTAATGTGTAACTCGTTCCAATTGTCCTTACTCTATAATTAGCTTCGGATGATAGAATCATTGTCTTTGGTGGTAAATATCGGCTATAAATGGTAATTTCATGGATATTAAAACTGTTTGATATCTAGGTGATAATGGAGCCAATGCCAGAGAGAGGGCCTACTTGAATGCCATTGGTATTCTGGATACAAAGACCTGGCAATGGACTGTGCCTGCAGTGTCTGGTATTCCACCTTCCAGACGATCTTATGCTGCCGGAGGGCTCATGAACGATAAATACCTGACGATTGCATTTGGTAAGAGATTATATTTAGTTGTTCCATGTGATGTCAATATATTGATTTATAATTAGGTTCTGCACTCAATACGTATTATAATGATATTAATGTTTTAAATCTTGAATCCAATGCATGGCTTCAAACATTTGAACCCACAACAAAGGATGAGGCTAATTCTGGTTTATCGGGTGGTGTAATCGCTGGTGTTACTATCGCCTGTGTTGCGCTTGTAGCCATCCTTGTCTTTTTAATCTGGAGATTCCAAGGCTACGTTCGCTGGCTTGTCAAGCGTATTCATCGTGACATTTGGAAGCCACGGTAAGTATTCCCCCCCCCCTTAAAATCGACATGCTGTACCTGTAACTCACCCCATTCCCTAGTGCCGGTGAACCTTTCTGGGCAGAAACCACTCGAATCGTATTCCAGATATTCTTGCTCTTCATCTTTGCTGTCTTTCTGGCATTTGTTATTCGCCAAGCTATTGAGAGCCCGAATGTTACTCAAACAATTGAAGAATCTACTGCAGAGGTTCAGGTTCCAGGTAAATGATGTATATTAAGACTAGCATGCAAATTAAATAATTAACACTATCATGATGACCTGTGTAGATGTGAGATTCTGTTTTGATGGCTATCCTTCCTACCCAGCAACTGATGCCAGAACGCCCGGTGTGACATGTCAAACTGACAACGGCTATTCTTGCACAAAGTTCATTCAGCCATTAAACATGTCAGTTTTCCAGCCCACTTTTGCTGACAATTTGGGTGCTGTCAACTGCTTCTTGTTCAGAGCTCCCACTGACTTTGTCTTGACTTCGACTTCTGGTGCCAATAACGGATCGAGATTGCTATTCACCTTGTGGGGCGATCAATCCATTAACTATGGTAGAGTGCACACCTCTGTTTACCCCAAGACAATGAATCCAAATGCTGTGATTTATGGCATCAACGACGCCATGTCCAACCTTATGTCCGAACGCGATGTCTTGAACTGGCAAATCAACGAAAGAAATGATATCCAAGCTACCAATGTCTTTTCTCTGGAGCCCTATACGTACAGCGCTTTGTCCTACAACCTGATCAACCACAAATACCTACAAAATGTCGGATGGAACTATGTTGGCTTCTTGCCCATCTCCAACTCCACACCTGAAGTTACCACCAATTTCCGTCAAGAAGCACCCAATCCCAACTATGTAAGCACACATGCTGATATCGGTTTTATGGCTGTATTCCCAGAATCTTTCATTACTACCATTGAGCGTGAAGTCAAGATGTACACCTTGGTCAACGCACTCGGCTTTGTAGGTGGTATCTTTGGTTTGCTCGTTGCTATTCAAGCATGGCTGTTTGGCTACCGTCCTCGATCACCTTGGGGCGTTGTTCATCGATGGTCTATTGGTGATATGAAACGCTCTTTGCTTCGTGGCCTTCAGTCTAAATTCAAGATTACTGAATCAGGCGTTCCACTTGTCCATCCCGTGCACCACCGTTTCAGTGTCACTGATTTCCAGAACCTGGATTACGATGAACCCGAAACCCAGCGCATTAATCGTGTTGAAGAACGCATGCAAATGTTGGAAATGCTATTCAAGGCGTACTATGTCGATGACGAAGTGTTTAGATCTCTGGACGACGCTAACCGCAATGGTCAACTCGGTCAGATGAGCAACAACCGGCGTAGTGTGAGACCCGCCATGAACAACAGTGACAGTGGTCGATTCCCTCCACCTAGTTTCACAAATGCCACAGCTCCCCGAACAGAGAAAATGGTAGACGACAGTTACTCTAATGGTGGAGCAAGTATCAGCAAGCCTAATATGGGTGGCTATCCTCAATTTACTAGACATGACACTGAGGACAGTTCTGCTTCTCATATCCCTCTCACGCACCAACATCCCCGTCAACATGCTCCTCCATATCAGCCAAACACCACCGTTCAAATGGATGATTTTTAGATCCCCATATATAAATCACATCGTATATATCTTAAATATTGTATTTACCACAAAAAAAAACCCCCCTGTCAATCATAGTACCCTTTTAAATAAACAAATAATATGAAATCACATTTCAATCAAGTGGCAACAATGACATGCTACTGAAGGAGTGGCATAGCAAAATAGCACACTACTAATTAGCTGTATCCTTTTGACAGGTCGGGCCCTCTGTGACGGCAGACTGAGTTACTTTTACGTTGTTATGATTTGGCAATGTCATTGCTGCCCATTGACATTATCAAGTCAGAATATACAACAGTTGGCATGCCGAAGACTCCAGCCAGGCAGCAGGGGGGGGGGAGGCACTGCATATCAATCAGGAACATCATCATGTATGAATCCATCAGATCGTAATCGCAAAACATTTCAGTGCTTGTTTCACTTTCATCATTGTCTTCAAATTCTTGAATTTTAGTCTGGTCGTGAGCATGGCGTAAGGCCTCCTTCTCAGATGCTTGACATTTCACTTCAGGTAGCACAAATTCATTTCAAAAGGGCATTGTACTCCTTGATGCAAACAATAAACAGAGCATGTTGAGCTCAAACTGGCTTTGAATCAAGCCAAAGAGAAGAAGGTTTCATGGAAGCATCGCATGGCACGCACATCACGTTGAGAGCGAAAGAAAAAAAAAAGTCTATTTACTTGACACCACGTTGGATCGAACGATTTTCAAGCAATGCGAGCTCATCCCGTATGACTAGGTACTGGCAAAGAATCTCGAGGCATTATTAAGCTGCAATTACAACATCTACTCACATCAGCATGAGTATGCCCAAAGACAACTTCAAGATCATCCATCGGAGGAAGCAGCCGATCTCCAAAGCAGTAAAACATATCACAAGGGTAATATGAGCGCGCGTGCTTTGATTTGTTTTACCGAGGCTTCAAGCCGGGTTTCAGAGCATGTTCAGGGAAAACAATGTGGATTTTTATTAATACGTTAAAATACGAAAAAAAAAAGTAAGGTGTAAAATATGCTGTAAGTAATACTTCTATAAGAGTGTTCTTTATCTATTCCTCTCTCATTAGATTTTTCTGCTCTTGATGGGCTCCTTCTTTCCATTCACAGCATTCTTGGCAGCGGCAGCAGCAGCCTTCTTTTTGTTGTATGTGATTCTGTAGAAATTGATAAACAAGAACAAGTAAGACGTCAAGATGGCGCATCCAAATGCAGCAGCAGACTCGGTGCCTGCACAATCACCAAAGTTGAGCATAAAGGAGGTATATGTATAGGCATAGTAAGAATAGGTACAAGTGTAAATCACAACCAGATCAATGACAAATTGGATAATTTGCATGGTCGTCAAGTATTGCTTCCACCAGATCTTTACTCCAGAGGCAGTACGATAGTAATAGTAATACATGAGCACGTGCACTGTTAAATTAAGAACAATAGGCACCCATGACTAAAAACACACACAGAGGATGAGGCTTCTCGACTCCTGTTGCAACACATTGTAAACTTACCACAGTGGTTCTACCGACCAATTGCGTGTAGCACAAAGCCATTGTCATGCTATGATGGAAGTAATGAAGGAAATCTACACGGATTGTTAACATCAAGCCCACAACGACACCACCAGAAGATACATTACCAAGCTTCTTCTTTTTGATGACCAAAAACACAGTATCAATCAATTCATAGTATTTGACCAAATAGTTCAAATAATACAGCAACTCCAGCTCTTGTGTCCAAGCCTCCTCAGAACAGATGGTATAGTACAAACCTCGGTTGACCAATTGGGGAACAAGCTGCTCAATCAATAGCACCAAAAGGACAAAGGATACAACGGTCAAAAATGCATTATGGACTTGGTTGAGCATTTTGCACTTGACAGGCGACGCGTTGGAGAGAAGGCATTGGCCGCCAAAGATGACAGTAAAGTAGGTAATGCAACCAATGACCACTACACGAATGCCATTACTATCCATTCCAATAGCAACAATCATAACACTTACCTTCATGTAGCGTGGAGAGAGGAGTGACACCTTGCACAAAGTGAAAGTCTTTGGCAGATTGGCCAACGATCGCTGTGTACAATTGATCGAAATAGTCGAATAGATAGATGCCAAAAGGTCTCTCTACACTGAAATTGAGGGTGGACATTTGCTTGCCTTCCGGTTGAAATTGATTGATAAAGAAGAAAGAGAAAAGAGCAAGTGGGAAAATGAACAAGATGGCCTTTTTATCCGCTTGCTGTCATGTCCTAAAACAAAAGCATATTGCTCCCTTTCCGTCAGCGCCGATCAAATCCATCACATACATTGCAAATATTTAACCGTGCATTCTGTGATGGCATGCTGTAGAATGATGCCATATGTTTTGACAAGACGTAGGGTCCTTGTATATGCAATAGGACATTTGATATGCAGTATGTGCTTGCTGGCGTGCTTTGACTGTATTGAAAGTGGCGTGTCTCCAAGTGGTATGCATTTACCAGCAAACGATGGCTTGTACAAACGATCAAAAATCTACTGCTTTCGGTAGGTTACAAAGGTTTCGTGTATAATACAGCAAAGATTACATGTCGAGACACCTCTTGCACACAAGCGCGCAGGAGTAGGCCAACATGAAGCACATCAAAAGATAGCTCTGAACAAGCGCTACTTGGTAAACTATCGCCAGCTATCAGACATGGCCATTGCTCCTGGTTTGAAGGTGAGAGACGCCATTTCTCATGCAAAGAACATGGCGTTGCTTAGACAGACATTTGCCAGTGGTACAGGCGTAATGTTTCCAGATGATTTACATACATAAATCGGTGAACATTTGACCCCATTTTACTATATTTCTAGCGAGATGTTTGTGCTTGTGTAGCCATTGACAGGCACCATGAAAGACCAAGGCACATTAATTTAACCGCTCTCACTGTGACTTTTTGACATTTCATTCACGAAAAAACAAAAGCCTCCGCTTATGGCAGTTCTGCCCTTGTCTATCCCTTCAAGGGGGGGGGGGGGGGTGCACATCTCGACCTTTTTTTTTTTCTACACATTTTTTTTTTTTTTTTTTTTTTTTTGCATAATCCACATGTTTGTTGTACGTCAATCAAAGGCGCTCTCACCTATATACCACAGAGCAAGTATTGCAGCCAGTTTACATACAACGCGTGCATTGTTGGCTACTCCAGCCAAAGAGAGTGACGCATCGGCCTTTGAGAAGATAGCCCATGGACTCAATTCATTCAAGAGCACAGTGTTGGGATCGCCTCCTCTTCGCAATGTCACCAAGCCTGTTGATACACCGTTCACGGGAGAGGCTGCCAACTGGAATCAAGCTCTCAGCGAGGCTCAAAGTCTAGTCAAAGATAACGACGACCGCATAATTGACCCTGCAAAATTAGTGGGAGATGATCTGAAGGAAATCAAGGCCAACATCTCCAAATTGCTAGGCAGTGGACACCCATTCCTCAACACCGTTGCCAGACATTATTTCAGTGGAGAGGGTAAGCATGTTCGACCCCTCTTGGTGCTGCTGATTGCACAAGCAACCAGTATTGCAGACAAGAAATCGCTTGTCAGCAACATTGACTATAAATCAATTGACACGCCTATATCGCATGGACTCAAAAACATCACCACCAACGACGTATTTGATCGTAAACTACATTATACGCCCTCTGTGACAGATCAGGGATGCATCATTTTGCCCACACAACGACGATTAGCAGAAATATCCGAGATGATTCATACGGCATCATTATTGCATGATGATGTGATTGACGCCTCCATGACACGCAGAAATCTACCATCAGCCAATGCATCGTTTGGTAACAAAATGGCAGTGTTGGGTGGCGATTTCTTGTTGGCAAGAGCATCATTGGCATTAGCAAGACTTCGGAACGCAGAGTGCATCGAATTGATGGCAACATGCATCGCAAATCTGGTGGAGGGTGAATTCATGCAATTAAGAAACACCAAGGAGGGCGAATCGGGCAAGGTGAAAAAGCTGAGCACATTTGATCATTACATGGAGAAGACCTACATGAAGACGGGCAGCCTGATTGCTCAGAGCTGCAAGGCATCTGCCGTATTGGGCGGTTCAACCAAAGAAGTCGCTAACATTGCATATGATTTTGGAAAGAATCTGGGTCTAGCCTTTCAGGTAATACGAGGAGAAAAAAAAAAAAAAAAAAAAAAAAAGAGAAATATCTATTCAACCCCTGTAACACGCTTGTTCTATAGCTTGTGGATGACATGCTTGATTTCACAGTGACAGCAGCAGAGCTAGGCAAACCAGCAGGAGCAGATCTCAAACTGGGCCTGGCTACAGCACCTGTTCTGTTTGCATGGGAGGAATATCCAGAGTTGGAGCCATTGATCAAGCGAAAGTTTTCTGTGAAGGGTGATGAGGAAAAGGTAAATATTTGAGTGATTTTCTCTGATTGAATAGGCGACATTGGGTTATTTATAACATGGATTACAGGCAAGAGACTTGGTTTATCAGAGTGATGGCTTGAAAAAGACGTTAGATTTGGCACAGATCCACTGCAAATTGGCCACGGATGCCCTCTACAAACTGCCAGCTTCTGATGCCAGATCAGCACTAGTTCAAATCACTGAAAAATTATTAACTCGTAGATCATAAATAAATTTACTTTCAAGCGCCATCATAAAATCAATGGACACACAAGGCGAAAAAATCTTTTCACTTCTATTTAATCTTCCTGTCTCGCTCTTCTTGTTTTCATTTCCCCTCTCTCTCTCTCTTTCTTTTTTCTTTTTTTTTTCTCGCACGAAAAGGCAAAAGAACCTCACTTGCACATAGCTATACTAACGCACAAAAAGCCCTCACTTTTTTCAACCTCTAATTAATTTTTACTGTAATACTCCTTTATAAAGTATTTTCAGTTCTATATAAAAACCCTCTTTTTATCACTTTTTACCTTACTCGGACTGCAATACCGCCCAGTCCGTCCTTGCCCATCACGGCCTCAGAAACAAGACTTGTAGACAGTTTATTTGACCGGCGAGGCTTCCCTCCTTGGCTTTCTTGAAACTTCTTAATTCATCGAATCCCTCAAACTCTAAAAACCTCTTAACTATTTCCTGCTGTGATAACTTGCATCTATAGCATCTCGCAACTCCTAAACTCCCGTAAGTCTACAAAACAACTAACGTATTCGTCATTGATTGCTCATTGTTCTGGCTAGCCTCCCCACACATCTGCTGCCCTTGACACCTTTGGTTTTAACGGCTCACACCACGAGAAGAACGAAAAAAAAAAAAATCTCTCATATAAATCTCTCAAATCAACCTCATTTATCTCTCTCTTCTCTGCTTTATTAACTCTTTATAAATCTCTCAAAATGCACACTGATCTCGAAACCGTTGTTATCAACCCTCCTTACAATGTTGGTGCTCTCTTCAAGTCTGCTCCTTCCTCTCCAGACATCAATGTCTACAACCGCTCCGTGTCTGAAGTCTTTCAACAGAGACTTGAATCCATCACAAACCAAAAGTGGGAAACTGATCAAGAAAGTGCCTTCTTTGTTGCTGATCTAGGCGAAGTTGTTCGCCAACACATCCGCTGGAAGTCATTGCTTCCTAGAATTGAACCATTTTATGGTAAGTTGAGGGTTCAATACGGATGCGATTATCAATAACAGCAACACTGACGCTTCTGCTCCCCCCCCAAGCCATCAAGTGCAATCCTGACCCAATGGTCGTCCAATTACTGGCTTCTTTGGGCTGCGGCTTTGACTGTGCCTCCAAGCAAGAAATCCAGCAAGTACTCGATGTGGGTGTAGATCCCAGCCGTATCATCTATGCCAATCCTTGCAAGCAAGCTTCCTTTATCCGCTACTCTGCTCAACAGAATGTCAGTCGCATGACATTTGACAACGCCGAAGAGCTCTTCAAGATCAAAAAGTATTTTCCCGATGCTGAACTCGTTTTGCGTATCTTGACAGATGACTCCATGTCTTTGTGTCAGTTGGGGCTTAAATTCGGTGCTCCTTTGCATACCGTTCAACACTTGCTGCAAACCGCTAAAGAGTTGAATCTGAATGTCATTGGTGTTAGCTTCCACGTGGGTAGTGGCTGTTTGGATGCAAATGCTTTTGGTGATGCCGTGGTGCGCGCAAAGAATGTCTTTGATCAAGCCAAGACAATGGGCTACGACTTCAAGTTCCTCGATGTTGGAGGCGGTTTTCCTGGCGCAGATGTCAAGGATGGCATTACTTTTGAAAAGGTCGCTGCTGTCTTGGGCCCCATCGTTGATCGTTTGTTTCCAAAGGATGTTCGTGTGATTGCTGAACCAGGTCGTTACTATGTTGCCTCTGCCTTCACTCTTACCGTCAATGTAATTGGTAGAAGAACCAACATGGCTCATGTAGACCAAACTACAGCTAGTCCAGAATACATGTACTACGTTAATGATGGTATGTATGGCTCCTTCAATTGTATCATCTTTGATCATCAAATTGTGCACCCAAAGGTGTTGATGAAGAACGAAGTGTTTGCCTATGGCCAAGACCTTCCTGAAGCTCAATATGAAAGTAGTGTTTGGGGACCTACTTGCGATTCTATTGATTGCTTAAACAAGTCTACTCGCTTGCCTAAGCTTGAACCAGGAGACTGGCTCTACTTTGATAACATGGGTGCTTATACCATTTGTGCTGCTTCTCAGTTTAATGGCTTCAGAAAGTCTGAAGTACTCTATACAAATACTTTTTGTTAAAAGAAACTATATCTTTTGCTACATCTCTATCTAGTTATTCCACTGATATTATGAAATAAAGCACTCTTTATTTGTCTATAATGTTGCTTAGTCTTTTTTTTTATTTTTACGCTTATCAGATCTTGGTTTACTTTTGTGCTAGTGTTGTTTGTGGAGACACAAATTTTCGGGATCTAATCGTTACACGGCATTGCATCTTGTACTGCATTCCTCTAGATCTTCAAAATTCCGCCCCTTACTTGCAGTGATAGTTTTAAAAAACACTGCAGCCTTATGGCTTCAAGCTCTTGAGATTTTGTAACGGGTTGGAGTGATGCAAACCAATGCGGTGATACCAAATGACGTTAATTGGAACAATTTTTATTGATGTTGGCGTTTAGTAAATTTGTTGGTACTCTGTTCAATGTGGTCAAGACAGGGGCATTTACAGCTTGTACGACCTCTGAATAGAGCTGCAACAAAAAGCAACAAATTCAATTGCAACATAGTGCTAACGAATTAGTGCTTTCTGGCACTGGATCGTTTTAGATATACTCTTTCTAAATGAGCAAGGCAAGTATCTCATGATTGATCGAGCCACTCGGTCGTTTCAGCCTTTTCTTCAATTTACAGTTAAAATAACGGCCTGCTTAAGAGTCCCATGAATGATCGAACCATTGTGTCGGATTGCTCAATAAACTTATGAACTTTATGTTACATGATCAAAGGTATATACAGCTATGATAATATTGCACTAGAGCTCGACGAAATTAGAGCATTTACAATTGAGATGAGTACCACCCCATCTTCCGTACCACATCATTAGCTGTGAGCGCATGTTTGTACTTGTTCATCATTAAATTATATCCTACGAACGACGCTTATCTGATTAAACACTACGTATCACTACGCATTTGATCGATAGTGTAGCTTAGGCATTACATGTTAATCTCGTATAACGATAAGCGACACACATTATCACCTAAACATGTAGCACACGCATTGCGCGTGACAAATGTCTTGCTAAAATTACCAAGGGTTTGATCTTCAACCTCATCAGTGTGCACATGATGATATACTTCACTGCTTGAAAATGCAACCATCGAGACATAAACTAATTAGGTCCTATATTTCAATGTCGGACAATGTTATATCGATTAATCTTCATTGCCGAGTTCTATTAAGCGTTACTACACATACGATCAATTGCATTGGAGCTTCAATAAGATACAGCCATTCATACCCTTACGGACATATATTGTAATGATAAAAAAAGCGACGTCTATGCTTGTCGATGCTAAATTCGCTAGATCAGCCAGTCAGTACACATGAAGGTCATGCACACTGTGTACCAATAAAGGCATTCTAGCATCTGTGTAGGACCATCCCTTTTGAATCAAGGGAAGGTTTAAGTGAGGAGTCAGAAACAATCAAGCATTGATGGCTTTGCACTAAATATGCGCATATGATATTAACATTTACAAAGTACAGTAAAAGTTCAGTATGAGCATTTTGCATACTTTGCAAACTTATTAGTGGAAGCTGAATGGCTTATAGTTTGCATGATACATGTGCAAAGCAAAGGCCCATACGGCTACGAGCCTTGATGCATTTCAAGTGTTTCATTACACATCATCAAGGCATAAAAGGCTATATACAAAGTCTGTTGTGCACATTGCTTTTGAATAGTAAGTTTCCAAGAATGAGTCTACCCATAGTAGTTTAATATTTAACTATTGCAGCTTTTCTCCTATCTTCTATTATCTAGCTGTTATACTCATACTAGACCATTTGTAATACCAACACTTCCCTTTGTACATTACAGCATCAGAAAGAGCTACTACTTCACTGAAAGCTGCATCCAGATTAACAAGAGAGGAGGAGGGAGGCTAAGAAAACTAGCATGGCATTGAGATAATCAATCTAGTCTTAGATGTGCTGGTACTTGAGGTAATAAGGAAGCCAAGCCATTTTATTTCTGACAGCTGCCGTTCATTATCGCGAGTAGTACTCCTTCATCGAATCACTCATGGAGTCAATCCCAATTGACTTTCATATCTTGAACCCTTAATGACTGTTGGCGCATTGCTTTTACTCTTACTCTTCAAGTCTATTTTGCTTACTGGATTGAATGCCTACACAGTCTTCCTCCTTTAGTGATTGAAATTTTGAATTTTTTGTACTGGTAAGCTAACTCACATTCCATTCAAATGAATGACGCTGCAACGGAAGCCTCCAAGCATTGTCTACTACCTTCTATAAAATATCAATGTAGCGTAATGGCCAATTGCATCTTTCCATCGCTCAAACAAACTCTTTCGATAAAATGGTTAATCTTCAAGGAGCTATACCTCTGGATTTCACTAAGTGAACGAGAGCTTCAAACTTAATAGCTTCTGTTTCTTTTTCAATTCTCTATACGATGGTATGGTTATTATGGATAAATTAAAAAAAAAGTTGAATATCTCCTGCTTGTAGCTCATAAAATATAAGATTTTGAGCAAATTTATGGAGGGAACGTACACCTGGTACTTAAAACCATTATATTATAATGGATATAACGTAGAGCTATCGAATGGTCTTTGTTTTGTGCGAATCCAGTGAGTATTTGTCGAGATATGGTCAAAAAAGAGTATCATGCAAAATCATGGATTTTTCTTCAAAATCTACGTGTGATAGCAAGCAAAAAATCTGGTGACAATTTTTTGGTCAGGACAAGATTGTCAATATTTCATGATAGAGTCATGCCAGAGCTTCAAGCAATAGCTCATTCAATAGGAAATTTTTTGGTCTACAATGCTTAGTAATGCTTAACAAAATGTTTTGATGGCAGATACTGATTAATCTTTAGAAAACAGTGAAAAAATTGCAAAATTTAACTTATCAAATAACAGCTGAATAATGTACAGCAAACACTTGATATAAATACCATTGTATTCTCCATTAAATTCTCTACAGGCTTCATATAAGCCTGAAGGGGTGTTTACTATCAAGAATCGCGTAATGTTAAGGTCGATAGATTTTGGAACCCCATGGATCATCATTCAAAATATTGGAAATCGAAGCTCCGTTGACCTACCGCATATGTACACTACACAAGTATGCATTTGACCAAGCATTTTAAAAATCGGAGCGTACGAAAAGGGCCATATTAACTTGCTGGTTTCAAGTTATCAATAGATACTTGACATGTTGAAGAATTTTGCTGTTAAGGCTAGACAACTGTAGCTTGCTTTATTCAAGAACAATAAGATTTCCAATTTAAAGTATGTATATTCCCCCGCTTAAAAACAGTATCCCCAATGTCGATTAACTCATCAAGTAAACATTTCCAGTATAATGTTCCCACTTAGAAGTTGCTCCAATATCATTATTCTACAACATATTTCAGTTTTATATGATTCTAATTTTTTCACCTATGAGGACCTGGATGTACAAAATGTTTTTTGATTTTGAGGTTTTCAACTTTTGGACGATCGAACATCGATTTTTGAAATATCGATGCTAGAGCTCTGAGACTAGCATGGTTGTTGAGAAATCTGTGATTATTTCAGAAAATGGTTAAATATGAAAGGAAGCATCTTGGATGACCAAGCGTGTTGTGATGTTGTTGTTGTGTAGAGCAAAGCAAAGGAAGAGAATATATAATTAATACAGAAGAAGTCAGGTTGAGGTGGCAGTTAAGCGAAGAATAGCGTCCACTGTTCTTTTTTATATTGTTTACGTTAAACTTTCCTCACTTAAGTATTTGACAACCAACAAACGTAGCGTCTGAAAATCAGTTTATCTGTTTAGCAACCTCTCAGAGTTGGTGGTGGTATATAATGGTTCAGAAACAAAAGACTCTAGCATCAGCACAAAGTTTGGAATAGCTGTTTCCCCCCCTTTACGTAAATTGCGCAACAGGCCTTTGACCTTTTGCCAAACCACAGCAAAATAACTTATCACCAAGCGGTTTTCAATACAATGCTTTGAAACACCTTATCTAACGATCTATTACTACGTGTAATCACTCGTAACTAACAGGTTCCTATAGGAAGCTCCCTGTTCAAAGTTGCCTTATTTCGAAAATCATCTATTTCTCAGCTAACAATCCATCCAATCTAAAATCTAATGACATTATCGTTCTTCTTACAAGGTGGTATAGGAGCATGCTACTTTCAAAGCGAATTTCAATTCGAATTTCAGAGAAATCAAAAGAGAAACAAAAGCGGAATAAAGAAGAGATGCGAGCGATGATTCCAAGGTATAGCCCATGCTCTCAGTTACAAGCCATATTGGAAAGAGCAGGCCAAAATCAGGACTGCATCAGGTGAGGGGAACAACCGCAGCCTCACTTTGTTAATGTCAACAGTTGTTGTGATTTGGCTCAAGCTGTGTTTCAGAGACGCTTTTACTGACATTTGCATCAACCCAATTACTTGCTAACGCTATCCAATAGACTATGCCGAAATTGTTGTCGACAATGATAGATTCTGATCAAATTCCAAATTGTCAATGGCAATTGTATGTAATTTGATCGGCATGAGCCGTGATGAGGGATCAAAGAAGGCAAAGCCAGATATCAACTGCTTGACTCGATTGTGACGGATAGCATTGATCCAAACAATATACAAGTGAGTGAAACACTGCGCATGCAGTTAGACAGTGATTGCAAAAGTGTAACTGTAAGCGTTCCTATTTTTTTGCATTGATTGTATTGATCCATGCATACTATCTCAGTATTTACACGTCAACGTGGTATGTCGCCGTAAATTTAGTAAAAGACCTGTTGGAGGGAGATGATACAATTGAGCCAATTTTCCAGAATAGAATAAGCATCTTGTTTACAGGTAGTGGAGGTTAGCAGCTTTAGATGGCGATGGCAATGATGTATCGTCTATTCACTGTGAAATCTCTGGCAACCGAGTGAATGTACGCAACTGATGAAGAGACGCACAACGGCAAAGAATTACTGATGACCTTATTGACTCGAATTTATGTGATCTTTTCCCAATTCCCTCGATTGAATAAGTGCAACAAGTCCAGTATCTCCTAATCGACGCATGGCAACTTATTGCAGTCAAATTTACACATCTTTGGGGCACATTCAATTGACAACACGATCCTTCGCATTAAGCACATAGTCAGCTTAACATGCCAGTGCCAAATCCCAATCTCCTTTGACTGAAGAACCTCTTGATACACAGTCTACTTTATTCATTGAATTATTATATACATTTCATCTGTTGTTGCCGTTGGCGCTGTTATCTCTGATCAAAGGTTTGGTGATACTGGACATAGATTCCCTCTAAAAAATGTTCTTCTGCTTGCTGATCCACTTTAAAAGCCTTTAGAGATCAACCACTCCTTGATTTCATTCACATGGTGGCCCTTGATAACAACATGTTGAGTCTTGGCGTTGAGACTGACGACAGCTTCGGGAAAATCAGTGTTGATGTCTTTAATCAAAGCATTAGCATCTCCTTCAATTCTACGGACTACAGTTAAAAGGCGAGTGCCACCATTCTTGTATTCTGAGTATACGGGGAGACCCTTGTTGGTAGTGCGTGCAACGAAATAGGCAGGTGTGGAATAAAATCTTTTGCTGGCTTGGTTAGCTGATTGTGTGAAGAAACGCAACATTGACTATCGAATAAAAAAAAAAATCAGTGTTTTGGTCAAGCACCGTTTGCTAGAGCGTGATACTTACCATGCTGTTAAAACTGTAAAGTAGAGTTGATTAAAAAAGGGAGAGCCTGGCATTTGGTTTTTAGCTTTGCCTTGTCAAATTGAAAAAATAAGCAGTCGTGCGGGTATTGAAAGGCATCCATGATCTGATACATGAATATCATGGATACAATGATACTGGAGATGTAGGAAGCTATGCTCCTACTGTTATGCGATAGTAGACACACTTGGACCCAAAAAATGCTGCAGAATCTAAGCAGTGCAGAAGGATAAATCTAAAGAATAAAGGGTTTCAAACACGCTATGGTGTTCCTGAGTTTCAATGCTCACAGGGTTGCCAAAGCGAAAAAGCTTTAAAGATAGAGTAGGGCTTGGTATTTGACACGCCTTTTGCATTTATAGTGATCCATTTATACCAATTATGGCGAGCATGACTACAGCACTAGTGAGAGACAATTTTGACTCCATCTCAGAGGTGAGGCGAATAGGTCGTCGTGCGTTTGGCTATTACCAATCATCTAATATTAGGGCTGTTTCTTGGTCATGCCAGGAAAGAAGAGACAGAATAAAGGCACGCAATCCACCAAGACGAAAAGAGCCAAGCCAAATACGAAGAGTGAGTCAACGTCTGATGGATGCAGGAAGAATTGTAGCTAAGCAATGCATGTAGATATTAAGATTGCTCAGCGCTCTGAGGAGGAGAGCCAAGCATTGTTGTATGATGGATTTCAGCAATTGTTCAACGGCAGAGAGTCGGTCGAGTGCATGCTCAATCGAAAAGAAAATTTTAAAGAGTGTTGGAGTCGAGTCAATGAAACGATTACCGTATGTCTGTTATTGATTGGCACTACACTGCAATGAGCGATTAAAGCCGCGTTTTACATAGAACATTTTGCTCGACATGAACCAAAATGCAATGGAAAGAATCTGTGCTTTTGTCGACAAGGATCACGATGTAAACGATAATTTGATCAAGTTGCCCTTCCACGAAATTCCAACGGGTCTTGTGTTTGCTGGCATCAACACACCAGACCATGACACTCAATTCGCACACATTGCATCGAAATTACAAGAGGCACCCTCAGCTGAAAACAAGCGCAAAAAGAAGGATTTCGTGGCATTATTACAATCGAAAAATTGCCTCAATATCAAGAATATGATCAAGGCCATGATCGAGCGATTTTTGGCCAACGAAAAAGATGTGAGTGGCGACGATATAGGGTTTGACGACAACGAAGACGAAAATGAGGATGATGCGGAGGACGATGAGGACATGATTCGAGTGACAGAGGTACAGTATCCTATGGCTGTTGGATTTGAATGGCTTGTTCTGACAGCCATGGCATGGGTAGCGTCAAGCGGCTACGTATAAACTTGGAAATAGGGCCACCGCAGCCAAGCCTAGCAAGTGTTTACCTTACGACATGCAACTGCTGGAAGGATGGTACAAATTTCAAACAAATCGCACCAATGCCTCACCCAATTTGGTTGTGATTCTTCAAGATTTTGAGTCGTTCGAGCCCACAGTTGTGCAGGATTTCTTTACCATCTGCAGTGAATACAGAGCTCGACTTCCTATTGTTTGTATTGTGGGTATTGCAACATCCACCGAGATTCTTCATCAATCTTTAAGCAAATCAACCATTGGACTATTGAGAATTGAAAAGTTTACGCTTGAGCAGAGTGAAGTTTGGTTCAACAGAGTGATTGAAGAGGTAATATAGTACTACCGTCGACTGTGGACAGATATTGACATGTTCCGTGATTAGATGTTCCTTGATTCAACCACCACCATCAAATTTGGAGCTCGACCTTATAAGTTTCTGCTGGATCATTTCTATCTATACGATTATTCCATTAGCAAAGTAACAGCAAGTCTCAAGGTAAACGCATGATTTTTATGCTCTATCACAGTTTATTGATCCGCGTCGGTTACAGTATGCTTATATGCATCATTTCTACGGCAATCCACTCTCCATCTTTTTGCCCCTGATGCAGCACGATAAAAGCAAGATGCAAGGCTGCCTGGCGGAATGGATGGCCAAGGGAATACTCAATGAACACCATATCACCCACATCCGCATGCTAAAGTCGTTCAGAGCTTACATCGAATCACTTGCACCAACTGAGCCAAAGAAAGCACTTCGATTACTAGAAGATGACTACTACCTCATCACTGACATTGTTCCCGATTTAATCAATGATATCAAAACTTACCAACAAGAGTTCAAAATGGGCATTAACTTGCTCGTGTTACTGCAGGCACAGTTTCCATCGTTCACCTCATTTTCGAACCTTCGCAAATCAAAACGACTGTTGCTCTTGGAAGCACTTGGATCCAACGAGAGATTTTCGGAAAAGGGAGACATTGTCAAGTCACTGGTCATTTTGATCCGAAAGATTGACGAGCGTCACGTAGACAGATTGTTGACAGAATTACGCCAGTTCCTCGAGAGGGCAGAGTACCAGGAAATCAGTGCGTCTGCTATCGAGCAATTGAACGAATGGCAAGAGCGATTTAATCACTTGGCGGAGGGGCGCGAGCATCACGCAGCAAGAGCCAATGTGAATTTAAAGGGCATGTTACTACCAGATGTGCAAGAGAGTCGGGCAACAGCAACATCGAAAAAGGTGCAAACACAATCCATTGAGCATCTCAAGAAAAAGGGCAGTGAAGCATCCAAGATTGCCATGAGCATAGCAGAATGGGTGGAAAGCGTGCTTGCGTGAGTGTTAACAGGCATAGCTTTATAGTACGATGACTGATGTTTGCTGATCTTTTTAGCCATCATTTGAGATCATTTATCAACCTGCCTCTATATGAAATGATTTACTATACCAACATACAACTGCACGAAAAGGTAAGCCAGTTTTACCCTGAAATACAGGTGATGGCTAACCTTGTACTATAGTCATTTGCATCTCAACCTCGTGCAGCAGTTCAAACAGCATTAACACAACCCCAACACTACATGTATTGCTCATGCTGCCATACAGAAAAGAGCGACCAGATTCTCTCATCAGAGCACGATACGTGTATTTTGTACAAATTGTATTTGGAGTGTGGTAGAATGATTAATTTGTATGATTGGTTTGTGGCATTTGGATGCATCGTTGAAAGAGAAAAGAGATCTCCGCATCAAAAACTGGAAGAGAATGAAGTGCAGTAAGTTGCCGTGTGGTATCGATTATCCGTTGTGTGTCTAACGTGTATGTAAAACAGAGCACGGTTCATTCGATCTGTTGCAGAGCTTCAGTTTCTGGGATTCATCAAGCCAACGCAGAGAAAGACGGATCATGTTATTCGATTAACTTGGTCAAACATCTAATGATGATTGGAGGGAGGGCAAGTACGCCCAGTGGAAGAGGTTGTATAAAACCTCTCCAAGCAACTCTTTTGTAATCATCAAGTTGGGTGTATGGTTGTATTGATCAAGTTTTACAATCACACTATTACACGAATAAAAAGTCCTATAATATCTCCAAAATAGGGCATTGATAGTGCTGAGTAAAATCTGATTAGCGTACAAATGACATACGGGAAACTTGATTGACAACATCTTGTGGAGCTCAAGGGACGGATAAAATACGGAGATCATCGTAATCAAAAGGGGAACACGGCTCTGAACAATCAAGCGAAAGTAGCTCACAAAAATCAAATCCAGATTCGTTTGCATTTACGAATATCCGACATGTTTATTACTGTAGAATGAAAATACGATAGACATGGCGTAGTACAATAAGGAGGGAAAATGTAAAACCGAGTTGAATCAGTAAAAGCAACTTCTTGTGCAATGTGTCGGTACAGTCATCTGATCTTGGATCTCTTTAGCCATATCCCAAATGTAAAAATCAATCAAGATGGCATTGATGTTGAGAGCAGGGTCGATTTTGTGGATGGCTTCTCTAGCTAATTCAACTGCCCAGATGGAATTTCCTCGAATCTCTACTTCATCTTCTGATCCTGATGGGAAATACTCTCGCTTTTCTAGTTTCTTGATCAATTGAGGCGAATAACGAAGCAATCCGAGTTGGTATAATGCCTATCAAATTGTGCGGGATTTAGGCTACAGGTGAAACAGCAGGGCATTCACATCTTCTACACGCTACCTGAGGGACTCTACAAGTACGAGATCTGATTAGCATCTGCACATGAGACTGATAAAATAGCAAGAGACTCACCTGTAATCTGCAAACATGGTGATAGAATCAATGTCGCTAAATTCACCGTGGCCTTGTCCATCAAAGCAAGCCCTAAGAAATAAGGCCATTCAACCATGTGCGCGTCTGACATGTGCATTGCACATTTCTTACCACAAGTCAGCAATCAAAATTTGAGCTCGCTTCAAAATGTAAACTATAGCAACGACAAGGTGAGCATATATATATATATATATACATCAAGAACGTGCTCATCAGACCCACCTTTTTTGCCGTGAAACTCATGTATATCTCTAAACGAGGCAAAGTTATCCACAATGATATCCAGCAATTTAGAAGCGGATTGGTTTGCCTGCGCGATGCAGTTTGCAAATGATCCGTCAAATTTCTATGTACAATGCCGAATCAGCATACATATATCAGAAACTATCACAAGATGCATATTACTTGACACAAGACTTGAGCAGCCTCTCGCATGACTCTAATTCTCTCATCAAGCATCGGAGCCGACTCTTTGGTGTCAGATTTAAAAATCGCTGCCAATTTCTCGTCGGAAGCCTGTAAATAATAGGCAGGATTGGTGATGGGAATGCCGTTATCCAATGCTCTATTGATGGCTGCACATAACGACCAATATCCCGTGTATAAAGTGCCTTCATAGTTGACAGCATAGCGATCAGGATGAGGTGTGCTCCTATCTTTGACATCTAGATCACTCCAAAAGGAAAAATTCAACAAATCTACTAGAAAAATCCTGGTTGAAGAAATAAAAGTTTAAAAAAGAACACTTCCATATTACATTTTTAGGGTTGTACCAATCGACAGTTCTGCAATCTGCTGTTTTCGGATGCAATGGATGCTCATTCCAGGTTTTAGTGCTATATTTTCTCATCTTCATGTTTTTCAAGATCTATAATACATGGGGATGACTGAGTCTTTCTCAGTTCAATAGCATTGTTGTATCGCTTGGATCATAAATGCATGTCCTACGATTTCACATACCGTCTCGACTGCACTGCTCAGATTTTCTTTAGGGATAGACACATTTTTACTGTTCTAAAGAACATGGTGCTCAGCATGTGTTTGTACCAAAGAGGGTGTCATGTGTTCTGGATTACCTCAGCGATGAATTTGGCACTAGCCAACACTTTGTTCTCTGCTGCTGGCATCTTTTTTATCGAATCAATGTGTGGATGAGGGAAAAAAAAAAAAAAAAAAGAAGTAAAAAAATTCGTCCTTATCAAAACTCAAAAGAACCAAAGAAAATTTTTTCAATGATGGATTTGGGACGCCTAAAATTAACACTTTTCCAATGTTGGCATTCCTATCATTCTCGACAGCATTGTATCAGCCATCATGCTTTTCTGTTTGCTAACAAAAAAAAATCAGGTTGAAATATCGCTTGGGGGCAAAGATCAGAGATTGCAGTGGCTACCTGATTAATTCAAATCAAATTTCCATTGAAACCCTATCTTTTTGTCCTAAAAATTTACGATGCTTCGGAGGATACAGAGCAATTCAGCAAGCGGCGCTTCAAGAGGATTTTGACAGCAAATTGCCACGCGTGAATAGCCATCAAATGCTGCGAAGCGTGGGAGACAAATGTGCTGATTTCTGTGTTAAAATCATTGGGCACACATGATCTGTGAGGCAAACAGTTTTATTTAATTATGTAGAGGCCAATATCAAATAAATTATACGCTCTAATCATTATCCTAGTCTACAAAAAAAAAAAGGATTTTTTTTTGAGATTATCTTTTGACATGTTCCGAAATGTGTAGAGGTAAAAGGGATTGCCTTGAAACATTTGATGACAAAAATCAAGAGCAACGCTCCGCTCAAGTAGCAATTTTTAATGAAGCGCAACTTGTGCTTGTTATCTCAATCATCATCATTATAAACATCATCATCATCGCTGTATATATGCCTCTTTTTGAAGATAAATACCTATATGTAATTGGTTTGCCAAGCCAAATGTTTGTTGCTCAACGATTGCCAGCCCCAAAAGCCTAAAACAGCCTTAAATGTGCTATTTCGCCATCAAGGCCAAATTAGGAATACACATTCGGTCGTCAGATCAAGATGCCCGATTGGATGATTCGGGCAACAGGCTTGCTCAAATGTCAATATTCACAATCAAAACCCAAGACGGGTAATTAAAAAACCTGAGATTATATTTTAATAAGCACTCACACATACCTTCTCTATCTCCATCACATTTCATGATCAACGATAACCCAATCTGTCCATCAGAGACTAATTTATCCATCACCGTGCAATATAATCCATTATACAATTGAAATGATTAGCAGGTCAGCAAAACGTCAGGAGGGAAATCTTATAAGCACAGACCTTATGGAGTGGTACAATGGGTTACATGACGTCAAATCAGGAAAAAGCTTTGCTCTCTCTCTCTCTCTCTCTCTCTCTCTCTCTCTCCTTGTGGGCTACATGGCGAGCTACGAAACAAATTCGGAAGGGAAAACCTTCATACGCGCGTGCGCCTTTTTTTTGTTCGCTATACGGGTTTACAAAATTGCGGGGGGAGATGTCTCTTTAACATGTTTATCATTGGCATTCAAGTATTACCCATACGGCGATTGAAACACATTTGCAATGTATATGATGTATTGTAAAATGATATGAAACCTTGTTTCTTGACCGTATTGCTCTACATGTCGATAATTATAGGCAAGTGATAATGTGAGTTTTTTTTTCTCCTTCCTCCCCCCTGCTCGGATGTTCCAAATCCTCTGCTTTGAGACCAAATTAGATCAAAGCGGTTTTTTTTATATAAATACCATGGATCAATCGATGCCATCTCTCAATTTTTTTCTAATATTTCAATTGTTCTTTTCTGCTTTTTTTTTTATATACACCTTATCTTCATTATATAATCCTATTCATTTGTATAGAATCTCCAATTTCGAAAGATATATACATTTGATATATAAAAATGGCTGACGAACAACAACAACCTCGCGCCAAGGTCACTGGTGATTTCCACAACATCACTGTAGAAGATCTTTACGATAAAGAGAAATATGATCTCTCCACTATGGAACAACAAGATGTCATGCAATTGTTGCAGTATGTATTTAAACTCTAAGGCCTATCAGATGTTGAATTGACGCATTGCAACCTCTTCATTTAGGACTCAACCCGAAGGTTTAACAAGCACTGAAGTCCAATCTCGTATAGAGAAGTTTGGTCCCAACAAGCTTGAGCAAAAGGAAGTGAATCCCTTTATGCAGTTCTTGGGCTTCATGTGGAATCCTCTTTCCTGGGTCATGGAAGCTGCTGCCATTGTAGCTATTGCCCTTTCTAACGGTGAAAACAGACCACCAGATTACCCTGATTTCATTGGTATCGTTCTCTTGTTGTTTGCTAATGCTACTATTGGTTTCTTGGAAGAACGTCAAGCCGGTAATGCTGTCAAGGCGTTGATGGCCTCTCTTGCTCCCGAATGTAAGGTGAGACGTGATGGTGAATGGAAGACTCTTGAAGCCTGTGAACTTGTTCCCGGTGATATTATCGGCGTCAAACTTGGTGATGTTATTCCCGCTGATGGTCGTCTGCTCACTGTAAGTCTACTATTACTGCTAATTTATGTGAAACCCATGTCATTAATTATGAAACATCTTATGTTCTATAGGCTCATGGCGATGTGTCTATTGATCAAGCCGCTCTTACTGGTGAATCCTTGCCTGTGGGTAAGGAAGCTGGTGATGAAGTATTCTCTGGTTCCACAGTCAAGCAAGGTGAAGCTGAAGCTGTCGTTATTGGTACTGGTACCAACACTTTCTTTGGTCGTGCTGCCAAGTTGGTGGGTGAAGCCGGTGATGATGTTGGCCATTTGCAAACCATTTTGGCCAAGATTGGTAACTTCTGTCTCTGTACTATCTGTCTCTTCTTGATTGTTGTCATCATTGTTCAATATGCTCGTTTCCACTACAACTACAGACGTGGTATTGATAACATGCTTGTCTTGCTCATTGGTGGTATCCCCATTGCCATGCCTACTGTCTTGTCTGTTACTCTTGCTATTGGTGCCAAGCAGCTCGCTGAACACATGGCTATCGTTACCCGTATCACTGCTATTGAAGAAATGGCTGCTGTTACCATCCTGTGTTCTGATAAGACGGGCACTCTTACCTTGAACAAGTTGATTGTCGACAAGCCTACCATCAAGACCTATGGTCCTGAATATGATATTGAAGATGTCATTCGTTTCTCTGCCTATGCCTCTCGTCTTGAAAACCAAGATGCCATTGACTTCTGTATTGTCAACTCTTTGCCTGATCCCACCAAGGCGCGTGATGGTATTACTGAATTGGACTTCAAGCCCTTCAATCCTGTCATCAAGCGTACTGAAATTACTTACAAGCGTGCTGATACTGGCAAGGTTTACCGTGTTACCAAGGGTATGTCTCATATGATTTTGGATCTCTGTACTCGTGACAAGAACGAAGCTCAAATCAAGGCCTTGAACGATGATGTCGATGAATTTGCTCGTCGTGGTCTTCGTGCTCTTGCTGTTGCTATTGATGAAGTTCCCTCTGGTGTCGTTGACAGCGAGGGTATCGGCTTCAAGTTGGTTGGTCTGTAAGTGTACTTTTTGTATTGTGTCGTGTTGAATGTTGTTGACTAACTCAAACTTGGAAAAAACCAGCCTCCCCATTTATGATCCACCAAGAAGTGATACCAAGGAGACTATTGATCGTGCTCAAGCCCTCGGTGTTGGTGTTAAGATGATCACTGGTGATCAACTTGCTATTGCCAAGGAAACTGGTCGTCGTCTCGGTATGGGTGATAACATGTTCTTGTCCAAGACTTTGAAGGAAGGTCCTCCTGCCGGCTCTGGTTATACTGATGTTGATCAAATGGTCCTCCATGCTGATGGTTTCGCTGGTGTCTATCCTGAACACAAGTATGAAATTGTCGAACGTCTTCAACATATGGGTCTTATGGTTGCCATGACAGGTGATGGTGTCAACGATGCTCCTGCTCTTTCCAAGGCTAATGTCGGTGTCGCTGTCGCTGATGCCTCTGATGCTGCCCGTTCTGCTGCTGATATCGTCTTGACCGCCCCTGGTCTCTCCACCATTGTTGAAGCCATTATCGGTTCTCGTCAAATTTTCCAACGTATGCGTAACTACTCTATCTATACTTGTTCTGTTACCATCCGTATTGTCGTCGGTTTCTCCATTCTTATCTGGGCTTTCCAATTCGATTTCCCTCCCTTCATGGTTTTGATTATCGCCATGCTTAACGATGGTACCATCATGACCATTTCCAAGGATCGTGTCCGTCCTTCTCCTTACCCTGATTCCTGGAACTTGAGAGAGATTTTCTCTTACGCCATTGTGTACGGTCTCTATCTTACCGCTTCCACTGTCGCTTTCGTCGCTGTTGCTCTCAAGACCACCTTCTTCCACGATAAGTTTGGTGTCAAGGTCTTTGATATCTCCAACGATTTCCTGCTTCACTCTGTCGTCTATCTCCAAGTCTCCACCATCTCCCAAGGTTTGATTTTCATTACCCGTTCTCGTGGTTGGTTCTTCACTGAGCGTCCTTCCATCTTCTTGATCTGTTCTTTCATTGTTGCTCAGTTGGTCGCTACTTTCATTGCTGTCTATGCTAACTGGGGTTTCACTCAAATCGAAGGCTGTGGATGGTCTTGGGCCGGTATTGCATGGATTTGGAACTTTGTCTGGTTCGCTCCCTTGGATCTCCTTAAGTTTGCCATGCAACGTGTCTTTGAGCCCAAGAAGGGTGATCATGAAGATGCCAAGCTCGCTGCCTCTCGTCGTGCTTCTGCCATCTCTGGTACATCCTCTGCTAGATACTATGCTAACCGTACCAAGTCCCTCAGATCCATGGAGCGTCCTCAAAACTTTGCTCAAAAGCTCATGGGCACTTCAAAATCCAAGATGGACCCCAAGGAAATGCGTCGTTTCTCCTCAGTTCAAACTTCTCATGCTGCTCAAGTTTTGAGTGGCGGCAACAACTAAATAACATTCATTTTTCTACATTTACTTTTACATACACTTTTTAGATTTAATTTAATAAACATACAATATTCAATAGCAAAAATTCACACTTGATTTCTTGAAAATATACATATATACGATCTGTTCGATATGATTCTGTAGTATACTTACAAATAGCACCTCCGATAAGCACTAGGTTTCTAGCAAAAGATGGTTCGATATATTATTATATACCAAGTTTGGGCATTATAGCGTCCGCTAGATATTATCCGTCTATAGAGCACATGGCAATATTTCAATGATTTGTTGTCTTTGCGAGGCTATACATAATGGTTTAAGCGGAGAGATCGGGGGACCTTGCCTCATTGTCATGCCATTTTGTAATTGATGAATGTGAAACTCTTTATAATTCCTCGGCAAGCTATGCCACTTTGTAGGATGTGATATGGCAAATACATGATTTATATGGTTTAAAAATACATATGACATCAGCTAGGTCTTCAACTGTCTTTTTCTACTTTTGACATGAGGTAGACCATCAAAAGGTGTACTACTACTGCAGCTACTACTACCACTGGAGCTACTGATGCTCATGAATCCCACCTTTTGCTGTTCTTCTTCTTGAGTGAGCGTGGTAGCATTGACAGATGCACTGCTGTTGTAGTTGAGTACAGTGCCATCGTCATTCAATGGAGCCTTCTTTTCATTTTCTTCCACCAGAGATAGAACGGTCTCATGTTGCTGGCAAGCTACACAGCCTTCTACCATCACTAACAATCGGCTCTTTTGCTTCTTTCTCTTACACATGACACCATTCTTTCCCCATGCAAGCGTGTATCCTGAAAAGAGCATCCAATAGACATTGATATTCAGAACCAACGTTGGCCAGATGCCACCATAAAAAGATGCCAGCGCGACAAGTTCGCTTGATCGCCAAAGCCAATAAACGACTTCCATTCCCTTAAACCATGCCATTTCATTCAATTGGCGGCGATGTTTGACTTTGACAGCAGTCGGTGTAGCAGTGGGTTTAACATCACTAGGATAGCGTTGGTTGTGTACGACAGATGCACCACGACACAGCAGATCAGTGGCGTCAGTACCTCTCCAAGTGACGAGAAAGAAGAAGCCAAAGACATCAAACGTGATTTGCTCGGCAGCAAACATCCATGTATCAGCGATAGGGACCCATTCGCCACCAAAAACCATGCCCCACATGTAAAGAATGCCATGGCGTTCTGCATTCGTGTCAGCAGAGGGTATAAAGTTGGCTCTGAACCAGGGCAATGTGAGCAGCGCTAAAATGTAAACAAATGTAACATGCCAGACAATGGATTGATCCTGTGGCAGTTGCAAAAATCTGTACGACCAGGTCAAGATGCTCTTTTGAAGCTTAAGGTACGGTGTTTTGACTGCAATCTGGTCGATGGTATGAATACGCAACAGCAGTCTATTGATACGCTTCTTGCTGTAGATGTCGGTGTCGTACTGTGGTGCAAAGAACTTGGGTATCAATAATAAGAGAAGCATGGCTGCCATGGTGAAGATGGTGATGCATTGCAACTAGAATAAAAATGCTGTCAGCGATGTTTTACATACGAACTGAAATCACCCTACCACAGTTGACATTTTTGACTTGATGATGAATTCGCCAGACCCTCCACCAATCTTGATGCGATGCGTATCAACACGGAACACAGTGCTTGATAACCCCACTTTTCCATCTGATGCAGTTACCCGCACTGTGAGTTGATGTGGCTTTCTGTCTTCAAACACTGAGGGATCCCAAGCAGCAGCCCAAAGCGGATTCTTCGTATCACCCACAAAGGAGGCTGCATGCAGGTGTAGCTTGCCGTCAATAAGGATTTCTACTTGCAGCTTATCGATTGTTTCATTTGAGAACACAAGGAATCGAATGTGGCTACTCTGGCGGATACGCCATAACGGTTCTTTGGACGGGATCGAGAATCGAGCATCTTTTGGATTGGTGACCAGGATAGCAGGAGCAGGCTCAACATGGTGTGGCCAAATGATGCTGCCATTTTGCATGGGCTGAACGAGACCTTGCGCATTCACAGGGCCCTTTTTGGGGATTTGATCCAGTGGTAGTTGCACATCGACAAATGAAATGAGATCATGGTCTACAGCGACAATTCGATAGAGTCCGTGCTCTTTGAGATCACCTAGCTCTAGTTCGAGTGATTTGGTCACAGGGTCATACGATTTGAGAACATCTCCCAAACCTGTACATAGTAACAAATGTGGTTAGCATACTAGATACCGCTTGAATTTGTATACATGCCACACATTACCGGCTATCAGTTTATGAAGATGACCACAAAAGTAGATGCTGTACTGGCTTGCTAAATCTCGAAACGTTCTTCCCTTTTTTGAAACACCAAACACCATGGTCGAGGTAGGGTAATGCGAGAACTATGAAACACAAGACCATGAGCATTCCATTCCTATTTCATAAGAGCGTATTATGCAACACTTGCCACAAATGTATGGTTATAAGGCTTTGATATCAGAGCATTCTCCAACTGATCCATGGTTTTCGATGTGAGATAACCAAAAAAATTCAAGGGTCGAGATGGCCCGCGCTTGGGACTAGACAAAGTATGGTTTAGACCATGTTGGCAGAAAGCATTGAAAGCTGGCTTACCATGCATCAATGGCAACAAACTGATATTTGCCTGTGGGTTGATTTACTTGCCATGAATAGACGCCTTTGCCTTGCTCAATAAGACCAGCACTATGACCATGTGTGCGGTAGTAATTCACCCGTGATTGCCAGGAGGGTAAATCAAAGCAATCGTGATTTCCTCGCATGTCGTACCAATCAACTGTTACTTTTTCCTTGATGGCTGTTTGATATACATCCCATTCGTCTATGTATTGCTGTGATGTGATTCTCTTCTTATCTTTGGCGTCCGTTAAATCGCCTGTAACGACAACAAACTCTGGTCTATCATCAAAAGCTGTTAGTCTGTATGGCTGGGCTCTCGCTATACATATTTACTTGACAACAGGCAAGATGGATTGTATGAAATGTAAAAAGTGGTATGTGTGTCCCTTGGGTCGGAATCTCGATAAATGTAAGTCTGTAGCCTTTTGAAATAATATCAGTATGGATTCAAACTGTTATATGGGTATGCGCTTTTTTTTTTTTACATGAACAAAGTAAAACATGTTGTCTGATGCGGTACCGAGCACAACAGAATCATTTTTGAGACGATCAATAGCGTTGGAATCTCTAGTGAAGTTTAATTTTTTGGTAGGTAGCCATGAATGACCCTCTACAGATCTCAGCTCTTGTGTGGATGAGAGATACAGCTGAAATGCTCTCAAGCAGCATAGAATGGTAAGTATCACGTATAGAATAGCTGGTTTATGCATTAAGAAAAAAACAAGAGAAATTTGGGAAAAGAAAAAGAAAAGGGAATCAGGCTGACACCTCCATCTCTTGGTCTCTTAATAAATAAACAAATAAAGCGATATCCTCCTTTAGACGAAAAGGTTGATGATTCGGCTTGACATGATCTTGTTTAGAGTAAGATGTTAATTAACACGTGTATTCGCTTGACCCGGAAGATCCAATCTTGATGTACTTGTTCCCCCCTCATTTCATACACTAGAGGTTTGAAAAAAGGAGTGTATATGTGTGTGTGTGTGTGCCACTCATCTCCTTTAGACTCGCTCACAAAATCAATACTGATGCATCACATTGTATGAAATGTACCATGATCAGAGATGGTATCTGTTGTTTGGATCCGTATCAAACAATAGGGTTTGTTGCTGAAACATGTTGTTTTGAAATTGAACGCAAACAAATACATGGATGCTCCATGGGATTGCAGTGATATAGGGTTGACCCAGAAGTTACTATTATATTCATACTGATAACCGCCTATCACTAGCTACCATAGAACCATCAAGAAAGGAGTGCAAGCGAGCGAGAGACTATTACCTATCGTAACATCCTTTTTACAATAACAACAAAAAGCCGGATTTACCATTTTAGCTATTATGATGAAAATGGATAAAAACAAACAAAAGACGAATTGCTTCCGGAAACAGGCGCACAAGAAACAGTTAAGCGCATGTCGTTTACGTATACACTGCAGTCTCTGTACGCATGCTCAAGGGCTTTTTTTTTTTTTTTTTTTTTTTTTTTTTTTTTTTTTTTTTTTTACTGCCAATTTATTCAGGGATGTGGCAGCAGCAAATTTGATCTTGTCTTTGAAGTCGCATAGATGTACGGCATTTCGTGAAACCATTCTACTTTTTTTTTTTTTTTGTTTACACACATACTTTCTAGTTTCAAGATTGTGCTTTTAGTAGATGATTTTATCTCAAATTGACACATGAAAATGGCGTCGACATTTGTTTGATTTTCATTTGATCAGATTGTTCGGCTGACAACAAGCTATTTCAAGCTGATATAACATCAAATGGAAATCCCATCACCATGTAGATAGCTTTAAGCTATCTAAATGTGCTGTAGATTTTCTTTTTTGAGACACAATAGCTCGCTATTGCAGGATATATCTTGCCGAATAGCGAGACCTTGGGATATGATGTGGTTATATGGGATGTATGTAATTTTGCGGGAAACAGTATGTGCGCTGTAAATTCCGAATACCACAAATGGCTCGGCTATCCACCACATTCCTCACAACAAAGAACCCGTCATGTAAAGTGTATTACAAAAGAAAAGCATCCAGTCAGAGCACTGCCCTTTTTATGAGCCTTCAACAGATTGACTACTCACTATCAGCAAAGCATTGCAGTTGCCAGCCGACAAAAATTACTTTCAATTCCCGCTTGACTTGTGTTGAGGATTGGCCAAAGCTTGATTACATTCGACTCAATTAATTTATTTTACAAGATTCGACTACGCAAAATGTGATATTCACCTCATACGCCCTTATGCTTTCCTGGAGTGCTTTCCAAGGCGCATCCAATGGTACCAAGTAATATAGATGTTTTGAATAAACTTATTGAATAATTTACGAAAATATGAAAAGAGGTTTCTGGCCAAAATGCCGAAATTTTACATATCAACGTCCCACAAAGATGATTTCAGAGATTGCTTTGGATCGATAGAAACATTTTGATTCAATATATACCATAGTAAAAGTCTTCATTATCAAGGTGAAAAACGCGATCGTTTGATTTTCGATGAAAACCATGAGGCATCCCTCATGCTTTTTGGTCGAATTTTGGCCATATTTTTTTGGTTCCCAAAAAGTTGAGCAAAAGTGTCAGTAAGTAACCGTAAGACGAGAGAGGCTGTTTGGTGCTATTCTGGCAGTCTAAAATGGCTTCTAATACCAGAAATTACTGCTTAAATGTACCCAAATTTGGCTGCATTTTACAATTTTTTGTGTAGTAAAAGGTATTACCAGTATGCTATGTACCCGTTTAGGAGATACTCTTATTGATACAGACGTGGGGTATCGTAGAAGACTCAAATCCGTAGTTCTGGACGGTTCTCAGGCGGCAGTGATGGGTTAAAAGTGGGACTTCAGTACATATAAGTAGGGCGCTTGTTGATGAGATGATGAGGCACAGAGTTTTGCTCGGTTCTCTTAAAACAAAATAGACTAAAAATTATTTGGCCAGCTAATACCACAATAAAATCACATCAGAGAGCATAGAGCAATGAGCACTACAAATGCTTCCACATTTCTTGTGCGCTGGATTTACACAGCAGGTAGATAAAGCCACAAAAAAAATAGCTCTGCCAGATTTTGATAGCATTGCATCAGTTACAATGCGTATCAATGATTAGTACTCTTTATGTATCTTATCTAGCCTCTTCGCATGTAATCGCAGTTAGGTTTCTTCAGTAATATACTTGCTTCCAATGTAACCCTGGCTATCCAGGAAAAAATGTCAACGTTGTCAAACATTTGTTCATGACAGTGACAAACCCCTATTACGACGTTGACTATTTTCCGTTATTGATGACCCTAAACATGATACCAATGCTTGTAGATTACCCTTTGCACTGAATTGGACAAGCATGTTCATTTGTAATAATCTTTCTTATGGTAATATAAGCTTTGCGGATCTTGAAATTTTAATATAACCTTATACCAGCAATAAATTTAGTTGTTGACATGGAGATAGCCTTTCAAGGGGATCTCCATTGTTCCGAAATCTCAGTTTTATCAATTGACAGTGGAAGATCCATCTAGGGACATTTCTGATACTCGCAACATCTTTACATGGCTATTGTCATTTACATCTCCTCTACAATCAGTGCATTCAGTTTTGGAAACATATATAAACCTCATCAACAGAAGCCTGGTTCCACACTTTAAACACCAGATGCCGTCTTTATCAGTACTTCCCAAGCCTGTCAAACACAAATTCGATCACTCGCATCACTCAGCCTCCGACTACAATGCTCACAATAAGAAAGTCGAGGCAATGCATTTGCTCTATGACGGAGGTATGTAACTGATCTTGAACCAAGATAGTATGATGACTAATAGCTTTTGAAGGGAATGATCATTTTGGAAGAAAAACGATCGTTTTCAGTGCCTGCCATTTACCAAATCCCAATGAGTTTAACTATGACTTTTTTTTGCTCACGTAAATATAAATGTATATATGTCTATGGTCGCTCTATTGTAAGCTAATAATGAATATAATTCATCTCTTAGTTATTTAAAAGGAAAGCTGTAAGTGTAACCATACACGTCAATTGTTTCCTTGTGCTAATCCACAATGACAGAGAAAGCTATGTGGAAGACGATTATGCCGTAATATTCTTCTCGTCGCCTGCTCATTACAGACCATCATGGATTTGGCTACTGAAAGCGTACAGACAGCTGGACCACAGTTTCAAAAAGAATCTAAAAGCGCTTTACGTATTACATATGTCTAAATCATACCAACATGTGTTTAACCTCGCCAACAAGATTATCAGGTATGTCTACACAATTGAACCATGTCATTTAGATACTCAACAATCAAAATCTGCAGCCCCAAATTCGGCGATAAAGTGTTGTATCTTGCGATATTAGATGAGTTAGACAAGATTATCGATCTCGCTCATGTTGCAATACCTCATGAAGTTGTGGAATACGAACTTGCCCTGCCCCCCACTCACTGTTTGCGTATCATCACCACTACTATTACGACCAATCGCAACAGGTGAATCATTGAAACAATCACCATCGCCATTACCAAGCAAATCAAAAAAGAGAAGGACCAGCAGGGCGTTTTGTATTTAGCAGAGGTCTAGAGGATCTCGCCAAGGTGGAAGGGATCGACATTTCTAATCAGAATGATGTGTATATACCGACTGTTGTTCAAAGACTTGTCGAGCAGGTGCGTTCAATTGGCCTACAACGAGAAGGCATTTTCAGGAAGAGTCCTTCCAATGCTGACCTCAGCAAAGCAAGAGACGATTTAGATCAAGGTAAGAAATGTTCCGTGTAGAGCATATTGTAAAGCCATCCTCAGCTAGCTTTCAAATGTAGATCATGACATGCACATTGAGCACCTGGATGTTCATACGACAGCCTCATTACTCAAGATGTTCTTGGCTTGTCTCCCTTGGCCACTGATACCTAGCGAGTTTGTCGCAATGCACTCTCAAAATGAAGACGCTACTGATCTGGGACAAAAACTAAGGGACCACTACAAAGACAAACCACATCATTTTGCACTACTGCACTATCTTGTTTCTTTTCTAGCTCAAGTATCTGAACACTCTGACTGCAACAAGATGACTGTGCACAATCTGGCCATTGTCTTCTCGCCCAGCTTGATTCGCTCGACTGTTGCATTTAGTGACATTTTGACAAGCCCAGCTGATGCTGCTGTGTATCTAGGACAGATGAAATTACACATGGCATTTATTGAATTCCTCTTCCAGGAAAAGGATGCTGTTTTTTCAACACGGTAGATGACAAATAGATTACATATGTGATTAGGGGTATTTTATCTTATTTAGCAACGACAATAATCAAAGCCAAAACACAGCCAACGATGGTGATAATGAGCATAAAGCAGCACATGTTCTTTCGGGCTCTCTTTTGATGGCGATTTGCGGTTGTTAATTCATCTGCAGCTTGCTTTGTATTTTGAGATATATTCAAAACGTTTCCATAGATGCTCTCTATCAAAAAAGCACAAACACAAATGAATACACCCTCATCTACAAGCATAAACACGCACACACAAATACACAAAATACCACTACTTACGAATACCACTGTCTTGCTCATTCACAAGCATACCAAGATCACGGAAAATTTCGTTCAGTTCAGTGATACCTTGTTCGATGCCCTGGATCTCTCCCTCACGCTCAGAAATTAGGGTCTCGTTGTACTCAATTTCATTGTCCAAAGCTTCAATTTGGATGCGTCTTTGAGCATCATCAGCCTGCAGTAGCTGCTGCTGTTCTTGTTGCTGTACTTGATCCCCTTCTTCATCGTCTACTTGTGATTGCAGTGCAGCTGTCGTTGCCTTCTTCTTGTCTACGTATTCTCGTTGCTTTGAGACCGATTCTCTTTGGATCTTTTGAAATTCGGCTAATACTTTTTGAAAGTCTTTGGATAGTTTTTGCTGTTCCAGCTTGCGTTGGCGCTAGCATATTGTCAGTTGAAACGCAAATTTTACATGGACACCATGAAACACTCACTGTCTTTTTGGGATCAGATGTCGTATATTGAGTCAACGATTTGATGTTGGATGTCGTTTCCTTGATCAGGTCTCTTGTACCCTCTGTTACGTCATGTCTAAGCCAGAAGGTTGGCATCATACAATCATGATGATGACGGTTGGATATGGGATACCTACAATTTGTTTCTAATGTCTGGTGTATCTCTGGATGTGCCCAGGAATCCAACCAATCTCTCGATGCTTGTGATATTTCCGTTGATGTGAAACACTTGTTGAGATACTCGCTGCGTCAAAGACTTGTAGTCGCTATCAGTGCCCTCTGCCAAATATCAGTATCTTCAAAGTACTATATCTCCCTTGAGAGACCTACCTGACTGCTGCACTCTGGTTCTTGCTGAGCTGGATACGCCAAAACCTTGCTCTAGATCGTTGAATGACATGATGATTGTTGTTTATTAAGGCCAAGACAAAGAAAATAGAAAGAAGAAGAAAAAAAAAAAAAAAAAAAAGAAATGCCCCTTTAGCCGAGACAAGAGATTTATTCATCCCAAAAGTTGCTACGGGCATTGCCTGAATGCACCAATGATCTCCGCCCTCTTGATTCTTCAGTGATCTTCATTGCCAATGTATACAACAAAGAGTGTGGTTTATTATTTATCTGAGCGTAATTCTACATTGGTGTCCTCTAACACGCCATACACGTTCTTGGGATCTGGATTCATTTGAGGTATAAAGTTGTTTTCGGAAAACGAGAACGAGTGTCTGGCTCTGCGAATGACAGAGTGCTTGAGGAAGGCTCCAGTCGCTCCTAAATGCCCCTCATGTCGAAGAAATAGCGCCTTCATATCTCCATTAGACCAGAAATTGATGGCATATGACAGTGTGTTCATGGTAATAGGATGTCCACGAATAAAGCAGCCCCCAAAATAAATGCGTTTCAGGTTGTGTTGTTTGGCATTTAGGTAAGCAATTTGTCCAATGTTGTTACTGACCATAAACAACAAACTCTTTGCAATATCGCAGGCACGGAAATCATCTTGAGAGTGCTGTACGCCCTTTTTGAATACTTTGCCAAAACTGGAAGCAATCTTGGTCGCTTTGAGCCCTAATTTAGTGTAATCTGTACCATAGATGTCTCCCACTAACAGGTCCACATTTTTGTTGTCTCCGTCCTTTGAAATCTCTAGCATTTCTACAGTATATACAGTAGAATAAGATATGGGCTGCACCATCATGCTGTGCTCTACTTACCATCAAAGGACGTTGCTTTTGTTAGCAACGACATGAGGCCCCAAAGAGTACCGCCTCCCAGCTAAACAATTAGTTGGTTTTCCATGGCAACTCCAATTGCACTTACAGATGTACCACTGATACGAGAGAATTCATCAGGTCCTGTCACCTTGAGTATACTATCAAGCATTGCTGTTCAATCAAATGCGACACGTTTCCCCACAAGCACAGTTTATGTTACCTCACACCTGATCCAATGTTTACCAGCTACACAATTCCATGCATTAATTCAAAAAGTCCACCCGTGTAGAGTTGTAAATCATACCATGTAAGGGTAAATGTCTCTTGTTTTCTCTTCAAATCTCATTGGATCTGTCTCTTGTTCGTTGTAGGTGAATACTTCGTATGGAATCTCGGTAATGAAAAAGTTGAGCCCTGGTCTGCTATTACTAATGACCCTTTTCGCCGCATAAACAGCACTGCTTACCAGTAATGAGACACTCCATTTCATCTTCCTTTTGGATAATGACACCCGGCAGTCTTTCTTGCAGTTTATCAAAGAACAAGTAAGCACCACCTCCTGTTGCCTTGAGTACATAGTTTGTGTTTTCAGGTCTTAATAAACGAGCGTCAGCAACAAGATCAGCAATAAAGTCGATGCATTCGTCTATTTTCTCGGTTTCTATCTTTTTGAAGTGAAGTCTACCACCTTCTCTATCTGCTGAGGATGTAAAATATACAATCTTGGCCAGTGAACCGCCAATCTATCCAAGCATATCAATGAGCATAAAGCATGCCTTTTGTTGTCCAACAAGCACCTACGTCGACAGCGATATGAGCGACGTGCTCATTCTGATTTGGTAAGACAATATCTCTTGTCTCGTTGGCTGATAAAATGGCTTCTGAAACGGAAGCTCCATCTACATTCATGACAGAAGCGTTGTCGCTCATAGTTTGAAGTTACAAAAGCTGGGAAAAAAGAGACGTAAGATAATTGTAGCGTGTTTCCATTCATTGTTTGGGAAATCACTGAGTTTCAAGTAGAGGGAGACATCTTCTGTGGAATCACTCTTCGAAAGCAAATCGCAAATCAAAGAACATGACTAGGGAATTGTCAATTCATAATACCTACGCTTTGTTACTTTACAGCTATAGCTCTTTGAAATAGGTAGTATATTTATGACAACTACAGTGCAAAAGGTCTGGTGTATCGCATTTGAAACGATGAAATCTTCTCTTATTTCGTTCTCGCAAGTCATCAAAGAAAAGCGCTAGAATAAATGGATAAATATGACTTGATCCAATTCATACTAAATTATCAATTTCAAAAGGATCTTTCTTGGATGGCCACTGTTCAGATGATCAAGTGTTCATAATGACAAAAAATCATGCAAAAAAAGGAGATAAAACGAGACGCATTGACAGTAATTTTGCTTTCTTACGCTCTATCAATTAAAATGACTACACCATCTGTTATCTTGGCGAAAAAAGAGCGTTCATTCTGCGATAAAACATACTCATCTTATCAGAAAACCAGACGTCATATCTACAAACAACACCATCATCACATTGAAACGCGGAACGCTAAAGACCACAGCAATCGAGACAAGCATTGAGTTTGGCTGTTCCTTGTGCTATAGCACATTAGAGAACAAAGAGGATTCCAAGGAACATGTACTGGGCTCACACATAATCGACACACATACAGCCACCGAGAACCCGCCTCATCGTAAACAGAACCAACGTCTACATATTATTCGAGCGATTCAGAGATACAACAGCAACCAAGTCAATATGCTCGCTTTGTCGTCGATTTTCTTGATAAGAAAGCGCGAAACCCTGCATTTTCTGCCCTTGCCCATTCAGAATCATTTGAGCAATCTGTACGGTTAAGAGCTCATTTCAGCAAGTAAAACCTCAGGGAGATCAAGATAATATTACAGGAATACTGCGAAGATGTGATTGACGACGATAAATAGTAACTAAATCAAATAAATGTTATAACTGGGGAAAAGAGTCCATTATCAATTAAAGAGTAAATTTCATCAGAAGAGCTAGGTCTAAACTCTGAGTAAGTGCCACCTTGGTAGGATACGTTTGATACAAACATGTTGTTGATTATTACTACAAGGCAAAAAATGATAGTTAACACCCTCTTAATACATTATTCCACTGCATTACGTTCTCTATTGCCTTTTCAAGAAATGTCAAATGTCCCCGCAGTAAAATTATAGTGAACATTAATCCATGCGATATGCATGCGAATCACCTCGACTTTGTTACACCATTCGATTAAGATCCCTTTCAATTCCTGTGAATTGTCCATATGTATCTTCCAACATGCCTCAGAATGAGATAGTAGCAATTCAGGAACGCTCCATGCAAGAAATAGTCAGCTAAAATTGTCAGATCAAGGGATCTGTCATCATTTATTGAATAAATTATAGAAAGAGATCAGATCCAATCGTGCTCGCCTATATTTCTTTCACTCCCTATATTCAAATATCCATGTTATCAAATAATAATAATAAAAATGCTACCCCAATCAACTTAATCATACAGCGAATGAACGTAGGTATCTAGAGGAATATCAGCGTAGGTTCGTGTCCATAACTTGGCCTCCTCAATGAAAGCTTGTTTATCAGATGTATACACCTTGGCCACCTGAAAATCCTGTGGTGAGCTAGCATCGGGAGCGTCTAATAAAGCTTGAATCGACATCAGTGTGATTCGCAAAGTCATGGCAGGAGACCAGTTGCTCTTCAACACATCCTACGAAGCATAATTAGAGGTGGCCCTGACATTTATGTGTATGTCCATTTTTTTTTTTGGCTTACCAGACAAATGGCACCCTAAACAGCATACGCATGAACCCATTACTATCCAAGTCCATCATCCAAATCTATTACTACTTACTGTCTGAGAGCTGACATTAGGGTGATATACTTTGGTAATAAATTTGATGCTTGGTGGAGCGAAAGGATGGTTTTCCTATGTGATTTGATCAGCATTTGATTGATATTGCATAATAGCAAATATTTACGTGCAATTTGATTTCTAACAGGAAAATTCCGTCTATGTAAAATCATGGTCAAGCAATGCCTCTTCTTACTGATGGGCCACCTTCTTACCTTGATATGGGGTATCACGAGGCCCTACAATGGAGCCAAGGAGATTGTCTACAAAGGTGATGCCTTGTTAGCTTCGACTAAATTAGAATACGAGCTGGGATGCTTACATATATTGCCATCATCTGGAACATAAACGTGTAAAGGGGCTGTATTGTCGTCATTGACATCTGCAATTTCGTTCAAAATTCTTTTCTGCATATTAGGAGGCATGTTGTTCAGGTTGCTGCGAGTGTCAAAATGGTAGAAAGAATAAAAATAAAAGCAACTGCAGCACAATCAACTTTATACAATGATAACACAGACAAATAGTCACAGAGACATTCAGTCCTAGTGATGGTACAAGATGCATCATTCAATCGTTTTGGAGCTCTCGAATACTGAAGGGCCTAAGCTGGCAAGATACAAGAGGTAAAACCCTAATGTTGCCGCATTGTTTGCTGCTATTCTTTTAGTATGTAAGTAGTAAGATTGACACTCAAAAATCGCAAGCGATCTCGAATGAGCGTTCCATATTATAATTCGCCTTTGGAAGAGCAACTTGTAATCTATCAGATATCAACAGTGCTTATTATCTAAAAATTAGAGTATTCAGATAAAGTTAAAATTCTTTCAGCTCGCAATGACATCCTTATGAGCTTTGAGAAGCATTAATTACCTCTACGATAGACATGCCCATTGATAATGTCTGCCAAAATTTAATTGAATCTCCATTCTACATTGTGGCGCATGCCTTGAATCTTGCGAGCATAAAGTCTGACATCCGCCACCCATCATCATTTCTAATATATTTACCAGCAGAAAACTATATATATATATATAAACGTCGGATTGACCGATCAGAGATCAGAGATATAAACAAAAGTTAAAGCATTGAGTACCTTACAAGACTCGAAAAAACCACCGGCGAAGCTGGCATTGGGGAGGAGGAGGAGGAGGAGGAGAGGGGGGACATATTGATTTTGGCAAAGCCAATTCATGCAAATTTTGATGCGTTATGTTGTTGGTAGGCTTAGTAATAATAGAAATGAAAAGCTGAATTGGTTGCTTGAATGCTATGGTTTTGCACCTTCGCTTTGCTACGATAAAACTCCCTTATAGGTCAACGTTACCAAATATTGAATTAGATGCGTTATATTCTTGGTGGAGGAACCAAGTCTCTCTCTCCCAACCAACCCCCCCCCCTCCTCCTCCTCCTCCTCCTCCCCAATGCCAGCTTCGCCGGTGGTTTTTTCGAGTCTTGTAAGGTACTCAATGCTTTAACTTTTGTTTATATCTCTGATCTCTGATCGGTCAATCCGACGTTTATATATATATATAGTTTTCTGCTGGTAAATATATTAGAAATGATGATGGGTGGCGGATGTCAGACTTTATGCTCGCAAGATTCAAGGCATGCTCTACGATGTACAGCGGGCAATTCAACCGATTTTAGCAGCTGCAAGGTCAAGCCCTAACCGTATAGCATGTAGCATGTCTGATACCATGAAAAAAAAGCTTAAGCGGTATAGGTTTCTCACTTAAAAGGGTTCTATTTATAGTCTCTAATTACTTGATCTACAGAATATTTACTTTAGGATAGCTTTTAATTATTATTTACATTCGTATATAAAATTTATGAATTTAGATAGGACAAGACGCGTAATAACGACGCTTTTTAGATGAGGACTGATGACTACCGCCGCTGGCATTACTGGAGTCACTGGTGTAATCTGCAGTTTCTTGTTGTTTTTTGATGGAGGAGGTGGATTTTTTTTTCATCACACCACCATTGGTTTGTAACTCTTGTTGGCTTGGTGGTAGGGGTGCTGGTGGTGATGACAGCAACAGCATGCTGGATAATGCATTGCTATTCAGGATGATATTGCTGGCGTTCTCATTATGAAGCTGTAATTGCTGCTGTAACAGGGAAATATTGGAAGATGTTGTTTCCATAGCGCAAAAATAATCTCGCTGTTGTAAAGCATTAACTTCTTGTGGAGTTGTGGAACCATCATGATAATCATCGTGTGTAGGTGTAATTGAGCAAGATTGATGGGGCTGTTGTATTTCCTCTGGTGTAAATACATCGTATATAGAAGCTAAGTTTACTGAAGCAGATGTTTTTATAGCTGGTGCCGCTGCTGCAGCAGATGTTAATGAAGGAGTGTTTTGTGCCGCGTTGTTTATATGTGGTTGATGATAGATAAAGGCGCTGTGTGATGAAGGAGTATCCACAATTAAACCAGGTGTTAGTATGAGGTTGTTGTGAGTATAGAATGATTTCTCAAATGTCGTCATTGCATGATGCTGATCCTGATAGTCGATAGGCGTCGCTTGCATAGTGTTTGGTGTATATAATGTATCTGCACTTAAAGGAGGTAAATCTTCATCAAATGGAGTAGTCCCTAGATCTTCGAAGCTGGCGTCTAGTAGATTTTGTTGAGATGAAAGAGAAATGGTATCCAGTGAGAGGTTATTGGTATCAATGCTGGGTAGCGTGGCCAGTGCTTGTTGTTGTTGTGTCAAGTAGTTGTAGAAATCGTAGTTTTCCTCTGTTTTGGCTGCAAATGCACTACTTGTATTACAATCATTTGGTGTAAGGGTGCTATGTAAAGGGGAAGAAGAAGACAGTACATTAGTTATAGCATCAACAGAGCTTGGTACTACGGGAGGAGAGGGGATGTCAGGAGTGTCTTCCACCTTGACAGTTGCTAGAGGCGATGATTCTTTGCAGCAGCTCGTAGACGTGCCACGATGAAATACTGGATTGGGTGCTGTCATGACACGGGTATGATATCTTGCTACCTTGTTCAGTTGCATGGTGAAAGTAGAGTCATCTGCAGCATGTTCAAATGTATCTAGTGTAGAAGATGTAGGGACTTCACCAAAGATAGAATAAGGCAAAGATACATTGTACATCAAGGGCAATGATTGCTCATTTGCTTTGCCTGTAATAGAGTCAAATCAGTACGAGTTCAGTTGTAGTGTGCTGTTTCACCTACCGTAGACTTTCTCCAACTGCTTTGAAATTTGCTTTGCGTCATCCTTGTTCTTTCGCTCAGCACCTTTGTCCCTGAATAGCTTGACTTTACAAAAGCAGACTTCATCTAATTCAGGCACGCCAGTAGCCAAATCGGCATCAACGTGGGTTTCCATTTGAGTTCTGAGGGGTATACCCTTGACGCCTTTGATGCGTGAGAAATCGGTAGAGAGACATTTGAAACGAACATAGATCTTTGCACCATATTTGCCGTTCCAGTCAAATGTGATCTTATCAAAGCTTGGAAAGCTCAAATTAGTGATACCCGTACATTGACTTGCATCTGTTTAATAAAAGCGGTGTTAGTACCGCCTGCTTGTATTTTGCTGATTTAGGTGCGTACCAATGTCAATAGCACGAGCCTCGCTTTGCTTTTGTTGGCCAATCCAGAACTTCCAGTAGCTCTCAGCAATGCGACGATGAGATGAAGAATGAAACGCAATAGACAGCGTGCTTGTAATTATTTGGTCTTGGCCTCTTTTGTCATTGAGCTGAATACCGTAGACTTGACCACGATTCAAATATGTAATTGCAGATTCTTCAGCCTTCTGTGTCACAGCAGTTGCAGCTAATGAAATCTAGTCAGTCAACATGTATACCAAACAGCTACCAAGTCTATCTTACCTTCAAGCACAATTTCAAAGCGAAGTCTCCTGTTAATATGTGAAAAAAAGGTAATATGTGTTAGATGAATGAAGTTATATAGCTCTAAATTTAGATGACAATCCTTTTACTTGTAATCAGACACCCCACCACAGTTACTCCTCTCCCACTCTTTCCGTATGAATAAATCACCAAGAGATGTAAGCGTGCTTCTGCATCCCCTCGGCTTCTCCTGCCCAGGTAGGCATCCCCTCGCTCCCGCACTCCCATTGATCTATCTATTTCACCCCCTCTTCTTTTTTTTTTTTTTTTTTTTTTTTTTTGCTCCTACACTCTTGCCCGCTTTTTCTTCCTTCATAGATAGCCAAATGCCCCTACTTTCTCTACTATTTTGAATAGATTATATCACTCTCCTCATGCCTCGTTTGATAGGATTGCCACCAATGACTGTAATAAATTATACCTTGGATTTGATGCTTGCTTGTCAAGTTCCATGCTGGGATTGGGTGTAGATGATGATGATGTGTTTGCATTAAAAGTCGGTGATGGTAACACCAAGTGAGAGGAGGAACAAGTCGACATTGGAGCAGCAGCAGAGGATGGTAAATGTTGATATGTAAAAGTGGATGTTGAAAAGGAAGAAGAGGAAGAGGAAGCAGTTGAAGAAGATGGTGAATATGTAGAATTTCGGATACGTCTGTCATTTGCACTAAAGTGACGGAGATGGTGCCTGCTGCGATCCTCTTCAAGATTGTAACTAATTGGATTTCGAATAGTTGCAGTTGTATTCATGTGTTGTTGATGATGATTCCATCCTTGGCTATCAAAATAATTTAATTTAAATAGCTCGCTTGAAGAGGACATTTCATTAAGCATCTTGATGTCTGTTGCAGAGAAATGAATATGCGAGAGCTTTTTATACATGACATTTGAGCGAATTTACCTTGTATTTTGTTGATCTCTCTGGTTATTTTTATTTTTCTTTTTGAATGATTAATGTGATTAGCGTTAATTTGTAATTTATGTCCATGTTTATACATTTATTTTTTTTTTGCCACAAACACATACATGTACAGTAATACACAGGCACACACACAAGCACACAGATTACACAGACACTGTTAATGTATTTATTGAGTAATGTACAAAAAAATTGATTGTATTTATATACAATGGTGGGCAAATAATAAAAAAAAGGGTTATTTTATGTGATACATTAAAAAACAATCTTTATATATATAAATCACTTTAGAAGGGGGAGGGGATCAAAGGGAGTGGAAGAGACACACACACATTTAGAGGAAAAGCAGACATACTAAAAGGGGCATCTACTCTTCATTACAAGCATTCTGTTTGGCATGGACATTTGCTATCGTCTATACGCAATGCTTAAAACTTGATACATATTTCAGTCTACTTTCTCTGTGTATATATACATTGGATAACTTACGAAATGTCTGGTCTTGGTCAAAAAGCAAAAAATAAAGGGTGAGAACGGGGGAAAAGGGGGTACCAGCGAGTGTGTTTATGTGTGTATTCTTGGGGTATTGCATGAACCGTACATGGCTATTATTTTGCAGTATTTCATGTTAGTTTTGTTGATTCTTCTAGAAGCTGACTATATAAACAATGTTGTCCCCTTTCTTGGGTCTATTGAACGCATTTCGCAACATGATGTGGGGGCGGGGGTCAGAGGCCATATTTATCTACGAACTGAGATGGCTATGTAGATACAGCAAATGATACATGAAAAATATCTTGCAAGATATATACAGAGTACCAATGCCAGAACATACTAAATATAATGATAAACATACTTGCGCTACACTCTCTTCTCAATAGGGGTAAATCATAATTAAAAGGAGGAGGCTTTAGACACCTAAAAAAAGTAAACTCTTTGACAAACCTTCTAGCTAAATGTGGACCCAGAGTAAAGGTAAAGCGAAAAGGGTAGCCCTCTGAAACGAATAAAGGCATTTCATACATGTATAATAATAGACTGTTGTTGTTATACGCCTGAAAATTAAAGGAGAGCATACATCCTGTCTTGTGTATGTAACAGTCTATTTAGTATTTGCAGAGACAGCTATACACTCTAGCTTTTTACATAATATTCGTCACTTATACACCATGCAAAAAGGGTTCTTTTTAGCCCTGGAAATCCATGCCGTTTCTACATAATCTGAAAAAAAAAGAAGGCTTAATTATCTAAATCATGGTGAGAATCTTTATTGATCAACTTCATTATATAACCACACGATTGAACTGTTTGTTTGTTTGTACCAAAGGTATATTGCTTCGCTTGATTGAAATTAAAATATATCTGTCTGTACACACACACACGCACACGCACACGCAAGGGTTGTCATTTAGCAATCCCTCCCTTCTTCTGTCTTTCACTCTCTTTTTTTTTGCGTAGATTGTGCATATGTCTCCTTACTGTACATCACTAGCAGATGAATAGATGCTGGTCTCATTATTTAATTGAAATAAATCGATGATAGCTTATAAAAAGGGAAGCCAGAGAAAAGGAGTTGTTCAACCTCAAAGTCAATTGATGATCTCTGTGAATCAGAAAAGCCTATCTCATGTTTTGAAGGAAAAAAAATGCATAGCTACTAATAATGCAGCAGAGATGCAATGCAGCCATCGAGGCACTCCCATACAACAGCATCCGCATTTTTTACATTATTATACCTATTACTTATAGACATCACACAGGCCTTGAGAAAGAAACTGTGTAAGGAGAAACATAGACAGAGCATGTGTAGACATTGATTAGTGTGCCGAGTTGTTGGAATCATACGTGTAGCATATTGTCATTGCAACCATGTAGTGATCGACATGTTCCATCTTATTATTTTACACATCTCATGGAGTGCGTACACTTCTTCGATTGGAATATTCCAGCTAGCATGTAGCAGTTTTCCTTACTGGAAATGGCCCAGAGATTCTTAGCCATCAGATGAAAAGAAGGTGCCATTTATTTCATTATCTTATATCTTCCATTCTATTGCGATCGCTTTGTTATTCTACCATTCAGTTCCATCAAATCCAACAAAACCCTAGTGAAATAGGTTAAATTTTCATGCAATGAGGCATTTGGCTCCTTTTTCTCAAACAAGAAGCCCCTTTTACCAAATAAGCACTTACCGTCATTAGAAAGATTGGAAAGAACTTTTTCTTCTCAATATTTGAGCACCCTTAGAGTTTAAAAATAAAAGGTTAGAACACTCGCAACCTTAGCTTTCTCTTTAAAATTTAAACTTTACAGTTCCATGCTGATGTAAGTCGACCATCTATACAACTACCAGCGTCAAAGTAATTATCTCCACCAGAGCCATCAAAGCCATGTCTGAAGAAATCGTCTATATCAAATAAATTAGTTGCCTGATTTTTAGCAGGCTATTTAATCGCATATAACCTACATAAAATGTCTTTTCTACACTGTTCAATGCCTCCAAACTCGTTTGTCACATAGGCTGCCACTTCAGGGTCATTCTTAAGTGCCTCTAGTTTATCCAATGTGCTTACAATAGGTGTCAAGATACGGGACACTTGGTTGTACTGTAAAGACAAACCTTAATAAATCTAGGATTATAAATCGCGATTGCATGCACATACCTTGTCAATAAACATGAAAGAATTTGGTACGTTCTTGTCTCCCAAATGAACAACACTGCTGCCAACCCAAGACCCGCACTTTTTATGAGCACGATTCAAGATCTTGTGAATTACACGAGAGACGTTAGGACAAGGCTGAATACGCTGAAGGCCCTGACCTGTGTTGGTCAATCGATAAGCGCTCGGTGAAATCAAATCTTCATCGGCCATGCTCCAAAGCAAAAACATTTCATTCATAATCTCGCGCCATAGAGTCACTGATTGATGCACGTAGGTGTATTGAGTGGAATGAGAATGGGTTAAACGATGGCCATGTCTGCCTGCTGAGATAGCCAACGAATAACCATGATCGTGCTTGGCGGGTGTAAAGTATTTCGATAGGTATTTGAGCATTTTGTCGCAAGGATCTCTGCCAATTGCATTGCATTAGTCTGGTGGACACACATCAGTTAAGAGTAGCTCACCTGTTTGCCTTTAAAAAGGCATTGTTATCAGACATGGAGAGTAGACAGCGCTCAATCTCTTCCTTGCTGATGCTGTCATTGGCATGCTTTTCGCAGATGGCTTGAATGGCGTACTGCTTTCGTTGCACTTCAGCATCAATTTGCTCACGAGTCTTCATTTCAGAGGAAATCTCTCTTGTTGCCAATACAATATTATCATCATGCAGTACATCCACGCTTTCACGGCTCTTGAGGAAATCATACACTGTCTTGATAGGAATCACACACGAAAATCCCAAATAATCCTCTACCTCTGGAATCACTGAATCCATCAACATGTACATCAGTTTACCATAGTTGGATCTCATCTTTTCAGGATTCATAATCTTATGACTATGGGAATATATTAGTTTCATATTACCACCGTTTCTCTCCATTGGGCTTACCGTCTACCAACTTCGAAAATGCGCTGGAAAATCTCTTCATTGTCTCGAATACTGCTCTTTGCAAACAGCTGTGCTCCAGTTTTGTAGTCTCCAGCAACAAGCAGCCCTGAAATAATGCAACATAGATCTTTGATTTGTCCCACAATTCTCTTTGCTTTGTTGGAGTATGAGATGATGTCGATCTTGTCAGTGTATTCGGACACATTCAATGCAGCATCGAGTCTAATGTCAAAGCTGTCAGTTGCTTTTCTAATTTTGTGATCTCTGCCGTGATTCTTACAATCTCAAAAATTGTCTCTCCTCAGCATCCAGTCGTAATGGCACTGTTTTTGATCTACAACAAAATCACATCAATCTCCTATAGTTGTGGTCGTTCCAGCTGCTAGGAACATTACCTCTTTGTCATGTAATCACCAAAAGTAGGGCCACTGCTGTTGATGATGGTGCCATCCATTTCCATCAATGCTTGTTTCATAATGGTATCCTCCTTCCCGTTCTCATTCTATATCCAATGCGATTGAGCCAAATGCCGAGCAAATGCTGTAATGCCTATATTCACCTTTTCGGCTCCATTGGAGGCTGCTGCTGCGTTTGCATTGCCTGCCGAATTCTCGCTGCCTCTAGCGTGTGTCGGGTTCAATTGCTTTGCAGTGTGAAGTTTACGAGTGCCCGTGCGATGGAGCATACCTACATTTCATCAAACATGTCAGCTGATCAATTGCATTCTACATTTCTTCCACAGGTATTCTACCATGGCAAACTTCACAGAAATCCTCATCGCATTGCTCGCAAAAAACAGAAGCCTTTCATCAACGCCGTTAGTAAATGCTACAAAGAAAACGAGGAATAGATGTTTACTTCTTGGTCATTGCATTCAACGCAAAAGATAGTCTTGTTACTATCTGAGGCTACCAAATGATCCATGCTTGTTCTGTCTGCCTATGCGTTACAAAGTGATATGCACAGAAAGAAAAGAAAAAGAATTTTAAAACATGTTTGCTTGTGACTCTTGCAGTGTGTTGTGTTGGTTTCAATTGTGTGTGTCTGAGGTGCTCAAGGTTTAGTGGGACGTTACATCTTGTTTTCTTGATCCATATTATGTATCTGCTTTTGATAACTCGGTACATCACCACACATTCAAGGTTAAGCTGAATTAAAGCGACCATACTATTGACTCTTGAAGATTTCCTTTCAGAGATAGAAACTATCGACTGCCAATGGTGAATCCAAGCTCATTAATGTATATCAGTGACATTTCAACTTGATAATTCGACTTTCTCAATCTCAAGTGGGGCAATCCTAAATTAATATACGAGCTTGGTACTCAGTTTGATATGTTTGCTTTTTCAGAGCCTTGCTATAGAGGATAGACTTTATATTGAATAAACAATACATAATACATTGAGTATATAGGCAAGTAGAACTACAGTCGACGAAACTAGATTGGGTCAATAAAAAGGAATTTTGATCATTTCCAAATTAAGATTGGTACACGATTACAAAAATGGGACACAAAATGGAATATAGGACACAGGTGCGAAAATGGGACAGCAATAGAAAAACAGGACACAGATGCAAAAATAGGGCATATTAGGTGTTAGTATATATCAACTCTCTATTGGTCATGTATTTATATACTCACTTACCTGGAGTAATCTTTAAGTTTTTTGTCCAAAGACGCAAGACAACCACGTTCTATGTGGCGCGTTGTCGATTTTGACGTGTAAAAATTGTTGGTCGGTCCATACCAGCCCAGATTTGACATGCGATGAACATCATATTTTTTGCAGCAAGGACATCTCTGTTCCAGAATATATTACAATCGTTGCAGATCAATAAATTAAAGAAAGATTTGCCTTCAGCTCTATGATTTCTAAGGTTCATTTGTTTGCAATTTGGGCAGACCTATTTTATAGAAGCACAATTAGTTGACTTAATAAGCGTTTATTTGTATTGTAGCGACTTACAGAAGAGGTCCGGAATTCATCAATATCAAGCAAAAGAACTTCACCAAGGCTTTGTCTTCTTTTCAAATTCTTGTAGATGATATCAGAAACGCCAACTCGTCGTCCTCCATATTTTACATGGCTTCTCCCTTTTTACGCCATCACCAAAAACGGCTAAAGGCATCTTTGCCGTGTCCCCTTCATTAATTCATGGTTGGGACATAAACGAGAGGCAGCAGTAGTATGACCAGGTTGGCCACAGGACTTTCAAACAGGCCCAGATAATGATGAAGCCTGTTCTGTTCTTCTTGTTTTTCTGGCATCCGCCTTGCCTTGTTTCTCCTCTAGTGTATCTTTTTTTCTTTTACCTGAACCAACATAGCAGTTATATAACGTTATAAATGTAATTAATAAAATTCACAGAAACTATTGTAGTTCAATGCTACCTCGTCTTCTATTACTAGATTGTCTTTCCTCTTCAACATGTGCTTGAAGCTTCAGTTGCTTTTTATTTCGAATTAGTTCTTCTCTTTCAGGATATATAATAGGACACATTAAGATATTTAGGTATAAAAAAAAAAAAGAAAGGCAACACTAACTGGCAACATTGCAAGTTTATCTTTCATAATGAGTTTCATCAGTTTTGATTATTTCATGGTTGATTTTGGATGATTTTTTTAGCCAATAAAATGTACAAAGCAACAATTTAAGGCAAACAAAATGGCTAACGAGGGATGATGACTGAAAAAAAAATATCAATATTTATATGTGCAAACTATCGATCGCATAGCCTTTTTCTTACTTTTATACTGTTTTTAGTTTTTCTGTTGTATAATATATATATGTACAGCCAAGCACTACCACTACACCGCATTATCTAACAATCAAAGCTGTTGAAGATCTTGATATCTAAATATGGTAATGATCATTTACCTCCAGAAGTCAGATATGGAATAGCAATGTTTATATATGCTAGAGCTTTTCAAATTATGACTAGTTGCACCATTAAACAAAGCTTTATATCTGTTGAGAAATGATGAGACTAACGGCCTGACAATAAAAAATGGATGTAATTTGAGATATAAATATATAAAAACTTTATTGAAAGACCTCAGAGTATACTATATTGTGTGTATAGTGGCTAGGTAGGTTTTCCAGTACAGAAATATCAGGATCAACCATGATTCTTATCGATGACGGCTTATTGACCCTTGACATTGCGACGTACAGCTGACCATGCGATAAGACGTGAGAGGGAAGATATAGTCCAACGTTAGATAATGTTTGGCCCTGCGATTTGTTTATAGTCATGGCAAAGGCCAATCTCACAGGAAACTGGGTGCGACTGAAGTCGAAAGGAATTCTACCGTTGGCTTCTGTAATAAACTTGATCCTTGGGGTATACACAACGTCACCTGCTTTTGGCCCTGTGGCAATGGTGGCTTCAATTATTCTAACACCCAAAGATTTCACGATTAGCCTGGTTCCATTGCATAATCCAGCTGAAGGATCTAAGTTTCTCAAGATCATTATTGGAGACCCAACTCTCAAAACCAATTCATGTGGAGGCAGAGAGCCAGATTCTATGGAGTTGAGAAGCACGAGAGGCACCTGCATTCGAAGCTGAGGATCACAGACTTGATCATAGCTGTAATAAGTGAACTTTCTTCCCGGCAAGTTGTCAAGTAGCAGATTGTTTATGACTGAGACATCTTGGTTCTTCGGGGTCAATATAACACGTTTCGCAAAATATTGGTCAATCGTTGAGCTATTGCTGATGTTTGGAAACACAGCAGCTAGCAAATCCAGCAAGTTGGTAGAATTGAAATACATTTCATCTGGGATACGCACAAAATCCGAAGGAATGTCCTCAGGTAATGTCACCATTCCTGTTGAAGCAACTGCAATTGCAATATGATTTTGTTTGCGAACGGCATCTAACAAAGCATTGATGATGAAAGTTTTCCCAGTACCGCCAGGCCCGTCAATAAAAAACAGTTTGGATTGTGCAGCATCATAGTTTTCGTCAGCTAACGCGCAACGTTGAATGGCATTGTAAGCTATCAATTGGCTTGGATTGAATGGCAAATAGTTTGGGTCAGGAGCTTCCAAGGCTTCAATTAGCAGAGTGGCATGCATCCTTTCCAGCGGGGTAGAGACTTCAGGGTAAGCATGAGTATCCCTGGTATCAACAGTAGGGAAAACGTCCTTGAAACCATCCATAGTTTTCAAATCAAATTGGTTGGCAACTAAAATTTGATTCAAATCAAGAAGGCAGTGGCCATACATCTCATCTGTTATTTCAGTGGGAACAGGTTGATTCAGAGCTCTTGCCTTTTGTTGCCTACGATACAGATAGTCCTCGGCTAGATGCAGTCAGTGATTCAACCATAGCTGAAAAGAATCAGAGACATCGCAGAAGGAGAGCAGAATACGGAAGAGTTGCCGTATTTTTTGAGGTGACATAGTGGTGCTTGCTTCTGACATGGTATCATTCCATTCATTATTGTCATCTTGCAGAAGACCCATTGCTCTGGCAGTAGCCTGATAAGACGGATAGACGCGGCCATTGTACGTTCGCATGTAGGTAAAGGATGTTGCTCCTGGAAATCGATACAATAGGATTCTTAAATGATACTTTTCAATATCTTTTGGAGATACAGCGTAGACTCTGCCAATGGCTCCACCAAAACCTGAACGTCTAGGTCTCCAAACTCTTGGGTTCTGTTGTTTATGAAAATCGTACTTTTCACAAAAGTCTGGATACAAAGTTTGCTTAGCTTCGTTGTCTTCAGGATTTTCGAGATTGTACTTGAACCTAGCTTTCAGGGTTGTTTCTGGAAGTGTACGACTCAAGACTTGGTCAGAACTTTCGTTCTCGTTAAAGTACACCCTTCTATCGTTCTCCAAATGGATATCCAGGCGCTGTGTAGAGGGGTATTCCTTATGCATAGGGAAAGACATGATTCTCCAACAGGCTTCAGATGCCGAGACATATCTTGCATCAAGGAACTTTTTGATCTCATCCTGGTGATCATCTTGAGCAGATGAACCCATGTTTACCTGTGCTCTGTCATGGCCCTTGTATACATATTTGTTAGCTTTATTTTCCAAGAATTTTGTTAGGCTTCTGCCAAGCTGACAGTAATGGCTGCTTTCCCTACGGGCACTCTTGTAATTAACTTTTACTATGTGACGGCAGAATAAAATGTATTATTTTAGGAGTTTGGTGATAAATACAAGCTTACAAATGCTCTGAAAGTACTCACTTATTATCTTTGTTACCGATTTTCTACTTCATTCTTACAGATCCGCAAATTTTCGACCATGTTGTGTTGCTGTAAGTCTTATATTTCCCGCTAACAGTTAAAAGACGCAGGCAGTATGCTGTTCTACAAGTATTCTCCTTACGCCTTTGGATGTTTTTTAGACATAATAGCATAGCTTATTGATGTTGTTTTACGGCTTATATCATGTTTGATCTTGCATGCAGCTGTTGATTTAGAAAGTCTTAATTTACTGAATGCTTCACGAATTTGCATACATTCATAACCTTGCTTCAAGTCGATCAAGCTTAAAGCTGCATTTTTTTTCTTTGAAATGAAAGTTACAAGGTCCTCTTTGTCTTGTAGTAAACAAAGGATATTGCCGTTTTTTTTTTTCTTTGCCAACTTGTTTCCGGTATTCGCTTGTGCAGGCTTTTCTCAACTCATATAGACAGCATTGAATCATCAATGATACTGTCTGTTCATCAAGATTAGTTTCGCTATTTATAATAGTAAATCTTCGAAGAAGTGGAGAAAAGATATAGCAACAGATGCTTCAAGAAGAGTTTTCCATTTTTGTAATCGTGTCCAACTCAATTTGGAAATGATCAAATTTTTTTTATTGACACAACCTAGTTTCGTCGACTGTAATGCAACTAAATATGGAGTGTAACCTGAAGGCGAACTGTAACTGAATCTCAAATACGGTTATTGACCCAAGAAGTTTAATCGTGTTGCCTATATTGCCTTCTTTTTGTTTTTTTTAACATACTCGCCATAACTTACCATGTCAAATTATTACTTTGCTATCGTTGGAGCAACAGATAACCCTATATATGAAACAGAAATAGTACCATCATCGCGCTCGTCAGCATTTATAGACTCGAATAGAGTGAGTGGAGCTTAACTATCCAATAAGCCAGCATCTAATCTGAACTCTTTGTAGCAAAGAGATGATCATAAACATTTAAATCAGTTTATTATCCACGCAGCGCTCGATGTAGTGGAAGAATACCAATGGAATACAACAGCCATGTAACATTACAACATTTCCTTGGCACTAAAATTTATGCTAAAGTGGTTTGCATTAGGTATCTCAAGTCTATTGATAGATTCAACGAATTTTATGTTTCTTGCTTTGTCACAGCTGGAAGTAGGTTGCTCTGGAGATGATGCTGAATGCATAGATACAGTATTGATTGAGTTTTAGGTGTCAAGTTCATGCTTTTACATGACCAGAAATCAGAGGATAGCATAAAGCAGTTTTTTACAGAAGTGTACGAGTTATATGTCAAGGTAAAACAAGCAGGTTTTCAGTATTGATACCATTCGAAACCAACTCTTTCCACATAGGTGCTGATGAATCCATTCTACGAAAAGAACTCTACTATTACCAACCCATCCTTTGATAGCCGAATCAAACTAGTAGCAAGACGTTTCCTTTGAATAAAAATCCCTTTATTGTTCTTTATTTACAGTGTATCATTAAAAGGTTATTGCGACATATATTACGGTTAATTGATTAATTTTCGTCTTCTTCCTTCATATCATGGTCTTCTTCCTCATCCTCATCCTCGTCTTCTTCTTCTACTACGTGATCTGACTCCTCATCGCCGTTGTTTGTCCACACTCGAAGTCGTTCTTTAAAGTAGCGTTCAAGTCGATTCGCACATCGTGTATAGTTGGTAGACTCGGCGTTGTAGGCTCTGCAGTTATCAAAGATCTTTTGAACATCTTGCTTGAATTCATCCATTGTGCGATATTTATCAGATTCTACATTTTCGTCTAGCAGCGTCAAATCTAGAAAAATTATATACTATTAGCATTCTATTCATGCACTATGGCTCTAGGAAACACTTGCCCATGGGTTCTGTGATAACATCATAGTAATCTGTCACTTCATCCGCATTCACAGCTTCATGGAATGGCCAAGAGTAGGCATTTGCTCTTAGCTCTGTCACTAGATGTCGCATTTGATTGTAATGGGGAGGGTGACGAGGGCGATTCGACCTTTGGAGAAAGAGAGAGATGTTAGACAGGGACACAACATACACACACCACACTTACAAGGCATCCATTTCTGGTGTCCAGCCAGATTCTTTGACACCCGCCACTTTATATGGATCAATGCATCGCTTCCCTTCTTCATTCAGGGGCATTTGAATGCCAGGGTATACTATATGAGATGTCGAATATTCTTTCATCTTTTCATAAACTGCCTTCTTTTGAATCGCTAGTGTATCATGCACATGAAGATACTTGACTTTGGGAACAGTTGTACACTGGAATAGCACACATGTCAGTTCCACTCTTTCAGAGGCAAAGCAAGACAGCCTTACCTGCATAATGGTACCACCTTCATAATCCTTGATATAGCCCACCCACTTTCTTTTATCCAATGTAATTTCTGTTGTAAAGCCCTGCTTCTTGAAGTATCCCGTGGCGTAGTTATCCGCATAAGTGAGGTAGTGCTTCATGTTGGTGTTCTCCGAAACGTAATCCTTGAGATGATTCATCAGAAATGAACCATAACCTTTGACTTGCTCTGTAGATGCAATAGCACAAAACACAATCTCTGCAAACTCCTGTGGATCGAATGGACGATAGCAGATGCCACCAATGACCTTCATAGGCCGTCTAATTAAAGCCATGCTTTTGTGGTTGCGATCGTACACAAGTCGAGCAATATATTCTTTAGGCATTTTGGGAAGTTGCTTTTGAAATATATTCTTGAGGCCTGTCAATAAGATCATACTATCTCGAGCGCCGTCGTTCTCCACCACGCGTACTTCAATGATCCCTGTTCTTTCTTCGATCTGAGCTGGGCTCTCTTTTTTCACCACGTTCTTGAGATCGTTTAGCACCTTCAATTTGCCTTCGCTGTCCAGAATCCCGTCTTTGGCATCCAGCACGCCGTTTACTTTTAGTGCCTCCTCGTTCAATAATCGCTCTCCTTCTTCAGTGACACTCTTGACCTTAGGAATCTCTTGGCTTAGTAGTGCTCTTTCTGCCTTTGTCACAAGGGATGTTTCATATTCCTCCTCATCCACTTCTTCGTCATCGTTCTCATCGTCGTCTTCCTCCTCCAATTGAGTTCTAGCAGTGGATAGATCCGTACCATTTTTGAGGTCAGAGTCAGGAGGTTTAGAGGGATTAGTGGGTTTGTCACTTGAGGCTGTCTCTAAAATATTGGTGGGTTGATCTGAGGGTTGATCCAGGTCCATTTTACTGACATCGTCTCCATTGGCATCTGCACTGGTCTCTTTTGTGTCTGTTTCAGGCACAACATGGGTTTCTTCAACTGTTGATGATTTGACGTTTACCTCTGCATCTTGCAATGGTACATCATCCCTGTCGTCCTCATCTTCCTCGATCTCGTCCTCATCCTCCTCCGAGTGTTCTTCTTCCTCTTCATCATCTTCGTCCTCTGAAGGCTCCTCCTCCTCTGTTTCTTCTTCTTCTTCTTCCTCTTCCTCCTCCTCCTCCTCTTCTGATGGTTCTTCTTCCTCGTCTTCATCATGGTGAGCAGCAGGTGTTTCTCTCTCTTCGTCGCTGTCGTTTTGGAAGGCTTTGAATCTTTTCGGTACGTCTTCGTCTTCCTCATCGCTGCTCTCTCTCTGTCTCTTTGACGTTTCCTCTACCAACATGCATACATGTTAGACACACATTAGAAAATTGCACCGGATTTCTATATACCTCCATCTATTGAAAAAGGCGATGATGCTTCCGATAGGAGATCATCATTGTGTAGTGTAGCATTGTATGTAACTTGTCTATATGAAATCTGTCAATATCAGTTGCCCTGTACAATTACACCCAACCTACTTTTTCAATGACTGTATATCGTCATCTGTATAGTCATAATCGTCTAATTTTCCCTTTTCCTATACGAATGTTCAATTAGTCTCCATGTTTGCATTCCTGTCATCGAGTCAACGAGGACCGAAACCAACAGAAGAGAACGGCATTTACTTGTAGTAGTTCGTCTATACGCAACGCGACTTTGAGTCGTCTTATAAAGTCTTGCTTGTGGTCTATATGGTGCTCTGCGTCATGTCCACATAGGCAATCGTTCGAGAATTCCATCGAGAAATTAGGTCGCCAGCCTTGACAATCGCACTGATCGCAAGGCATGTGTCGTGCTAATTTCAGTATCTTGTCGCCATCGCTCATACTAGCAATTTGAGGAAACAGCTCATCCAATGACTCTGGCAGATCGGTGGACATCATGATTTAATACATTAAGAAAGAGAAGAGACTATGAAGCTTTGAATGATTTGCTTTTTTAAATTTTAAATTTTTTGCATTTACAAAAGATGTTCCCCTTATTTGAGCTTATAATAGAAACGTCATCATACAATAAGGTTGGAATGGATAGATGTCCGAATTAAGCTATTGACACTTGTCATTGATGGTCCACAAAGGAAACAATACTCTGGAGCAGAGTTTAGCGATGCCATTGCATGCTGAAAACGGCTAAGAATGCCAGGCATTGACATCTATGGCTCATTAATTCAACAGGATCGGTGCCAGATCATAACATATCATATCATGACATGTATATAGTAGATGTAATGCATTGCACTTTACATTTCAATTGAGCAAGAAATCAGAGTATACATGCCCACAGATGCTATAAATAGGTATAATTGGGATTGATATAGCTCAAAATCTTACAGAGATGCTAGCATCCGTTGTCAAATCTCATTTTAAATTGTAAGACCAATATTCGCATCATTCAAATGACAGTGTCTTCGGACTCATCATCAAACAGGCACCAGCTCATATGAAAATATGCTGACTATTGCATCCTGCCACCATTCAGTCCATAGACTACAGCTTCATTCTGTATCATAGAGCAAAGTGATTGATCTGATTCTATTTCATTTGGTTTACTGACAGTCACCCAAACACCCTTCCATTATGTTTAATTCACAAAGTTTTTTTGATCACATTCTTCAAACTGATCACACATTCAATATGGTCACCAACAAGCGTAGAAAGGTAGGCAACAGCTATTTAGAGTCTATTGTACTTGAACTAATGCAACACTAGATGCGACCCAACAATGTGATTGCGTTGGAAAGAGCTAAAACAGAGAATTTATTGAAAGAATCCAAGCAACAGAAAAAGGAAAAGGTGTATATCTCATCATTTGGATACACTCCATAAGACTAATCATGCATCAAACGCAGAATGTATCACAACCCAAAGCACGCTTATCTGCCTCAGACTCTGATGAAACTGACAACGAAAGCTCCAACAAGCGTTCGCAAGCACCTAAAAGAAAAGCATACATCTCCAAGAGATCAAGCGCAGCAAAAGCACCAGAAGTCATATCTGCCTCTGATTCTGACGAGGCAGATACGGAACAACAGCCTACTAAACGAGCCAAGCAAGAGCTTGTACAAGAGAACACATTCTTGGATGCTACCGATAGAGTCAACTCAGCGTCCGATTCAGATGAGACAGGCGATGAGCACATGGTTAAGCCGGAGCCAGCATCTTCAGAGAGCAAGGCACTGTCTACTCCCTCATCATCTACATCTAAAGAATCAACAAAACAAAAGCCAGTAGTCAGACTCACAGCCAGAGCACCACTCCCACCTAAGACAAAAGAGCACATTGAGAATTCATCAGACGAGGAAGAGCAGGACGAACAAGAAGAAAGGAAAGAGGACCAAGAGGAAGACGACGAGACTGAGGCTGATCCCAGCACGGCCAGTGATGCCGCAACCACGCAGAGTACAGAATCGTCCATGGCCTTAAACGGCAAGTTTCGCGAGTCAGTGGTTCAGCGCAACCATCTTGTTGGAAACCGTTTATCTTTCAGGAGACGTGGAGAGTACGACGAGTCAAAGCCTGCAGCAGCAAATTTATTAAAGCGACTCAACGATTCATTTTTACCAAAAGTGCAAGAAGATATCTTTGTGTCTGATTCGGATTCAGAGCCTGACTCTGGTATAGATTACGATACATTTGACTTCCCTACTTGGCAGCGCACATTGACTTGGAACAGAAAGCCAGACGAAGATCCTTGGCCAAAGCAGAGAAGATTTGGATATTCTGACAAGCTGAAATTGGAGAAGAGAATCAAAAAGATCTGCAAGGTGAGTGTGCTGTTGATTAGACTTATACAGGGCTTACATAAATTGATACAATTTGAAATAGCGTGAAAACATGACATTTCACGAAGCTCAAGAGATCTTCTCAAGTGGTAAACGTAAAGAGCATATCAAGTTTTTCCAGAAAATAGCTGCTGTCTTTCCAAATATCCCGCTCTATCTATTAGCTAAAAGACTGAAAGAAACATATCACATCAAAAGGAATAGTGCACCTTGGAGCAAAGAGGAAATCGAGCAATTGGAGAACCTTATCAAGATACATGGCAACAATGCCGAGCTGCTGTCCACCATGATGAATCGATCCCCCAAGAATATCAATGATTTTATCTTTAATCACAAATCAGCGAAGAAGGCCTCTGCTAGATGGACAAAGGCTGAGGATGAGTTGCTGGCAAACGTGATGGCAAAAGAGAAAAAGAATGCTGCTGGCCGTGTCTCATTTCTGGCTGCTGAGTCCTTCTTTCCTGAACGATCACAAAAGCAGATATACGCTCGCTACTATAATATCCGTCATCGCATTCAACCTGATGGAACACTTGTTGACAACAGAGCTGCAACACCAACGGAACAATTAGAATACCTCAAGAGCCTGCTGAAGCAAGTAAATGACCATGATCTGATTGAAGAGTCGCAATTGGATTATGCCAAGGAAAGAGGTTTCGTGTAAGTCTTTTTTCTTATTTTCGCTGTTTCTTTGATTTTGAACTTTGTTCCTTGGTAGAAAACCTAGCTTTTATTTAAACGGCCGTGCAAATATCAAAGGGTTTGAGAAGATGGCCATCAAAGGTAATAGGGTGCGTTTTTGGAGCTGATTCCATTTGATTAACATTTTTTGCATGAATCTAGATATATTGACTGAATTGATCCGTCGCCAGGAAAAAATTATGGAGTCTCGCAGTGAAGAAGGATTATTGTAGTAATGATAAAATAAACCCAGTACATATGATTATACTATGGTGGTGATACCAACATGTTGCATTTGGAGATTTGTGCAAGATAAGCCACTAAATGAGTAACATGAATTTAAATCGCCCTGTATAAATGGAGTTTTCTATTCAAATGCTTGTAAAACATGTATAAAAGAGAGACACACAAGATCTAGATTTTTTCCCTCTCTCCATCTACATCTCGTTTTTCTCTTTTAATTCTTCAAAATCATTATGGTTGCCAAAATTGCCAGTCTTTTAGCCATCGCCACTGTGGCCATTTCCTCTGTCGCTGCTCAAGCACCCACCACCAACTTGATCAATGGTCAATGTGTTACTACTTATGATGCCTCCATTGATTATTTCCCAGAGAAGTTGAACACCAATGATGATAAAGCTACTTACTTTTCAATCGAATATCACAACAATTACAAGGTCGTCAAGAACAGTCGTACTGGTCGTACCTATGTCTTGGTTCAATGTGGTACTCCTGCTCCTACTGATGTCAATAATGCTACCGAAATCTATCAAGTGCCCATCACTAAGGCTGCTGCCATGGAAACTACTGTTGTTCCTTATCTCGAGGTAAGTTGGATTTGGCATTGTGAAGGAAAGAGAGAGACTTTATGTATTCATGCAATGTTCCCCTCTCGTAAATTAGATGATTGGTGCCGCTGAGAGTATTAAGCTCATTGCTGATGGTAGTTTAGTCTCATCCCCTTGTTTCCAAAAATACTTGAACACTGGTGATATTGCTCAATTGTCTGCTACCAACGAAACATTGCAAGCTGAGCAAATCAAGAATGTTCAAGTGCAATTCGGTGCTAATCCTTATGAAACTGTTGCTGATACCAACAACACTGTTACCACTGCTCAAACCTATGAGCCTGATGTATTGGGAGTAAGTAAGCAAAGAAAATAGAGGCATTGGATGTTCCTAACACAGTCTCTAAGCGTGCTTCATGGCTCTCTTACTATGCTGCATTCTACAATCTCGAATCCGTTGCCAACAATCTCACTAAAAACATGACCGACAACTACAATCGTCTCAAAGAAGCTGCTTCTCACTATTCCACCAAGCCTATTGTTGCTTGGACAACTTATGACGCCCCTAGCCAATACAACAATAACACTGCTAGTTATATCCTTAGTGAAGCATCTTACAAGGTGGGTCTCACAAATGATGCAGGTAAGTTTTTGTAATTGTGTGATAGTGAAAGAGGTGAATAAAGACTCATACATGCTCTTTTTTCAGGTGCTACCATGCTGAACGCTTCTTCGACCTCTTTTGCCTCTGCTGCTGACCTTTTGAAAGCCATTAGCAATGTCGATATCTTGATTGATGAGACTTTCATCGGTTCCAACTTGACCGCCTTTTTGCAAAATTACAACATCAGTGAAGCAGATCAATCCAAATACAAGTTCTTGACCAACAAGAAGGTGTATCGTGAGGACGGTATCTTGACCTCTTCGGGTGGTTATGATTGGTTTGAGGCTCCTGTTGCCATGGCTGATGCTTTGTTGGAAGACATGATCAATGCTATTAACCCTAATGCTCCTTCTGATAGTTACAAGCGTAACTGGCTTCGTAACATTGTGCTTGATGAACCTATCAAGACTACTACTGAAAGCAACTGTTCTTGGGCTGAAGATTCTCCCAGACCCAATTTGGCTACGCAATTCAATGGAAACGCATTCACCTTGTCTAGCAGCTCATCATCTGGTACTCACAAGGTCATGACCTTAAACATTGCTGGTGCTTTGGCTGCTGCTGTTGCCACTTTAGCCTACCTTTCTTAATCTAATTTATAATTATTAACATGATATGAACGGGTTCTATCATTATTTATCCTATAAAATTTAATAAATATACACATCTTCTCTCTCAGTACTTGGTCTAGTCCTTTACAAAGTGTTCAAGGGCATAATATTGGGAGTAGATAGCATTCTCACAAACTAAAGTCATATGTAACTGTAGATTTGGTTCTTTTGCGGTGCTCCACGTTTGTATCAATGGGAAACAATCGTATACAGAGTTATAGCAGCATAGCGTTATTGTCTCTTACTGTCCTGGATAGTGCAAAACATAGCAAAATCTGGATACATTTGAGTCGCGTTTTGTGGCGTTAAAACTAGATTTAGGCCGCCTTAATAGCACCAAATAATTGCTTTCACTTAGTACTTACTTCTAGGCGCCTTTACTCAATTTTTTTGGGACCAAAAAAACAACGAAAATCGACCAAAAACCATGAGGTACTCCTCATGGTTTTCATTAAAAATCAAACGATCGCGTTTTTCACCTTGATAATGAAGACTTTTACTATGGTGTATATTTAATCAAAATGTCTCTATCGAACCAAAGCAGCCTCTGAAATCATCTTTGTGGGACTTTGATATGTAAAACTTCGACATTTTGGCCAGAAACCTCTTTTCATATTTTCATAAATCATTTGATAAGTTTATTCAAATCATCTATTTTACTTGGTACCATTGGATGCGCCTTGAAAAGTACTCCAGGAAAGCTTAAGGAAGCATGAGGTGATCATCATATTTTACTTAGTCGAATCTGCAAAAATAGCTCAATCGAGTTCGAAATTATCAAGATTTGTCCACTCTGGAATAGACTATGATTTTGGGTTTGAATTGATTTTGGCTTGTGGGGCCAGCTGGAAAACTCAATGCCCTTTTCATACTGCAATACAGTAGTAAATGCCCTTGAAGCGTATGGAATGTAGGTGGCAGACCATAACACTATCGTTTATAATGATATTTTATTGTATTCTATATCGTTCATAATGACATTTTCTTGCGTTCTATATTTTATAATGTTAGTCTGGACATTAACGATTCAAGGGCTGCGTAAGATGTCTGTAGTAAGTAGTGAACTATCTGAAGCTCCGAGACGTCATTCAAAGAGAACGTTGACAGCATTTAGCAGAGGAAAGAAGGTAGAACTAACAGTGGTTTTTGTTGATTGATTGTAAATCATTATCCACATATGAGCCAGGCCTAACAGATGCTTTGAAACTCAGTTTCCATATTAGGGGTGTAAAGTGCAAAAGGACTGAACATTTATGATATTAATGTCCCTGGTGGTAGGGCGAAGTGGTAGAACTCCCGTATGCCAACGGGAGGATCCCCGGTTCAAATCCTGGTGAACGCAAGTTGTTTGATTTTTTGACGTAGTACTGATGTCCTCGTTTGGTGTTTTGTACTCTTATCCATTATCTATTTTTGACGATTTCCGCAAGACTGTACCGGCTCTAGGAGTCGCACCTAATTAGTAGTAGATTTCTTTCCCAACTTAGTTCAAAATATCTTATTCCCCTTCATTGCAGACATTGGGTCCACCAACAGTCTTTTCTTTCCCTCAGTATGACATTTTAAGGACTTTAAATAAAACCTGGAGCTCGACTCCCCTACAAAAAAAAATTTATGATATTAATCCAAAAAAATGATTGTATCAATTCAGGGCAGCCCCTGAAGCTATTTTTGCGACACTTTGATATGCAAAATCTCAACATTTTAGTCAAAATAGCTATTTCATTTTTCCAAAAGTTCCTCAATAAATTTATTCAAAACAGTTATTATAATTAGCACCATTGGATGCGCCTTCAAAAGTGCTCCAAAAAGCTTAATGAAGTATGAGATATCCATTACAATTGGGATAGTCAAATCCTGCAAAATAGGTCAAATAAAGTCCAAAAAGTTTAGATATCAACAAATCAAAATAAAATGACAAGCGGTGATTAAATCGATTTTAGCTTATAGGATTAGTGATGATAGAGCAATAGGTGCTGCTGGACACTGCCCTCTCTGGTCGACGAAATCTTTCCCAATTACACACTCTTCTCTAGGAACTCCAGATAAAATTCTTCAATCATCGATGCAGTGAAATCAGGTCTGAATAGATTTCACAAAAAAAAATAAAGCAATAGTAAAATACAATAGAAATCAACTGTATTCTATTTGTGTATAAAATGAACTGAAGATCCTGGAATTGAGTTAAAAAAAGAAGACTATTTATACATTTGCAACTAGCTTGTGGGATTAGTGATGATAGAGAGCAATAGGTTCTGCTATTGCGATATCTGGCAAATGTTGTTGACGTTTGATTTAAAGTGGTAATCAATGCAAGAGCACTGGCCATAAGGGTCGATTTGAGTAACCTTGATGGGCTTGGGTGAGCTATCGTCATAGCACGATTTAATGTAACCTTGATGGTTTAAAGTGTAATGTTTGTTATTGAAGTATGGAACCCTTTATTTGGGATATTGTGCAACTATGGCAGCGGGGCATAGCTGTCATATTTGAGTACCTTTGTTGTTGCTTTGATTTGATTTGATTTGATTTGATTTGGATAGAGATAACATCACCTATTACGATCATCATAGGTGTGATTCAATATGTGGGATACATCCACTCTGATCTGCATTCCGACAGTTCATCCAGTTACCAGATTTAGATATAAACTGTATGTACACTGGATTAGATGTACGATATCGATTTATACTATAAGAAGATATGGACTTCAGATACGCTAGTACTATAAGATTCATATTATGTAAGATATAGGCTATAGATGGCACCACGGACATGGATGGCGCTATAGACGTATACTTGTATTCCGACATTGACTACGGATGTTCGTAATATTTGAATAAGCACCAAGATTAATGCATTATGAGTTTGTTGCTTCAGATATGCATTTTATGATCCACGCTATAAGGCACATACTTATATCAGTGATACTACTAGCTACAGATACATTATGTAATACAGACTTGTACTATATATGGGACATGCTATAGACATGCATACGATATGCTATAGACATGCCATATATCCAGGTACATGCTAAAGAGATGTATGCTCAGCGATATACACTCAGATATTGTGTACTATTAGTATAGACTAAGTAGACTGTACCTATCGGATACATGCTACTAGATCGATATCAATTATCCTTATACAAAAGATAGATCAGCAGGGTACTACTTCGGATAAGAGTCTAAATGTTCATCTAGGCAAAGCTAAATCATGCTTAGTTTGCTAGAGTTGTCTTTTAGCATGAATCAACATGAATTGATCTGAGTTGACTTATTTGTCCTCCCTAACTACTAGTAGAACTTTTATCCACTGTTAAAGTATATACGGTAGGAAGGATCATCTACTTGGCCAGTAGAGATTCTTCAGTATATTTTTACACCTGTCAGTTTAATAATAAATACACCTTTATCAACAAGTTGACTCTGTTGTTTTTTATATTCTTTTTTTCCGTGAATATAGAAGAGTTGATAAAAACCTCAAATTCCACAAAGAGTGTACAGGATATGGAGATTTGTGATGCCTGTAATGATATAGCCGTCTAAAAGCAATATTTTGAATCGTTGATATCCATGAAATATATAAACACCTCTTTCTTATCTATCCAAATGTAGCCTCTTCAGTCTATTTTGCAAAGAGATTTTGAAATCAAATAAATCTATAACCCGGCATTTATAGCTGAGGAAAAGGTATACAGTACTACTCCTTAAAGCATACAATACCGCACTACTATAGTTTTCAACAGTTATATCAACTGTCTGATGGTGGGTTGTCCAGAATAATACTGTTGTAGCAGCAACGCAAACACTGTGTTAAAGTAGTATTTATTATATAACTTTCCTTGCATAAATATATTTAAAAGACATTCCTCACGTCGAGTTATTATGCAATGGGTGCTAGATGAAACGCTTGTATCTTAGCGTACTCTCAAATAAAGAAGGCTCTAGATTGTATCTACTTTGCTACCCTTTTATTAAAGATATAAACTCATTATAGATGACAGCTTAATAGGAGATCAACTAGCTAGAATCCTTCGGCCCCTGAACCTCTGAGCCAATCAAATCGCTTAAAAACTCCGCTGACCTAAAAAAAATTTTGCGAGAGTTTCCCCCTGTTTTGATGTGAGGCAAAATTTTAAGCTCCGCTATATAGCAATATAGCCGCTGCTATCATCAAATTTCCCCCAGGTGCTAGAGCATGCCTTACTTACACCACCTAGCTTTAAATTCAGGCATTGAGACTCTCAATCATCACTAAAGTAAGTAGCGATAACCAAGTGGAGGCGGCCTATCTACCTCCTAGCCTCGGATAAAGTCTTGTTGAGCTTCAGGGATAGGCACATCCACACAACGTAAAAAAAAATTATGCTTCAACGAAACATAATAATAATATGATGAATTCGTAATAATAAGTCGATGATAATAATCAGTTGTCAACTGTATCTAAAACGAAAGCAAAGAGCTTCTTTATTACAGGGCATCTAGCTTGCTTAAATATGGTAGATCCCTGGTCAATGACTACTACGTTGAGATGGTATATAAATAGCAGGCCACTGGGGCCTTATGGATTGTTGGTATAGCTTGTTGAGAGGCCACCTAAGTCGGTATGTTTCATGTAGTGTAGGTGGATCTCGATATTTTGACATTGGGGAGATTGAATGTATTGTAGTTCCTGAGGCACCTGTGCACACACAATTGACTGGACTTGTAAACATAGATGTGATGTGATACGATAAACATCATCTATGCTGCTACACTGTAAAAGGTGGCTTGAGGAGAAAGTGAATGTAGCCTAAGATGCATGCTTGTATGCAACATAATAAAAGAAATAAGAAAAGAAAACACTACTATAGAAGTATAGTAGTACGTAGGCAAAAAAGGGATACTCACACAAAGTGAGTCAAAGAAACGTATAACAAATACAACATCAGAGACGTTCAGAACATCTCGTTGTTGTTGCAACAAAAATCCATACATGAGCAACATGCATGGTAATAGTCGGATGTAAAGCAACACAACCAACAAAAGAAGAAGAAAAACGCAACAAAGTAAACACATCATGAATGCATTATCATGAGAGAGGAAGCAATAATACAAGCGTTCAAAGAAGTTTTATATTATTGCGACCAGAAGAAAGAAGATACTTACCACTTACCACCACCGTAGATAGACCAGAGGATACTCAATCACCGAATATAGGCCAGAGAACGAGCATGAATCAAAGACAGTAGACCAGGAAAGACCATATTAGCAGCAGCAGCAGCAGCAGCAATACCAGCACCACAGACAAACCAAAGAACGAACGCCATTAGCAGAGACCAGACAAAGACCAAAGAAGTCGATTACCACTTACCACCACCGTCGATAGACCAGAGAACGAGCAAGTACCAAAGACAGTAGACCAGGAAAGACCATATTAGCAGCAGCAGCAGTAATACCAGCACCATAGACAAACTAAAGAACGAGCGACACCAGAGAACGAGCATGAACCAAAGACAATAGACCAGGAAAGACCATATTAGCAGCAGTAACACCAGCAGCGGCAGCAGCAGCAGCAACACCAGCATCATAGACAAACCAAAGTACGAACGCCACCAGCAGAGACCAGACAAAGACCAAAGAAGTCAATTCCCACTTACCACCACCGTCGATAGACCAGAGGATACGCAATCACCGAATATAGACCAGAGAACGAGCATGAACCAAAGAGAGTAGACCCGGAAAGACAATATTACCACCACCACCACCAGCAGCAGCAGTAACACCAGCACCATAAACAAACCGAGGAACGAATGCCACCAGCAGAGACCAGACAAAGGCCAAAGAAGCAATTACCAGACATGATAAACCAAAGAAGCAGGCAGCAGAGATGACAGAGAAGTAATGGCAGCAGCATTCACTCAGACAAGCAAGAAACTATTAAAACCTAGTAAACAAACTGAATTAGTGTTAATTCTACGCCTTCCAGTGCTCGTTATCGAATAGTATCTAATATATTCCACTTTAAAGAAGCAGTATCAAGTTCTTCCAACAGTACAAGACAAAGTTATCGGAAGCTAGAGTGTTATTATCAATCAAACGATGTCCAAAACCACCATGGTTTGATATTAAAACGCGTTTTGCAAAATGGGTAAAAAATGGGTGCATGGAAAAACGAGAGGGCACCCTATCCGACGTCATGACCAGTAGATTTAGTCTCAGCCTTGTACTGTAGCAGCATTAATTGCGGCAATTTAATTTGAAATTGTGCAGCAGTGGTATTTTCGTGTTCAAACTTGACTTAATCTCACATCCTTGAAACGTTTTTGCTAAATTTGACTATGAAAACTGTCGTTATCACACCCAACTTTCTTGTTGTGCCAGAAGGGCTACAACTGTCTATAAAGATTAAGGTATTCTTGATGGGTAGATATGTCTGTGTTGTGCAACAACATGGACAAGCTATGATAATTGAAGTGCATCTCAGCTATCTAAATACTGAGGTTCACCAGATGTGATAAGCGTTGTACAAGATAAATTGCTAATTTGGCATTCAGAACTTAGTATAAATAGAATAACTCTTGTCTTCATCAATAAATCTTTAGTTTTTGTGTCTGATCTTATTCAAATAAGTCTTTTCTTGTTTTTATAATATCGAATATTTTTTATAAGCTACAAATAATAATCCATTTATTCTTTGTGCTTAACAGAGTTTATCTAATAAATCTTCATACAAATAAAAAAAAATTTCGGCTTGATTGAACTCTTTGTGAGATTCAACTATATGGATTGTGAAGATCACCTTCGCTTCCTAATACATTCTTGGAGTACTTTTCAAGACGCTTCCAATGGCACATATTATAATACGTGCTTTGAATGAAACTATTGAGCAATTTGACACAACATGAAATGAGGTTTTTAGCGAAAATAGCCATATTTTGTATATGAAAACCTCATAAAAGTGGCTTCATAAGTTGCTTTGGATCGAGAGAAACATTTTGATGTGATATATACCGTAGTAAAAGTCTTCATTTTCAAGGTGAAAATTGCGATCGTTTGGTTTTCGATGAAAACCATGAGGTACCCCTCATGGTTTTTGGCTGATTTTTGGCCATGTTTTTTTTTGGCCCAAAAAGTTGAGCAAAGGTGTCAGGGAGTTACTATTACTCAAGTGCAATTGTTTGGCGTCATTGCGGTGGCTCATGAAGGTCTACATGTCAAGATAGGAAGGCTTGAAAGCTGTCAAATTTGGTTATGTATTGCTTTATAGGGTTTATTTACACGACATAAAACACATCTTTGGTGGCTACAATTTACTGGAAAGGCCGCTTTGTAGCTTAAGCAACTTTTAATTCCAATAGGAGGCATATTAATTTTGGTACAGCTGATTCATGCAAGTTTTGATGCGCCATGTTGTTGGTAAGCTTGATAATAATGGGAATGAAAATCCGAATTTGCTACTTGAATACTATGGTTTTTCACCTTCGCTTCGCTGCGATCAAGCCCTCGTATAGATCAATGTTACCAAGTGTTGGATTAGATGCTTAGTTGTCATAAATTTTACACCTTTGCTTCACTACGGTAACCCCCAGCCCCCTCCCCATTGTCGGCTTCTCCGGTGTAGAATATTATTTGAAAGAATGTGATTGGCCTGTCTATTTTTAAAACGTGGTTTTCCAGTATATATAGTGAAGAAGTGAAGATGGTAAATTCATGCAATACCATATGCACTGGGCCATTTGTGCAGATAAGTTCAAGGCATTGGAGCATTTGATGTTTCTCCAGAAAGTAATACAAAAGCGGAAATGTGTTTTTAATGAGCTTCTGAGTCATTGTGAATGCATGAACCACGCTAAAGCGTGACTAAGAAACCATGATGTTAAAAAAGTATATAAACAGGGCGCTGTGCCATCATTTTTCGCCTTGTAGCAACCAACAACATGTCTGCATCAAACGTATCCTACCAAGGAGGCACTTACTCAAAGTTTAGACCTAGCTATTCTGATGAAATTTACTCTTTAATTTACAAATACCATGACCAAGACAATGGTGAATATAACCTTGTCATTGATTCTGGCACTGGCACTGGACAAGCCGCTGTTGAATTATGTAAAAAGTTCAAGAGCGTGTATGGCATTGATACTTTGCCTGAGCAGATTAATAATGCTACACTCAGAGACAACATAACGTATCAAGTAGGCCCAGGCGAGGACTTGTCCCAATTTGAAGATCACTCTGTAGACATGATTACTGTAGGCACTGCCTTTCACTGGTTTGATCATGACAAGTTTTTCACAGAAGCAAAACGTGTCCTGAAGCATAAAACAGGCACCTTGGCTATTTTTGGGTACTATTACCCTGTTATTTCTAATGAACCTAAAGCAAATGAGCTTGTAAAGGAACTCTTGGACAAATTTGAAAAGTACACGAACCCCAATATTCGATTCGTTCGAAACATGTATCGTAATATTGCCTTTCCCTTCAAGGAACAAGCTTGGTACATTACACCAAAGTTAGAGGACACAACCAACATCAGTCTACCCACTACTGGATCCCTGATGGAAGCATCAATGACCATAGAGAACTACCGCCACTACATGAAAACTGCATCTGCTTATTTCAACTACATGGAGGATCACCCCAACGATGACCCTGTTGACCAGTTGGTTGATGATATCATTAAGACACTCAATATTACAGACAATCAACATATCATCAACCTGGAATGGCCCACAGCTTTAGTATTAGCGAGAAATGATTAGAGATAATGCAAGCGAAATAAATTTATTAATGAATCATGAATAATAGTAAATAATGGGATGAGTTGTAGTGAAATGTTAGTGCAAGTTGTGTTATATATATTATGCTTGATGTTTCTTTTCAGTTACATGAAGGCCGGTGAGGTCCATTTCATCAATAACAACTGGAGAGCTGTCTGAGCCAGTCATTGTGCGAGTAAATTGCAGGAGACGGAGTCTTCGTACGAGGATGTCATGCATTTGAACTCGTCTGTTGGTATTTGACATGTTGTGAGCGTGTAGCAAGACAATAAGCAGGAAGCCTTCGATGATCATAGTAGGTGTATTACAGAGCAATTGACCTGTTGTGTTCCATTGCATACCACTAGCGACGCAGATGAGACCAATGACCACCACGAACGAGAAGAGAACTGCCAAAGGATGTGCGCAGATATCTCCCATCTTGTTACTCAATCTCTCACTGAAAGATCTCTCTTTAAAGTTGTTTTGCTCAGGAAGATACAAATTGAGGTATTGGAAGATAGCTTTGTCGTTGTCAATGAGGACGTCAAACTGCTCATCCAAAAGCTTATCCTGTCTGAAATACACATTTCGCAGCACAAAGCCATCCACAAAGCCCACCAAGCCAGTATAGGTTCCGATCTAATAAGCTTGTTAGCAAACATCAGAGGCAAAATTCCATCATTTACAAAACTTACAATTAACCACCATCCATCGCTGAATTCCATGACATTTCCAATAGCAAACCAAGCGATAAATACACAGACGGATATAAAGAGACCTAGACCGGTTCCAATAACATCTCCGTAGTAGTCAATGATACGAATGCCGCGAGAAACAGGGTGAGGATGAATAGATACGATAGGATTAGGCGTGTTATCACCAGATGTCTTTCTTAAACGTATCTCTAAATTGATATCGGCTTGTTGAATAGATTTGAGGCATTTTTCAAGATAGTTCATGTGTCTACGACGAGTATTCTGTAAGAACATGGAGGTAAAAGTAAGCTCTACAGCAACACCAGTGTTGATATAAAGTTGCCATTCATCACTGAATCCTAGAGAGTGGCCCACACCAATCCACGCAAATATGCCACCCATATATACAATCAAAGCCCAGAGAGAGCCAACAGCATTAGAAGCCCAATTACATATCTCGTCGTAAGCGTTCTCTGTGGGTAAATTGGCAGCATCACCGACGGAATCTTCAGGAATCTTATTTGCGAGATCGTTTAATTCGCTTGAACTTAAGCTGGGATTGTTTGTTTGAGTAGAGCGTAAGAGTTTATCAAAAGTGGCACTTCTAGAGCGAAGTTGAGCAATGATGGTCAGTAATCTGTTGCAATGGTTTTGCTGTTGGCGCATTAAAAGCCTAATGTTATAAAGAGTCAGTTCTAATGCAAAATGATGGAGGTGAGTAAAGGACTTACGAGTCAGAGTAGTAGCATTGAATACTAGAGCCATCTTGCATAGCAATCTGCCATTCGTCAGGAGCGCCTAAAATACCACCAGCAATAGCCCAACCCACAAGGATAGCGCATGTCAAAAGGAACATGAGACTTGAACCAGCAAAGTCTGTCAGAAAGTCGAAAATTCGAGCACCAATTGATTTTCTATTAGCTTCATTGTAGATGGAGTCGTTGTTTGGTATATCGCTGCCAATGATGGCAATTTCTTGCACTGCATCGTCTGCATTCTTGTTGATAAACTGTGTAGGAGCAGCAGATTGAACAGTGAATTGTCTTCCAGGAGAGCAAAGATAATTGCCAATACACTCAAAGATGCCAGGCTTTTGTGTGATCTTTACTGTTTCCTGCTGAGACATACTTTCGAGTATGGAAAAGATGGGCCAGGTCAAAAAAAAAATCCCTCTAGAGTATTTATATATATTTTCGGCTAATAGCTTTACATTGTGCGTTTAAAGTACCTTTTCATGTCAAACATTCGGAGGTTGTATGAATCGACCAGATATAGTCTTATTATCGTTTTTTTTTCTGTCAATCATCGAAAAGCGAAATGGAACATTTGAGACACAAAAGCTAGTGGCTTTTTCTGTTTGACATTTGATCAATATTGTGGGCTAATGTATATCGTTACAAAAAGAAAAGTACTACCTGGATTTAGAGTTGTTGGTTTCATGTTTCAGATTGACCAATTTTTTTGTGGGATTTTACTGTGATCTTAAAGTTATCTAAGGCCAGGACAAAACTTCTTACAATGGTTGGTACTCACTTCCTTGCTGCCAAAGTTACATGTAACTGTTTGTTAAACCTTGGTTAAAACTGTTGCCACGGTTACAAAGCAAATGGTAGCAAGTTCTCGTTACTGTAACCTACAAATGCCAACCACAATCAGACGTCTCAACATTGACCATCAGCTATCTTATGATAAACACACTACGCATGAAAACGATACGATTAAAAGATCTCTCTGTAGTTGAATCTAGGCGTCTTCATTTGGCATCTACTCAACAAACTACTAATCCCTCCAAAGACCTTGTTCCTGATTTAGGCACCTTGTCGTTGTCAAAACATTGTGAAAACAGCCAATCAGCAACCTTTTGTTCATACTACCAAGGGGCGGAGGGGTAGCGATTTCCTCTTTCATAGCGCATCATCCTAAAATTGAAACTCGTACCACAATACTGTCATTCTTAATATACAGTGCCGTGCTTGTGCCTCTTGGTCAGATTGAACATGAGAGCAGAGCAAGGGAGATTTATTGATTGCATTCATTTTTCATCCTTTTTATTAGATAGCATATTACGCTTGAACGACTATTAGATCGGGGCATGCCGTCCTTTGAGCTGCATTGATCAGTAGGCATCGTTCGACCATGGTCAGTTTCACTTCTGTTTGCGTTTTTTAAAACGCAAGTTTGGCGTAGTGAGATTTGTGTATCTTGTGCAAGTGAACATGGTACATTTTTCCTCTCAAATTACACAGTCAAGCATGCGAATCATGAAAACATGTATTAGAGTGAAATACGTACCTTCTCGAATAATAATTTCAAAAAACCGTTGAAGTTCTCATCAGATTCAAGTCAAACCAGCTCCAGCACTGATAGTTCTAGTAGAATATATCCAGAATCGTTCTTTAAAGGTATTCTGCATTATCTCAAAATGCTCGGACTGTACCGATAAATTTTTATGTACCTTTACAAGACAATATTGCAGAATGGATACTATAATAGCTATTTTTGCACTCGGCTCTTATCACAAGATATTCAATTTTATCAGATAATCTCATAAAAAAGGTAAGATACATTTGGAGCAAAGTAAATCATCGCCTATAGCATGTTTAACCGCTGTAGTCTAACTTTAATTCTGAAACAAAGCTCGATGATCTTAATCCTCTTTCCTCTTCCGTGGTTTTTCATTCAAGTAAAACGTCCTAAAATAAAATAATCAGAATGCAAGTTAATAGGAAGGTAATGAAAAGTTCCTTTTTAGTTTAATTTTGATATTGGTAAGATAATCACTGTCAAACTTTTGCAGTCAATTTGACAACTTGATAGTGCGAAAATATCGCTCTTTGTTGAAGCATTATTGGCCCAATGTACTTTTTATTCTGGCTTATATAAGCCTGAATGAAACATTTAGAGAATTCGATGAGAGTTCGAAGGCTGAATATCGATCTTCTAAAGTAGTATAATATCACATATATTTGTTTGAATTCAGGTCCACACTTATCGTGTATTTTTTGAATTAAACTACTTCACATATATTCTGATCTAATTCATTTATGTAAAATTCTATCTTGCAGAATCTAGAACTATCAAGTTGTCATACAAACGAACAAGCTGGCAAGTCCTAATGCCACATTTTATAAAATACGCTTCATGCATAATTTATTTGTAAACAAAAAAAAAAAAAAAAAAAAAAAAAAAAGACAGAAATTTATTTAGAATCTATTGCTTACAATAAGAAATCTTGTCAGATCCCTTCAGGTTGTTGCACACATTCTTGGTAGTCTTGGAGCTCTTTGAGATGTTGACATTGCTGACAGAGAAACCAGAACAAGGAGTACCAGGAGCGCAGTTGATACTCATGATAGGGTTCTTCTTTTCAGAGACAGAGCTGTTTGTACATGATAAATAACTATGGTCGTATAATTTATAGAAGTACTGTGAGGTACTTACCCAGTAATGTCATTGATGACAACATTGCTGATGGTCAAAGACTTGTCAGAGTTCTTTTGGCAGTAAGACTTTTGGTTGTTATCACAGTAGTATTCGTCAATGATGATGGGATTCTCGACCTTGTTGAGCTTGACATGCTCGAAACGAACATCAGAGACGCTACCCTTTCCCCCACTCCAGGTCTTGATACGGATACCGTTTTGGCAATTGGTACAAGTGCTGCCAGTAACTCTGATTTGCTTGACAGTTTCAGTAGAGCCACCCTTACCGAGAGAGCCAACACTGAAGCCATGGCCACCGACACAGTGAATGTTGGATAAAGTAACGTTGGATACACCACCATTGATGGCGGTACAATCATCACCAACAGTGAGATCAGAATCTCTAAAGATTAAGTTCTTGGAAGAAGAAATGTCGAGAGCATCGCTATAAACCAAGGTTAATATGGTTGATATCAATTAGTGAGTCCAAAACTTACGTGTTCTTGGGGAGGTTGCTGTTTGAAGACTTGGTATATAGGACGACTTTTTCAAGAACGACATCATCAGAGCTGGTCAAAGCCATGTGGGCACGAGGAGCAGCAGTAATCTTGAAATCTCTGAAAACAGAGTGCGTTGCAGTCATTCTAAAGACGGTGGGAGCCTTGTTGTTCTTGACATCCCACCATTTTTGACCGCCACCAACAAATTCACCAATACCAGCACCATCCCAATGAATGTTATCACCGGCAATCTTGAAAAAAGCAGTGGCACCTTCATATTTGGTGTTGAGAGCAGGCAAGTTAACTTTACCATAGAATTGAACATTGACATCCTTGAGACCAGAGATATTGATCAACGTCTTGAGATTATAAGTAGCGCCTTTGGTGAAAACGACGGTGCCGCCGCTTTTACAGGAATTGAAAGCTTCAGCAATGCTGACAGCATCGTCAGAGGTGCCTGACTTGGCTGTACAAGTCTTGGAAGCAGCTTGGACAGAAGTTGCGAGAATAATGAATGCGAGAGCGGCAGAGAGAGAAGGAATGTAAGCCATTGTAGTAAGGCGGAAGCGTTTGATGTGAAACTGCTTAGAGCATTTGATGTTGGCGTATTTATACTTTTTTCATATTTTTCATCCTTTACCTGGTATCACTCAAGTTTGCATATGCTTGAATATCTATAGTTACATATTGCAGGAAAATAGGATTTTTACTGTTACGGTATGACAGACGTAAAAAACCGCGGCTATGTCTACAAAGTGTCATTTAAATTAATTTATAATTTACTTTATGATATGCGCATGTTTGCGTCTTTACGATCAGAGATCATTGATAGAGATGCATATCTCATATAACACAAACATTGATCTGATTACTAATTGCTTTCTGCGCTGTCAGTTTCTTGTCATGAATTATGTACGCCACACACAACAAGCACGTTCTAATAATCAAAGCAGTAGTTATTGCAATATGGTATGATGTTGCCATGGAAACACACACACACACACACACACATATACACATTTTTTGTTTTTGTTTTATTTACATTTGGTTGCTATGTGGATTACGTAAACGGGGGATATTGAAAGTGATTGGGATAAATGTATAAAGAATACATAGCAAGAGGCTCTAAAATGGTTTGAATATATAAAAAAGAAACTTAGGTATCCTTGTTGAGTTTAGGTCGGCCTCTTCCTTTGGATCCCGGCGTGTTTGCTTTTCGTCTAGGTTTCTTTTTTTCTTCTTCCTCGATGCCTGTATCTTCGAATCCGTAAAAGCTCTTTGTTTTTCTACTGCCTCTTGTATCTGAAGAATACATTTTCCATTCACCAATCAAGCCTTCTCGCACATTGTCCTGACAGATCCAATCCAAAATGTCTGTGGCATTTTCACGATCCTGGGGTCTGGTTTTCAAGCATTTCAACAGCAATTGGCGACTCAATTCACCATGGACTTCTCCTTCTAGGGCTCTCTGAATGCGATAATCATCCTCAGCTACGTAACGCAAACCCTGCAAATCTGTTTCCAGAATGCCACGCCATGGTTCTGTGTCTGTGAATACTTTCCAAATCATGACGCCGATTGAATAAATGTCTTCAGCCTGTGGGTGAATCAACCAAGGAAGTACCTGGTTGTCGGATCTTGTCTTGGGTAATGTTTGAATAGATCTAAAAAAAAAAAAAAAAAAAAAAAAAAAAAAAAAAAAAAAAAACGGTAATATTAGAAACGCAATTAAAGCCATCTATATTGATCCCATTACCTGTACATGCGGTAACCGTGGTCTGGCTTGCCCTTGACCCAAGGCAGGGACTCGCACCATGCATCCAATTCTTCCTTGGTCTCAGGTACGACATCGCCATCATATTCCCAATCCGCTCGAGGTACATCCACAAACCAATCGCGCACGTCAGTAGACTCACAGAATACGGCTTTACCAAAATCAATCAAATACAAATACACCTTTTCGCTGCCATCTTCCAAGAATTGTCCCTCCAATGTATTGAGCATAATGTTGACTTCTGACAAATCTCTATGCGCGAGCCCAGCTTTGTGGATGGTTTTCATACACAGCAGCATCTGATAAATGACATCGTACTTTTGGTATGCTGATAAACGATGATGCGAATGAACATGAGCGTATCTTTTGAGTGTAGTTTGGTATCTATTGCGAGAGTTAGTCAGCTGTACTTGACAGCTACTCGTGATGCCTACCTTTCCATGGATAAGCCAGCAACATCGCCATTATCATTGAACAAAATCTCTCTCATTTGAGCCATGTGAGGTAAATTTCTCAATTTCCTGTCAGAACGACATCCCCTATTAATCTCATTTCCAAGCAAGTAATCTATTCCAAACTTACATTAAGCATGCCACTTCAGTTATACGCTGATACATGGTCATTTGTCTAAATGCCTGTACCACGATATTGTCAAAAAAGTAGACTCTCTTGAAGAAACCCTCAGAATCAGGTGAATTCCAGTTGATGTTTCCATGTGATGTGATGTTGCGAATCGAAATGCCTTTACGAGTGCAGACTACCATACCATTACTATTAGAACACGCTCATTACATACACACACATAATCAACTGCCTTACCATCAAACAACTTTCTCCACACTTCGTGATTCACCTCTCTTGTGCCTAGACGCTCCTCGTTTGAAATAGTGGGTATATTTGACTTGCTGATCTGCTGCGACTTGACATCGATCGATTTAGGCGAGGGCTTCTCATCATCAGAACCTTCATCTGCTTCCATGGCCTCTTCTTCTTTTGTCTTGAGCATGCGCTGCTGAATAATGGGTCGGTGATCGTCACCTTTGACAAATGTATGCAACTTGATGATGGGCTTTGATTTAACGGGTGTCTCTGGTATATCAATGTCGTGTTTCTCTGGCAGTCCCAGAATTTGTCGCACGATGCGCTTTAACAAAATCTTGGTTTCTGCATTGTGATGTCCATTCTTGTCATCGGTAGCCATCTTGGCTGTAGCAAACATACGTCTAAAGTAGTCTCGATCAATGTAGTCATTGGCTTCAAATGAAATGCGGTTGACTACTCGTAAGGGACGTAAATGAATCCAACCCTTGGGCGAGAAATCGACGGTGCATTCGTTGATCTGATCCAAGTCGTAAAATTCGCTTGCTGGGTAGGCTAATACCATGTCGGTTTCGATACGAATGTTCTTGCTGTGACGCACGCGGGTGGTTTTGGTGTTGTAAAAGATGGCCAATACGCCTTGAGAGCGCACTTGACGAAGCAGCGTGCGGTTCTTTGCAATGTAAAATCGAGGTACGAGGCGATGATTGCCATCCAAATCTGACTTCATCCGTTCAACAGCTTGGAAAAATGGACCATTCAATTGCAAGTAGAGTGAATTCTCGTCCTTCAATCCTGCTTTTCGGGCTTTGGGCTCTAGTGGAGAGAGAGCAGAAATTGTATATACAGTGCTTGTTTCTGAAAAGACCTGTTCTATGGGTGGATATGAAAAGTCGGATTCCTCGGGCAGTGTGTTTGTTGGATCAAACTGGAAATCGTGAGGACCGGATGCTGGCTTGTTTTTGCTGTGTGGAAGAGATCAGTAAGGTGTTGTACATGCCAAGTAAAAACAGACTTACGAATTCTGTCGCTTGATATCCATAACAATCTTTGTAAACAAAGACTCCAAATTCTCTGCGTGTCGTGGAATGGTGCCAGAACTTCGATGAAACAGTTTGGCATTCTTCCATATACGCTGCATGTCATTCTCAAATCTCGCAAACTTGGTATACTTTCCACGCCAAATGTTCTCTTCAATTGTGTATAGATCCATGGGATTTTTGATCTCCTGATGGTACAGAAAGGCTGTTTCAGGCACAGGCTGAATAAAGGGCCAGCAATCCGGCGTTGAGAGCAGCATATTGAGTATGTAGCGATACAGTCTCAAAAACAATCTTGTCACATTGTGAGGTGGTTCGTATCTGACATGTGTGAGATCAATGACGGTGTCGTCTGGTGAGGCTGATCTCTTGGTGCCGTCGTTGGCGGAGGTCTGTTCGTTCAGCACTGTATGGATTACGATATTCTTACTGCGAAGGCCGGCTACAATGAGCCGCTGAAAAGCCACCAGATCACCATTTGAGATTTGAGAGGCGAGAGTCTGTGCAACCTCTTTGTCACCCGAGGTACCCAGTACCATTTTCGTGATGACTTGCATGGCAGCAGCAGGCAAGACTTGGTGTGAATCCGTAGACAATGGCTCCTCAATGTCAACCTTTGGCAACTCTTCCAACGCTATATTGACATTCAATGTGCACAATGTAGCCACCGTGAGTTTTCGCAACGACATGATGTCCAGATCAGGCTTCATGGGATCTGTTGGATCATCAAATATTGTAGAATCCAATCCATGCCGAGTAAAGTGCAACTTGAGTTGAGGTCTAGGTGGAATGGCTGCTGCCTTCTGCGCAGCTGATTGTGTCTTTAATACAATGGTGGTGGCACTTCTCATTGGTGGTTGTGGTGGTGGAGGCTGTGCTAAGGGTCGCGGCTGCGGTGGAGGAGATGGCGATGCATTGATCATCATAGGCTCTGAGATAGAGTTGGGAGGATATGCTTGTGCTTGGCGAGGGTTGGGAATTTGGTATGGTTGCTTTGGTAAGATGTCTAGCTTTTGATGATGCGGTGACATGTTGAGATGTTGAAATGCTGGATTCACGGGTGCTATATTGCTTTTGTTTTGGAAGTTATTAGTAATGGTGGGTGGTGTAGAGGGTCGAATGGGCGTGCTGTGTTGCATTGGAGCCATTGGCATAAATGTATTTTGATGAGAAAAGAAGGGCGGCTGTGGCGCAGGTCCTGGTGTATAATATGGACCAGGACGACGTTGCTGTGGTTGCTGCTGCTGTGGTGGTGGTTGCACTTTATTGATGGGTGCCAGCGTGGGTGTGCCATGCTGAGGTGCTTGATGTGGTGGTAGTAGTGGGTGTTGCTGATGAGACGGTTGAGAATGCTGTGCCATGGACTGCGCAGGGAGCCCACGAGGTAAATTCTGCTGTCCAGGCAATGGCTGTCTAGCTTGCAAATGCTGTTGCAGTAACAGTGGACGTTGCTGAGGTTGCTGAAGTGCTGGTGGCTGCTGTTGTGCTGGTGGCAACGGTCTCTGCTGAAACTCTGATAACAAATGGGATGTCAATCTCTGACTGTACGTAGACTGAGGCACCTGTGCTGAAGGGTCGTTGTGAAGTGTCGATGGCTGCTGCTGTGTTGGCTGCTCGACAGGCACAAATGATGAAGATGCCTGTTCAATCTTTTCGGGTGACCTTGATCGTTTTCGATTGACCATTGGCGCGTTCATGGGAGGTGGTGATGATAACAGCATGTGCAATGAATTGTCAGGTTGTTTAATGTCGATAGCAGTGTCCATTGCTTGATGTTGGTGCATATCTAAAGAGTAAGAACAAATCAGAGATGTACGTTCGATGGCTGCTGTTCAGTGCTTACCTTGCATGCTTTCACGAAACAGTTTGTCCACCAAGTCATCGTCATCAGGCAAGTCTGAAGTGGATGTCGATTGATTAAAGTCGTTAAAAGGTTGCGAGGCATCGTTGTTATCAGATGCTGTTGGGATAAGAGGAGGCTCGAAGCCCATTTTCCATAATAATGGCATATTATCAACAAAACCATTCACTCCAACAGGGGAATCATTGTTTTCCCTCAAAGCCCAGTTATCCATGAACCCGTATTTTCTTCTGATTTATAGTTGAACAAGAAGGGCGTTGTTGTGTCTGATTTTTTTTCTGTACAGATGAATTAATAACTGATGAAAAAACAAATGCGTAGGTGTTGGGCTGTATGTCTACCTTGTTGTTTACTCTTTTTTTTTTTTCCTCCTTTTCAGATGGATGAAATAAGGGTTTTCCTCTATCAAATCAAATAAAGGAAGCAAAAGAAGAGGGATGAAAAAAAAAAAATATAGTGAAGAGAGTTGTACAGTTATTGAATTGTAAAGCAGCAAAAGAAGAAAAAAAGAGATAGTTTCTTGCAAAACCTAAACATCCCACACTTCCCAATGTTGAAATTTACACAACACAAGCGATTAATCAAACTATAATCTCGCAAGTGACGTAGCTCAAAAAAAAACTAAACATGTTACAAGCAGCATGTCGTGTCAATCGACTAATTTGGCATTTGGCACATTGGAAGAATTTTTTACCCCTTGAGCAAGCCGTGTGAAGCACATAATCAAAGCATATTTATTGCTGCATTGCTGCTCTACTTGTCACTAGTATTTTTTTTTGCTTTGACTTTGGGGCTTGCTAGATGTAATTGATTTAAAAATTTGTCTCACATCATCCTGCGCGTTGCCATAGGAATTTGACCTGCGACAAGTATAAGCCTGTTAGCTAGACGCGCTTGGCCAATCGATGCAACATCGAGTTACACGTCGTACTTAAATCTCTCCTACTAATGACAGATGAGTGGCCCTGTCTTGATGTATGAAAATCCATCAATTCATCAAACATCTGGATAAACAAAGAACCATAAGATACACTGAAGGCTCTCATGCCTAGTTTTGTCGAAAATTCAACACTGAAGCTTGCAATGAATACAGGTTTGAATAAAGTATCAAATACGCTCATTGACATGCCAAACATGTAGTCTAGATGTCAAGGCACTGCCATCCTACTGCTTTATACTGAAATTTCATTTTTCAGCTTTCCAACGTAAGCTGTGGGCACTTTATAGCAACCTGTAACTGTGGATCTGATTTGTCTACAGCGTTTCACATATGAATCAATGAAAACAATTGATATACTGGCAGACAGCATAGTAGTAAGGCCACTTGATGCTCAAATACATGCAAATTACTGCGAAATTTGGGTGCATTTGAGCTGTGTTTTCTCGTGTTAGAAGCCGTTCTAGACTGCCGGAATAGCAACAAACAATTGCTCTCGTCTAGCACTTATCTGCTGATACCTTCGCTCAACTTTTTTGGGATCGTCAGAAATCGACCAAAAAAGCATGAGGGATACCTCATGATTTTTACCAAAAATCAAACGATCGCGTTTTTGACCGCAAAAACAAAGGCTTTTGTTATGGTATATACTATATCAGAATGTTTCTCTCGATCCAAGGCAGTTCCTGAAACTTTGTTTGTGACACCTTCATAGGTAAAATCTCGACATTTTCGCCAAAAATCACATTATATATTTTTTCAAAATTGCTTCCTATGCTCATTCAGAACACTTGTTGTATTTAGTACCATCAGATGCGCCTTGAAAAGTACTTTTAGAAAGCTTAAGGAAGCACTGGATGTTCATCACATTTTTCATAGTCGAATCTGAAGAAATAGGTCGAACCTTGTCCAAAAAGTTTGAAAATCATCAAATCAAGACCTCATGTTAATCGGCGGTTTAATTTGTTTTTGTTCGCAAAATAATGCCATGCTCACTGATGGATGATTTTAAAGAGGATTGCCAATTGGAAAGGATTATAGCTTCGCTCAGGTACTTTTTCTTTTAATGTACACTCTCTCATTTTCAAGATTGACTCGGCGCTAATTGCGAATTCGAATGCGAATTCAATTGCGAATCCCCCAGATGCAAATCCAAATGCAAAGCCTAATATGAGACACAAACTTTGTTATCCATACCTGATTCCCGCATTGTTACACGCATTATGCAATTAGTTTGGTTTGAGAAATTTTTGAAAACTCTTAGTATCGCCTACGGATACCAATGCAGCAACACTGATCTGCCGTGCTGTACCTTTACCATGAAGAAGAGTTGCCAGAGACTCTAAAAAAAAGAACCATCAAAATATCAGGCACTTGAACCCAATCCATCATGGCAACACAAACCTGTCAGATGGACAATGAGACAAAACAAACAGAGGGAGACATGATTTCATAAAGGGGCTTTCATCTCTAATTTGGCATTTGGAGCAATTAAAGAATTTTTCGACCCCTTGAAAAATAAATAGAGAGTACAAAAAGAATAGGTTTCTCGTTTTCATCTTTCTCTTCTTTTTCCTCAGTCATCGATTTGTTCAGACATCATGAATGTATTACCTAATTCGAGAAAACTGAATGGCGTCTCACTGGTGGAGTACCTTCAAGAAGACAGCAATAGTATTGTAGCAACTGCAGCAGCGAATACAGAGGATCAGTCTGACTATCCCATTTATTTGACACAAAAGGAGCAAGAAGCCATTCTCAGGAAGAGATATCATCATAACAGCAACCACCATGGCAACGTCAAGAAGCATGCTGTATCCAAGGTACATTTACACATTATGTTATAACCAGTGCAACGACAAAGCAACTCATAATGGTTGTATTACATATATAGTCATTGAAAAGCTTTTTTATGAAACTGAGAGGTGTAAAGTATATCTAACCGAAAAGAGAATACAGCACACAGACTAACAAACCAAATGTTGCATGTTTCAATTTTAGACTAACCCTCCTCTGCAAACCACAATAAGCTTACACAATGAAAATAATAATCAATCCCTATCAGCACCTGGTAATACTCCTCCCTGCGCTTCTTGCAGCATAAACAACGTGAAAGAGAAAAGGATACTATCGCTGCATTCCAAACAGAGTTCATCACACGTTCGTATGAATAGACCCAAGAAGCAGCAGCAGAAAAAGGCGATATCAAAATCCACCACCACCATGACCAGAAACTACCATCTTCCCATGATCCAAAGTGCATCTGCTCACAATGGCACTTTCAGGAGATGCAATCGTCACACATTGGATTTCTCGACCATGGATTCAGGAGTCTTGGATCATCAGATTTTAAGAAGGGCAAACAGCCTATGCAACAGCTCCATCTATAGTACATTTACATCTCCGCAACAGATCAACACGACGTTTTCATCATCTTCTTCCAGTACATCATCATCAGCGTCATCAGCATCATCTGCAGCATCACTTTCTGTATCTAATTCCTCTTCCTCCTGCATAACGGATCACCACAAAGCTAGCATTTCCATTCTAGATGTTTCTCAGCCCAAGCAGCATCATGCTACGGAGAAGCAATCAATACAGCAGCAGCAGCATGAAGGAGCAATGAAACATCGATCGAATCAAGAAACATTGAAACTAGAGGAATCGCTGCAAAAACGATTATGGAACGAAGATGTTACTCTGTGCGCAAAAGAAGAGATTGCAGAGTTCCTTGGATCTCCCAAGTAATGTATACTTTTGCAGTATTTTAATTCCAATGATATTAATCAGTGCATGCATTCTAGGTCTTCAAGACCCAAGGTGCTTATGCTCTACATGAATAACTTTGATTTTGCCAATCAACGATTGGATGCTGCATTTCGTACATTGTGCGCTAAACTGTATTTGAAGGCTGAATCGCAGCAATTAGACAGAATCATCGAGGCATTTGCCAAGAGATACTATGAATGCAATCCAGATACCTTGCTCCACTGTTTCGATGTAGTGTATGCAGTTGCTTATTCTCTGCTGCTGCTCAACACGGACCTGCATGTTGTCAATGACTGGACCAACAAAATGACACGATCCAGCTTTATCAAGAACACGATGGAGACAATTCAGTCACTGGTATTCCCTCATTTAGCAGACACTACCAGCTTCTCGCAACAGAGAAAACGCCGTGCATCCCTAGTGAGTCACCAAAGCATGGATTCGGCATCTTATCATCTCAAAAGAAACGATAGTTCTCCTTCTACTATATCTTTTTGGAATGACCAAGATGCTCCTCACAACCACAGTGATTGCAGCAGCCAGAGCATCAGCGGTGGTAGCAGCCCCATCACGGCGACAAGCAACTTGTCCCAGAGATTCGATGCCTTCAAATCAAACATGTCTCGCAAGAGCACCGCTTGTTCTGATGGCCTCACTCGCACTCAAAAGACATGGCTTGCAGATGTGGAAGGTCTATTAAAGGTAAAGAGTTACATACACATGCACATGCAGTTTTACATGAATTAATAACTGCCATAACCTTCAAGGAAATGTATGCAGCAGTAAAATCACATCGCATTGACCAAGCTGAAATCATGGTCCCTGCTGTTCCTCCGCATACCACTGCCTTGCATAGGTCAAGAACGCTGCCAAAAAACACAATGGATCAATTGGATGGCTCTCTGCGTCGTAGCAGAAGACGGCGAGGCCAGTCTGTCATTCTAGACAAAAGCAAGACGTCCATGGACGATTTTATCAACATCCATAAGGAGCTTCCTTTGTTGCCCAATGCCAAAAAGCAAGACATGTTTAAGCAAGGCCTCGTCATGCGCAAGCATGTCATGGAAAGAACAGACAAACGAGCTCGTCATCGCCAATGGCAGCTATGCTATCTGGTGATGACAGACACGGAACTGATCATGTACAAGCCTACACAGCAACAGCCTATGGACGACACCGACAAGGGAAGAAGAAGAAAGAGCGCAAGCATGATGCTTTGGAACCCGTCTACCTCATCTTCGTCACTTCAAGATATCGTGCATCAACACCCTCATTGGCAGGCAGATGAAGAACAGGCACCTCTAGCTACATTGGAAATGAACCATACCTATGCAACAGCCATACCTCCTCCAGGATGGAACCCTCAAAGACCACATGTGTTTCGCTTGGAGACTGGGGATGGTGGCTTATGGCTGTTTGAGTCTGTGGACCTCTTTGCTGCTCAGGCCTGGGTGGAAGCATGCAACTTGACTGCAGCTAAAATCAGCAAAGGACCTCTGCCTGGAGCTATCTGCAACATTGATTACGGTTGGGGTGCCAAGTGGGACAACACGACGCAAGAATTCGCCGATGTGCCCGTGTGGTATCCTCCTACTTGTTGTATGGTCAACAGCACATTGAGCATCAATGATCAGTACCTGGGCATTGAAGCGCAGATTACTCAGCTGAACATGCAGTTGAATGAGCATCGTCAACTGAAGCTCTCCGTTGACAAAAAGGTAAATTCAGGCTTTTTGGGCTTATTACACAGTTTTAACGAGGATGTTACTAGTTTGGCGCTGGTCATCAAGCGTGTGTCAATAGTATGCAAGCATTAACCAACTGGGATAAGAAGCTACACTTTATTTTGCATGAATTGATCAAACTGAGATGCTACAAAGACATCTTACTTCAACACCAACTGCAAATTCTGTTCTAAACTTCTGGTATCGTTTCAAATGTGTGTCATGTTTGACAGTTTTATTATTTTATAATTTGCTAATATTTAAGTTGTTTGCCCTCCCCCCCCCCTGCCATCATTTTATTCTTAACTAAAGCATGTATCGCTTTAGCTTTGCTCATTAACATTTCATTTATATTCTTTGCATTATACGCTTATTAAATAAACTGCCCTATTGGACCAGTTGCTCATCTCACAGCTACATACAGGTCAAGCTGAATGGGATTAGAAATGGCTCATGTCAGAAAAGCAATGGCCAATGCTAATCAACCACTGGGACGGACGCTCTCAGTTATGAAATGCACACAACCAAGTCGTCAATACAAACGTGCTGCTGTACATACTTGTAGGTAAGTCTACAATAAAACTGGGATACAAGGATGAATCCTTCCTTGTTGAGTGTGCAATGTTCCCCTAAATGATGTTCATCGAATTGGTCCCCTCTTTTTTTTTTTTGAATATCTACTATCCCAAGACACGCCATTATTCAATGATTTAGCAACTGAAGCAAGATGTAGATTGGGTTTAGGCGTTTTTGTTTCATTTATAAAATACAAAAAGAGAAGTGGTAATAACAGAATAATTTAGCAGCAAAATAAGAGAAGAACGAGCAAGATTTGTTATTGAAAAAGGGGGCAGTGTATTTTCGAATATATGTATATATGAGTGTTGCTTTTGTGTGTGTGTGTGTGTGTGTGTGTGTGTGTGTGTGTGTGTGTGTGTGTGTGTGTATGTTTGGTGTTGTTTTCTGATACGATTAAATCAAGAGATGGTAAAAAGTAAGCAGCATAGCCAAGTAGACACTGGTGTAAGAGAAAACAACAGCAAAAGATGCATCAGAGATGTGCAATCGACCATACTTTCCAATGGTATCATCTGGAAGAGGAGCTGATATAGATGGCCTTGCACTCGACATCATAGAAGAACTCGATCCTGTATGCATTGGAAAAGAAAAATGGGTAAAAACAAACGACGTAGGTGAAGGCGATAATGTGATGGACATTGTGGTTGAATTTCCAGTCGCAGCTGTGTTGTTTGTAGTTGCAACTGTCGATGTGATGGAGGTGGTATTAGACGAGGTAAACATGGTTGCTATAGGTGTTGGCATGACGCCTTCGCCTTGTTGTTGGGCTTGTGTTGAATGGAATATGATTAAAAGAAGAGATAGTTGTGCTAGATAGTAGTAAAAATGCATTGTAGAGTGTATGTTTCTGTTGGATGCGATACAGAAAAGAAGAAAAAAGAGGGATTGCTCTCATCGGATATAGAGAGAAGGATAAGAGTAAGGATCAAGGGGCAGGTTGTATTAGGGGATCAAAGAGGACGAAAGGGAGGCATTATCAGTGAAAAGACGAGGATGCCTTCAATTGGGCCAATTCTCTCTGCAATTCCTCTTTTTCATGCAAACTGCGAACCTCTTTTTCACGTAATCGGTCAATGTATTCCACAGCTACTCCATGTGGCATTTAGTCAATCTTCTAGCTGTTTGTTATTACCAAAGCTTACCCTTGCTTAAAATCTCCCATTTGCTCGACTTGATGCTTTTGTCCATAGGCAGCAATTCTCTTAAATCATCAAATAAATCCTTCATTTCTTTTCTTCTCTTGCGTTCTGCCAACTTGTGGCTAATACGTAGTTCTGGGGACCGAGAATAAGATCCATTGGTGCTGTGGCGTCTTTCCTGCGAAAATGCGGATGGTAGCGTGGTAGCAGCAGCTGAAGCAGCAGCAGCAGCAGGGGAAGAAGGTCGATTTGCTATGGAATGACGACGCACCATGAGATCTTCAGTCTGTTGTGTAATGTAAGCAATGGAGGGCAGTGATTCCCTTCTTCTCCAGGTTTGTCTGCCAGTCAAATCAGGTCGATGGTCTAATGGAGAAGGTCTGAATGGACAAGAGGAGGGAGAGGGAGATCTTGAATTCTGCTGTGAGCCTGCAGGGCTGTGGTTGTTACTACTACTATTACTGGTAAATGGGTCTGGTAATCGAAGAGGATGATTCGCAGTTGGAGCCACCAGTTCATTGGATCTATGGCTGCTGCTGCCGCTACTACTACTGTTGCCCATATAATGCGAAGTAAGTGTATCCATGCCTATGTATTGTTTATTTTTTTCAAGTAGAAAAGAATAATAATAAAAAAGAGAGGGAAAAAAGAGAAAAAGATGGAGTTTTGTATGATGGCAATAAAGTTTTAATCAAGGCACGTGTTTATAGCAACATCTGCCCAACTCCACGTGGTGCACCACACATTCAATTCTTGTATTTTCTTGCAGCAGCATAGTCGACCAACGGACTAGCGAGTAGTTTCGCCCATAGAGCAACATAACCAAACCACGCTGGAATGTACACTTCTTGTTCTCTCATGTCAGAGGCTTCTGCGATGCGCTTGGCAACGGCAGAAGGCGATAGCTTGTTCTTTTTTGATCCCGCAATGCTTGTATCATTGCTGCCACCGAGTGATTTATCAACGGCTGATTGACGCAGCTCTGTATCGACGGTACCTGGACATATGAGACCGATATGGATATTGTATGGAGAAAGTTCTACTCGAATGGAATCAAAAAATCCGTGCAGTGCATGCTTTGATCCTGCATACAATCCACGCGTGGGTGCTCCCACTTTGCCAGCCATGGAGGAAACCACAATAAAGTTGGGTGATACTGAATTCAGTAGTAATGGCAAGAATAAACGTGCTGTCCAGACGGATGAAAAGTAGTTGATGGTCGTGATCGTTTGCAGTGCATCAATGATCTCCTGTCCATCCTTTTGCTGCTCAGTGATCTTGTACTTGTGATGCTGATGCTGCTGATCCTTGGCTTCTCGTTTGGTGATCTTTATACCACACGCATCTAGAAATGGCCGCACCGAGAGCATGCCTGCACAGTAAATGACGGTATCCACTACATTACCCATTGTACGTTTTGTAAATGCTGCCAGTTCCATCAGATCATCCTCTACTGTCACGTCTCCTACAAGCAATTCGACCTGTGGTGATCCTGCATCTTGACATTGTTGCTTTAATTGTTCCAGCAGCTCTTTTCTACGGGCAAACAGTACTAGCTTGGCGCCTCGTGCTGCATAATTGAGGGCACACTCCTTTCCAATACCAGATGAACAACCCAGGATAACAACGCGCTCACCTTGTGGTTTTAATATATGCTTACGGTCCTTCTTTTGTTTGAGTATGTAATGGCCCACAAGAATGCTGGCAGCTAAAGCAATAAGCTCCTTTTGCATGATAGTTGCAATGAGCAGTAAAAGCGATAAAAGAAAAAGGGGTCAGTACCGCTTGCTCGGCCCAGTACAAACTTTTTAAACATCACGCTGCTGCATTAAAAGCAAGTCCATGAACTTTATTCACTCAGATATCATCAACGTCTAAAGTTATATCTGGAAGACACTGTGCGAACAGACTTTCTGATGATAACTTGGTCGTCTTCTTGCTCCTGTTTAACGTTTGCTTCAGCCTTGACCTCCTTCTTGACAACCTTGGCTCTTCTCTTTGATTTGGTCTCGCTCTTGGAATCAGCATAGTCATCTTGATCGTTAAACTCGTCCTCATCATCCTCAGACTCCTGCTTCTTGACGCGAGTAGTGCGCTTCCTCTTCACAGTTACTTTGATATTCTCATCGCTTATTCTCAAAACTTGTCTCTCTGGAGCAAATGCTGATGTTCTTCCACCCACCTATCACTCGTGATGTTACAGAAATGCCAGCAGCTATAAAATGCACACCACTTACCGTCTCAAATTGCAGCAGCATGCCATTAGGCAAGCGTCCCTTATTTTCGTTCTTTTTGCCCTTGTTCCATCGATGCTTCATTAGCCAATCATCAGGAAACTTGTTCTCATCTGCCTCTGCTTCTACCGCTGTCTCGCAAATGAACTTCATCTTGTAGTACATATCATCCAGCTCCTTCTCGGTGAGCGTGTTTGTATATTGAGCAGGGTGAATCATGGCTTGGTATAAAATCTCATCTGCAACCCAATTACCTACACCTGCAGAAAATGACTGATCCAGTAGCAATGCCTTGACTGGCACAGACCGCTTTTGGACCTTGGATCGAAAGGTGTCAATATCAGGTAATCCCAATACAGGATCAAATCCCAGTTTGTTGATTGGATCAGATGCCAAGGGGTCGCCAGATACTAAGCGAAGTCGACCCCAACGAAGAGGGTCTTTGTAGCCAAAGTGAATTTCCTTGTTGGTAGTTGGATCAGAGAAAGTGACCAGCAGCTTGTGGAAACGGGGAGGCCATTGCAAGCCTTTGTCTAGCTCTTCATGCTCAAACTACGCAATCTACTTAGCATGAGGCATCGGATCTCGTTCGTGAGCGTACATTACCCTGATACCTCCAGTCATGCCCAGATGTGCCACTAGGTGCGGCTCTGTATCAAAGACTAATAAATCAACCATCAATCATTCAATCCATCATGCCATTACTAAGCAACATGTACTCAAAATGAAGTATTTCCCCCATCTCTTGGTATCCACAAGCGTCTTGTTCAGCATTGTCTTTGCAAAGTCGTCAGGAGCCATTCCTTTAAAGATGTTTGTATCAGGTTGCTGGGCGAAATCATGGTCAATCGATACAATTCCAACAGTGCGCAGCGCACACTTACCGCTTCTACATGTGTGATTCTGTGATTTATGCACTGTCTATGAATACGAAGACGGGCTCGTTCAACCTAGCTCTCACTCAATAAGCTGATCTAAATACTGCGTGCCACAATAGCTTACCTCTGCAATTTCTGGCATGATTGGTTTGTTTGTAATGAAAGAAAGAAAAAAGGTGCACCTGTTGGCATTGACACCTTTTTTTTATATACGAGACATGTCATGTTCCTCGGATCATCATCGTCGCCTCTCATCAGCTCCGAACTTTCGATCTTCGATCTCTTCTCCTCGATTTAGGTAAACCAACTCTCAAATGCCAAATACAGCAGTGGCTTTTTTTAAAAAGAGCAAAATTTGACTCTTTAGCTTTTTTCCTGCCTCAGCAACAGTTTCAGCAGCACATCTCTACGACATGAGTACTGACGGAATTACGGATTCGTTAAATGATTTGACCCTGAAGAATGGCAGGGATGCACCAAAAAAGACCACAAAACCCAAGGTGACGTACGATAAGGCTGCCCTCAAGGAACGATGGAAGATCTTGGGCGCAGATCCAGAACAAAGTACACTTACGGATGCACTTATGAGATGACGATAGAAAGACTCATGCTTAAGCCATAGGCATCTTATCCATGATCCGCAAAGCTTGTATGAATACGTTTGCTCGCAAAGATTTCTTCAAGATCCTGCAGATGATCAAACACAGTTTCGTTCAGCGTGATTACGAAGGCATCTTCACAGAAGCTATCAACTTGGAAGTCTATACAGCAGCCTATATACCAGGACGAGCACTGTGCTATTTCGAGATATTTTGCAGACCTCAGCTACTGAAATTCCTCGCCAAACAAAGTCGAATCTACTGTGTCGGCTCTGGATCCGGCTCAGAGCTAACAGCCATTGCCGCTGCCATGACCAGAGTACCTGCCGAACGTCAGCAAGTGAGTTTAATCATGCAGGATATTGGAGAGTATAAGGCTGTGCTGGATTCGCTAGAGACAACTATTCGAGAAAAGTGGCTACTGACTGAACAGCAGCTGCAATGCACCTATGAACAAAGCGATGTCCTGGATGCTGACAACCGCGAGATCGATACAAGGCTACAGGAGGCAGATCTGATTACATTTATGTTTGTGATGAACGAGCTGTTTGTCAAGAAGGCAGCAGCCATGGCTTTGATACAGAAGATGGTGAAATCCATGAAGAAAGGGGCACATTTGTTGGTATGGAATACCATGAAAAAAGTGTGTGAATGGCTATTAATTCCCAAATGACAACACAACTACATCAGGTGGTTGAATCTGCTGGATCGTTTTCTCATTTAAAAGTAGGAAACAAGACGTATATGGTGTACATGTTGTTGGATGCCATTCAGGATTTGGAATTAGTAGTCGGGGAGGACTCTCGCTGGTATCGGTAAATGAGTGTTGGAGTGGAAATGGATGATATTGCTTTGTGTATTAACTGGATCAACCTAGACATCCTGACCACTTAAAATATCCTATAGATGTGCAGAACATGAGATACTTTATTCGTTTGTACAAGAAGAAATAAATGTTGGATTATGTGTAACAAAAGTTAGCAATTCTCACATTGTCATTTTGTATGTTGTGTGTGTAATTTTAGTCTAGTAAGCAGTAGTAGTATATGGTTGAATTCAAAGCCGACATTGGAGGCGAAAGAAAAAAAAAAAAAAACTGGGGAGAGAGCTATATTTCTACGATCAAATATATATATATATTTGCTTAGATAACGTGAGTTTTTTGCCCCTCTATCTATCTCTTTTGCTCTTTTCTCTTTCTTTTTTTCCCTTCTTTTTCTCCTCTCCACTTTCTTCTAATGTCTTCTCCTGTCTCCAGTAACGCAAAGGTCTTCCTTGCATGGTACCTTTCTAACCTTGCTGCTGCTCCTCTCCGCACAAAGGCCTGCACATCCGGTGTTTTGTCTGGTCTGCAAGAATTGACAGCACAAAAGCTGTCGGGAGCAAAGAAATTTGACAAAAGAATTATTCAAATGGCTGCCTATGGTATGTGGATAGGTCCATGACTCTCTTTCTCGCTCTGTATGTATTGATTGCATTGATCCTCATGTAGGCTTATTCATCTCGGGACCTCTCAGTCATTTCATGTATGAGATCATGAACAAGGTCTTTGCTGGAAAGACTGGTAACGGTGTCAAGATTGGCCAGCTCCTCTTCTCCAACTTGATCATCTCACCCATTATGAACTCAGGTTAGTGCATTGTTTGGACTAGAATTGGGTGGTATAATTCGAGACTAATGGGAATCCATAATGTTGAATAGTCTACTTGACTGCCATGGCTATCATGGCTGGTGTTCGTTCCCCTGCCCAATTGAAGGCCAACATCAAGAACGGTCTCTTGCCTATGCAAAAGGTCTCTTGGGTCATTTCTCCCTTGAGTATGACCTTTGCTCAAAACTTCTTGGCCCCTACTACTTGGGTTCCTTTCTTCAATTTGATCGCATTCGGTAAGTTAATATGTGAGGTAGTGCATTGATTGGCCGATATTGACATTTATGATGCTGTGTAGTCTTTGGTACTTATATGAACACCATGATCAAGCGCAGACGTATTAGAGAAGCTGAGGAGGCTGCCAAGAAGCAATAAGTTACTTATTGGATGGGGCTTTTATGTACAAACAATGAAGAAACTGTTGAACAGTGTAAAATATCTAGCAATAAAAAAATCTTCGGTAAAACAATTTAAGGGTTTGGATCATGAAAAAAATACCCTAAAATTATACCGTGTATGATGAATTGATTTCCTCAATTTCCCTTTCAGAAATTGTTCCTGAATTACACCCTATGGAGAGACAGCTTTGACTAGACTTATTCTCCTTGGTTTTTGCGATGCATAGGTAGGTTTCGCTTACTGACATTGTGTCCAATGTTTTGTTTTGGCTTGACATATGTAGACTACATTTAGGAACTCGGTCAGACGTGCATTATTTCTACTTTAATTTGAGTTGAGCTCGTCATGATCAATGCAGATCAGTGTGGGAGGCAAGATTGCAAGCAAATATTCGAAAATAGATGCTTTTTTTTTTTAAACATTGGCGATAGTTGTATCAACTTTACATAACATGGTCATGCCATCTAGCAAGTGAAGAGAAGGTGTCATTTTCTCCGCTCTAGAAACTTGTTGTGAGGTTTGCCCTGTAGTCAATACATCTTTGCATTTCGTTCATGAGAAAGTCGCTGTAAAAGACGCTCATTAGCTATTAGACAAGAGAATGCCTCTTCTGGGATGACTGCACACAGCCCACGTTCGCCTTTAGACATTATATGTATTACAAGACAGTGATAATAGCGGTTGGTACACCCATTACAAGGTGTTCTCAGATCTTTCATGTAAATAAAGTACATTTGGTACTCTGTTGTAGCCACTTTTCTCTTCTTCTCCCAATAGATTATCAAAAAACTGACCAAGATGGAATCCATTTTCCACTTTATCAACTCGGTTTCTGCTGCTGTTCCTAAACGACTTGAGCAACAAGATGTAAAGAAGGTGATCAGTGTCAGTGCTGCTATTGCCGTTCTATATACTGCTTACAAAATGGTGTCAAACAACTCAAAGAAGAGAGCTGCTCAGAAGCAAGACCTCAAAGAAATACCTGTTCCAGGTGGATCTTATCCTATCGTTGGGCATTTGCTGTCGTTGGGATCCAATCCAAGCAAGACGATTTCAAAATGGCATCAGGAACTGGGCCCAGTCCTCAATATCCACATGGGCGCACTACAGGAGTAGATACTTATCTCTTGTCCTATCCTGGCACACAAGATTTTTGTTACTCATGGTGCTCAGACTTTCAACAGAATTCTTCAAAAGTATTCATCGCATTACTACAGTATAGATGGTTTGTAAGTCAATTTTCATGCCAAAGAGTGGAGTATGCAGGCTCATATTCAAACATGTCTCCAGAGGTACCGTATTTGCTCAACCTGGACCAAGCTGGCGGGAAGCAGGAGCCGTAGTTGCATCTGCATTGTCGCCCAAATGGATTGATACCAAATACATGGGTCTGGTTGAAGAAGAAGCAATCAAGTTGGTCGATAGATTGATTGCGTACTCCGAGGCTGAAAACGGCGTTAATCCCAACAAGCATTTGCACTTGAACTCTTTGAACATTGTATTCAGTATTGGGTTTGGAAAAAGATACAAAAAGATTGAAGATCCCGAGTTTTCTCATGTATCTGACTGTATCGTACGTTCAATCATGCTGGGATCTTTAGAGAATGACTTGGCCAGCTTTATTCCTGGTTACTGTATTACTGACTCCCTTGCTGGATCAGAGACCGTCATGCGTAACTTTATTGAAAACGAAAGGAATCCTAGATACCGTGCATTGATGGCAGAAGGTATGACAAGAGAAGGCCCCAATGTAGTGAAATCGCTGGAAGAGTTTACTATCACAGCCGATGAAAAGCTTGTTATTATGTGCAAGATGGCTGATCTTACTCAAGTACAATGCATAATGCATATTGACACATCTAAACTTATGTAGCCGATTTGATTGCTGGAGGAACTGATACTGTATCAATCACCCTCAACTGAAACCTTGCCTTGATGTGCCACTATCCTCAAGTTCAAAAACGTGCCGCCGATGAAATTGACGAGTTTGTGCAAAAGCACGGTCGATTCCCTAGTTTCAGCGAAAGAACCGAGGTGCCATTTTGTGCAGCTACCTATAAGGAATGCATGCGATTCAGATCCACAACACCTTTTGGTGTCCCACATTGCACAAATGAAGATGGTAGGTCTAATACATGTTCCCGAGGAAAGAGATGTACTTACAACGTGGCAGTGGTAATTGACGGTTATCTAATCAAGAAGAACACTGCTATTATTTCCCACATGAATAGTATGCACAAGAACCCAGACTTCTACCCAGAGCCCGAGAGATTCTATCCTGAGAGATACTTGACTAATATCAAAACCATGCACGCAGCTGCTAACGGTAAACTAGAGGAAAGAGATACGTTCAACTTTGGCTGGGGCAAACGGATGTGCGCGGCCATCTATCTTGTAAGTATTTATACACTCCAGTCATGGATACATATAATGACAAGATGTGTTAGGCCGAGGTGGAACTGTTTGTCTCGTTTATCCAGGTTTTAGGAAGATGTACTATCGAGCCTATAGTTGACTCGAACGGTGTACCTCAAATACCAGGCATTGATAATCCAGTTTGCACTCTTACTTCAGCTCCTGCACCTTACAAGGTGATGTTTGTGCCACGAAAATGCTCTGTTTGAATGCATTACGACACAAGACGATTTAAATGAAGAGTTACGAATTTAATATCAGAATGAATCACCGTAGTTTTTATAGAATTTTGACCTAAACTTTAGCCGAATATATATACTGTAAAACATTCAAAAAAATCATATCCTTTCAAAATTTTAAAGAATTGTGTGCCGTATAAGGTGAATAAAACCACCAGTAAAGCCGACAATGGGGAGGGGGTTTGGGGGAAGAACATAGCGTGTCTAATCCAACACTTGATAGCATTGATTTATAGGGGAGTTTTACCGTAGCGAAGCAAAAGTGCAAAGCCATGGTAATTAGGCGTCTAATCCAGCATTTGATAGCATTGATCTATACAAGGGCTTGATAGTAGCGAAGCGAATATGCAAAACCATAGTATATAAGCAGCAAATTCGATTTGTCATTTCTTTTATTAATAAGCTTACCAGCAACATAACGCATCAAAATTTGCATGAATCAGCTTTACCAAAATCAATATGCCTCCTCTTCGTATTAAAAACTGCTCAAGCTACAGAACTGCCTTTCCAGTAAATTGCAGCTATCAAAGATGTGATTTATGCCGTGTAAATAAACTCTATAAAGCAATAAATAACCAAACTGGACAATTTTCAAGCCTTCATATCTTGACATATAGACCTTTAGAAGCCGCTGGAATGACGCCAAACAATTGTACTCGAGTAGCAGTAACTTCCTGACACCTTTGCTCAACTTTTTGAAGACCCAAAAAATATGGCCAAAAATCGACAAAAAAGCATGAGGGGTACCTCATGGTTTTCATCGAAAATCAAACGATCACGTTTTTGACCGCAAAAACAAAGGCTTTTGTTATGGTATATACTATATCAGAATGTTTCTCTCGATCCAAGGCAGTTCCTGAAACTTTGTTTGTGACACCTTCATAGGTAAAATCTCGACATTTTCGCCAAAAATCACATTATATATTTTTTCAAAATTGCTTCCTATGCTCATTCAGAACACTTGTTATATTTAGTACCATCAGATGCGCCTTGAAAAGTACTTTTAGAAAGCTTAAGGAAGCACTGGATGTTCATCACATTTTTCATAGTCGAATCTAGCAAAATAAGTCAATTGAATCGATTTTGTTCAGAATTTATCCAATCTAAAATAGAAAACAAAAGACGGAGTTATAATTGCTTTTGGTGGTGGTGGTGGTGGTGGTGGCTGGTGCCAGGACCTATGCCTCTGGTTCCATGAAGACATCCATGTCATGATATGATTCAATCTTTCTGACATTTTGAAAGCATAGAGCTTATACTTCAGAAGAGTAATAGTCATGTTAATTATGCAATTATAAACCATGCAATCTGTAATAAAAATAAAGCAAGATGGAGATACTATTTCAGGCGCGACATCATCAGGGCAAAGGAAAAAGGTAATTTTGGATTTAAATGGAGTAGACCCTTTCTATTACACAATCCGATTTCACGGAGCAAAAGGTGGCAAACACCCGACGATGCCCTTGTCTACAACAGGAGATGTAAATTGCAAGAGCCAGGTATTCTACTCATCCAAATACAATGCGAAAGGCGACAAAGTAGTCATGGATGACTGCAGTCTTTGTTGCCACATGTTCTTGCTATCTACTTTGATGCAATTCCATGTAGTTTGTGCTAGCCCTTGTGCCCTGATCGTGTGACTTTTTGAGAAGGCTATTTTCGCACGGGTACTTTTAGATTGCCGAGTGATTTATCGGCCAAGTCTTTTCCCTTTTGAATGATGAAAAGATGTGCCTCCACTATTTAAAGTATTTTTTTTTCTTTTCTCTTTCTGCTTTCTTTTTCTTTTCTATATTTAATTGAAAATGGATCAATTTTTGGAATACGTTGATAAGCATCAAAACGACTTTGTCGAGCGACTTCGCAAGGCCGTTGCCATCCCTAGGTAAGCAACATTGCAAATGCCATCTTGATAGAATTTAACGCGTAATTTTCTTTTGCAATTCAAAAGTGTAAGTGGTGATCCTGCTCATCGTCCTGACGTCTTCCGTATGTCTGAATTCTTGGTTGAAGAGCTCAAGGCTCTCGGTGCCTCTGTTGAAACTCGCGATCTTGGTAAGCAAGACTGGCATGGTCAACAATTGGATTTGCCTCCCATTGTTTTGGCTACCGTTGGTAACAACCCTGAAAAGAAGACTATCTTGGTCTATGGTCACTATGATGTTCAACCCGTAAGTTTATAGTGCGTTGCAGTGCGTAGTATCGGCTGAAATGTAACAACGTGCATTAGGCTCTTTTGGAAGACGGTTGGAGCACTGACCCTTTCGAATTGGTTGAAGATGAAAACAACCGTTTAATTGGTCGTGGTTCCAGTGATGATAAGGGTCCTGTTCTTGGTTGGATCAACGTTGTTGAAGCTCACAAGGCTCTTGGCCTTGAATTGCCCGTCAACATCAAGTTCTGTCTTGAAGGTATGGAAGAATCCGGCTCTGAAGGTTTGGATGCTCTTATCTTCGATGAGGCTTCCAAGTACTTTAAGGATGTTGATGGTGTTTGTATCTCTGACAACTACTGGCTTGGTACCACTAAGCCTTGTTTGACTTATGGTCTTCGTGGTGTCTCTTACTTCCACATGAAGGTGAAGGGTCCTGTAAGTATACGATTCAGATGTGCGAAAAAGCAACGTGAGGCTAGAGAGTTAGGATTACGTGCTTTGAGGGTTCACAGCATTGTTTAGTTTTTTTTTTCTCACTCTTCTTTTCTCATGCTAGCGTGCTGATCTTCACTCTGGTGTCTTTGGTGGTACTGTCCACGAACCTATGACTGATCTCGTCGCTGTTATGAGCAAGCTCGTTAACCCTGACGGTAAAATTCTTGTTCCTGGTATCTATGAGCAAGTTCGTGCTTTATCTCGTAAGTGCATGTATAGTGTGTGTTTTACATATCAAATGGTTAACATGGCATGATTTTGCGTGTAGCTGAGGAGGAAAAGACTTACGATGACTTGGCTTTCCAAATGGAAGAACTCCATGATGCCGTCGGTAACAAGATTAACATTCACGATACCATCCGCAAGACTCTCCAATGCCGTTGGAGAAACCCCTCTCTCTCTCTTCACGGTATTGAGGGTGCCTTCTATAGCCCTGGTGACAAGACTGTGATTCCCGCCCAAGTTACCGGTAAATTCTCTATCCGTACTGTCCCTGACATGGATCCCAAGCAAGTCTCTGCCTTGGTTGTCAAGTTCTGTCAAGAGGAGTTTGCCAAGTTAGGATCCAAGAATACTTTGGATGTTCACTGTACCCATGATGGTAACTACTGGCTCTCCAGTCCCAACCATCCCAACTATGGTAAGTTGTGCTTCAAATAGTAATTTTCAATGTTGTTCAACGTTTTCCTTGATTAGTTGCTGCTGCTAAGGCTGTTGAAACTGTCTATGGTGTCAAGCCTGATTTGACCCGTGAAGGTGGATCCATTCCCGTCACCTTATCATTCCAAGATGCTCTCAAGAAGAACGTCTTGTTATTGCCAATGGGTCGTGGTGATGATGTAAGTTGAAAAAGTATAGAATTGTACCTGAATTTTATTGACATTTGAATGATATAATAGGGTGCTCACTCTATCAATGAAAAGTTGGATAGAAGCAACTATATCAAGGGTACTCAATTGTTGGGTGCTTATTTGTACGAAGTCTCTGGAGTCAAATTGTAAAAAAAAAAAAAAAAAAAAAAAAAAAATTAATGCATATCAAATCATTCATAAATAAAAAGAACCTTTTTTTTTTGTAACGCGAAACATTTTATTTGAACCCGAGCTTATAGCACTGTTTCATGATAGAAAGTTATGTGAATTGAATGTGTATCTAGCAGGTGCTACAGGATTTGTTTACAAGCGATATTCTGCATACAAGCACAGCGAAAACAGAGATCCGTGTGTAAAAATAGAGGATCGCAGTGGAAAGCAAGATGATGTACAGATTTGGGATGCTGTGTATACAATGGCCATTTTGTAATGATGTTCTTTTTTTTCTTTTCCCATTTTCCCTTTTTCCCTTTTCTTTCCTTTTTCCTCTGAAGATATACAATTGCGCGTTGTCATATTGTTCATTTATATGTGTATTTGTATTTATTAGAGATATATTAAATACTTGGAATACGCATAGCACATTTTTTTCACTTTCTTTTACTCTCTCTCTTCACATCTCATTCATAGGTTGCTATGGCAACAAGCACTCAACGCATCTCATCATCAAACAACATGTCAAGCAATAGTACAAACGTAGTTGGAGTCCATTACAAAGTGGGTAGAAAATTGGGAGAAGGAAGTTTTGGAATCATTTACGAAGGTAAATCATTTTTTTTTTGGCTACCTTCCATGAGGATTATTCTCAATGGCGAGAGAGAGAGAGAGAGAGAGAGAGAGGGAACATTAACATATCTCACATGGTACAGGCACCAATCTGCTCAACAATCTACAAGTGGCCATTAAATTTGAACCAAGAAAGAGCGATGCACCGGTAACGTACTCTTCTGATGCTTGTATGCTTGTAGCAGGCACTAACAACCTTTCAACAGCAACTCCGTGAGGAATACAGAGCCTACAAGACCTTATTGAACATCAGTAAGTAGCATTTGCCATACAAGGGGTGCTTCATCCCTCTTTTATTTATTTATACAAAGGAGTACCCCTTCTTTCAGTACCCATACCTTTCTAACGCACGCACGCTTCTCCTTAATAGCTGGTATTCCGTCTGCCTATTATTTCGGTCAAGAGGGATTACATAATATCCTCGTCATTGATCTTCTGGGTCCCAGTCTCGAGGATTTGTTTGATACATGCTCAAGAAAGTTCAGTGTAAAGACTGTTGCGACATTGGCCCGACATATGGTAGGCTGTGATTTACTGTTGCTGCACATTACACTTGTTTATACTCATAGATTCCTAGATTACTCGTATCCAGAGTGTCCATGATAACAATCTGATATACCGTGATATCAAACCCGATAACTTTCTTATTGGTCGACAAGGAACCTCGGATGCCAACACGGTGTATTTGATCGATTTTGGTATGGCTAAACAGTATAGAGATCCCAAGACAAAGCAGCATATTCCCTACCGCGAAAGAAAAAGCCTTTCAGGAACAGCAAGATACATGAGTATCAATACTCATTTGGGGAGAGAACAATCGAGAAGAGATGATTTGGAATCGCTTGGCCATGTATTCATGTACTTTTTGAGAGGGTCATTGCCCTGGCAAGGATTGAAGGCTGCTACCAACAAGCAAAAGTATGAGAAAATTGGAGAGAAAAAACAGACTACCACCATCAAAGATTTGTGTGCTGGATTTCCAGGTAAGCGATTTGGTTAATAGTAAGGTGAGGAAGCATTGCTCTAAAGCATACTTATTTAGAGGAATTTGGCATCTACCTTCAGTATGTTCGTAAACTAGGATTTGAAGAGACGCCTGATTACGACTTTTTACGAGATTTATTCACCAAAGTGCTGAAGAATCATGGAGACACAGACAACGAGATTTACGATTGGATGTTATTGAACAATGGCAGAGGTTTAGAAAAGAGATCATCACGCCATCAATCGCAGCGTCAAACAGCCATGGGTATTCGCAATCCTACCGATGGACATCCTTCTCAACAGCAACAGCAACAACAGCAAGCACCTGTTGCACAACAAACAGAGAACCCATATGGTCGCACTCAACCACCGATGAATGTGAATCCTCCCCCCAATCTTACTGGTGGCGGCCATGAGTATGATGATGCTTCACGGAAAAAGGGCTTTTGGCAACAATTTATATCCTTTGTTACATGTGGATTATTCTCATGTCTTTAATCATAGCTACAACGTATTCCCTCTATTTTTTTTTTTTTTTCAACATTAAAACCATGCTTTCATCTACAAACACCTTTTCATCAATCCCAGCGCAACCAGCACATACGCAAGCTCTTATGCTTTTTGGGATTAAGTGTAACGTTTCCTGTCAGAAAGTAAAACACTCCAGATTGCAGATGTTACATTAGCTAGAGCAAAATCTCTTGGCTAAAGTATTCTGTAAATTCCATTTGGATTCTGCTGTTAAACATGGAAAAAATATCAACAAATATATACATTCGTCTCTGTCTTATCAGCAGCTATGTAAAACCTGTTTTTAATTCCTGTCTGCAATTTTTTTTTTTTTTTTTTTTTTTACTCTTTTATATCTTTTTTTCTTTTCCAAATGATCAAGACCAAATTTATTGTGCAATGTCTACGGTTTTTATGGGTTCTTTTGATACTGAGCAATGAATGCTTTGTATTTATGTTTTCTGCCAGAAATTGCGCTTCCATAAATCATACCAGCACACCTTCCATTGTAAGCATTATAGCACCACAGCGCTTGACCAGCTGTATTAAATTTCCTACAGAACAATGGAAGACTACTGCTTGTTGCCGACCCACAGATGACAGACGACAATTCATACAACAGGTCCTGGATTATCATGCAGTTATCCAAGTTTTATAGCGAGCTCTACATGAAGAGAAGCTATCGACATTTGGAGAACCATGTGCGGCCAACAGACACTATCATCATGGGCGATTTAATGGATAGCGGCAGAGATTGGGATGACACCAAGTACAGCACAAGCTTGATAGATAAGAGAAAGGCAAATTGAACTGACCATCTTGATAGATATGCTTCAGAAGTAGATCGTTTTCGCCGTATATTTCCCTCCAAAGCTTATTATATGGTGGGCAATCACGATGTTGGGTTTGGCAATGGCATACAAAAGCACTTGGTGGAGAGATTTGAAGACTATTTTGGACCCACCTCCTACACGTTTGAGAAATACGGCTATACATTTGTTATTGTCGACACTGTGTCACTGAGCTCAAGTAATCCAGCCATACGCAACGACGCATTGCACATGCTGGAATCATTGAGCAGCAATAGCACCATACCAAGGATCCTACTGACACATGTCCCCTTGTTCAGATCTCCCCAACAAACATGCGGTTCTCAACGGCAATCAGGCTCGCATATTGCAGATAGAGCAGGATATCAATATCAGAATCTAGTGACCGAGGAGCTGACTTTACTCATCTTGGACAAAGTGGACCCTGTTGCTGTATTTTCAGGCGATGATCACGACTATTGCAAAGTGGTTCATCAGCTTCGAGGCAACCACAGCGCTGTTGAGATTACGGTGCCCACAATCAGCATGGCTCAGGGACTGAAATATCCTGGCGTCATGATACTCAACATTGAGCAAGGCCAACTCGCAACAGATTTATGCTGGTTACCGGATCAGATTGGATTGTTCTTACGCTATGCGTATCTTTTGGTGTTTACGATTGTGTTGCTATTGACATGGCATATATTCCAATACGCTTTCAAAAGCAATACAAACGGTGCTGGTTATCATTTGGCAAAAGAAGAATTGGGCGTGCAGCATATTCAATTTAAATCGGCAAAACGTAGCATGTCGCCCTTTTTCTATTCCATTCGAGATGTAGCCTGGGTTGGCATCTTGGCATACATCATTTGCATATTCATATTGTAATAAAACTCGACATTATTTATACATTAACAGACAAACAGAGTGATCCATTGGATTCAGTGGCAAAAAAAAAAAAAAAAAAAAAAAAGAGAGAGAGAAAGAGGTATATTTACTATATACAAAACCATATACAAAGATAGCATTTAACAATGACGATGATCACTATACACTGTTGCAACCGTTGACGAGGAGGAATGTGTGGATGTGGAAGTTGAGGAGGTAGATGTGCTTGCGCTAGGGTTATTGGAATGCTGATGATGCTGTTGCTGCTGCTGTTGTTGAAGTAGGGCATGGGGATTCAATGTGTGATGCGCCATCGGCAATGTGGTACGAAGTAGACTTGTTGGATCCGTTGGAGCAGATAAAAAAGATGGCGGTTTTCCTGTTGTACTAACTGTATTGTTATAAAAGAGAGGATCTAAAAAGACATCAGTTGTGGTTGAGGTGGTTGAGGTGGTGGTGGTGGTGGCCGCTGTATCTCTCCTGAGAGCAGCGGCAGCAGAACGATACTTTTGTCTTGTGCCACGACCTAATGCATGATCATTTTGTATAGCATATATTTGCATCTCCCTTGCGTAACGGTCTTTGTCAACTTGTGCTTTGGTTTTCCAAGGTAGCCTGGCTTCTTCGGACATGACATTCCATCGATCAGCGCATAGTTTACTGATCTGCCCAACATTGGAGCCGGGATACTGGCGCATGGCATCTGGCCTGACCTCTGTCAAATACCACATATAAGCAGATAATGGATGTTTGGGTGTAGTTGTGTTCTTGTCTCGTTTAGGCCGTTTACGTTTGGAATGCGAGTCTGGTGGTTGATCTGGGTTCCCTTTTGTGAAATGGCCTGCTTTCAATAACTCTGCTCTGGAACGACGAATGTACATTGCGTTGGGATGCAATGCTCTCTGCTCTTCTTTGATCTTGTTGGCTTGATTTACATACTGCTCCTTTTGTTCCTATAGAATGTATGAGGAAACCCTTCCTGGTGATGTTCAGATGAGAGGCTACCTTGGGCATGTTCTTCCAACGAAACCCTACTTCTTTACTGATATCAGCAACCTTCATTGTGGGATCTTGATCTTTCAGAACTCTTCTCATCTCTTTATTGAACAACAAATAAGCATTGGGTGGCCGAGTAACTCGAGTGGGCCGAACCGATTTATCATTCATGCCTAGATCCAGGCTTGTCAAAGTGGTTGAAGTGGTTGAAGGAGAGAGATCCTTTGCCAATGTTGGTTGATGTAGCTGAGGAGGAGCCATACGAATCAAAGGGAATGGTTGATAGGCCAAGTTGAATGCATGGCTTGGATCCTGAAGATGACTCATGGGCGAAGATTGTGTGCTACTTTGTTGTCTATCATTGTTGCTGTGCTGTTGTTGCTGTAGATGAGGAGCACTTAATAATTGAGCCTGCGTCATTGCAGCATACTGTTGCAGGTTATACTCTATATTGTCCGTCAAATTATCTAGGAACAGCATGTTAGCTAGCAGTCAGCGCATTTCTGTGTAGAATACCAACTCATCATCCAGAGTGAGTAATGTTGAAAAAAAAAGGGGGGGGGGGTAGAGCGTTTGTTTATCGAATGAAATGATGCAGCAATTAGTTGATGGGAAGCTTTTTTTTATGGCTCAAGCTTAAACTCCGTGAAGACTGCTTCTAACCATGATCCAGAAAATGCTTGATCTGATACTTTACCTCATCGATGCAGATCCAACAATAGAAGCTGCTTTCTATGGCATCCATTCAAAGGCTCATTTTACATACAAAACAATGCTTTATTTGTGCTTATTTTACTACATCTATACCATCATAGGCTCGTCCGCCATCTCCTCATCTTCATATTCTTCATCATCGTATTCCTCATCATCAATAGTGGCCTCTTGATATTGTTGATATTCAGATACCAAGTCGTTCATATTGGATTCAGCTTCGGTGAATTCCATCTCATCCATACCCTCACCAGTGTACCAATGCAAGAAAGCCTTTCTTCTAAACATGACCGTGAATTGCTCATTGACACGCTTAAACAAGTCTTGAATAGCAGTGCTGTTACCAATAAAAGTACCCGACATCTTGAGACCCACAGGAGGAATATCACAAAGAGATGTCTTGACACTGTTGGGAATCCATTCCACAAAGTAAGCAGAGTGCTTTGTTTGAATATTTAGCATTTGGGTCTCGACTTCCTTGGTAGACAAACGACCACGGAAGATGGTAGCGGCAGTCAAGTAGCGACCATGACGAGGATCTGAAGCTGCCATCATATTGCGAGCATCAAACATTTGAGCGGTCAGTTCAGGCACTGTCAAGTTGCGGTATTGTTGAGAGGCGAAGGCGGTCAAAGGAGCGATACCCACCATAAAAAAGTGAAGACGAGGGAATGGGACCATGTTGACACAGAGTTTACGCATATCACTGTTCAATTGACCAGGGAAACGCAAACTGGTAGTGACACCAGACATGACAGCAGACACCAGCTGATTCAGATCGCCATAACCAGGGTTGGTCAATTTGAGTGTTCTAAAGCAAATGTCGTAAAGAGCCTCATTGTCAATACAGAAAGTAGCATCGCAGTTCTCGACGAGTTGATGGACGGACAATACAGCATTGTAAGGTTCAACAACAGTGTCAGAGACCTTGGGAGAAGGCAAAACAGAGTAGGTACTCAAGATACGATCAGGATACTCCTCACGGATCTTGGAGAGCAGGAGAGAACCGAGACCAGAACCAGTACCACCACCAAGGGAATGAGCTAATTGGAAGCCTTGCAAACAATCGGTGCCCTCTGCTTCCTTACGAACAACATCCATAATATTCTCAACGAGTTCTGCACCCTCTGTGTAATAACCCTTGGCCCAAGAATTACCAGCACCTGATTGAGCATTCACAAAGTTATCAGGTCTGTAAATCTTACCATAGGGACTACTGCGAATGCTGTCCATGGTAGCAGGCTCAAGATCAACCAAGACAGCTCTAATTTCAATCTTCTATAAGCCACACATTGTCGTTGCCGAGGGCTTCCACCTTGAATTACCTTGGGACATATTTGCCTTCTGATCCTTCATTGTAGAATACATTGACACGCTCTAATTGAAGATCGTTGTCTCCACAGTAGTTACCATTGGTATCAATGCCATGCTCTTGAGAGATGGTCTCCCAAAACTTTTGGCCAATCTAGTCTGTGGGCGTCAATAGCCATCCTCTCTACATGAACAAAAAGCCTGTGCTTTACCTGATTACCACATTGACCTAGAATATGTTTATTTGTTTGTTAGCATTTGCCGATTTGACATACATCTGTATGTAGTGCAGATCTTGTATTACCTGCTTGCAAATGAATGATCTCTCTCATAATTGATATTTCAGCTATGGATAGCAAACAAAAGGGAAGGAAGCCTTTTCACATATGTGTTTTAAATTTTTTTTTTTTTGTATCATTTTATTCTTTTTTTTTTTTTTTTTTTTTTTCTTCTTCACATCAAAACGGTAAAAGAAAGAACGCGGCGAAAACGCGTCATAATCGTTTTAGAGCCCTATCGTTTTAGTAGGGGCGGTAGTGCTGCTGGTTTCTGGATTGAGAAGCATGCATAGCACCACCTCCATTACCTCCACTGCTACTTTGATGACGATCTCTTGAGTTTCTTCTATTGTCATCTATTTAAAAGAGAGAGCATTAGTATGCGCAATTTCATGTCAAATGGCATGTTGCTGTTACCTTGTCGATGATGGTGTTGTTGGCGCATGTTGTTACCATTGTTGCTGTTGTACATGTTGCCGTAGCCTCCACCTTGTTGCTGCTGTTGACCGTAGTAAGCGGCAGCGGCAGCAGCAGCGGCAGCCATGTTATAGTTGCCAGCAGGATACATGCTGTTGTACATGTTGAAATTACCGCGCATGTTGTTAAAGTTGCCACCACCACTGTATCTGCTGTTGGGCATGTAAGGTGGTCTGAAGTTTGGGTTGAACACTGGCGTATTGTGCTGGCGGTTCTGCTTGCCCTTTGGCATGGCCTTCTTTACCTCAATCTATACATGTTTATCAACACATGCTCTCAAGCACCAGATATCGATACTTACAGTCTTGTCCTTAATGGACAAATTGGGATTCCTCAAAGCTTCCTCTACGCCTTTGCTGTCTTCAAATGTCACGAAACCAAAGCCTCGAGGTCTTCCTGTATCACGCTCCATCATAAGAGTGGCATCCAAGACTTTGCCAAACTGCGTAAAGAACTCTCTGAACTCTTCTTCATTCACCTCGGGAGAGATGCCGCCAACAAAGATCTTTTCTGTCTTGTCTTGTTCATCGCGGGGAATCGCTCGCTTGGGGTCAATCTAATAAGAGCGTCAATGACCATGTTCCAGCAGAATATGATTTACTTACTCTTTTGCCATCCAGATTGTGGTGATCTTGGCTAACAATCTTGTCAATGGCTGAATTCTCTTTCATGGTCAAGAAGCCAAAGCCACGTGAACGTTGTGTTGCTGGGTCGCGCATGACCACACAATCAAGCACTTCACCAAACTGTGAAAAGTATTGACGCAAGTTTTCTATTACGATGATTTGGTTTTTTATTATTGAAATAAAAATCTTAATACTAAACTCTATACTCAACACTATTTGATGTAAATTGTAACTATAAACTATCTTACCATCCGTTGTCTCCCAATTAAGTCCTCCAATAAACATTTTGCTAATAATATACAATTTACATATACACACCCAATTTATTATCACGTTTGCACACTTACCCTTCTTCTGAGTTGGTGGTGGTAACGGAAGTAGATGGCTTGTCGGATGGGCCATCACTACCATTACCATCATTGTTCTGATGATGCTGTCTAGGCTTGTTGTACTGCTGCTGTTGTTGTGGCATGTGTTGTCTCATTTGCCTTTGGATCATTTGCTGCATTTGATATGGGTTGGCAGCCATTTGCTGTTGAAGGCTTCTTTGGTAGGCAGCCATGTACTGTTGATAGGCATTTTGCTGATATCCCCAGTTGCCTTGTTGTTGTTGTTGTTGTTGTTGTTGCTGATGCTGTTGCTGCTGTTGAGGAGAGTCGTTGTACTGCTGCTGATGATGATTCTGGTGGTCGTCATCATGAGCATCTTCAGGCTCTGGAGTAGCCTCTACTTTGACTTCGACATCTTCCTCTTTGAACTCTACAGGATCTTCGCCATACAAATCTTCGTCGTTGTATGTATCTTCTTTTCCTGCTCCGTTGTATACATTGTATAAATCGTCGTCGAAATTGTCAGACATGGTGACTAAAAATGAATTTAGAGAAGAAGAAAAAAAAGGAAAAAAGAAAAGCGAGAGAAAAAATTTCTGTTATAAACCTCCTTTGTTTGCTCTTTTGCACATCTCTCCGCTTCATTTGTGTATGCTTCAGGTGACGTCAATTGTAGTGTATGGATCATTCAACTCGCTCATAAGCAACACGTACCTCTCTTGCACAGAAAGGCCGTAACATCTATTCAAGTTGGATACTGAAATCACAAAACCCAGCTAGTAGAAGCAGGGTAGGTTGGTTCATTGATCAATGAGAGAAGCAATACCTTGCTCTTGTTTCCAATAATAAGCAACATTTCAAATATCCCCATGGCCACATGAGATTAGGGTCATTTCATTTGATAATGGGTACCCTTTGATGATTCATGGAAAATCAACGAGATGCAGCCTTTGTGCTTCACAAATGTATCAAAGACATGCGTATTTCGCAATAGCCCTCATCTAGCATTAGTTGCATGTTCTATCCATACGCCTTTGAGTCAATTTAAGCATTGCATCAGATGCCTTGACGCTTCAAATAAGCAGTGCTACAGCCTACGTGGCATTTATCAGGTTTTCACCGACATTTGGTCTCGTTTATGCAAATGTGATCTCGAGACAAATATGCGGTGAATCAGTGCCCAAGAGCCATTTGTGCAACAAAATACTGCTTAGCCATATTCATTGCCATTTTCGTCCATAATTCTCTATTTTGAGGTATTTATTGATTTCAAACGATGCTTTTCTTTTCATACCCCTTATTATCTAGACATTAAATGGGGTTTTCTTATTTTTTCGATACTAGCGCAAATCAGTTGCACATTCAGCTCACTGGTAAGTGCCAAGTCTACGCACTTTAGATATGAAACTGAAAATCTCGTTATGTGAGCAAGATGCAGCATCATTCTTCTCAATGAAAAGATCATTCTCGATTCCATTTGAACATATTGTGTTGCCCATCATTGCAAAACCTGAAGCAGCTCAGCGAGTATTCTTGGGCTTTCACTTTGGTACTCGAATTCCCGGTGTTTTCAATGCAGGCAAGTGATATGAGATTGCAGATGGGCGAGAAGCATCACTCTCATGTGCAATATAGGTACTTTTTACTCTCTTGATATGCCAAGCAACATGAGGAAGACGTTCATCTATATGAGACGCCCTCATAGAACTATCCAGATTAATACTAAAAATGAAGACTACAAGCGATTGATCTTGGAGGTTCCTAATGATTTCATGGACCTGGAAGAAGAGGCAAACAGACTTACACAATTGATTGAAAAAAGCCAATAAATACATGCTTTATTTGAAATCACCAATCTTTGCCTCAGATGGCAACTCCTTTGCCTTTGCTATCGTTTCACTCACTTTTTCAACCTCTCTCCATACACGCAAAAGGTTTCTGCCAGCCAAACCAATCAAATGTTCATCACTCCATCCACGGCGGATCAGCTCAGCAAACAAATCAGGGTACTTTGAGACATCTTCGAGGCCGGTAGGAGTCGCTTCAATACCGTTGTAATCAGCGCCAAGACCAACACGGTGATAGCCAGCCACCGAAGCAATGTGCTCAATATGATCAGCGACATCAGATAAAGTTGCTTCCTTATCAGGGTCACATTGAACGAATGCGTTATAAAAGTTGACTTGTACTACACCATCAGTTTCATCCAAGCGCTCCAGCACGCTATCAGGTACGTTTCTCTCAATGTCACAAAGGGCATTGCTGGAAGAATGAGAGAACAAGACTGGAGCACGCGTGGTATTGAGGACAGCATGCATTGTGGAATGAGCAACATGAGAGATATCAACCATCATACCAAGTCTGTTCATTTCCAAAACGATTTCCTTGCCAAAATCTGTTAAACCCAATCCTTTATCAAAAGCAGGAGGATTGGCATCGCAACAAGCCTCAGCCCAAGGAGTGTGGCAGTTGTGAGTCAACTACAGGTGATTTGTCAGCACCTTTGCTTTACTTGTTAGCAGCATCCACACTTACAGTCATGTATCTGATACCAAGGTCATAGAATTGACGAAGAGCTACCATAGAGCTATCAATCATTTGGCCCCCTTCCATACCCATAGCAGATGCAATTTTTCCATGACGCAAAGCATGTTCAAATTCCTTGGTATTTGTAGCTATTTGGAATGTTTCAGGATGCAAATTCACCATTCTCTGAACCACATCAATCGTTTCCATGGCTTTCAAAAGTTGATTAGCCTCCGTATCATCACATTCGTAGTAGATACTCCAGAATTGACCGCCAACATGTCCTTGATGAAGACGAGTGATATCCGTGTGTCCCCAGTCAAACTTGGTAAAGTTCATGTCATTGATCTTGCCATTGTAAACAAAGGCCAAATGTCTATCAAAAAAAGAGAAAAGACAGAGGAAATAGGGTGAGCTGCGCTTTCTGCGGACAATGTACATAAACACTTACAAAGGCAAATCGTTATGAGTGTCAATAACGGGGTGGTGACGAAGAAGTTTGTGTGCATGATCGAGGGCATCTTTCTTGCGAGGGAACCTGTCAGAGAAAGGCATTTGCTCTAGTTGAAATGCCATTGCACTTAAAGGCAAAGCTAATGCAATCGCTGCCAATCCAGACCAATGAACCATACTTGTGTTATACGTATCTGAGAGATGAGAGAAAGGTGTTGTCTATGGATGAAGAACTTGTGCTTCGTTTATCTATTGTTACAGATGCACGAATCTCTGGGATTTAATCACATTTGTTGCTGTTCTCACCCGTATCGAACGGTCACTTTTATCTAAATGAGGCGCACACGTACATGCAATGTATAAGGATGAAGTATTACAACAAACGATGAGTCATGAAATAGAACTGGAGAGATATAATAGCTGTCAAAATCGCAACAGAGAAATGTTTTTGACAAGGCTCAGTTATACTTTAATTTCATCTTAAAAAACTTAGTAAAGTAAACAGATGTGCAATTACTTGTAATTAGCAGATTTACATTTGTATCGCTTACTAGTCACTTCATAGCTGATTTCAAGTCTTGACAATGACATTGTAAAATCGAATGTCGTGCTGTTCACAAGGACTTGTGATGTTAAGGCAAGACTTTGGTGTATTTGATTTCAATACATGTTATATCGTTAAGCAGGCTTATTACAGCGAGTGGCTATGTATCCATTCCTGGCAAGATCCCGTGCTTTCTGTACGCTTTTTCCTTTTGTTCATAACGATTGTTTTCGCAATGAGGAGGAAGGTCTGTATTTTGCCAGCAAGCAGCGGCCAAAATCGGTTAAAACTCCGGCAAATATTCTGCTTTAGATTGGACAGATATAGATGAAAATCGACTCGATTGATATATTTTGCAGAGTTCGACTATATAAACTGACAAGATAACTCAACCTTCCCTTAAGCGCCCGTGGTGGTAGGGCAAAGTGATTAAGCATCCAACATGCCATCTGAATGATCCCGGTTCAAATCTCAGTGAGTGCATTTTTTGGTGATTATTTTGACGTAGTACTGATGTCCTCGTTTGGTGTTTTGTGCTCTTATCCAGTATCCATATTTTGAGATTGTATTGGCTCTAGGTGTCGCACCTGATTAGTAGTAGATTTCTTTCCCAACTTAGTTCATTATATATCTTATTCCCCATCATTGCAGACATTGGGTCTACCAACAGTCTTTTCTTTCTCTCAGTATGACATTTTAAGGACTGTAAATAAAACCTGGAGCTCGGCTCCCCTACAAAAAAAAAAAAACGCTTCCTAATACATTCTTGAAGTACTTTTCAAGGCGCTTCTAATGGTGCTAACTGTAATAAATACTTTGACTAAACTTATTGGGCAATGTAATAATATATGAAATGAGGTTTTTAGCGAAAATAGCCATATTTTGCATATGAAAACCTCATAAAAGTGGCTTCATAGGTTGCTTTGGATCGAGAGAAACATTTTGATGTGATACATACCATAGTAAAAGTCTTCATTTTCAAGGTGAAAAATGCGATCGTTTGATTTTCGATGAAAACCATGAGGTACCCCTCATGGTCTTTGGTCGATTTTTGGCCATGTTTTTTTTTTTTTGACCCAAAAAGTTGAGCAAAGGTGTCAGGATGTTACTACTACTCAAGTAAAATTGTTTGGCGCCATTCCAGTGGCTCAGAAAGGTCTACATGTCAAGACATGAATGCTTGAAAGTTGTAAAACCTGGTTATGTTTTTGCTTTATAGCTTTTATTGATACAACATGAATCATATCTTTGGTAGCTGAAGTCTTCTGGACGGGCAGTTCTGCAGCCTGTGCAACTTCTAATTCGAGTAAGAGGGATATTGATTTTGATAAGGCTAATTCATACAAATCTTGATGTGTTATATTGTTGCTAAGCTTATTAATAACGGAAAGGAGAAACCAAATTTACTGCTTGATTACTATGGTTTTGCACGTTTGCTTCGTTACGGTAAAACCTTCTTATACAGTATAATGATATATAATGATGATGACGATATTAGCAGAATGGTAGTAGTACAAGTAGAGCGTGTTTATTATTCAAAACAAAGGGAAACTATACATCATTGACAAGTGGACATTGCCCCGCTAACACAACCTTGGCAACATCAGCCCAAAGTTTTTTGATATCATCAGCGTTATTGTCATCAAAATAGATTCTACAGTCAGCGTTGATAGCACTGTACTCCAAGAGGTCGGTTTCTTGACCATTGAAAGAGCTAGAAGGCTTGTAGACTTCTCTAAAGGTCCAACCCATATCGGCACGCTCAGGGAAGGGAGCAGGGGCATCTGGGTCATTAGCCATATCCAAAATTTCCAAATCCATCAGGAAGCTGGATAGACGATCGCTCTCTCCGCCTGGGAAAGAAGCAAACTGCATGCGGTTACCACGAATTCCACCCAAACCCATCGCAGGCACTTGATGAGACAAACGAAGACGCGATGCAACGATAGCACATGTAGAACCACAACGACCGTCAGATAGAATCAGGACGTCAGAAGACTTCCATTTCGTGTTGTGATATTTCTTGGTGCTAATAGTATCTTGCCAGCCATCGCAGCTCAGGGAGACAGGCTGAGAGAACTTGACAGTATTCTTACCACGGGTATATTCCTTTGTCTTGGTGAACCAAGAGCTTCCATCGTAACCAGAGGACTTGTAATCCAACCATTTGGTATTTTCTTGTTGATAAGCCTTTTCAATGACACGCTCCAAGAAGGGAGAGTATTTGACATCAGAAGGGTAATCAGGGGTAGAGTTAAAAAAAGTGCTAATGAGGAATTCACCAGCACAGGCATCACCACCACCGTTGGAAGAGAGATCCAGGATGATCTTCTCGACGCCCTTGGCTTCAAAGTTTTCGAGGCCTGCAATGAAGTCATCGGTGAATGCTTGTCTATCTTCAGAAGCAATAGAGAAGCTTTGGATATCAATGACACCCACTTTCTCGTTTTCACCGGTTAATTGGATAAACTCAATGTAGGGACCACGGCTGTTGCCCACAGCATTTGATGCTACATTGACACCGTCAGAGTTCAATGCAAAGACTTCACCTTCATGGATTGTCTTGAGCTCGTGAAGATCATAGTGAATTGTTCGCTTGGTGATGTTTTTGTGGTCGTTTTGATGAGCAGATTGACAGAAAGTGGACCAGTAGTTGTCAGCAGTTTGAAAGCTGGGAGGCACTTGAGCAATCCAAGGTACCTGAACGGTGAATGGGGCATCATATTCTTCTTGGATGGGTAAGGTGCCACTCTTGGGACAGCGCATGGTATAGTTGTGGAATTCTTGAGCAGGCAAGAAACGATGATAGCCTAAATCATCAGCACCGTCATCCCAACCGTGAAAGTAACTCTTTGTGTTCATGATGTTGTTGAAACAAGTGTTGGCGTCTTTACTCTCGCCGTTGTTGTTGACAGCATAGTTGACAATCATGTCCATTGCTTCTGATCCATCAATTTCGGTGACCTCACAGCCAACCCATGATTCTTTTGCCTCTGGCCATACATCGTTCTTGACATAGGCGACATTAGCAACCAATCTTTTGTTTCTTAAAAGTGCGTTGAGTTGAATAGGTTGCCAGAAAATGAATTGACGATAACAGAATGGTGAATATGACTATAGACATGTTAGCTTTCCACTGGATGGTACTATGTGGAATCTTACCAAATGTGCGTCTTGCACTTTATCCAGCAATAATGCAACGGCTTCTTGAAACTCTCTGTCTGATTTCCAGTCTTCTTTGAGGATCAAATCTAGACCGTAAGAAATGTTTACAGCAGTAATTGCTAAACCTTCTACTGTGGGAGGAGAAGCAGCAACATCCTGTACAATAAATGAGTAACAGTGTTACTTGGCGGTATCAGCAACTTATTTACATTGAAAACATAGAGTTCATTTGTCACTTTTCTGACAGTATCCACAGTTTGCTGAGCAATGTCTTTATCGTATTTAAAGTAGTCTAGACAAGCCTTTGCGTCTTGAAAGCTAGCGGTTTTATTTCCAGCAATGTGAGCGCAAGGATCAGTTGTTGTTGCTGCTGCGTTGACTGAGGCGAGTAGGCCTAAAATGGCCAAACCAAGCAGTTTATTACTTGGTAACATGTTGAGTGTATGTGGTAAAGAAAGGAAGGGGAGGGAGGTGGGGGGGAGAAGAGAAAGAAGAAGGAAATCTTTTTTAAACTAATAAAAGTCTATAAATAACAACATTTCGCTTGTATAACAACACAACCAATTAATTAGCGTCCAAATGCAGTAAAAATCCATTTTTTTTTATTGATTACATTTGAGCAACACCTCTAGCAAAAAAGTGCACATTGTTGTCCAATATCTTGTAGTGCAAAGATTGTTGTGGGGTATTCATGGTTTGCTGGTGTTGCTGCTGTGGCCCGTAAATGACGTCCAATTGACCATGCACATCTCTGGCCAATCCACTGTTCAACGGCTGGACCTGGAGCACAAGATTTGATCCGTAAATGACACTCTTGATAAAGTTGTCTTGCTCTGTATCCTCTGATCCCTCTTCATCGGCATGCATCACGGTCAGTAGTGTGCCCTGGACATTCTCAACGAGTGATCTCAACTTGAGGATGAATGTTGACACCTGCTCAGTGTCAAACCCATTGTACAACAGCACACTCACATCGTCTAAAATGACAAGTGTGTTGCTAGATGTCACATACTGGGCAATCGTCTTGTAGAATGATTTCAACAAATTTTGCTGCTTGTTTTTGTGATCTAGTGTGTTTGTGGGTGCAGTGGGTGCCTTGGGTGGGGGATATGGCGTTTCGGATGTGTATTCGTTCAAATGCGTCAAACCATCCAAAAAGACAAGCTTTCCAGATTGCTTGTACGTTTGCAAATTGATTCCCTAGTATCGCGCAGTGCATAAGTAACTATTGACACGAGATTGCCTTAAATTAGCCTTACCAACTTGCGTCCAATCAAGAAGTAATGGTTGAAGATTTGCGCTAAACCGACCAATACCACATGCTTGTCATTTTTGAGCTGATTTACGACGAAATGATGCACAAGAAAGTTGGCGTCTGACTTCAGTGTATCTGTGATGGCGATGTGAGAGTTAATCGGCGCCAAATTGTTAGGGAAGGCAAGCGCTGCGTCCAAAGATGCATAACCCATGGTTGATGTATTAGTAAGATATGGAAAAGAAAGGCCTTTATTACTGAATTCAACATCGGAAAGGGTTTAAAAGGGGAGAAACAAAATTTTCAAACAGTCACCGTAATAGGGTTATCATGTTGATTCAGCATCTACCTTCTTCTCGTTGTTCATGTTGTGTTGCTGTAATAGTTCGATGAGATGCTGCATGACATGTTCTTCATTCCCTACTACTATTGCTGCTGCTGCTGCTGCTGCTGCTGCTGACGGTGGTGCTGATGCCGATGCTGCCTCTTTATCAGCAATGAACTTTTGAATGACTGGATCGCTCTACATGGACATGAACATGAACCTTCATCAGCCATCGTCCATTCCCCAGCATGTAAACCATACCTTTAAATCCTTGGTCACATCGTGCTTGCCCTCTGAATCCATAGACTGTATTGTTCTGATCGACAGAACCCTTAGTACCTTTTTTTGTTTCTACTCCCTCCTTTTAGTCAAACAAATTTACCTGCAAACTTCCTCTATTAATGTGGATACAGCTTTGTTATTGTTCTGGATCGCACGATTTGCAGCTACCGTTGCTTTTGCAGCTACCTTGGATACCTAGAACAATGATCGAAATGTGAATACTTTTAATGAAAACGATATTCTCTCGTACAATTTACAGTGTGTGCTATACTTTTTTAATTTCTTCCTGATTCACCAGTTCTTCGTTTGTCCATTGATGATTCAATATATGAGCCAGTGTGTCTGGAGTCAATATAGGTGGTGATCCCCAATGGTCATCCAGGTTTTGGATTATTTCTGTAATACGGTCTTCTGCCATTGCATTTGAATCGGTGGACATGATGCTGCTATTGCTTGGTTTCTTATTTAATAACGATGGATTGGAAGGTCTATCCTGACTCTTTGGTAAGGTAAAGTACATGTCGGGTTTAAGTATGTAGTAAAATTAAATGAAAAACAAGAGGATAAAAGGGGAAAAGAGCTTTCCAGAGTCCAGAACATACTTTAAATATCAACAACAACGGATTACCATACAACAATTCTTAGCTAGCCCTAAACCATATTCGATCCCCTTTTCAAAAATGTGTAAGCACTTGGGAGCTAGGCTATTTAAAGCAAGTGCAGATTTGCGTAGGTGTGTGCGTATGTTGCTTGGTGCGTTAGGGCAAAAGGGTGCACTATGGTTCAATTATGTCACTGTCAGCGTGTACAGTAGAGTGCCATTTCGAACTATGATAGAAATATCCCATCCAACATGGGATATCAAATGTACATTTTAAAATGCTAGATTTTTAATAAGGACAGAAAAAAAAAAAACTCGTCTGTGCAACACCAATAAGCATAAATAAACTTTTTTTGCTTTGTTTAGAACATGATCAAGCATCACATCTGTACAATCGTCGTTGAGTGATTTACCTTGATTGATGTGCAATCAGAGAAATTGTGTTATTTCCAATGTCATTAGGATAAATCAAAGATCATACAATTGAAACTCCGGTAATCAGGTCAACGGATTGGCCATGTTTGTCATCGACAACATGATTCCTTTTGATTTGCTGTATTTCCCCTCGAGTTTTCTCATACGTTTGATAACATGATTCATATTTGAACAAGGGGAAAACTATGAACAACTGGTGCGGCACACAGCGGTCACTTTCGCCCGAAGATTGTAGCCGTGTTTAAGAGCAAATGTCTACATCTCATCCGGCTCTTGTTTCCTTTTTCCTTTTTATCTTTTTTTCATTCAAGTTAAAATATGGCTAGAACTAAACAAACTGCCCGTAAATCAACTGGTGGTAAGGCTCCCAGAAAGCAACTTGCCACCAAAGCCGCTAGAAAGTCTGCTCCTACAACTGGTAATGCAGTAGTCGACATTGTGAATTAGTTTTCAATGTATCTAATCAAATGAATATTTCCTAGGTGGTGTAAAGAAGCCTCATCGTTATAAGCCTGGTACTGTCGCTCTTCGTGAAATCCGTAGATATCAGGTAACTATTTTTTTTTAGCGTGCATTTAGGATGATACAAGAATGATGGATGTTGACATTTTACTCGAAAACGATAGAAATCAACCGAGCTTTTGATTCGTAAGCTTCCTTTCCAGGTATGAAAACACAACACTCTTTTATATCCATCTCTTGTATTCACATCTATTCATCGATTTTAGCGTCTCGTCCGTGAGATTGCTCAAGACTTCAAGACAGACTTGCGTTTCCAATCCTCTGCTATTGGTGCTTTGCAAGAAGCTGCGGAAGCTTATCTTGTTTCACTCTTTGAAGGTATATGGTGATTGATTTATATAACTATGGTTATGATGATACTAACCAATTCACATGATTTTAACCCTCCTTGAATCACGTTTCTTTCCCCTAAATAGATACTAACCTTGCCGCTATCCATGCTAAGAGAGTTACCATTCAACCCAAAGATATTCAATTGGCTCGCCGTCTTCGTGGTGAACGCTCTTAAATCATCATCTGATGTCTTTTAACATTTTATCTTTTTCAATAATAGCACTATCTAATTCAATGAGTAAATAATAAAAAAAATGGCAGCAATATCTTGCCTTTAAATAATATTGCTGAAAATTTTGAAAGTTGCCATCACAATGTTTTTTGTACAAGTAAATGAGCGATCAGTGGTATGATATCATCTCATTCTGAAGTAGCTACTCTCTCTCTCTCTTCTCTCTAGGATAGCTGCTCTTGACAGATTGATGCAATATTTATTTAACACGGCATGTGATTTCGAGAAATATAACATTAGGCTATGAGAAAAACTTGCACACTGCTAGTGGCCATACCAATGCCTATTTATCATGACATCCTGCCTCATTGCTTGCTAATATGACCTTGCCCCATGCTACGAAACCCACAATACAAAGGTGTTTCTCGGTTTGAATGTTTACTGTGCCGCTACATCATAGGTAAATTCCACTGTGTTACAAATAATGCGAAAACTGTTGCACAATAGGTTTATTCAATAGTAGCAGCATTCAAGTTTGGTAGTTCCACGCTGGGGTCAACATCCAGTAATCGTTCATGGATGGCCTTCAATGCACTCAGGGCATATTCCTCTGATACCACGCAGGAAATGTTGATTTCTGATGCACCTTGTGAGATGATTTCAATACTAATGCCTGCTTCTGCCAAAGAAGTAAACATCTTTCCTGCTACGCCCACTAAATTCTTCATCTGTTTGCCGACAAGGGATAGAATGGCCATGTTTTGATTCACATCCACCTGAGAACAGAATGTTAGTTGACTGGTGTCAAGAAATCCTAAATGTACATACTTGGCCTAGCTTTTTTAGATCGACAAGTGCCTTTTCCAAATTGTTCTGATCCACATCCGAGGACAATGCCATGGACACATGCACCTCTGACGTGGAGATCAAGTCGACAATGATATTGTGCTCATCTAAAGCCATAAAGATCTTGGCCAAGAAACCATGGCTGACGTTCTTGCGATTTGAATGCACATTAAGCACACAGATCTTATCCTTGACTGTCACTGCGGTGGGATGTTTTCGAGACAAATCTAAATGGTAGCCGTTCTGAGCCAATACAGCCGGTGTAGGTGGCGGCGTAGCATAACCATTGGTGGATTTTGTGGTTTGATCTGGGAAAATGATGGTGCCAGAACCAAAAGGATTCTCTACATTCTTGATACGAATAGGGATTTCAGCTCTGATGACTTGCTCCATGGTGAATGGGTGGATGACCTCTGAGCCATAGTAGGTCAATTCAGCAGCTTCTTCTGGTGTAATGATGGGCAACAGACGAGCAGTTTTCACCTTTCTTGGATCAGCAGTAAATATGCCATCTACCTCTTTCCAAATTTGAAGTTCTTGTGATTGCAATCCCACAGCGGCAAGAGCGGCACACAGATCCGTATAGCCTCGACCGATACTGGTCAACAGACTGCCGGGTACATTGCCAAAGAAGCCTGTCAATACCGGTACCTTGTTTCCACATTCAGCTATCACTTGACGTAAACGCACAGCAATGTAGTCGTAGAATGACTGATCCAATGTAGTGAATTCTCGATCAATGATGTTGTTCAGCACCACCAGTTGACTATCAATACCCTAGCGTCGTCATGAATACACAATACTCCAAGGTTCGCACTACCATCCTTACTCGATCCTTCAACACAGCAGCGACGATGGTACATGACAATTTCTCGCCCATGCCTACAATGATATCTTTTGATCGAGGAGAGATCTCATCTATAATCTAACATACTGTGTTACCCTACTATAATCATATCATATGATTTCGCTTAGAATATACCTCTGCTGCTTCCAAAAAGGACCTTAATTTCAGGCACTCTGTCTTAAGTTGAGATTCGAGATGGTCTAGTATTTCCTTGTTTTTAATAACCGATCTTGCTGCATTAAGATGGTCGTTTGTGATCTCCTCAACGATTTCCAAATGCTTTTCAGATCCTTCTGTGAGGGCTTCTTCTGCTGCTCGTAATAGCCTTGTGGAGAAAATGCATGAATACCGGGAAATGTTGGATTATCATATGAATATCAAGCAACTCACATGTTGGTGGTGCCTTTGTCTTTTGATTCTCCACTTCGGGCAGAGCATACAATGACCACCTTGTTGGTCTTGATATATGTACTAGAGTAGAATTGTTACAAGGCGGTTGGCAACATGCTGGATCCAATCGATGCTTACGGTATAATGGTATCAGCAATCTCATTCAGGAATTTCCCTACACTGGTTCCGCCATACTTTTGTACAATCCATGGCAGATGAGTTGGGTTAGACATGAGTGGTAATTGCATTGTGAATGTTGAATGGAAAAAAGAAGAAAAAGAGAGAGATCGAGTGGGGGGGGGGGAGATGGAGTGCAAGATTCAGACCAAATAAAATGCATGCATCTGGATGGCAATATCCTTTTCGAGAGATGGAATCAATCATAGCAAATCAGCTCGCACCGTCACAAAAGATCATCTATAACAGCCTTCGTTGACCTTCTCACTGGTCAAATTTCCCGATGCGTCATCTAACATCATTTGCACCTGCAATTCGTTATTTCTCAAGGTTATCTGAGTTTAGGCCCACCAACATGTCCATGAGAGCACGCCCACTGCATTGGAGATCGTTCTGCTCAAGTCTGAATTGCTTGAATCGCATCATCAAGACATCCAAAGACCGCAAGCTTCATTTTGATCAAGTCAACTCTTGGAAAGCGACCGGAAACCAGGACCATGTCAAGAGCAATGAGCCGAGATTGCCCAAGAAGAAAGTAGCTCTATTGATAGGTTTCAATGGCTCTTCATTTCAGGGGATGCAAATGTGAGTCTTGCTTTTGAAAACGTAACATGTGAACTGACATTTGGTCCTAGAAACCCGGGTACAGTGACAATTGAGAGCGTGCTGTTTGACGCCCTTTGTAAGACAGGTGCTGTCTCTACATCTAATGCAGTAGACCCCAAAAAGGTGCAGTTAATGCGAGCCGCTCGCACAGATAAAGGTGTCCATGCTTCATGTAACCTGGTATCTCTCAAGATGATTTGTCAAGATGAGCAGATTGTAGAGAAATTAAATGCTGTGTTACCACCACAAATAAGGGTTTGGGGTAATCTTGGATATAGACTGGAGGATGACCCTACATATCTGATCCTTTCAATGTATCACTATAGGCTATGTGGAGACACAGCGCAATTTTCATGCCAAAAACAAGTGTGATTCTCGCATTTACGAGTATCTGATGCCATCGTACGCATTACAGCAACTAGAACCCAACAAAGAATGGACCACACAACCGCAATCAGAGCACGACATTCAGATTGCTACGGAAGACAGCACCCTCACTCGCTTCATGAAACCAACTGATCCAGCGAAATTGCTTGCGTATCGAGTAGATCAAGAACGTTTCTCGAAATTCAAGCGAGCCATGCAAATGTTCAAGGGCACGCACAACTTTCACAATTACACCATTGCAAGAAGTTTCAGGGATCAAGCAGCCAACCGATTCATGATTGATATCAATGTCGACGAGCCCATGATGATTGGAGGCATGGAATGGATCAGTGTCAAACTGCATGGTCAATCATTCATGTTGCATCAGATTCGAAAGATGATATGTAAGCTATTCAACTACTTTGACAAAGGAAGACTGTATAACCAACTAGAGCGAATAGCCATGGCAATGCTCTGCACTCGTACTGGCACTCCATTGACTCTGTTACCCAAGACATTTGAATCAGCCAAAATTAATATACCAAAAGCACCAGCTTTAGGCCTTTTGCTCGACCGACCTGTATTCAAGTTGTACAATGACCGGATGCACGCAATCGAGAGCAGACAAACGATAGATTTTGATCAGTACAAGGTAAGAACGGCAGACACAAGTGAGACCGTGATTTCTACAACACTGTTTGTAGGATGCAATTGAGGCATTTAAGAGAGAATCCATCTACTCCAAGATATTCGAGCAGGAGCATCAAGACAGAGTGTAAGTGCTTCTTTTGTGTGCAATTCCATGTTGCTCAATGGCTTGCTCTGTAGGTTTGATACGTTTCTGATGACCATTGATTCGCATGTGGACAAGGACTACAAGTTTTTCAACAAGGAGGGTATCATCCCAGACGAATCTATCCTATATACAAAATACTCTGTGTAGCTTCTATTAGAAAATGTGGCAAATGACATGGCCTGGCATCGCTCTTTCTTGGCACAATAGGATATAATTAGATAAAAGTACTTGATTTGTATAGTTCAATCTTTATATAGAGCCTCGTAGCACTACTTGTTTCGAGTCCTGATGTATGCGACAAATAAACATGGCATTTGTATTCTGTCTTTACAGTGTACAGCAATGGCACACCTATGTTTACACCGCAAACCCCTCGTTTAGCTTTAGCCAAAAGAGAAGTTGCTAATACGGAAATGATGATAGACACAGCGGAAAGCCGCCGGAGATGTAACACGGAAATGAAACGTGCCATGATGGCATGAAGAATCATATATATTTGTGTGGAGATTTGTTTTATTTGGCAGCTTTTATTGATAACATCTAACTATAGTCACCAGGGACAATTCTCTCGCAACCATAGGTAGAGATTCCCAAGTTACAATCCGATTGGTTTTCACAACAACGGATACAGAACACGTTAGCATCAGGCTCAATGAGATTGACAAAGAACTTGTAGCCATTGCAAGTGACATTCTTGATGTCCATGTTGTCGTATTGTCCTCCGCCATCGTTGGGATCAAGTTGATACGCAGCTCTGTCAATTGTACCCGTAACCTGAGCGTAATCAGTCGTATTCAAAAAGTGGGCAGTCTTGATGAAACCTTGAGGGAAGACTTGTCCACCAAGAGTAGCGTTCGTACAGAAGGGAATACCGTTGTTTTCTGTAGCACCAACATTGTCTCCGGGATGAGGTGGCATGAAAGAGCAGAAGGCAGTGTCTGATTTCAAATGAATGTCATAGCCAGAGGACGAGCTGGAAGGAGCAGAGGAGTTTGCAATAGCACAATTTTGATGCGTAGGCATAGCAGTAGAGGCAGTAGCAAACAAGGCCAAAGCAGTGGTTATCAAAAGGGTGAATTTCATGTTATCAATGATAGAGTTGGGTAATTTTTGATTTTGCAAGCACATATCAGCTCCTTTTATATATAAAATTGCCAGCATGTAAATATAGACATTGTCATCATAGCAACGTTATTAGAGATCAACCTTATTTGAGCCCTATTATTCAATCATTGTGATCCTCATGATGCCATGTTTGACGGTACAAGTTTTTTCCATGGCATGCCGTCTATATTTATGAGCAAGAAATGATCTCTCAATGCTAAAAATACTTGATGTCAAACCCTCTTGGCATGGACCTAGTTTATTTTTAACTCGCTTGAACATGTATAGCAGTATTGTTGAGTTGAATTTAGCAAATATGAGCAAATAACGATAAGCGCTCAAAGCATCATATGACTGCATACGGTTTACATGGCTCTCTGCTCAAAAGGAGGACTCATTGCTGTCACTGTTAGGGATAAATGGCTCGATTAAATATAGCTTGTTTCAATTGTGCAGATTGACAACGTGTTGCTGGATTATGGTTTTAGTGGTCAGTCCCATATCAACCCTACTCTGAATGATCCGCTCTGAGGTGGCTCAAAGTAGCGCGTATCAAACCTGTCATGCTATTGAACGCTATTACACAAAATATCCAATCGAGTAATGATTAGAAACCAATGGAAATATGAAGGCTGAAAACCCCACACAATGTACAATCTCACACTTATAATAGCAAATGACCCATCATGTCGCATGAATGGGTCTCTTTCTCTCTTCCATTTTATTTTACAACCGCAACAATGACCATTGAATTGAATACGCTGAGCTACTTGCTTCTCACCACGATCATCAGTGCAGCGTCTTTTATTGCCATTCAAAACGGAAAGCATCCTGATATTCATCCGTCTGTCCTGAACAAACAAAGCGAGTATGCAACGCTGAGATATCCAGGAGAAAGTGCTGCCATCAAATCAAATGCGCTTCCGAATGGTCCTCCCTTACTGACCACCAGAGATCGATCCATCAGGACTCTGAGCGAACTGTATCAAGTTGCGCTAAACAAACACAAAGGCAAACAATTTATAGGAGCCCGAGACTCGACCAGAAAGAGCGTTGTTTGGGTAATGAGCAATGTTAGTATGATTGAACTACATCAACTAACATCATGTATAGCAACTCTATGGTATATAATGGGGTGAAATTAGATATTATTAGTTGGTCATGTTAATACGTGATTTATAGATGGAGCATATGAAAATATACAGCACATCTTTTCTGGGCTCATCTACAAAGCCAAGCTGGAGGCGAGCACCGAAAAGGAATCATCCTTTGTGGGAATATACGCCTCCAGTTCCCCAGGTATGTTCATCTTGATGCTAGTTTCCATTTGATCTAATCCGCAAAATATAATCGATGGGGATCTCTGCTTAGACACGTTTTGGATTGAAATGGGTAAATAAATCCACTTGTATTCCCAATTATTGGGAGATATTGAATGATTTCATTGTATAGCTTGTCACTGGGGTGGTCTGGTGACAATACCCATAGCCGCTCAGGCCACATCATCACATATAGTCCATGTGATCCGCGATACAAAGCTCACTACATTGGTGATTGACAAAACTCACCTAGAGTACGTTTTGCGCTTGGTGGAAGGAACAAGTGTAAAGCATATCATTGTGCTGGGGGAAGATGCAGACTATGAAGAGCAAGAAAAGTACTTTGGACTCTGTGTTACCAGCTTCAGCCAATTGCAAACTTTAGGAAATGAGCATTTCGTTGATAGATCAGAGAAATCAAGTAAGGATGCAATCACTCTAAAGCATAACATGACTTGATAACACCAGTGCGTTGGATAGCAAATGACTCCATCGCCAGCATATACTACAGCACGAATCCACAGAAAAATGTAACTGTCTATAGTATCATTTGATGTGATCAAGTTGTCTCATGCCTGAACATAGATTCCAGATGTCAATGACCCACAGGATGACAAATTACTTGGGGTTGTCTTGACGCACAAGGTAAGCTTCGCGTATAGTTGAATGCGCTATGTTAATGTTGAGACATAGAACCTAATTTCCGCCATATGTAAGTAATGTCTAATGCTGTTTGGTGTAAAAGATATTAAGCAATGTTCAATATACAGCAAGCAATCTCGGTCATACGCCAATGAGTCACAAGTTCACGTCAAAAGACACCCTGATGCATAGTTTTGCAATTGGTAGATAGTCAGTTTCTTCGTATTTGGCTGAAACTAACACAGTTGCTATTACGACAGATAATGTGCTGGGCTACGTACTACAAGCTGCGATATGCTTTGTGGGAGGATCCATAGGTTTCGAGGATAAAGTCTTGCTAAATGAATTCAATCTAGATGTTGGCTCTGTTTTGACGGCAATCAAGGAGGTGAAGCCAACAATCTATGCCAGGTAACATCTCAGAATTGCATAAACCAACAATATTAAACTTTTTAATATAATTGCGCAGTGGTGGTCCATTTCTAAAGCAGGTACGGAGGCTAATCCTTGGGAAATATGGCAATTCCTTCTTATTTCAACGAGGTCTGGATAGAAAAGACAGATATCATAAGGAAGGCAAACTTGTTTCTGATTGCAAATACGACATGCTTGTATTTCGATACATCAGACAGCAGCTCTTTGGTGGCCAAATGCGCATGCTGTATCTGGATAATGATGATGCTCCCAAAGTAGATCTTGGGTCATTCTATAGGTCCATTCTAGGTGCGCAGGTACTCAAGACTTTCAGTCGGCCGGAAACCAGTTCTAGTATGATGACAACTATCGTTTTTGATTACGCTCTGGATAAGAGAGTGGTGGGACCACCGCTAGCTTCGATACACGCCAAACTGATCGACAAGAAAGAGAAGGGGTACACAGCAGAAGATTTACCAAATCCGAGAGGCGAGATTCATGTCAGTGGCAGCACGGTGTTTGCAGGCTATTGGAATAAACCACTAGCGACAGTGGAGGTCGTAGATTCTGATGGATGGTATTCAACAGGAATGATTGGTGAGCTATTGCCTAACGGCAGTATTTTGCTTTTGGAGCCGTCAAAGTAATTGAGTTTCTGTTGAAACGCTTCAAGTTCAAAGCTAATAAAAAGAAGTGTAGTCAATGTCTTTATCAACACAAAAACGTGCACGGCTTTCAGATAGACAGAAGGTAGCATTAATCGTAATAAGAATTTTACCGTAGCGAAGCGACGGTGCAAAACCATTTTATTCAAGCAGCAAATTCGGTTTCTCCTTTCCGTTATTAATAAGCTTACCAACAACATAACGCATCGAAATTTGCATGAATTAGCTTCATAAAAATTAATATGCCTTCTATTCAATCTCAGGTTATTTTTTCTGTTCCAGATTGGCCAAATCTCGTTTATTTCCGATGTCTTTAATCTATTCTGCGAGATTCGACTATGTGAATTGTACTAGGAAGCATTGGATGATCACCACAATTCACATAGTCGAATCTCGCAGAATAGATTAAAGACGTCGAAAATAGACGAGATTTGGCCAATCTGGAACAGAAAAAAATAAGCTGAGATTGCATTAAATTTTGGTGGTGGTGGTGGTGTTGGCATTGGGTGACCCTGGTAGCTGACCAAAATGCCTTTCTAATAAGGACAATAATAATAGCAATGATGGTGGCGATGCTAATTAAGTGGGGACCATGGATTCGAAAGAACAATAGAGTGGCTTGAATCCTTTTTTATTTGGTTTTATTGGGGGTTTTCCCTATAAAGGTGTCTTTTACAATGACAACCTCTCAAAAAGTCGCTATTATAGATTTCCTTCTAACTCTGATAAGCCTTTTTTTTTTACTATTAATTGATTGTTTAAAATCTATTTGATATACCAAAATTTGTTATATCTGATTTAAAATGTCTTTGGCGAGAGTCAACAGGGCGACGCCGTCATCGAGCGTAGCGAGATAGATCAGCTACTTGTATGATATCCTGGCATTGCCTCTAGATTCTACTACTGCTCCTTTTTATCAACATCTATACATTAAAACTTTGTTCAAGGCAGTGCTAGGGGCAACGACAGAGCCCAGAAAGGGCAAGGCATTTGTAAAGCGCAGTACCAAGAGAAACTTTCAAACAGTAATAGCCAATTTGCCACACATGCACAATAGTATAGCCAATCTTTTCTTTCGTTACATATAGACTTTATGGTGCATACTGCAATTTGTACCAGTGATATGACTATTGCTCCGGCTATTGCTAGGACATTGTTGTACTAAATTAGATGTGGTGCTTGGATATAGTTGTTAAGGTTGGGATAGTATTTTGTATCACAGAGCGCAAAATTTTGATCTAGAGTAAATAATCAATATTTGGATTGTACCATCATCGTAAAATAAAAACTTACCTCAACCTCCAGATTATGAACTCGACATCTCAAAAAAGCAGCTTCTCAATGAAATCATGTTTTTTTTTTCTTTGTTTTCGTACTAATTTTTTTCCAACCGAAATAGTTCTTACTGTTACTGATAAAACATGAAGGAAGTAATCAATGCGGTGGTAATGCTGAGCATTGTTACAGTACTGTTTGTAATGATAAGGTGACTATTGTTGATAAAGATGATATCTAGTAATTCTTTGTGCGTCATATTTACACTAAGAGATTGGTATACTAATGAGGGTAATCAAAAAGGCAAATAGTGTCATGTACATGTGGGGGAGGGGGAATACTGGTGAACTGGGAAAAGTAATAGCTTAAAAATTGTCATTTTACAAGCAGGAGAGAGGGCGGAGTCAATTATCATTAGATATAATATCTTCCCAATTATCGCATGTCAAGATGTCGTCCGCATATCCAATTTCTTTAATCTTGTTACTAATCAACTCCAGGACTCGTCTTGTTTGCTCGATCTCTATTAAATTGTTATTAGCATCACCTTGATTGCTGTTGCTGTCAGCATTACTTGAGTTGCTTGATGGCACAGGCGAATTGTCACGGTAAAAGATATTGTTGTTGATGCTGTCAAAGGGAGTGGCTAGGTATCTTACTGAATCTTGTAATCCAGCTTCGGAAATGGCGATCAACTTCTTGAAATTCATGACAATTGTTCTCTATGGTCGTACTGTGTCAATGGTGATTTACTCCAGTTACATTGAGAGCAAAATATATCCTTACTTGCAATGACATCACGGTCAATAGAAAATAAGCGACTTGGGGCATGTTGGATGCTTGAGATGGGATTGTGGCAGTTGCTTTCTGATAGTGTATGATCGTTCCATTTTCAGTCATTCTTGAACCATGTATAGTCAACACAAGACCATAAAACTGCGGGCTGATAACCTCAATATGCTTGATACAAGATGGGCTTGGAAGGAGTGTCTGAATGTATTTGAGTCTTTTTTCTCGTAAAAATCTCGCCTTGTTCAGGTCAGCTTCTACATCAGCTTCCTTAGCTTCTGCAGGCTTGTCCTCACAGCAGAATATATCCTCTAACTGGTCGTTGAAGAGTATCATGTCAATCTTGGCGTCCTTCTCACGTTGGTCTATTTGCCGTGTCTTTCTCAGATACTTGATGGTACTGGCGTGACATTCGGTTCTAAAGAAGAAATAGTACACGTTAATACATCTTCTGACACAGAAATGTCGTTGATTACTACCTCTCTGTAACATACCTTTTGGTTGTGTAATATGGATCAAATAAAAACACAGCGTCAAATAAATCCGCATAAACATGCCCTTGGTACCAGCCCTCTTTGTGTGTAGTATCAACAAGATGATTGCTTTGGTACAGCAGCGTCCTAATGAAGATATCGCATTAAATTTACTTGCTTAAAAAGCAATCAGTCAAACTTGCGATTTTGACAGGGCGATGTACAAGTAGGATTGCATACTGTTTCGTGGTACAAGTGGTATTGATTTCACTATTGGCTCAATTTCGTCCACAGTGTTCGATTTGCAAATTTGAATCAAGATCTCACACTCCTTCAGTGTATACGTTAATGGTAAGCCAAATTTCAGCTCTGTGGAGAGTCACTTAACGACGCTTGCAAGCCTTAATGGGATCAGCCCTGGAGATGCAAAATCCAACATGTTGTGTCTGCCACTATGTAGAATCAAAAAAAGTTAATCCCTGTAAAGTTGTAACTAAAGGACATCATAAAACTTACTAAGCATTTGTGAGACATTCTAATTGTACATTCAAGGTCAAGGTGTTGAGATAATTAGCACTTAATCGTCTAGGTCTTTTCTTTTGAGGATTGAGAGCTGAAGATTCATCGGGACCTCTTTTGGATAAGGATTGAGCTGATGCTGTTGTTGGTGACGGTGTTGATTGTAATGAACTTGACTGAAGTGCTTCTTTCTTGTCCTTGATGACTTCCTCGACCACAAATGAATGATGCAAAGAGCTCAATTGCTATCATTCATTAAAAGACATTAGAAATGTATTAATGTGCAAACTAGAAACTTACCTCAACACGCTGCTTGCACAGGATCAATTTCGCGGGGTCAGTGGCCAACACTTTATTACAATTGTCGTATAGCTTCTTCGTGGCAGTATTCAAGCGAGCATCATTCGACTTATAGTTGCTCGCAAATCTCTTGAAACTTTGCTTGAAAATAGTAAGACAGTCCGTTGACGTTGGTCTATAGATAAGGAACAACTCCTCCAACACATTTAAGATTTTCCAGTCCTTCACACGATATTCTTCAAAGTAAATCCAAAAGTGGTAGTAAAGATTTGATTAGTCAAATGTTAATTATACAGCATTGAAGTGAAACCCTACCATAAAAATAATATTTATAAAGGATGATTGAAAATCATTAGCTATTACAGTGTTTAGCATTTTTTTCCATCACTTACCTATTGTAATACCCTCGCCAAGGGCGAGCTCATCACTAATTCTTGTTCAGAAATAAAGAGCTTGATAAATGAGTTTGTTATGGTATTGAAGAGTGGCGTCCACGGTGGGCAAGATCCATTTACTTGAAGTGGCTTCCAAGGAAGAGCAAAATCCATTAAATTGATGAGGCGTTGGCGTCCAAAGCGAGGTCTAACCTCGTTTCTCAATAAAAGGCGGGTATGCATCCATAAATTTGATGTCGTTTGATAGTTGACATCTTCATTGATACATGGGAAGGCTTCTCCAAAAAAGAAGTCGAGCAACACCATCAGGGCCAATAGCCAAAGCAGATACCTGGTCTTTGGAAACAGAGTGAAAGGCGTTGGGGCATTGCCGATTCAAACTAAATGAAGGTGCCGTTAATAGCCTTGATGGCATCTTGGTGGTTGCGATGAATTCGAGCTGCTTCCTCTAATTCAGCTGGGGTCTTGCAATTACGCAGGCTATAAGAAGACAGGATGGCTTTTGCTGCGGATACTTGCTCTCCAGGTGTCTTTTTCCTCTTCTCCGGCGACTTCATATAGATGTCTAAACCAGTTCCTTGCTTCAGTTGCTTAATCCGATGGTGGGCACCTGGTAGCTGCATGAACGCGGTGGTGCTCTAGCGTCGTCAGCAATATCCACCTCACTTAAATCGGTTGGCATGGATGAGGGTGTATGTTATTGATATCCCTCCGGTGCCTAAGTACTTGCCACTTGCCGTAAACCCTGCGGGATATATGGTGCAACTGCAAACGATAAGCAAAGCGATCCAAATCGAAATAGACAGTTTCGGTAGTCTTGACTATACCATTGTCGGTGCCTGCAAATATGGCGTGCAGTATATCCATGTCCTGATCAAAGAGACTCTCCTCTACCTTCTTTGGACATAGTGTATGGTGTGCCATATATCTATCAGTGTTAATAGCGGCGTAGAAGGGATATTGCGTGGGGCCTTCAACTCGTTGATTTGTCACTTCGTGGCTGTTAAAGACAAGTGCAATCTTGAGTACTTGAATACTGAATTCGGAGGCATAATCCGTGGCGTTTTGAATGTGATAGGAGATGGTGCGCTCAACGAGTTGGCGTGCCTGGCCAGTCAGGTCTTGTCTAAGGATGAACTGGAAAGATGTTGTGCAGGCTCTACATTATATTGTGTGGTGTCCTCATAATCGGCGTCGCCATCTTGGTTACTATCATCAAAATATGCTTTTCCCTAAGCGTGTTCGCCATACCCAATGTATTCCTTAATGGCTTCAAGACTTTGCCCCACATACTCTTTTTAATGCTCAAAACTGGTCTCGTTGGATTCTCTGGCCTGAGAGCGTAGAAATGATGTGATGCGAGTGGAGTCAACATGAAGGCGTATAGCTACGTCTGGACCATCGTTTCTTGGCAGTTTTTTAAAAGCAAGCAGCTTGTCATGCGAATTGACATATTCCGTGTTCTTGTATTGGCCAACATTGCTTTCCACGTTAGTCTTGAATTCGTCACGTAAGGCGTTCAAGTACTGTAATTTTTCTTCAGCCTTTGTATTCCCTCTTCGATATCTGGTTTCATTGTAATTCTTACTGGATGATTCAACCCAGTAACTCTTGCTTGTGAGACTTCTGGTTGTTCTCTGCGGCTCCTCATGTTGAATTGTGGTAAGGGTTGTGTTGAAAGAGTGATGAAAAAAGGAGAGATGCAAATTTGCAGTGATGAACAAAAGTTACATGTGTATCTCCTATGAATGGAAAATGGCCATTGGCTATCCACTGCGAAATAGATTTGTAAAATAAACAGACGCAATATATCAAGATGCAAGACAATGCTCTTGATTGTCTCTATTAATTGACGGTTTCTACATCAAAGCTTGAGGATTGTGTTAGAGTTCCACATATTATACTGGCCAAGGATCTCATTATTATCGGAAATTGAAGTTTATCAAACACCATTCACACAAATTTATGTCATTCAAATCTAATAATGAAGCTCTCAGATGTAGATGAGAAATCACTTCAACAATATGCAAACTTGTCTCGTTCATTTGAAAGTAAAGTACCGTTGATCACACTGTATTTTCGAATAGAAGCAGTTTAATGACAAGAGGTTCAAATTTGTCAAGTATGCCCAGATGCAGCAAGTGCCCAGCAGTTTCTGTAAAGACGTTCATCATATAACAACAAACATCACATGTTGAGCTACCAAAGTAACATTGAAACAGGTTAAAACTATAGATCATCCAAGCCCAGCAAGCTGATTCACTGAGATACCCCTTTTAGCCAGTGCTCCTGCCTCGATTACGTTTTTGAATCAAAACCCAAGAACATTTGCAATTATCAATATAGCATCAGTTAATACTACTCTCTAGTTTTTGTTCAGCTTTAAAACAAATATACTATAGTCGATTTCTGCCGTGAAATCTCTGTCGTTACAGCATGGTTTAAAAGTTGAGCGTTATATTATTGGCTCAACAGCAATCTAGTAGTGCAAGTTTGCACTTTTTTATTGCTTAAATTTATTGTTTCTAATAGTGATCAATATTAACAGCCAATAGCTAATGTATAGAATAAAAACGAAGTTTTCCAAGAAAAGTGATAGCTAAATCTGTACCACTTTACCTATCACATTCTCCATTGTGTAGGCCTGCAAAGCACCTACTGTTTGACGTCTCAGTTAAAGCTGTTATAGGTCAGCCCCAGCAAAACAGTCCAAAATCCACCGATCAAGGCTAGCTTTTGCTACAGTGGAGCACCACATGGACGTTTCCATGCTATTATTAAAAGGAAAACGGGGGGGTTTTTTTTTGCCAGTGTAAAATCCAGTTTGGAAGTCCAAACCCCAATTTTTCGCAAGGAAGCTTTGCAGATACTTAAATGAGGCCTCATTTTGTAGAGCAAACACAGAGCAGCAAGACTTAATCAATGCTTGGTTGAGTTTTGACATTTGAACAAAGAATAGCGTCGAAACACTAGCCTTTCTATACTGCTTTACTCTACATTTCACCCGCTGTAATTATTTGGCAACCAATGCATGTAGCATCTGAAAATCCCTTTACATGTTTGACAACCCCTCCTCAAAGTAGGCATTTCATCTTTCTGATATAAAGTCGCCACCATCAACATAGGATGCGAAAAAAGCTGTTCCTTCCTCCTCTTCTTGCTGAGATCCGAAGCACAACCTTCAACCCTTTGCCAAACCATAATACAACAGCAAGATATCATCAACAAACGGTTTTGAATACAACCTTTCCCAACATTCCATCCATCCATTTATTACTCATAATCACTTGTCTTCAACATTGTCTTATTTCCAATAATCCTTTCAATCTAAAATCTAATAATTACACTGCCGTTTTTATCGCAAGCTTCCTCATACGACCATCCTACTTTCAAAGCGAATTTCAATATCTCAAATCTCAATTTTGGATAACCTAGCCTCGAAATCAAAAGCTCTTTTGTTAAGGAGTGTTTCTATCGCAACTATTAGCCTAGAATCAATGCCGCCGTAGAAGATATTTGCTGTTCAATTGATTCATTTGACTCGTACAGGCAGTTTTTGTAAAAAGAAGTTGTGAAATCAAATGAATCTAAAGCCCTATTCATTGACAGCAAGGAAAAAGGTATACTCCTTGAAGCATAAAACGTTTTATTATAGTTTTCAATAGTTAACTGACTATTGTTTGGTAATGGGATGGCCAGAATACTGTTGTAACATCAATGTAAACAACACTGCTGCCCTAAAGTAGTACCAATACAACCTCCCCGCATAATAAATGTAAAACAATTTCCTCATCATATTAAACTGTTGTGCAATGAATGCCAGATTGAATAGTTGCATCGTATTATCTTACTATTAAATGAAGTAGTAGGCATTAAATGGTATCTATTTGGCTACCCTTTTATTATAATTTTAAATGACCAATTGATAGGAGATCAACTAGCTAGAATCCTTTGGTGCTTCAAACTCTCAGCCAATCAAATCGCTTGAAAACTCCGCGGACCTGAAAAAAATTTTGCGAGGGTTTCCCCCTGTTTTGATGTGAGGCAAAATTTTAAGCGCCGCTATATAGCTATATAGCTGTTACTATCATCAAATTTCCCTCAGGTGCTAGAGCATGCCTTACTTACACCACCTAGCTTTAAATTCAGGCATTGAGACCCTCAATCATCACTAAAGTAAGTAGCGATAACCAAGTGGAGGCGGCCTATCTACCTCCTGGTGTCGGATAATGTCTTGTTGAGCTTCAGCGATAGGCACATCCACACAACGTAAAAAAAAGGTATGCTTCAAAGAAACATAATAAAAGAAAAAAAAAGGAAAGGAAGGAAACAACATCATGCTACAGTACTATAGGAGTATAGTAGTATATGTAAGCAAAGAAAAAAAAAGGATACTCACGCGCAATGAGTCAAAGAAAAGCATAGCAAATACAAAATCAAAGATGTTTATAACAGCTCATTGTTGTTGCAACAGAAATACATACATGAGCAACGTGTATGGTAATAATCTGATGTAAAGCAACACAAACATGCACAGTTGCAGGAGCAACAGCAGTAGTATGAGTGTGTAATACAACATAACAACTAATATTGTTTCATATGAAGCAACAGAGGCAACACAAACAACAACCCACGGCCATATAACAAAGTATTACAGCGGTAATACAAGAATATAACAGTGCATGATGCTTGTTGTTCATATATACGAAGCAACAACATTACAGTTATTTGTTGAGCTGATCATATCACAGCCAACAAAAGAAAGAAAAAAAAAACGCAACAACGCAAACATTATGAATGCATTATCACGAGAAAGGAAGCAATAATACAAACGTCCAAAGAAGTTTTATATTATTGCGACCAGATGAAAAAAGATACTTACCATTTACCACCACAACCCAAGATAATAGACCAGAAAGCCAGCATACAGCAGACATCAGACCAAAGGATACACAAACACCAGAGAAAGACCGCAGAAGCAACAATAGACCATCAAAGCGAGCACCATCAAATAAGCAGCAAAAGACTAGAAATGGGTCCCAAAATAGAACAATTCACAGTATAGCTACAGTACAAAACGCGTTAACATTGTATCCTACGTCTACTGAGCTGCTGTCAATCATACTTGCTTTAGTTCCATCAACAAAGATAGCCTTGTTTCATCAGTAAAAGGTTTGCAAAATAATTAAAAAAAGGGGGGGGGGGAAAACGCTAGTAATATAAAAAGGAAAAAATGCTAATAATAAAAGATTGAGGTTGGAAACCGTCACTAGTCTCAATATAATATGGAGTAAGCACTGGAGACTTGACAGCTTGCTTACAGGACAGCAAAGCAAGATTGGGGTTAGCAGTTTCTACCGCAAGGTTTGCCAACACCTTGTTTATCGATCGGTCAATTGTAATTAAGAGGCTGTATTTAACAAAGGTAGCAAATTTTGCGTTCCAATTTAGCCACACACTGCAAAAACGGTATTTCAAAATATCCATAGCCCAGCCTTTATATTGCTCAAAATAAGGATCCATAGATATCTAAAGTCTTTCAACCTCAATACCATGCGATTATGATGATAAACACCGCTTCCAGCTAAACCAAACTTAGGGTAGAATTCAGAGGAAAATCGAATGATACCACTTTTAAGTGGATTAGCCCAAGTTATTAGCCTGATTTTTGATAGGATAGCTTTTGCAATTTTTTGATGGCTTTTAATACATTGCCACATTTTTATCATCAAAACTTTACTTTTAATACCTATCATGGTGTAGAGCAAACGAAATCTTTTCGAATGAGCCCTGTCTCAAAACTCTAGCATGTCGCTATCAGGAGATATTCACAGATTTATACATCCAAAAAAATTGTCATCCAGATTTTCGCCTTGCTATTACAGGCAAATTCTGGCCAAAAGTCGATGATTTTGCACGAGGAAATTTTTGATCATATCTCGGGAAAGATACATTGTATTTACGTAAAACAAAAACCATTCGATAGCTCTACTCTGGATCTATTATTCTGAAAAGGCTTTAAGTCTTAAATGTACGTTTTCTTCATGATTTTGTTTAAAATTGTGTATTTGCTGTCCAAAATCCACCGATCAAGGCTAGCTTTTGCTACAGTGGAGCACCACATGGACGTTTCCATGCTATTATTAAAAGGAAAACGGGAGTTTTTTTTTTTTGCCAGTGTAAAATCCAGTTTGGAAGTCCAAACCCCAATTTTTCGCAAGGAAGCTTTGCAGATACTTAAATGAGGCCTCATTTTGTAGAGCAAACACAGAGCAGCAAGACTTAATCAATGCTTGGTTGAGTTTTGACATTTGAACAAAGAATAGCGTCGAAACACTAGCCTTTCTATATTGCTTTACTCTACATTTCACCCGCTGTAATTATTTGGCAACCAATGCATGTAGCATCTGAAAATCCCTTTACATGTTTGACAACCCCTCCTCAAAGTAGGCATTTCATCTTTCTGATATAAAGTCGCCACCATCAACATAGGATGCGAAAAAAGCTGTTCCTTCCTCCTCTTCTTGCTGAGATCCGAAGCACAACCTTCAACCCTTTGCCAAACCATAATACAACAGCAAGATATCATCAACAAACGGTTTTGAATACAACCTTTCCCAACATTCCATCCATCCATTTATTACTCATAAT